CCCCCTCCCCCTGCATGTCTAAGCTTTCACAACCGCATCATACCATCACTACATGCCATCATCCTTCGTTACACGACTATCACACCACCCCCATGTCGTCTGAACCCTGTGTCGCTTCGTCCCTTCTTCCTCCCGCGTCCGCTACCCTTCATCCTTGCGCTTCTTTCGCATGTAGCTTTCCATATGTCCTATCGACCTTCTTTCATGTCGCAGGTGTATATCTATTTACATGTCCCTCACCTCGCATACGCCCACACGTGCGCAAGGCGCTGCCAGCCATGCCCCGTTGGGTCGTTCGTCTGTTCGTTCGTTCGTCCAGTTCATCCGTCGTCCATCCCGATTGCATCGCCGATCACAAGCAACGCTAGTTCCTCCGCTCGGCTCTCCACACGCGCACTCCACCGGCTTCCGCGTCAGGATCGGCTCCGCGAGCGCGAACGTGTGCTGGGGCCTTGGCCGCTAGCACAACTCGATGCCGTAAATGCCATCGTCGCGGACTAAGCCAACGCGACGTCCACAGCATCAGGCTCCGTTGTCGTCGCCAGCGTTCTTGCATGCGCGCTTGCCGGCAGAAATCCTTCAGCGTATCTTCGTACGCGCCGCGTCTCTTGATCAGGTGACAGGCGTGCATCTTCTCCAGGGGAACCATGCTTGGCGTCATACGCTCGAGCCTATTTGTGTATGCACGCGTCGAACTGCGCACGGCACATGCGATATCAACATTCTGTACTCTTGTTCGTGCACGTGCCGATCTCGCACGCGCCGTGCGCCGTCTATGGATCGGCCCCGTCCACGCACGCTCCGATCTGCTCACGATCCTCGCCTTGCCAACGATCAGCGACTCGCTGTACCTTGCAACACAGCGCGAGCATGTGTACAATGACACACGCATTATCCTGCGTGTGTGCCGACGCCTAGACGACGTCGCTCTGAGTGGTTCCCTTATAGCCACCGACGTCGTTCACTCCTATGGCACGGCTTGTCAGCCGACCATCATCACCTCTATCAACCCACACAGCTTCATCTCTGGGTTTGATGCGCCCATCTTCCGTCGTGTACATACCCTGACTATCTGCGATATCAACTTGTCGTTCTCTGAAGCGATGGCTATCCGTCGCATGCCATCACTCCGCACGTTGTGCTTTACATCTCCTAAAGACTACGGTGATCCACAGATCGATGCAAATGTGCTCCAAAAGATCCTGGTGTACGACGATCCACTCGAGTCCCTGGCGACTCTGCGTCTAGACGACGCAGCGGCCCTGCACATGACGATCCGTGCATTGCCACATCGAGCGAAGCAAGTGGCCGACGCTCTGTATGCGAGTCTCGCGGACAACGAGCGCGCCAACGACCTCAATGCACAGCATACAAGCGATCAAGAGCACAACGCACTGCACCCCGATACTATTCTCGATGATGAAGACGAAGAAGTTCGGCAGCAGTTGCTGCACCAGAGGCTTCGGCAACAACCCCTGCCGCTTCAACGACGGCATCAGCCTTGCCGAGCAGCCGTACATGTCGACACACGCACACTTCCAAGCACGTTCGTCGATGCTTGGGATGCGCTACGCGATCTCGTGTTCAATGCACAGGAAGACTACTCCCGTATGGCTCTGGAAGATGATGTGGGTACATGGGTCGATCCGAGTCATGCGCTGGAACTGCTGTACGAGGAATGGCACAGCGCTACGCCACATACGCCGACACCTCCTCCTTCGGCATCCACACCCACACAGCCAGTGCACACATAAACCCAACCACCTTCTCCAGCACTGTATGAAAGTACATGGATGTCATGCACAACATGATCGTCCACAAAATCACAAGACCCAAAATGCCACTGAGCACGAGCCGATTCGCCAGCTGACTCCACCACGGCCCAACTTCGAGCACAGGTCGCTGTGAACGCAATGCCGAGGGAATCAGCGACGACGCGACGCCATTCGGCACATATGGCACAATCAGCTCTGCCAAGTACAAAATACTCAGGGTTAGCACAAACGTATGGCCCGACACATCAATGCCGCCATGCCACCCAGCATAGGCTGTCGGGTGCATCTCAGAAAACGCTGGGTCCAAGCGCTCATACACGGCTGGATGCGTCTGAGCCGTGACGCGCTGTCGTGTGCGGCACAGTTCATGGTTTACATTCACCGAGTTCACCAGGCACTCGCCACCACTGGCCACATGCACGCGCTCAAGGAAACTCGCCCCAAAAAACCACTGCGACATCGTACTGCGTGGTCTGTTAGATTTTTTTTCACCTTTTATTTGTCGAAATTTTCTGTTACGTACACTGTTACTCCGTTAGTGGCTGTTCCCAATGCATGCTTCAGCACGTACACCATGCCAATGTAGCAAAGATCCACCGAATCAAAGTCTTTGATGCGAATAGACGCTTCCATGACATGACCTGGACTGCACCCTGCTCGCCACGCAGTCCGCCACTAGTCCTCTTCAATGTGACAGCCGCCAACAGAGTGAACAGAGAGTTCCAAAACCACGACCGCTTGACAAAGTACACGTTCGCCCAATTGCGCCTATCAGCTGCAACTGAAGGTACCTCCCTTTCTAATTCCCGAAAGGCCGAAAAGTCCAAAGCACGTTTCGATGATAGGAGCAAATTGAAGTGATTTAGTGAGTAGATGGACGACACCAAGATACCAAAGGTTACAACACAAGCAAGCATGAACACTAGTCGTGTATGGTATGCATGCAAACGGAACATGCGAGTCGCGCATCTCAACTGCTTCGATGGCTGCTGTTCACCAGGCTGCAGAATCGCTGCAGTCGGCGTGCTCATCGTGCGTTCGGAAGCGACCAAGGCTCTGAACCTGTGCACTGTCACTCCATCGAAGGGGCTGAACATGTGTGTGGAGGGTCCACCAATTCCATGGCAGCGGCCACCGTCTGCTCCGGCGACACTCGCACTCCCACGTCGACGGCACCACGTGACGTGTCGCGCGTCTCTTCACCCCCACGTCATACAGACATTTTCTTTATGCTACGATCGCGAGGTATTGGAGGGTTCCTGGCCGCTACAGTGGTAGGCGTGGCATCTGGTTATTACATCTTCCAGCCACTCGTCCAGCAGTCTGTTGAAAAGATGCGTGCCGAAGCGACAGCGGAAGCAGCACAGGCAGCCAAAGCACCCCGCGAGGCTCGTCCTGCCACACCATGAGGGAAAACGGATTAACTCAAGCACCCCACCACCGGCCTTGCTCACGACGAAGTCTCGCGATGTCAGCCTTTTTCCGGATCAGTTTGTTTGACAGATACTGAAATACGAATTGCTTGCTGGTATGCATGATGACGCGCGGTGATTCAGTATCGCTATTACTTTCGTCATTCTCTTTGTTATCCACTGAATCTCGGCTTCTTTTCCGCTTAACCGACTGGATGGGTGTGGATGGGCTGGTATGGGCCATCGTGACATTGTTGGTATCTTTGTCCCATGGCAAATCAGGATTGTCCTTTGGCGAATCACGTCGTTTCTTGTCCTTTTTCTTCTTAGCACGCTCTTCTTTTGATCGGCTCTTCTTGGACTCTTCCTCGCACGACCCACTTTCCTTTTCTTTCCTTTTCCTAGATTCGCCCTCCTTCGATTTATTCTCCCCAGACGGACTCTTTTTCGACTTACTGCTCCTCGTCGATTTGTCCTTCTTCCGCTTGCTCTTTTTTGACGTGGTATCCTTGCTCTTCTTCAAAGAACTGCTACTGTTGTCGCTAGACTCTTGACTCTTTGTCTTGCTCTTGTTCTTGCCATCTTGGGGACTAGCCGCGCCTTCCCCATCCTCGCATGCTGTCGTGTTTGTCGTGCTTCCCTCAGAGACCTAGTTTCTCTCTCGACATGTTTCATGCCGCGTGCATTCGCATCTTCACTGTCTGATGTAGGTGCGAGCGACCTCATGGCGCTCTTGGAAGCACTGCTAATCCCCAGAATCTCATTCATAGAATGCGTACTGGTGTCGCCCAGCTGCTTCGCCTTGCGAAATTTGGCTCGGTGTGCAAGACGTGAAAATGCAGGCCTTGGCTCAATTTGTGTTTCAACTGGTGCTCCTGGGCTTAAGGCGGTAGATGTAGATGCCTCAGGCGACCGTGACGTTGTGTCATCTTGATTCGCCTGGTTCAGCCGGTCGAACAAGGAACCTAGATCACCACCCGCACCGACCCACGCGTCCGCTTTCCCTTGCTCAAGTGCCTCGCGCTCATGACGGTGCGCACCAATACCCTTGTTGTCAAGCTTCATTGACACAGTCAGATTCGTCGACATGCCTTGGTTCGAGGTCCCTAGCCCCGTGCCTGGCGCCCAGCCCATCATCGACATCATGCGCTGTCCAGGAAGAGACAAGTCATTGAGCCAGGCTGTATTTCTCTGCGTAGCTGCACCAATGAGTCTTTGCTTTTTCCGCGGTTCGGAAAGCCCCATACTACGTGCGATCAAGCCCCGACCGAGACTCACCACCGATGTTGCATAGATGAACTGCCTCAAAAAAAAATAATAATAATAATAAATAAAAAATAAAAGATCGCGCTACGCTGACTAACTCTCTAGTCGCGCAACATCGGCTTGTAGAGAGTCACGTATTCATGCCGAGTGCGCGTCGATTCCTCATACAAGCTTCGTACGGACACGAGGCTGTGAACGTAGCCCCTTCGCATATCTATCCAACAACAAAGGCGAATCTACTTAGTGCGTTTGTAGACCTTGTCAAAGAAGGAAAGAAACACTGCGCGCTTAACGCCGAACGATTCTGGGACGGCATTGATGAGCGAATGAATGCGATCGTAACTTTCACGCTCGTAGGTGGCGAACTTGGCTGGAAGATCGATGTTCTCGGCATTGAAGACATCTTTAACCCTTTGCTCGCACTGTGCATCCTTTTTACCGTAGTTTTCGTCCAAAACTTTGCGCTGCTCTGGTGTCGCATGAGAAAGAGCCACATTGATGTTCCATGAGCACTTGTTGTCTAAGATATCCGTGCCAATCTTGCCTATTACTTCAGGAGCGCCATAACAGTCAAGGTAGTCGTCCTGAATCTGGAAGTATTCGCCCAATGGAATCAAAATATCTTGGGCGTGCTTGAACGCGGCCTCGTCGTTGACATGACACATACGCATTGCAAGTGCAACTGGTAGGTAGAACGAATAGAACGCTGTCTTGTACACCACGATGAGGCGGTGCTTTTCAGGCGAGAATTTCGAGAGATCAACAACATCTTCTGGTGCCGTGATCAAATCGATCAGCTGACCCAGTTCGGTCTGGAACGTGACATCGTGGAAGAGTTCCAAGAGGTGGCCATAATACGACTCGCTCTTGAAGTGTGTCTTGAGGAGATGATAGATCGCTGCCTCGAGCATGAAAGCGTCGTTGATTGCAATGTTGCCGACACCGTCCACTCGGTACCAGCATGGGTGACCGCGTCGCGTAATCGATGCATCCATCATATCATCAGCCACAAGGAAGTATGCCTGGAGTAACTCAACACACCAGCCAAGCACGGCTGCTTGGACATACTCACTCTCTGTCAGCTCGCGTGTTTTTTGACCGTGCTCGTCTGTGCACAGGAGAATCTCAACAGTATCCACGACAGAAAGACCTCGATTGAGTTTGCCTCCGGGTGTATTGTATTCAAGGTTCCGCTTAAACCAAGTGCTGGCCTCTTCTGGCATTTTCTGAGTCTTGAGGAACTCGAGAAGCTCCTCGACTATTTGCGAGAACACATGCTCAAAGCGCTGGCGCTTCACAAGCTTTTGATCCACTGTCGACATGCTCTGGCTTTTGTTTCTTCTCTGATGGAGCAAAGGAGATGGACACTGGAGGGATTCGATTCAGTAATGATGCGTCTATACAAGAGTGCGGCACGCGTGCCACAACTACATGAGCACGGACGGGCCTAGTCCACTAAGGGATGTGGAACTGAAAGGCCACGTGATCTGTCGTGTTGGGGCCATCGTGCCCATGTCTGCCCCCAACCCCAGGACAGAGAAGGGCATAAGGAAAACGAGGCTGTGGAGGACACGGCAATGTCGTGGAAGTGTTCCTTCTCCACAATTTGGCTCAAGCTAGACAGACGCCACGTCAGGATACACGTCAAAGCGGCGCTGCGATGATACAGGCACTGTCTTGCGCACTTCTGCAATGCGTTCCGGGTGAAGTGTAGCATATACGACGGTTTCTTTTTCATCACACGTGCTGATCACCTGGCCGAGCGGATCGACGACCGTGCTGTGGCCCCAGGCCGGATACCCAGCAGGAGGCCGCGCGGGTGAACATCCGATTGTATACACCTGGTTGTCAATGGCGCGGGCACGTAGAAGTAACTCCCAGGCAACGGGACCTGTCGTGGTGTTGAATGCGCCCGGGTACAAAATAGTGCTGGCGCCTAAACGCGAGGCGATCTGCGCGCTTTCTGGAAAACGCAGATCGTAGCAAATGCCTAATGCAAATCTACCCAGATCTGTTTGTGTAAGAGTATAATAGCGCGATGAAAGCGAGAATGCTGCCAGTATACATACCACAGTCAAATATGGTCAAGCGATCCCCGGCTGTGAGTGTTAGACTTTCCTGGAATGTCATTTTTCCTGGAATATCAATGTCGAAGAGATGAAGTTTTCGGTGCAGAGAAATGAGTCGGCCCTGTGCATCAAGCACACAGCTTGTGTTATAGAGACGACCCGTTTTCTCATCCCACTCTGGAACACTGCCACCAACCAGGACGGTACCTGTTTCCTTTGCTACATTGCATAGCATTTCAAGTGTAGGACTTTTTTGAAAAAAGTCTGACGTCAGTGTCAAGGGGCGTTCGTTGTTCAGATTATCGACGGGCCAGGACCTTGAGCCACGCGATGTTGAGGTCCGGCCTCCTTGTTTGATCTGTTCATAGATGCCCGAAAATGATTCAGCATATTTTGGGAATTGATCCACACTGTATGGTGAATTGAAGCACTCAGGTAGCATGATCATGTCGACACGGCCATTGGGCGCAGATTTATTGGCCTCCACGACCATGGAACGAGCATGGCGTAGATTGGCCATCTTATCAGGACCAATGCGTCCGAGTTGAATGAGTGCAATTTGCACGGGCTTAAGCTGAAATGCTGATGGTGTGCTCATGTATGAGTCACAAGGGACAATGAGGAATAGATGAGGGACGCTTTCCACGTATTTGGGCCCGTGATCTGTACTCTTTGCGGAACCACATAGCAAGTGTCATTGCGGAGTATGTAAAACAAGCCACGTGGACCAAAACATTTTCTGTGAACGCGTGGCTGTTGGCAAAGTTCGACGCCACGCCAAGGCCACACCTTTTCTTCATACTCATTTCGTGATCGCTTATTGTGGGAGGCAAGGCCAGCCGCAACTTTGTGTGTGACTCTGCCTGCTCTCCTCTATCTTGCGACCTAGAGCAATTGAAATACTGCCTTAGGGCTGCATCCTTGGTTCCGTGTCGCACGCAAGTGTCACTGAGCCCAAGCCCGGTAGGACATATTTGCCCCCTCCTCCAAATCGAACAACCCTCTCGCCCCCACCTTTAATAAGAATAAAAAAGAAAAAGAAATCTTCTCTCTTTTATCTATTTGTTGTGTGTAGGAATGAAACGCTATTCTCAGAGCCAGCGTGGTGTCATGTCAATGTATCGCCGTGGGCTACGCCTTATCCGTACCAAGCCTGAGGTACGTGTCTACCTTTGACCCTGTTTGCATGTTCGCTTATAAGATGCCAGCCGGCGCGGTATGACTTCACCTTGTACCTGCGTCACTTCTTTCGTCACCCATCAATGGGCGGTGGACTCTCTGTGAGAGATTTTACAACCATTGAGTACATGATGCGTCGTGGCTCAAAAATGCTTGAAGACATCTATGAAAATCCTAGTACGAAACGCATTAGCCTAAGTCATACTGTTCTGCAAGATATGCATGCGCTTGGCTTGGCCTCATGGTGGAAGCGGCCCAAAGGACATGCATAAACCACATCCTCATTGACGAGAAGGTGAATCAGGAAGTATATAGTGTGTAGTGGAGGTGTGTTCATTGGTGGCCAGGCCCTTCGCCTCGCTGTCTGGCCAACAGGCACTAGAGCCACATTCAACTCGCAGCTTGATTAGACGTTTCCATACTCATATACATTAGGTCGTGTGGCATGTTGCGGCTGGTTCGAGCGGGGCTTGTCAGACCACCGCACGTGTACGCTCGGTCTCAAAAAGCCTTGATACATGCTCAAGCGTGTGCAACACCTAGACCAAGTCTGACGCGGTCGGTCCTACGCGTGTTAGCATGGGTCCCAGTGGCTATCTTTTTAACGAGCCATGTCGTAAGCATCGCCAATGTGCATGGGACTAGCATGACGGTATGTTGCAGTATGTTTGCTCTTCTCACGCACTGACTCACAGCCTACCTTCAACCCTATACCTACCGATCAGCATCGGCGACCCACGCAAGTCAAGAGTACAGATGTTGTATTGCTGAACCGACTCATAGCTGCATCGAGAAAATACAAAAAAGGAGATATCGTTACACTAACTTCTCCGACAGAGCCGAACAAGGTTATTACAAAACGAATCCTGGCCCTTGGCGGCGACACTGTAAACCTGTGGGTGCCCCGTGGCTTGGATCTCACGCCCGTTCCCAAGGAGTTGCGTCAAGGCGAGATTCAGTCATTGGCATACACACAAATTTATCACAATGCCTTGCATGAGCTGGCAACAGAGACGCAAGAGCATGAATCAGGGGCCTGGATGCGGATTACAATTCCCCCAAACTGTGCGTGGGTCGAAGGCGATGCTAGTGCTCAGCAATCTCGTTTTGACCGATTGCATCCCGAAATCAAGAGTCGCGATAGCCGCGAATTTGGACCTGTGCCGCTTGGTCTTATTAACTCGCGGATTGAGTGGATTCTTTGGCCGCTGTCGCGCTTTGGACGGCCAGGAAAGCGGCCCATGGATTCGTAAAGCTCACAAAAGACACTTCTTTAAGCCTTGTAGACATGAACCCTGGGCCGGTCACTGCAAGCTCGCAATGTAGGATAAATGGCATCCAGAGAGATGTTGCATTTGCTTTTGTCTGTTTCTACTCTGACCAAATACTAGTATACAAGCGATTCACGTACGTCTTCCACATCTTTCGGTCAAGTACAAGTCGCCGAGCAAGATCCATTACCGACCGCAGAGTCATGTCCTCCAAGCCATACATAGTCAGGGGCTTGAGTGGTTTTGCAATCCTGCACACGTCCTTCTGGCATGTATATGGCGAGTGTAAGCCGCGATCTTCCAAGTGACGATCAAGCAGAGGCTTGGGCACAGGCACGTGATGCTCACTCGGCAGCTCGTGGTGCCGTGGGGGAGGAAGCGTTTCTTGCGGGTCAATGATCAAATCGATGAACTGGTGCCAAAGGGTAGGAGCATCGTATGTCGTGTACTCCAACGTGTAGTTGAGCGGAAGCGCAGAAGCAGCTGCTGCACCCTGAGCCTTGAGAACACGATCGTATTCGGCATTTGCTTTGTCAAGCTGCAGTGTCCACTGACTGTATCCCAGTGGCGTCAGGAACGTGTTGGATCGAGACGGCGCTGATGAAGATGCATAGCGAGGAAGCTTCGTGTGGCGTCTGCGATGTTTGCGTTTCGGACGTCGATGTCGACGACCACCACCAAGCATATTAATGCTGTTAGCACTGTCATCATCGTTGTCATACACATGTTCGTCTTCGCCCACCAATGCACAGTCGAGGCTGCGGTCGTCCTCGCTGCAGTTATCATATGCAACAAAGTCGAGAAGTAGATCGAGATCAACGCTTTGCGTCGAAACAGGCCGGTTGCTGTGTTCCATCGTAGTATTGTACGTCCATACGCGCAATGCTGGTAAGTACGTCGGCACTAGACTAGGCGCCTCATAGAACACGCCATAGTATTGCATGTCTGTGCGTGCATTTCCAGGCAAGGACTCGTAATCGTAGCGAAGGTCCACTTCGATCTGCTTGAAAAAGATGGGGACTTTGTTGCTCGGCCGCTTGCTACTGCCGGCAAGTGAAGACTCCTGGACGAAGAAGGCGTCGAGGTTCATGTGACCAAAGTGCTGGCCAATGACTGTGTCCTGAAACCGAAGCACAAGCTCCGTGTACACATCGAAGCAGCGTGCAAAGTAGTTACCCGCCGTTGGAGGAACATGACCGATGATGTGAACTTGCATGTTCCGACGGCGGAAGTCCATCAGTTGCTCGACAAGCCATTCCAGCTGCAGTGTGCCAGGATCTGCATTGACACTGTCCTCAGATCGACTGCGGCGGGGGCATCCATCCACAGCCTTGTTGGAGTCGTAGAAGTACAATGTGTTGAGACTGACGACGCCAAGTCTGCCCGGAATCAGGTCTTTCGCAAAGTAGCCGCCACGAAGAAATACATCCATTTGGTCTGGCGGGATATGTTGCTGCCAAATACGAGCAAATTCATCCAGTTCCTTCGACGGTCCAGAGGACATGGTGTTGTGAAGAAGAATGTCATTGTTGCCAAAGTTGGGCACAACAGGCACGCCGGGCAAGTATGATTCGAACAAGCTCACCGCATACCTATTCAATGCATAAATTTCCTCTTCCTCCCGAGGAAGTTCGACGTCTTGATCATGCCGCGCAGAATCACCTGTCCATAATATAAAATCGAATGGTAAGTACGACTGTCCCCGATTGTCCTCGGCGTCCCATTCCCTGGCAAGCCACTGGAAAGTGGCGTTCGCTAGTGTGAAAGGAGAGTCACAGTCACTTTCTTGTGAACCCCAGTGTCCAGATCGACGCTCGCCACCATGACTATGGTGCGGCTTGTCGCGGTGACACTGTGACACCACAGCGGCATGCTCTTTATAGTGCTTGTCTAAATGCATGTCGGTAATGTGTAAGAACCGACCAAGTAAAGGCGCCTCTAATAGTGGCGTCTCAAACGGACGCTGCTTCGCATGTGCGTGCCATAGTGCACTGAGAAATACACACACCACAGCACTCCAAAGCATCCGTTTAGACACACACCCAGTAGAGGAGCAAGCAGCGGGCCAGTTGCCCGACAGACCACGCCAAAAACGTATCAATCTGAGCAATGAACGACTCCACTAATTTGCAGCAAGCCAGCTGACTGGTCTCATGCGCAGCAGGACTGCGATTGGTGAATAAGCATGCATGCGTTGATGGGCACGGCTGTGAGGCTTGCTTCGTTAGTTGTCAACACGACACGTGACAGTGTCAGTGCGAGCGAAAATGAACAATCCGGAGAACGGCGGCGCGTAGACTGCGAGCCAAGACAAAACGACTAAATTTGCAGGAACTGTGTGGGGTAAGGGAGGGAGAGATAAAGGGTCACGGGGCAAGCTGTGCATGAATCCATGTGTCTATGATGTTGATAAGAGGGAATCGACCAACTATGAAAGAATCATTCAAAAGATTTCGTTAATGGTGCAAGATCGTCATGTTGTTAAAACGAGTGCTCGGTGCTGCCTTCGCCCATACTGCTGGTGCTGCAAGTCCCACTGCTGACAGTCTGCAGGACACGATCCATGTATTGTGCGCCACTCCAACGCTGATGAGTGAGCATATCAGAGCCTAGCTCTCTTTCCTTGCGCTGAACCAAATCGACATACGCGAGCATTCCGTCCTTTTCAAACGCTCGGCTGAGCTCATACGTGCTCACAGCCGTCGAGTGGATTCCAGCGAGCGAGATAAGCTGAAGCACGAAGCCAGCATGAGCAAGATCAGAAATAAAGTTGCGCAGATCGTTATCGCTAAACCCATGCGCGCTCCAGTTAAATGAAGGACTCAAATTGTACACGAGCCACTTTCCTGGAAAGTCTTGATGGATCTTGGCAGCAAAGCCTTGAGCATGAACGAGATCAGGCGTCTTGGTCTCGAGCCAAAGCAGCTCAGCATATGGTGCAAATTGCTTCATGCGCTTGATCGCTGCTGATATGCCACCCTTGAAGTGGAAGTACCCCTCCTTGGTGCGCGGAGCGTCCCAGTCCCAGGCTGGCACACCTTCGTCGCCGAAGATCTCCTGCGCAATGCGACGCGCCTCGCCAATAGATACACCACCATCAACACGACGATCATACTCCTCTAAACGCGATGGATTAGATGCATTGTGGTTCGCGACGGCCTCGTTGAATGTTACAAGCGTGACGCCATCCATCCAGTCACGCTCCACTTTGTCAAGCTCAGCTCCATGCACACCCTCTGCCTCCTTTTCAGCCAAAGTCTCGGAGAGCGACTTGGTACCAGCGGGCAAATTGTATGCGCCCTTGATAAATTCATGGTCACGCACGTCAATGTTCGTTGAAATAAGTTTCGCTGACTCTGAATCGGTGCGTGCAATAAGCAGATTCGACGAGCCCAGAATGTCCCAAGCGAAGCGCGTCGTGATGAGGCGATTCACATGCTCACCTGTCGACACAAGCACCTTGCCCGCCTGGTGTCCACACTTTTTACCACCATGCAGCTGGTCCTCTAGATGGATAGCGGCAGCACCCTGCTCGGCAAACAGCCTTGCGAGGCGGAATACGCTGCTCAGTCCACCGTGCCCCGTATCAGCATCGGCTATGATCGGTCGCAAGTAATCGATCCAAGGTGTGTTGGCTCGCTCGTCGGCCGACATGTGGCATCGTTCGTCCCAATGCTTACGGTCGTGATGCAGCTGTGCTTTGAAAAGACGTTGTACTTGGTTTGGCACGGTCGTGTACGGATAGTCAGCTAGGTCCGGACCGACTTCGTTATTACAGGTCGTCAACACGGACGAACATGCCCAACCAGATACATAAACAACTTCCTGATAACGAGCCATTTGAGATTGCTGCACAGGATCGATCGCTCCCATAGTTGAGATGGCCGTTCTCTGGTTCGCATGCTGTTCGAGCAGCGCGTACAGTTTGTCTGCTGTAAGTGAAGAGGCAGGTGGCTGGACCGGCATGCTGCCTCGTTTCGACACAATATCGCGCGCCGTATACGGACGATGGATCTGAGAAAACCGCGGACTTGCAAGCCAATTTGACACGCTATGCACACTGTTTTCAAACATGTGGGCTTCTTCCTCTGGTGTCGGGGGTTGGAGTTGTAAGGGCGCCGGCGGTGGCACAAGCGACGTGGCGGTGCTCGTACTAGTCTCAGTCCGCTTGCGTGCGATCCTTGAGCTGCCACTAAACATACGTCCCTGCTGCAGACATGTGCTCCGCAGATCTCGCGCAGGAATCCGCCGCACGACACGCGTTAGCGGCACTAGCATATTGTCAAAGAAACGGTGGAAAAGGGAACGCGGGCCGAAGCCCACTTAAATTTTTGGTCAGTCCGTCGCCAGTGTGTGTGCCTCCACGGACGCAACCTAAGACATTCGCCTACTAACATCTCTACAATAAATCTACTGATTCGTCAGCCAGAATAAGCTTTGTGAAGTTGCGATGAACCCTTACACAGATAGGGACGGTAATTTCAAGCATGCCTAAGACAAGGTTAGAGCTAGAGAGTAACCCTTGATGCGCTGAAGGATGAGAAGCATAGTGCCGGTCACAAACGTAAGCCGCATCATGTTGGGCCTGGCAAGACAGGGGACGAGAATTGGCAAGCACATACAACACATAATTTTTCCAAGCGCCAGCTGGCGATTAGTCATGAGCCTTGAAGCGCCGCTTATGTCAGCCATAGCAGCCGATTCCGCCTTGGTCAGCCAAAAAAAAAATATCGCGCGCTGCTCCAGCTAGCAGTAATTGTGTATATTGTCCTCCAACACAGCTTAGGTTTGGGTTGCTTTTTTGTGCGTATGGGAGACGACACACCAAAAAACCAAGAGCCATCTCAGTCAAATGGGCGAATGACGCGCTTTGGCACAACAGTGCCTGCCCCCGGCCGCACTACGAGCATGGTGCCTAGTCGTATTGGCTCAGCTGTCGGCTCCACACCCTCTTCGTCGATGCCATCTGCGTCGGCAACGACGGCACGCGGATCAACACCACAGCCGGGAGGAGCAGGACGTATGGTATTTCGACCTGTTATGCCGCAGCGCCGACGTACACCAGGCGCGAGTTTGCAAGCATCCATCAAAGAGGAAAAGAATGCAGACCAAAAACCAGCGTCCCTGTGGCCGACATCCTCGTCCGCACGCCCGCCACGTCCGCCGCGAGGACCACGGCCACCACGACCACCCATTGAAATGACAGCAACAGGACCTTTCTCGATGGGGGCAGGTGACCGTTCTAGCACGTCGCGCTCTGCGCGTGCAGCGGCCGACATGCGATCGAGGCCTGTAATGACCGAGACACATAGCACGCGATCGCGTGGCTCATCTTCCACCCAATCTACTCTCAATGCAGATACTGTGGATATCCAGCATGTACATGAGCTGGACCAAATGGCGCCACAGTCGCTCTTACAGCCGCCGCCTGGAGTGAAGCGCGAGAGTTCGCCACCGATCAAGACCGACGCTGACGAGCCAGTTAATGGCGATGTAAATACCGCACAGGCGCTGGATCTTAGCGAAAGTGAAGACGAAGACCATGAAGAGCTGATGGCGAGTCACTTTGCGTCTACTGTCCAGGATGGGGAGACAGACGGGCAGCTGTTCTTGTTCCAGTTTCCTCATACGTTCCCAGTGTTTCAACCTCGTTCGTCGTCTGACGCGGCTTCCACTGACACAAAAGAAAGTGGAGATATCATGGAAGTACCACCGTCTGAAGTCAAGGCCGAGTCATCGTCAGAGTCAGTTGGCCCAACTGAGGGTCAGATCGGCCATCTTGATATTTATGCTGACGGGCGTGTTATGCTTCGGCTTGGGGATATCCCATTTGACGTGATGAGCGGTAGTGAGACAAGTTTTCTGCAAGAGGTCATGATTTTAGATCCTGAGCGCCAAGAAGCGCAGTGCTTGGGCGAGTTGAATAGCAAGCTGGTCGTGACACCCAGTTTGGAACATTTTATGGCTCAACTGTCCACACAGCGGTGAGCACAGATACCCAACGTTCGTGAACGCATGGAGAATTAGACGAAATTGAGTCGCATGCCATTAGCCTCATGAATTCACATGTCCAAATTTGTTCGCTTCCTAGGTGCCCATTACTGCTACAATCTGCAAAGCCATGGCTTGTGTCTATGAATGCACTCATTCCTGATTTACATGTGGCATGTCTTCATGACCATCCAGGTCCGTGCGACGGGAAAAGCACTAATATACATTGCTTGTCAGTTCAGTATTAGCCAGTTGCTCGTTTAGTGTCCAGTTCGCCCGATGGACTAGCAACACTGTTGCCCGAATGGCTCTCAACCACTTGCGATGATGACATGACTCGATCACTATCGCTGAGCGTATCGCATTCCAGCGTCTCGCTCACGCCAGATCCATCCAGCGTTTCGTTGTCTTCCTCGTCTTCTTCCTCTCGGTTCAACAACTCTTCAATCGTTTGCTCCACCTCTTCATACTGTGCTTGGATGATGCTCTGGCCTTCTGGCACAGTACCGTCAGGCGCAAGCCATCGCGCCACATCAGTCGGATGTCCATCCTTGTCCGGCACAGGTTTTCTCATACTGTCAATCTGATGCAAAGCAAGTCGATATGGATACATATCACGCAAGGAAAATGTGCCACCATATTTGCTCACTTCACGAAGGCACTTCGAAATGGTCGAGAGCTTATCGGAGACAGGAATGAGCTCTTCTGACAGTGGCTCCGATGAAGAAAGCAACTTATTGATTAAACCATAGGACCTGCGAAGTAAATACAGCAACACGAGTTGTCCCTCAGGCTGTCTCCCCTCGCTATCGAGAAACTTCCCATTCACGCGCATACGATCAATATCCTTAAGCGTAAGGTGATACGTCCAAAGATCAGTCTCTCGCAAGCTCCATCGGTGCCGTTGCTCAAGATGCTCAAGCTGCTGCTTCGTCTCCAATAAACGGTCATAGATAGGCTGCAAGGTTGGAGACACGGTGCTGTTGCGCACAAGAATGTCGTTGCTTAGCTCGAAGCAGCTTTCTAACAGACCCGCAAGCATTTCCTGGCCCTCAGGTACCGATGATCCACCAGGACCAAGAAACTTGCCATCGACACGTTTTGCATCAATCTTTCGCAGTTCTTCCTGCAGCTGCTTCACATCACCTTTCGGTGGCTTTGGACGCGCAGCGGCTGCATTGAGCTGCCGTCGAATTTGTACGAGTTTTTGGTGAATCGCAAGGAGCTCCACTGAAATGACTGACAGCGAATTCTGCAATCGGTTCACCACTTGCTGACAAGCCTCGAGCTTGTGCGCCATAAGCTTTGTGAGCTGTGGCGGGTGCTTATTTTGCCGCTCATCGTTCTTGATTATGTCCCGTAGTTCCTGAATGCGACTAATAAAAGGCGTTAGGTCTGCCTCCGTGTATACAGCGGACTCGTCCATGTGGTCCAACAGCTGCTTCATGCATCCAATTTGACTGAACATAGCCGGGCATTCTCGGCTGCGTCCGACCGTGAGGAAAAAAAGGCTAAGCAAATAAAACACATCAACAAGCATAGTATCAACTCGAGTATTTTTTGTCGTTGTATAGTCACTGTTGCCCATGCCACCTGAAATTTCAGGAGCGTCAGAATCCTTCGTGGCATCCTGCGCGGCATCAGATATCCGGCGTTCTTCGCGAATCGCGTTCAGTTTCGTGACTTTCGTTAGCATCTTCATAAAACACAACTTCCCACTTTCCTCCTCCCCAATTTCGATCTTGCTAGAAATACGTACTTTGTTTGATAACGGCATTGTAAATTACTTGCACATCGTGCGGATTCGTATAGTCTGCACTGTTTTTTTTCAACACTGTGAGCTGGTGGCGAATACTGCATGCCTTGTTAGGTTATGTCAAGGTACTGGATCATACGCACTTGATCAATGCCTCAAGAATAGGAAGCTCCCCGTGCGGGATACCGGACATGCTCATGACCACAGACGTTCTCCCTCACCCAGGGAAATTGGACAATATGGGTTGATGATCGCTGAGCGTGTGAGATGCGCCTCCAAGCTTCATGACAACGTACTGGGCAATGATTGGTCTAGCCGCATTGCTTTCTCCAATGCTCGAAAACGAACTAGAGGCCCAATGACAACGATGTAACGCAGGCGGTCATGAGCCTACAAGGGTATACGAAGCACGTGGCGTTCAGCCCTGCCAACGTCATCATCACACAGCACAAGCCAACCAAGAGCGCGGCGAACGCCACCTAATAGAGCGGCAAAAGCAGCCAAATACGTTTGCCACTCGTTCACACTCACCCCTCCAAGCGTCGCAACAACATTCAACACTTGTCATGATTGTGGCGGCTCGCTTTGCGCCTTGTTTCATGGCTCGCCGCGTGGCGGTGAACTCTGTGCGGTCTATCACGACGAAGACGGCGACCCGCCCATCTGCGGCGTTGGCTGCCCCGCGATCTCCTATTGCACAGCAGACTCGCTTGGTGCGCCACACACGATTTAACCGTCCATCTGCCAGTGCACGAAACAATGGAGCATACACTGAAACGCCTTCACATGGAGCCACTTCCTCTGGCTCTGCGTTTGACAACATGTTTGGCTCGAGTCCGTTTGCACAACAAGGCGGTTGGTCGCGTGCATTGATTAGTGTGGGCATTGTCGCTGGAACGGCGATTGGATTGAATATGATATTCAACCGTGAGACTCGCTCGCCACTGGGACTCGCTGAGTCAAACTATTTGAACTCGACATTTACCTACCTGGGAACGGGTCTCACAATCACTGGTCTCACAGCTTACGGACTTCATCGCTATGGCTACTCGGCAAGAATCATGATGGCCAATCCATGGCTTGTGCTTGGTGTTGGCCTTGTTGCTTCTATCGGCGGTATGATGGGAGCACAGGCACTTCCACCGAACCACCCGGCGAAGATCCCTTGTTGGCTTTTGTTTAATGCGAGCCAGGCAGCAGTTCTGTCTCCTCTTCTCTTTCTGAACCCTGCTATCCTCACGCGCGCAGGCCTCTACACGGCAGGTTTGATGGGCAGTCTTTGCTATATCGGTGCAACGGCAAAGGAGAACAAATATATGTTCCTGGGTGGCCCACTCCTGGCCGGTGTAACGATTGTTGCACTGTCCTCACTTGCCCCTCTGATCATCCCTATCCGATTCGCGCGCACGCTTGCTCTCACTGAAGCTGTGTGTCTGTATGGTGGCCTTGCTGTTTTTGGCGGTTTTGTGCTTTGGGACACACAAAAGATCTTGCATCACGCCAGACTCGCGCAGGCTGGCTTTATTCCTGCTGATCCACTCCGTGAGAGCATCAGTCTAGAACTCGACTTTATCAACATTTTCACGCGCATTGTACAAATCCTCGCTATGCGTGATCAGCGCCGTCGTTAAATAGGTCAGCCAATATTTTTTTTCTTTGGATTTCTCCTAAGAAACCTTTGGAACATAGTTAGTACCCTACGGAAATCAGGTAGTCTGCAAGACCCTCAACGACTTTGTTCGCATCGCCAGGGAGTAGGGGCGAATTGTAAATACCAATCAGTACAGCTTGGTTTGTGCGCACAACACATAACCCATCGCCCTGTCGTCAGTTTCCTGATATACGTACTCCGGCTTTTCCGTAGATCGAACGTGGATTTGCTTGCAATGTCAAGTACTTCTTACCAGACACAAATATGCCGTTGGCCTGAAGAGGCGACGGGTCATCGAGACCCTTGATAATGGCCGTCTGTTCCTCCATGCTTACATTCAATCCAGGAGAAGACGCCCAAACTCCGCCTTTCAGACCAATAATTGCAGCCATAGAAACTTTGCCAGTTCCAACGAGGTTGTTGTCGACATATCCCTGCCAAGACATGATGAGGTCCTCACGTATAAGTGTAAATGTGAATGTGTGTGTGTGCCTTATGTCAATCTCGTGCACTTGACCTGGCTGAAGCGCATCAACGCCACCGTTCATATCCGAGATGCATGATTAGATAAGTTTCCCGAGACCACTCCGGTTACGTGGATGGCCCATGTGGCGTGGACGTGCGCACGGAGGCACCCATAATGCTGTGCTGGACAATTCAGACGGCTTACCTATCTCCCCATCCTACTCCCATCTACACATTTTAAAATGTCGCGTACTTTCTTTGTTGGTGGCAACTGGAAGATGAACGGCTCGATCGAGCAGTACCAGAGCCTAATCAAGCATCTGCTGGATTCCAGCCTGGATTCGAAAGCTGAGGTTGTGATAGCTCCCCCATCGCTGTACCTATTGCCATCGCAGAAGCTTCTTGAGGGCAAGCAAATCGCGTTGGGCGCCCAGAATGCTTACAACAAGCCATCTGGTGCATTCACAGGAGAGATCTCTGTTGCTCAGCTCAAAGATGCTAGCATTCCTTGGGTGATTCTTGGCCATTCTGAACGCCGCTCTATTTTCGGCGAGACGGATGATATGGTGGCTCAGAAGACGTCGGCCGCTCTCGAGACTGGTCTCTCTGTGATTCTTTGCGTTGGTGAGTCGCTTGAACAGCGTGAGAAGAACGAGAGTATCAACGTTGTCCTGGGTCAGCTTGAGACGGCCACAAAGGACGTCAAGGATTGGAGTAAGATTGTGATTGCTTACGAGCCGGTATGGGCAATCGGCACTGGCAAAGTTGCTACGGCCGAGCAGGCTCAGGAAGTCCACGCTGCCATCCGTCAGTGGCTCGTCAAGAAGGCTGACCAGCAGGTGTCTGACACGCTGCGTATCATCTACGGAGGTAGTGTGGCTGCTAAGAATTGCAAGGAGCTCGCCTCCCAGCCAGACATTGATGGCTTCCTTGTCGGCGGAGCAAGTCTGAAGCCTGAATTTGTTGACATTGTGAACGCTCGTCTGTAGGTTTGTAACGTTGTAGTTTGATGCAGAATGAACATGCTTGCATCTTAGTTTAGCCTTATGGTTGGAAAGCCAAGTTGACTGTGCCTTCTTCGGACTCTTTGTTCGGTTATCAAGTTAGGGATTTGGCACATGAGAATTGGGGATCCCCAAATGTGGGGTTGCCTAACGTGGATCGAGTGACTGGAGACAGCAAGTATTTGCCTCCACATCATCGCTTTTCGTTTCTTCCATCGACACGAGACGCTGGGATCATGTCTCGAGCAGCAAAGTTCACATTGGGCGCGTCAATTTTAGGGACCGTGTGTATCATCACAGGAGTGCATTATTTGCAGATTAAGGAGCGCGAGGTATGTGTTTTTATTCTAATCCAGACCATGTACAAAGGTGTGCAAAGGGATGATGAGCGGGAGAAGGAAAAGCAACAACGAATCCGCGAATTACAAGCGAGCCGTGATCGCGAATCGGCCTTAATGCAGCTACAACCACAATCATCAGGACCCCCTAGATTGGCTTGATGAAACTAATAATAAAATTGTCACCATGCTCGCTTGTGTGTCCTCACACACAAACGCTCTAGCTCTTGCATTGGTTGTTTGTTTTCTGTTCGTTTTTTTTTTTTTCATTTCAACCATCCTATAATTCCAACTAGGTCATATACCATACTTATGAACAACCATAAAAAGAAACTTGAAAAAAAGATTGGGACGAAATCCCCAAATTCAAACTCGAATGTTCGCCCAACCTCGGTCAATAAAGAGTATGTCTTTTGGAAGCAAGTGGATATCATGTCAACGTTCACATGGCCTGCTGATCCCGCATGCCCGCAAAAAGAGTTGTGGGCTTAGCCTTCAAGTGATGACGTCGTTTCGCAAGACTAAGCTTAGAAGTGCATGGGGACACCATAGTATCTGTCGGTGAATGGATAGAGCTACTTGCGGCACGCACAGCAAGAGAGGCCCATGTCTTGCAGTGGCCTTCTTCATCTGTCATTGTTGAGACGAGCCCGTCTTGAACACGGCGCTTCAGGACAAGCAGATGACGTTTTCCACTAGGCATATGCATATCTATCACCATAGCTTGTGGTGGCAATAGTGACGGCGTTTCAAGAAGATTCATGCTGTCGGGCTGCATATTCGCACGAAGATAAGCAGACACGGCGATCTTGCCCACGAGGACTTGGCCGTTGGGTGCCGTGTAAATAATCTCAGGAGCAAACACCTTCGACAGGTCTTCATCTGACATAGCGGGCATACTCATGAGAGCATGTATGATCAAATTTTCATCAGGCGATGACGCTGCACGGACAGGCAGATTCATCGAGTGTTCAGGCATGAGACCAGCCGCATTAAACTTATTCATAGGGTGGGCCATTCTAGCGGAAAAGAAGGTGTGAACTGAGCACGTATCAGGTGTGAACAATGCAGGGAGGAAGATTGCATTGTAGGACACAGCTCTATATGACGGCCGTGTTCAACGACATTGGATGTTACACTTAGACACAAGGTTCAATTTTAAGCGTTGTGTGCTCCTACAATTGAGCGAGCCCAGTCCCATGTAACATCCAAGCATGCCTACACATGAAAAAGCACATCACGTGATAAACTCTCCACGTTGGCCGTCAATTGTACATGGAAAATATTCCCTCTGGTTCCTTCCCTTTGGCCAAGTGAGAGTGGTTAAAAACACACTTTGCTTGGCAATTCCACGTTCAAGTGACGGAATGATATAGGGGATGTGCAAAGGACCGCCAATACTTGATTGCAGCCCAGAAGCACTGGACTCTTGTCTGGTGCCCTGCTGTAGGGAAAGTCCCCGGACATGGTATGGTATTGGATCCCGAAAGGGACTTGGTGCGACAGAATGTGTGTCTTGGTGTTGATGTGACGGTTTCGAGCGTCTTGTATGATAATGGATGTGAGAAAGATACCTGATGCGCAAATGCTTGTGTGATTTGTTGCTGGAGATGGGGAAAGCTTGCGTGTGGTAAGGGCACGTAGTCCAGTGACGCTATCGCCGAGTGAATTGTGCAAATCTGGTCATTTTTCTTGCTGTATCCTCTGTACGAAACGACGTTTATCGAGGCTGTGGTATGTTCACAATCTGTCTTGCGTCAACGCTCGTGTTTTTTTTGTTTGTAAGCTGCGAAGATATGAGCGTTTATAAAAACTGAAACGCGATGTGAGACGCTACAGATAGTTGTTGAGCATGCGTCACATCAAGGGTGCATACATTCTCGTCGACATCTTGTGCGTTAAGCGTCCGTGCCAATGGTTCGTCATTGTGATAGTTATGCGGTCACCGATGCGAAGCGGCAACACAATGGGGCTTACTCTTGTGCGTCCTCTATTTATTTCTAACTCGAAGTGGTTAAAGTCGGTCTATACATTAAAGGTATGCTTTTTATCAAGTTTCATCGTAGCGTTTTTTCTGTAGTGTTGCCGTAACGGCGTTGTACATGGGTTTATGTATGTTATGCTTGAGACAGGTGGTGCCCAAATGGGAGGGATGGTGCGGAAGTTCTTTTCCCTGAAGATGTGCTGTTTGGAGGTGTCCCGTAGTGGAGATACTGTCGCACAATCAAGTCCAAGCTGGGCTGGCTGGCTTTTCAGTCAGCAGCCATCTATCATCCACTTCTGCATTCTACAACCATGACACAGCCCACGGCAATTTTGTCTGTGTACGACAAAACAAACCTTATTGAGCTTGCACAAGGCCTTGCAGCAAAAGGAGTACGTCTACTTGGGAGCGGCGGTACGGCGCGTGCGGTGCGTGCTGCAGGCTTGGAGATTGGCGATGTTTCAGACATCACACAAGCGCCTGAGATGTTGCAAGGTCGAGTAAAGACATTGCATCCAGCCGTTCACGGCGGCATTCTTGCTCGCACATCGCTTGAATCGGACCGTGCAGACTTAGATGCGCAACAAATTGCACCGATTGACATTGTCGTATGCAACTTGTATCCATTTGAAGAGACCGTAGCCAAAGACCCAGCACCTACACTCGCACAAGCAGTCGAAGAAGTCGACATTGGTGGAGTAACGTTGATTCGAGCTGCTGCAAAAAACCATGAGCGTGTGTGGGTTCTCTGTGATCCATCGGACTATGCGACGTTCCTCACGCAATTTGGCGGCGAAGACAACGACACAGCCAAGCAATGTCGCGAGCGCTTTGCACTGAAAGGCTTTACTCACACGGCTCACTACGATACAGCAATTAGCCAGTACTTCCGTCAGCAGTACGCGTCACCGCCGCGTGAGCCTGTCCAGCAAATCACGTTGCGGTACGGCGCAAACCCACATCAGAAGCCGGCGTGTGCGTACCTGCCTGAGCGTGAACTTCCTTTCAAGGCACTGAGTGGCTCGCCAGGCTATATCAACCTCCTTGACGGTCTGAATGCCTGGGGCTTGGTCAAGGAGCTGAGTGAGGCTACGCAGCGTCCGGCAGCTGCATCATTCAAGCATGTATCGCCAGCAGGCGCAGCGGTTGCCGTGCCACTGACAGAGACGGAGGCCAAGGCCTACTTCGTCGCAGACTTGGGACCACTGTCTGATCTGGCTACTGCTTACGCTCGTGCGCGTGGCGCTGATCGTATGAGCAGTTTTGGCGACTTCATTGCATTGTCGCACACTTGCGATGAGCAAACAGCACGCATTATCTCGCGCGAAGTCAGTGATGGTGTTATTGCGCCAGGCTTTGAGCCAGCGGCATTGGAGTTGCTTGCAGCCAAGAAGAGTGGCAAGTATTGTGTGCTGCAGATGGACCCAGCATACGTGCCAGATGTGACCGAGACTCGACAAGTATACGGCGTCACGCTGCAGCAGCGTCGGAACGACCTTAAAGTAACGCCTGACCTGTTTAAGGAGCGTGTGAGCGCATTGAAAGACTTGCCTGACTCGGCCTTGCTCGACATGATTGTGGCCACTATTGCGCTCAAGTACACACAGTCGAACAGTGTCTGTTACGCATTGCATGGTCAGGTCATCGGCCTGGGTGCTGGGCAGCAGTCTCGTATCCACTGCACACGCCTGGCAGGAGGCAAGACCGATAATTGGTGGCTTCGGCAGCACCCGCGCGTGCTGGCATTGCCGTTCAAGAAAGGCACGAAGCGTCCAGACAAGAGCAATGCAATTGACTTGTTCGTCGAAGGCACGCCGCTCCGAGGTGAAGAGCGTGTGCAATGGGAGTCTGTGTTTGAGACGGTGCCTGAGCCTCTGAGCCAGGAGGAGCGGGCCCAACACGCTGCCGCATTGCAGAACGTCGTTGTTGCCAGCGATGCATTCTTTCCATTCCCTGACAATGTCTTCCGCGCTGCGCGCTCCGGGGCCAAGTACATTGCTGCTCCAGGTGGGAGTGTGATGGACGACGCATGTGTCGCTGCAGCTGATGCGCATAACATGGTGGTCGCCCGTACGAATGTGCGTCTTTTCCACCACTAGAAGACAGATGCCGTAGCAAACAAAAAGCTTTCACGATGGCGGACCCATGCGACTACTCTGTTTGCAAGTTCCCCAACGGCGGACGAAGCAAGCAGAGGAGTTGTGGTTATGCACAATTCAAACGCAGCCGTGCGCCAGCCCAGGATGGCCTCTTGGTCCGTGCGCTTAATCACAAGCTCAAGTGGCCTAGGCACAGGCGGCTGTCGTGGCCACGGCAAGTCAGGGCATGCTTCAGTTGCATGTGCAGGACCACGAAGTGCGCACAAGACGTGTTCGAACAGTGTTTGGCGATGGGCAGAGATTCGCGGCGAGATGATGCACTGCTGAGAGCGCCGCGACGAGAATGCCACATCACGTAGGCCAGGCAGCCCCATGGAATCAATGGATACCGGATTCATACTTAATTCGCGTTGCAATGCTGCCATGCATGGTGATTCGGCTAGTTTATGGCGCCATGACCTGCACAACACATATCCGTCGTGGTCACCACACACAAGCGCGAGCCTCGCTGAGCCGATCACGCTCGAGAACACGTACGCGAACGAGTTGGGTGCAAAAACAGGCAAACACAATGGGGCCCAACCATCTTGGTCTTTTCCAACTCGTACTACTGCATTGATGAGCGCAAGATCTGTCGGATGCGGCACATAACGGCGTAAGTGTGATAGACTAATTAGCGCATCGTCACTGTCCCACAGGAGAATATACAACAGCTGCTTGGGTCGTTTTTCTGGAGCAAGCTCGGCACAGGTCCGAGTGATCTGATCACGAACTGATGCATCTAGTGGACGAATGGGAACAGTACCGAAAGCCAACGCCAAGGAGGATTGCATGTTCAAGACCACTGCGTCGACATACTCTCGCATAGGCCCAATCAAAGCTTGTAAATCCAAATTAGGTGCACGATCAAAAAGGCGGAGCAGCCTCGCATGGCTAATGAGGCTGATGATAGTAGCATAAACACGCTCGAGCCGAAGAGACACAATATCGTCAGGCTCTTTCTTCTTCGCCACACAAGCCAGATACAGAGGTTTTCGATGTAGAAATGATACGTTCACCGAATTATTCATACAGATACGCTGCAACTGATCTTGCATGCCGAACAAACTCAACATGGCATGCATTACGCTTGCTTGGGTCAAGGCCCAGTCTTGCGCTCCATCATCGTGTGAGAGATACAGTAGTTTTCCTGCCGAGCTGAACACCATGTAGGTGCTAGACTGTCGTTCCTGCTCGTTCTCATGAGCTACATCACAGTTTTTTGCCCCATTACTGGATGTATCTGCGTTTTTATCAGCAAAGATGGGGCCTTGGGAAGATGCCATGGACGCGTTCAGAACGAGATCGACCGCTTCGATCTGCTTAACAGGAGGATTTGGCAGGAGCAGGAGGCGTTCGATGTTCAAGTATGCACCTAGAATTTACTGAGCACTGTGAAGGAGGCGTTGAATACAGAAATTCTAGCGCACGATAGCGGAAAAGGTTCAAAAAGGAAAATTCTCTCGCTCTGTTAGGAAAAACCTTATGGTCCCAATGGGGATCAACTTATAGGAAGCTGTTGCTTTGTGGAGTAGAGAAATCCCTCTGACCCCGCAAGTTGTCGAAATAATCCATGCATCCACGAAATGTGTATGCCCAAGAATATGTGACCAGGAATAATGACGGTGAAGCTCCGACCAATTGGAACGATGAGCATGCGCGTTGTCTTTATACTCAAAAGCTTCTGTTTCGCGACTTTGGCGTCACATGCAAAGTCACAGTTGACCGGTTGTGCCCCGCTTTACCGAGCAGGTTGAATTATCTGCACTGGATCGAAGACATTCTCGAGGCAGCTTGCCCCAGAGCGTCCACGGACAATATTGCAACTACCACATCTCTTCCTGTATGTGGTCTTGATATCGGTACTGGTTATTTGGCTATATATGCTATCTTAGCATGTGTTATGCATCGTGATTGGCGCATGATAGGCACGGATATAGACGCCAGTGCCCTAGGACACGCCCAGCATGTGCTGGATGATCCAGCAAATGAAGCTCTTGATCTCTCTCGGCGTGTAAGGCTTTTACACACACGTCAGGATACTCTGATCCCCGCGTCAGATACGAATGATGTAAGTTTCATCATGTGCAATCCGCCTTTCTACGCGTCTAAGCAGGAACGTGATGCACTCCGGCAGGCGAAAGTCGAGTATTATCATCCATGTTCCGCTCATGATACCGAATTGTATACAGCTGGAGGTGAGCTAGAATTCGTTCAGAGGCTTATTCATGAAAGCACGCTTGATCAACATCGAGAGCGCATTCCTTGGTACACATCGATGCTCGGCAGGCATTCATCCGTTTTAGCTGTGGTCCAGACACTAAAGCAGTATCAAATAACAAACTACGCCCTAACAGAACTCATCCAAGGCCGGACACGCCGTTGGGCCGTCGCTTGGTCGTTCCTTGCGCATAGACTTCCAGACAACATCGCACGCAATGTCGGCCCTTCACTTACGGCCTGCAAGCCTCCTTCCTGTACGCGCACGTGGAACATGAGGTATTCTAATGAGGATGAACTCTATAACCAACTTTGTCACCTCGATACACTTCCTAATGATGCTGTTGAATGGCACACGAATCCGCTTGCGCTGGTCGTGTGGGCGCCCTGCTGGACACGCTCGGCCCGCAGGGCTCGTTCACGCGGCAAGTCATACACTCGACGAGCATCGACTCCACTCGTATGCGTGCGTTGGGACGTTGTAAACAATACATGCGTACACGTGCACTGGACGTTTGGAGAAGATCGAACGGTGTTCGATTCGCTGTGTGCACATCTTCAAGGACAGCTACGAGTGCAGAAAGCTTCACAACGACTTTCCGACGCTACTGTCCAATTGGAGTGTTGATGGCGCCAGCAGCGCTGTCGGAGCCGGGAGCACTGGAGCGTAAAGCCTGGACTGTTTCTGTGTCGACAGGCGTGCCGATGCCGCGACGTTTCCGGATGACATTTTCAATGAAGAATTCTCCCGCTCGGTAGCTGCTGCGAACGAGCGGGCCACTCGCGACATATAAGAATCCAAGTTGCTCAGCCAACCTTTGCCAGTGAGTGAATTTTTCTGGCTCCACATATTCAGATACCTTCATGTGCCGCTTGGTAGGACGCATGTACTGTCCAAATGTAACAACGTCAACATTGGCATCACGAAGATCGCGAAGAGTCTGTTCGACTTCGGCATCCGTCTCGCCACAGCCAAGCATGATACTAGTCTTTGTCACGAGTTCTGGCCGCACAGACTTGGCATGCTGAAGGGTTGCCAAGCTTTGGCGGTACTTCGCGCGCCGATCGCGCACTAATGGGGTTGTTCGTTCAACAGTCTCAATGTTGTGGGCATATACATCAAGGCCACTTAGAGCTACCTGTTCAACATTCGCCATAGAGCCGCCAAAGTCCGGTACCAGAGCCTCGACGAGAATATTTTGCGCCTTTTGTTTGATCTTTTGGATGGTGAGGGCAATGTGGGAAGCACCACCATCGACCAAGTCGTCGCGATCGACTGATGTCAGCACAATGTAGCCAAGACCCCAACGAGAAATGGCTTCAGCCGTGTTTTCTGGCTCGTGCGGGTCTAATGCCGGGGGTTTCCGAGATGTCTTGACGGCACAAAAGCGGCATGCTCGGGTACAAGTATCACCCATCAGCATAATCGTAGCAGTGGCAGCTTCCTTTCCACCTGCACCGCCCCAGCACTCGCTGATATTTGGACATCGCGCTTCCTCGCACACAGTCGCCAGGCCCAAGCCACGCAAATCTCGCTTAATGCGGCCAAAGTTCGCACCTTTAGGAATACGCGTTTTCGTATAAGAGGGAAGCCGTTCGTCATTTACTCGACCCATCGCGATGCGTGGTGCCGGTGCAGACATCCCAGCAAATTCGTCTATCGTCATAGCATCTTCCGCAAGTCGTTGCCTTAGTTGTTCCATACGCGATCCAGAAGCTGGATGCGATAGTCTTCTCGCACAAGAAGTGTGTAGTTCACGCACACTGGCACGTAGCATGTGCCGAACTGCCATGTTCATTTTCGTGAGTACAACGCCACACGTAGATGAACACGCGCGACCCAACGACACTTGGTCCTTTCACTTGACCGAATGACGCAATTTCTGGCCGGGGGAGGGGGGACTGGGTGTGGAGAATCGTAACGTTTAGCTAGATACACGTGATATGTATAGTGGAGGTTGCCAACGTCGCCACACACGCACCGTAAGGTGCGTGTGTGATTAAGACGACGACACATCAGCTTCAAAAAAGACGAAGTCGCCCGCAATTTGTAGCTGACGGAGATTCAGTATGACGGGACCAGATCCGATTCCACCATCTCAGAAACAGAGCTCTGGAGTAGGCGTATTGCCGCCTCCACCAAGAGCCACAGCAATGATCGTCGTCGGTATGGCAGGCTCAGGCAAGTCGACATTCGTGTCAAAACTGGCATCACACCTTGCGCAGCGCGCAGCCTCAGCAGCGAGTGACGCGCTCGCAAATGATACGTCTCTATCAAGTGACTCACCGACACGTCCATACCTAATCAATATTGATCCAGCTGTTGCCACGTTGGGTTATGCGCCGAACGTGGATATCCGCGACACGATTGACTACAACCGCGTGATGGAAGAATACAAATTGGGACCTAACGGTGGCATCCTTACATCACTCAATCTGTTTACCACCAAGTTTGACCAGGTATTGCAGCTTGCAGATAAACGTGCGCAAGAGCTAGATCATATTGTGCTCGATACTCCAGGTCAGATTGAAATTTTCACGTGGTCGGCATCTGGCTCCATTATTACAGATGCCCTGGCTACGTCCATGCCGACCGTTCTTGTATATGTTGTCGATACCCCACGCACCACAGCTCCAGCGACATTTATGAGCAATATGCTCTATGCATGCAGCATTTTGTACAAAGCGCGTCTACCATTCGTTTTGGTGTTTAACAAGACTGATGTGCAGTCCCATGACTTCGCTCTCGAATGGATGCATGACTTTGAAGCTTTTCAACGTGCAATCATTGCTGGAAATGCACGAGACCCCTCCGTCTATGCGACACAAGGACGCAAAGATATGCCGACATCGTTTGAAAGCCGTGGTGAAGAGCCAAGCTATCTCAACAGTCTCATGAACAGCATGAGCCTCGTGTTAGATGAGTTTTACAAGAACATCACGGCTGTAGGAGTGTCATCCGCTACTGGTGATGGCATGGATGCATTCTTGGATGCTATTTCCAAAGCTCGCACTGAATACATCGACGAAGTGCGCCCTGAGCTTGAAAAATTGGTCGCTGAAAAGAAGGCTCAACTAAGCAAGTCTCAAGACGACCAAATGAAAGCATTTTTGAAGGACATGAGTCTCCGTGAGCCCCGCTCGGGTCTAGCGAAAGTGCGTGCAAAACAACACGCTGACCCTGACGACATGGACCCTCAATATGATGGCGATGGTGTTATTGTTGACCCCGACTCGGATGAGGAAAAGCCTGAGTATGGTGCACCTGATGGCGATGAGCGACTCAATAAACGATGGAATCAGCTAGATGGAACCTACTGGCCAACTTCTATTCATAGGTCTGCATAAATGTACACTTTACATGTGACCCTTGAAACGCGGATTCTTCAGAACGAAGCGGTAGCGCACGTCGCCCTTGTCAAGACGGTCGATAGCCTCATTGACGCCTTCTTCCGTCATGCTGAGCTCCTCAATGATAGGCTTGATGTTATTGCGTGCACTAAACTCGAGCATCTGGCGGTGTACCAGGCGGCGAGCGACGAGACTACCAGTCACAGTGAGCTGCTTCATAAGCAGTTGTGCGTAAGGCAATGTCATGTCATCGAAGCTAACGGTGAGTGGCACAATGTGGCCGTTCGGTTCCATAATATTGAAGTAGAGCGGCCAGTCAGGCTGGAAGCTTGTAGTCACTAGCAAGTGGCGGATCGGCTTTACGTTTTCGAACTTCGGATTCTCCTTTGATGCCACAAACTCATGAGCACCAAGCTGCATAGCTTGCTCGCGCTTGCTATTGGTACCGCTGAACACAACCACATCACAGCCCATCTTCGCAAGGTATTGCACAGCCAAGTGACCCAGACCACCCAGACCCAAGACACCCACTCGCTGGTTAGGTTGAATGCCCGAGTGGACCATGGCAGAGTAGACGGTAGCACCACCGCATTGAAATGGGCCGGCATCACGCAGATCGATTGCGTCAGGGATCTTGTGCACATAGTCAGCATCAATCACAGCACGATCGCCGAAACTACCGATGTCCAAGTCAGCGACACCGTACATAGTACGCTCAGGGCAAAGTGTGTCGAAGCCATCCCAGCATTCGTTACAGTATCCACAAGACTTGTGGTTGTAGCCCCATCCGACACGATCACCGACCTTCACTGCCTTGACCTCTGGGCCGACCTGCGAAACAACACCGACACCTTCATGACCCAAAACCATGTCGGCCTTACGATAATGCAGATCGGTACCACACACACCCGAGTACGCAATGTCGATCACGACATCGTTCGCACGAAGTGTGCGCGAACCTCCCTTGGTCTCAATGAGTCTGCCGCTTGGGCTTCCTTTGAATACGGTGCCGAGGTCAACTGTGGTCATGTCGTGTGACTGAATGCGGTAAGACCAATTACTTTGTCGTGTGACCTTTCGCCCCTTTATATTGACTCCCAAGACGTTGGGTCGAAATTTCGAGGCCCGTTCGAATGCCCGAGCGCCGTGCAGCTGAAATCATATCGTGCATATGATGACGTCATTCTAAGCAGATGAACTCGACAATATTGCCTGGGCCAACGAACGTTGCACACTAGGTCCGAGGACTTCCCACCTTGAGCCTTGCGGAAATTTCATGCTAGGTCCGAGGACTCCCCAAACCAGACCAATCATAGCTTCTAGAATAGCTTCAAATGAAGTCGCGTTGCCCGATTAGATAAACTCTTTATGTTGGACCAGGTCGAATACCAAACTTTGTCGAAGCGCCATGAGCACTGGCCCACGGGATGTGCGAGAAGCCGGCCAGTGAGAAAAACGAAGAGTAGAGCATTCGTCAGAGACCACATACATGGCTTGGGCTATCGCTGGTCTATGAACTTCACACGCGCATCGACATACTTTAATGGCAATGAATATCAGTAATGCTTAGTATCGCACAGGTCTCGCGGATACTGGCCACTACATAACCCAAGGAGGTTTGGTCTGCTCGATATGAGATGACTGAAATCTTGTGCCAAAGCCTAAGTTATGCCAAAAAAAATGCGAGAAAAAGTACATCCGTATCCCTAGCGAGACAGCAAGAAACGCTACTAGCTTGCATCTCTCACGTACTATATAAACACAGGACGAGCGACTATTACATGCGCTGATGAACTTAGATAAGTCAGCCAACATCCATTCTTCTAAGAGATCGTCACACTTACCAGCAATAATAAAGTTTGCGAGGACAGCAATAAATGTTACGACGCACACGACAGGCGGACCAATTAAGTCATCTGGCAAGTTAGAACACAAAGCGGATCCAGAACATATCGAAAAGAACACGCACCGAAACTGCCTGGCCAGCGCATTTTAATGAGGGTCACACGGCGCTGATAGCTGTACAGGCCCCAGAGGAGAACGAATGCAGAAATGAAAGCATACACCATACCAAACACGCGCACGACCTTGGCAGCAGCAGGGTTGCCTGGCACGTCTGGCACATCTGGACTAGTCGATGGCTTCGGGTCATAGTAAGAAGCCGAGTTAAATAGGGCCAATGCAAGTGTGCCGATCAACAAGGAGGCACGCAACCACGAAATCCATGTGCGCTGATCATATTAGTCCATCCGGTTATGATTCATTATACACACCTCGTTCGCAAACCAAACCTTGGCCTCGACTTTGACAGGAGTCTGGACTGGTCGTGGTTTTGGCACAGGGACTGAGTTGTCCTGCGTGCCTTGATATGACGCATGGCTTTCACCGTGCAAAAGTGGTCGGGCCTCCTCTGCTGCCACATTCTTAACCTGGTTGACAAGTTCTGATGCGCGCTCGTAGATCCGCGAAAAGTAATTATTTGTTGGCCTCACATCAGTCGACGACATGGTCGCTGCAAGTAGCGTAGTCCGCTAACGGAGTCAAGGCAAAAGGTCGCTGTGCTGAAGTTTTGGTGCTCAGCCAATAATCGTCGCATCCACTAGTGGACAGACTATGGAAAGGAGCAAGTGTCCCACGTGGAGCCCACACGTGCGCATAAATCCAAACGCATGCATTAGACAGAAATTGCTAAACGATCTGCGCGCGATACGCAAGCGGGGCAAGCATCATCAGTGAAACAAAGGGAAATTTCCACATGGCAAGATGTGGAGTGAAGTCAAGGAGCACGTCGCAATACTGCCACCTGGTTGGGGCGGTTTCGCCATGAGTGTAGATTGACCTTAAGCCTAAGGATGGTCTTGCAGTCATACTTCTGGTTCAGCTTTAACATGACTGAATTCCCGAAGCGTTTTACAGGTTTCAAAAGAGTAGAATGGATCGAGTAGAAGCATGGTGCAATCTCTTTTTTTTGTTCTTTTGTAGGTATGGTACCGATAAAAGCTATGTCACGCTCACTCATGCGATCGATTCGCTTATATCTTAAAACCTAGAGATGCCATACATTCTCTGTGCCGCTTGACAAGTTCCTCACATTTTCGTGCAGATTCGCCGTGTTCTTCAACATTGTGACCGAACTTGAGGAAACAATCGTCACGCGCCGCCTTCGTTTCAGGACAAGCGCAGCATCTGCACGTCGTTGAGTTACGCGTTAGCTCGCACACACTTGGAGCTAATATCAAAATACATACGGTCGGATCCCTTTTGGGTTCAACTCGCTCACTAGATGAGGTGACGTGCGAACGCTGGACTCTCCAGAAGACGACATGGTAGTGATGTTCGGACGCCACACTGCCCATTTTAATAACGAATTCGCACGTCCAGTAATGTCCGCTCGCACTAGTTCTGTCGACTGCCGCACGCGCGCGTGCACGTACACAACACTAAAGCCACCACTTGCGTTCGATGAGGTCAGCCTCCACTCAAGCAGGCTTGAGTGGAGCCGAGGGCGAACTCGCCGATTGAGATAGGGTCTAGCTGAGAGATCGAGGCGAGAAAGTTCTCCTCACGTGAAGAAGCTATACAGTAGTCACGTGTGGGAAGCACGCCGAAACCATCGAGGTCGTCCATACAAGCTATTCTCTCCCCTCACCGAGCAAGACTATACTGATCCACAATGGCTTCTCCGTACGTGTTAAGCTAGCGAGATGTATTTGCGAGTATGCATGCTAACTTATTCCCAGTGAACTGTCCGCTACTTACGCTGCCTTGATTCTCGCTGATGAGGGTATGGAGATCACGGTACGTTTTCTAATGAGCAGGCATGATTTCGTCTTTTTCGAACACCGAAGAGTGAATCGCGCGTATCATGTCTGTAATCAAAAGAATGAGGACTCACACATCGCAGAGCGACAAGCTTGTTGAGCTTACTACCGCTGCTGGCGTGCCAGTTGAGCCAATCTGGGCGAGCTTGCTCGCCAAGGCTCTCGAGGGCAAGGATGTGAAGGACCTGTTGACGAACATTGGTTCAGCCGGCCCTGCCGTCGCTGCTGCCCCAGCTGCCGGTGCCGCTGCCGGCGGTGAAGCTGCTGAGGAGCCCAAGGAAGAGAAGAAGAAGGAAGAGGAGAAGGAGGAGTCCGATGAGGACATGGGCTTTGGTCTCTTTGACTAAAATGTATGGACTTACTGATGAAACCTTCTCCCAGCCATGGCGTCACAGTTGCGCGCATTTTGCCTATCGTGTCTGGTTTCGATGCCCCGTAGGCAGGTGTATCTATTAACGGCGACTGTACTCCCTTGTACTCTGCGCAGGACTTGTCTTGTCGAGTAGTGGTAAAAAAATATACTCTGATTCCCTTACTACCATGTGTATTTGATTGTGCGCTTTTGTGTGTAACAGAAGAGAAGTGTATGAGAATAGATCTGAGTCAGTATACACAGGGTTAGTGCTGTCGAGTCCCTACTAGATGGTGAGTATGCGCTTATGCGTGGATTCGTATTAGTAGTAATATTTCTAAGGATCACTACATATGTGTTCATGCCGGTGAAGTAGCACTGGTGCATATGAGTATTGCACTGCGTGAGAGTGTTGGAAGTATAAACCACGTGCCTTTGACCCAGCATCTTGTAGTACGTTCCGGGCTGAGTCGTGCGGGTAGATGAAGTCCGGCTATATAGATATTCGAGGGAACGAGGTTTCTGTGAGAAAATGTACCCAAAGACCTTGGGGTACGATTGACGCGAAAACGATGCATCCATGGAGCATACGCATTAAACCACTGAGTTGACGTGAACGAAAATTTCTTGGTCCATCGCGTCGGCTCAACGGCTAAAGGCTAGTCATGGTGTGAGTGCAGGTGGAGGAAATTCCACGCCAGATTGATTGATTGCGTTTTCAACCAACATGAGTCGTGGTGAGTCGGAACTGGAACGGCCAAGTGATTTGCATGGAGATCATGGTGGGAATCATGTAGGCGTGCGAGTAGGCAATGGAGAAAACCCATCTGTTGCTGAACACGCAGCTGTGTCGGCTGTGCCGCGACTGAGAGACATGCAGCGATCTTCAAGCATGTGGCCCCAACAAACGATGCCATTAGTGAATCCTCGGAATGAACAGCGTCCGCCAAACGTGCGAAGATGGAGTAGCGGTGTGGAATCACTTCAGAAGCTAGGTCCAAGGCAGTTTCATATGGAGGTGCAGCCAACGATTCAGCGCCTCTTAGAGCAAGAGGACACAGATGGTGACAATCAAATTAGTATCGCCGACAAAGGTCCGAAGACCATAACACTTGAGACGGTTGATGGTCCGTCCTCAGAGATTCGTGGCACTTATATGCTTGCGAGTCTGCTGCAGGAGTTGGCACTTGCGATGGACCGAGGTGAACAGCACTTGATCGTCTCTGAGGCATGCCTTGCAGAGAACCCGATCGACAAGCTTTCGCGCATGATCCGCACCATGTTTTGGAATAACTTGACGCGAAGAATCGATGCCGAGGGCTTGCAGAAAGTGCTACTTGATCCTAAAAATCGCTCAGCGCATCGTGGGCAGATCCTGTATGTGCCGGCAGGTGAGCCTGAAATGATTGCATATTACCGCCGAGTCGCGGAGGAACGGCCTGCGTTGCGACTGAATGTCGAGGTGCTTCCCAAAGTGTGCACACCCGAGTATGTGCGAGATCTGAATCAACGTCCGGGTTTGCTGGCCATCGCGATGGAGAAGGTCCAAGACGAAAAGACGGGCCAGATCGACTTGCGAGGCATCCCGTTTGTCGTGCCCGGTGCGCGGTTCAATGAGCTATACAACTGGGACAGTTACTTTATTGCACTGGGGCTGTTGGAAGATGGACGACTTGACCTGGCAAAGGGGCCCGTGGACCACTTTATCTTCGAGATCCAGCATTACCACAAGATCATGAACGGCAATCGGACGTATTACCTGTTACGTTCGCAGCCGCCGTTTTTCACGGACTTTACACGTCGCGTGTACGAGCGCATGCTGTCCGACCAGCCTGAGCACAAGGCGCAGCACAAGGCATGGCTTCACCGCGCTTTATGTGCGGCGATCAAAGAATACCACATGGTCTGGATGAGTGAGCCCAGGTTTGATCCAAACACAGGCCTGTCTCGATACCATCCTGAGGGATTGGGCGTGCCGCCAGAGACGGAGGCGTCGCACTTTACAGCGCTCTTGCGGCCGTATGCTGAGAAGTATCAATGCAGTGTGAATGAATTCACGCGCATGTATGATAATCAGGAGGTGCAAGAGCCAGATCTCGACGAGTATTTCCGTCACGATCGAGCCGTGCGCGAGAGCGGACACGATACCTCATACCGTGTTGAGCGCAAGTGTGCAGATCTTGCGACTATTGACCTGCAGTCACTTTTGTTCAAGTACGAACGAGACATTGGCGAGCTAATCCGCGACGAGTTTGACGATGAACTGGAGCTCACGGACGAATTTCGTTTGGATACCTCCCATGGTGCCGAGGCAGGCCGCTTAGTGAGCAAGCTGCAGCGCAGTGCCGAGTGGTTCGAGCGGGCTGCGTTCCGGAAGAAGCAGGTCGATGCGTACTGCTGGAATGAAGGCAAGGGGTTGTACTACGATTACAATCTGCGCAAGGGAGAACAAAGCCTGTATGAGAGTGTCACGTCATTCTGGACCATGTGGTCCGGCATGGCATCGCCCGACCAGGCCGCCCGCATGATGCGCTTGTCATTGCGCAAGTTTGAAGTAACGGGTGGCCTTGTAACTGGTACAGAGGAATCGCGCGGCCCCGTCTCACTCTCGCGGCCGAATCGACAGTGGGACTATCCGTATGCATTGCCGCCGCATCAAATGCTCGCTTGGGAAGGACTCAAGCGGTACGGGTACATGGACGATGCTCGGCGCCTTGCATATCGTTGGCTGTATATGATCACGACGGCGTTCGTGAACTTTAATGGTCTTGTGCCGGAAAAGTTTGACGCCGTCGCTCTGAGTCACTTGGTAAATGCCGAGTACGGAAACCAGGGCACACAGTTTGCCTATGTGCCGCGAGAAGGTTTTGGATGGACGAATGCTAGCTTTCAAGTGGGTCTTACGTATCTCTCGAGTCATATGCGCAAGGCTGTGGCGGTATGCCAGCATCCCGATGATTATTTTGCCAACATGCGCCGGTCCGCATCCTTTGGCAAGAGTGTGCCGGCCCTGATCCGCCGACTGTCGTCTTCTTTCAGCGAACAGGAGTAAATCGATAGTGATTTCTCATAGATGTATGAGCTTGGTAAAGATCGTAGAAGGTAGAGTGTGTTGCATCTGTCTCTTCTGCGCATTTGACCATTGAGGGGACAGCAAGAGTTGGACTCGATCCCTTGCCCCATGGTGCGAGAGCTATGGAAATTGGTGCCTATTTTTTGGTAACCAGCCCCTTGCGGTTCATGCATGGGCCCTTAGGCCCGAGAAAGTGGGGAAATTGCACCGCAGAATTATGTCACGCCACCTACGTTTGAAGAAAGCTCCCCATTCTGGCACGGTCCTCTACGTTTCCAAGTCGTCCCCTCCATCGCCGAAGAACCTTTGTGCGACAGGCGCTCGTACTAGTTGCGTGAGGAAGAAGGATGGACGATGCTGTGTCACTAATTGTCCGCACTTCTGAGCTCCCTGGCGTTCATTCATACGCGCATCTTTTGTCGAATGCCAATGTTGTTGCGGTACGCATGTGCTTCTTTACGCTCACCCATCTAGTATATACGAGAAGCAGCGTTTGTGCCGTACGTCCAACTGGTCTGCCTCTTTGCTGCCGGCACATGGCATGATTACAAGTTCGCATCACCGGGGACGTTACCACCTATGAATGAGGCGCAAGAAAGGCAGCTGCAACGCCTCACACTTGTATCACTTGCTCAAGAAGCATCGCCGTACTTGTCGTTGGAGGACATGGGCCGTGCTGTTGACATGCCAGTGCACGACGACGGATATGCGATTCCCCTGCTATCTCTACTGATCGAGTCGCTCGAGCTCGGCATGATCACGGGGCGTATCGATGAGATCGGCAGGCGTCTATGTGTTGTAACATGTGCATCTCGAGACGTGCTTCCTCCTGATGTTGCTCCTGCGAGTCGAACCACTCTTACGCGACTTGCCACCGACTTGCACGCATGGAAAGAGAAAACACGCGATGTGCTAGTAGATCTAGATTCGAAAATCGATGCACTGTGCAAGCAGACCGAAGCGTCTGCAGAAGCCCATCGTCAACACCACACAGCGCTGCTCGACGCTCTGCGGCATGCTCAGCATCAAATGCAACAGCGGTCCCATCCATCCGCCGATGCTGTGGCGTCTTCTTCTTATACTGGCGATGCCGACGTGGTCTCATCGTCGAATAGAGGCCAGAACAGCCAACTACTCAGGCGCGGGAAACGAACACGCGCCTAATCATCATCGTCGTGTTCATTATCCCAAGCAATATCGACCGCCCTCGCATCCACATCGGCTTTGAGTGCCTGCACACCAGAAATGTGTTCGAGGCAAGACGGGTCATCGCACGCGGCGCATACCAAATCTGCCCCATTATGCTCATATGCGGAAAGAATGGGCGGCGAGCATGCGGTGCATTGCTCAAATGCCTGGCTTTCCATGGTATGCGAAGTGAAAGAGCCTAAATTTCCACGGATCTGATGTGGTAGTGCCACTGACTCATCATGGACTGGCTTGTACTTCCCATCGCTGGTGGTGTCGGCATATCGCTCGCTGTCTTTTTCGTCGTCGTCGGTCGTCTCTGACAACGCACTCTGTGTGTGAGGGTGCTGCAGGATTGACACCATTAGCTCAACGGCTGTGGCGCCAGCGATGGCGGCAAGACCCGGACGTGATACGGTACACATTTGATCCAGTGTGCGGTCCGTTTGTGAGTCTGATGGCGCCACGACATCTGAGCAAAAATAGCACCCCACACGCTCTGAAGATGTGCCGTGTCGCATCACGACGTAGGTGTCATATCCAAGGGCCGCATTAATTACCAGCTGTACGGGAAAGAGAGTGAAAGAGAGAGAGACGGCAAATGTGTGAGTGTAATGATCTTGCAGGCATGGCAAATCGCGCCAAGAACGTACCTTGTTGTGCGCAGCACCAAGTAGAGTCGGAAGCCAGCGAGATTCTCGCGAGTCTGTCAACACAAACACAACGTCGTGCCGACGGATCAAAGCTTCGAGTGATTCAACTGCTTCCCTGGTTTGCCTCAAGAGCGATGATGGCACCGCGTGCCCAGGCATCGGAATCGCCAGCTCAACGCCCTGTGCATGGACGCCAGGTGAGATCCGACGCAGCGCATCGGCAGCGGCAACGGCCTTTGGTCGTCCACCATCGAGGCAGTCGTGGAACTCGTACAGCGGCTGACGAACAGGATTCGAGAACGATACGCGCCCATTATCCACAAGTGTGATGTTTCGAACGCCCCAGCCAAGTAGTGTCCGCGCAACGTAGCATCCAAGTGTGCCTGCACCAATCAGCAACGCCTCGGCACTCTGGATTGTGTCGAGCGCTAAGTCGGGCACCATGCGCCAGCGCATGAGCCTCAAATTTAGGTCCACAGCTTGGTCCGCAAGGAACTGTGGATCCAACATTTCTCCCAATGCCACGAGCTTCGGCACCAAGCGTCCACGAACATCGCGCTCCCAACCAACGGCGTCAGGTTTTGATGGCGCATTGGCTCGTTGGATGATGCAGTCAACACATGCATCAGAAGTGTCATGCTGATAGGACAAACAAGCCATCATACTTCGCGCATGGTCATGCGGCACATCACCCATAGGTTCTTTCCAGCACAGAACACGGCATTCGTGGATTCCATAGCGGACATGCAACATGGTCAAGATGTTTCGCAGTGGCCAGCCAGGCGCCTCACAATGTTGCGACGGATCGACAAAAACCAGTGCCTGTTGTGCCGCTGGCACCGAGTCGAGAAAAGCATATATATTGGCATCGATCCGATGAAGATGCTCGGGCATTCTCATGTCAATAAAGTAAGCTATCATGAGCGGTTCGCGATTCAGTGCGTGCCACAACGTCTTGAGCTCTGCCGAGCTCATCGTGTGCGAAGCGTCGCGCCATGGGTCCTGGATCATCCAGCCAGGCGACTTGAGCAAGAGCGCAGGGAATCCGAACCAGTAATAGTACTTGTATGACTTCAAGTCGGCGAATGTAAGCAAGAGAAAACTCGTTCACGTCAGTTGGAAGGTGCCCGTCCAAAATCCGGTTCCCAATTCTAAGGTCAGCATAAACCAAGAGCCATGCCGAAATGTTTAGCATTGCTGGAACCTGCGTCTTGGCTTGACTTTGACAGGCAACAAACGCACCCTTGTCAGCCACTTTGAAAAAAAATATGCCTGCTTATCGACGGCTTTGAATTCCGCGAGTGTGTTGAAATTCTTTATATGGCCATACATAGGTGTCCCTCTCGGTCTGGTTCTGCGTCAGCGCTTCGCTTCGACTGGCTGCTCTTTCAATACCCACGGTGTATCTACGTCAAACGCATCACCGTCTAGTCTAAATCGGCACGCAGCACCCAGAGGTGTTCCGGTGTGGCGGTCTATCACTGTGCGCTGTGGCGTATAATCTGCACGAATACGAATGAGTTCATCACTCAGCTGGTACTCGTTGAGCTTGAGCTGCGACAAGGCATTCCAGAAGGACGGGCTCACTTGTGATACGAATGGCGTGAACTGCGCTAGAGGCATCTCACCAACGTAATGTGCATGAAGTGTGGATCCTGTCAACGAGCACACGAACTCCGGTGTGATACAAGTCGATTGGATGGAGAGCTTGCCAATGAGTGCTCAGAAAGTGAACACCTCCACGCCATGGCATGTTTCCTTTCCTACCCCACATCCCTTGCCCTAAATTTATTTCAAGCGAGCAAATGGATGGGCACATGTATACTTGCTCACCCGCACGATTGTTGGCGGTGGAGGTAGGGCGGGGCCGGAGCTACATTTTGAAGGTTGGGTGCATGCTGAAGTCGTATATGGGCACAAGCGCATGCAGATTGCTCCAGATACGTGCGACGCTTCCCGGCCTTCCTGTCGCGCTACAGTACGGCCACAACGTTCTAAATGATGGCATAGGTGGGTAGATCTTTTTTCTTTGTCAGCACATTCGAATCGCTTCGTCGAGGAAGGTCTATAGATGCTATGCTTGTTTTCGTAGGCTCGAATAGGGAACATGCTATCTGCTGCCATAGCTTGGTTGAATAGATAGATACAACCGACGCCGACTCTACTACACCAAGAGGTAAGGCTATAAGTGTAGAACTCTCTACCTTTTTTCGACTCCATCACGAGAGCAGTTCTAACTAGATACACATGTCTATGCCCTGATATTTTCAATGGGGGGCCATTCGCACTCTTGCTTGCCAACTTTCTCGCCTTCCTCGCAAATGAACTGCGTGGCCTTTCCCACATGCACAGATCAGACAGGACTCTATTTTTCTTCCTTTCGGAGGACAGGGGTGGCAACGATGACACTAGCTATTTATCCAGGGGGAAGCATGGAGGCGTCCATGTCCACGCTGCGATCGATTTCCTCGCGGTCGGAAATACTCTTCCAAGACGACTTGATGGGCGTACGTGGCAGTACCATTGTGCCAGAACGCGAAAGCTCCAAAATACCAAAAGGACGCATGAGTTTGTAAAACGCATCGAGACGCGATGTCTTAGCACATACTTGCACGATCACACTAGCATCGCTCACGTCGACGACTTGCCCAGCAAACTGATCCGTTAATGCAATGATCGAGCGAAGATTGTCATTTTTGATCGACAGGGCTTCTGTTGGGCTGAGCTGCGGCAGAGGCGGCGTCGGATGTCCGTCAGCCTGGGCAACGGCATAGTCAACTTCGTTCTCAGCTTCCTCTTCTAAGCCCAGATGGTTCTGCTCGTAGTACTCGGGACCTAGTGTCGACACTTTCACCAACATGATTTCCCGCTCGATCACTTTCGTGTTCGTGTAGTCGACAACCGCCCACACCGGCACCAGGTCTTCCAGCTGACGGCGAACCTGTTCAATGGTACCTTCTTGACCACGCAGCACAATACACATGCGCGACAAGTCCTGCACATCTGTTGCACACACGACAAGTGAATCAATGTTTACACCACGCGCGGCCAGGCATCCTGACACACGTGCGAGCACACCAGGCTCGTCCTGGACAAACATGTTCAGAATGTGTCGACGAAAGGGTTGAGTGCTGGGAGGCGGCGTATTGTACAGAATGTTGCTCACAGCTTCGCCGGCTTCCATCACTGGGCGGTCGAGGTGGGGCAACGGCGGCAATTTATGGTGCCGGTGCGACAACTTGTGCTCCAATGCAGACGTGCTTGTGAGACGGTCACTGCCCTTGGCCGTTGAATACAACCGCATCGAACGCACTTGCGATAACTTGACGGTGCGCCATAAACCGGGCATTCTCATGCCCATCATCGTAGTCAAAGCACTTTCACAGATAAGCCTCGACAGTCAAATGAGGGGATGACTCATGTCCACCCACACACATTTCTTGGCTCGGCCTCTATCTACCTCTTTGCAGCCAACGCCATCGCCATGAGCGCTTTACCATCACGTGATGTGCTCATCTCCGCGCATTAGCGAGTCCAAGTCCGAGCTGAAGCCCCGATTCCTTACCTAACGCGATTGAGCGTAGGACTCGGTGCCAAGTAAGAACACGCAGCGCCCACTTCACCTGCTCCACGGATGGCATGCGGTTGTTCATATTTGCTCGAATATGGAATCAAGCAAAGAAGTACATAGGTTTTGAGTAACCAGCTGGCTAGATATCCGTTTCTAAACATCGCGTCATAGACGAAAGCGCCATCCTCTATTCACTACAATTCTGCTTCTGCCCAGTCATCCGTCGCAAAGAGTTCATATATACCGGCCATGGCTGATTCAAAGACATTCCATGTTTTTTGCATATAAGAAATAGGCGGCAGTTCACGTTCTTGCCTTGCTGAAGTGTGATCTGCGTGTTCTGAGCTGGCCGACGACATTGTATCATGATAAAGCTTGCGGAACGTTTCGACAGCCCGAATACTCTCTGAAATGCGATGGGCTGTATTGATGAGAGCGACAATTTCATTGCGACCCAACACAATATGTGGTTTTTCATCTGCAGCCTCAAACGCGAAGAGAAGGCGCAGGGCTGTGCCTATGCCCGTTACTTGGACTTTGCCCCATAACCGGCACTTGTCACAGCCCACGCAGTCCATGATCCTCGAGATATTGCGGAAATGAAGACGGAAGTCCTCTTTCAACGCAAGCGTCTCGCGGTTGTGCTCTGGATTGTCATTCAGCTCAAAGAGTTTGTGCTCGTCGAAAGACGGCCGATTCTTGCGCGCAATCTGTAGCAGTTCATTCAGCTGCTTTCGTGACTCGTTGTCGTGGATCTCGTCACCCGCGCGTAGCGAGAATTTGTCCAAGTATTCACCAGCCTTGGAAAGCGCACGCATCATGAGAACATAGTCAAAGTACACGTTTTGCAGCCGTTCGGGATGTTGTGAAATACGCGAGATGAAGCACTCTAAATTCGGTCCCCACTGCTTTGTCACAGGGTCCAGGTACTCGTTACAGATGTGAATGGAAATTGATGCATGCAGCCCGGAAATCACTCGGTAGAACACACGCTTCTCCAGGCATTGCTCAGTCGATGCTGGGTCGACAGGCGCCTTGACTGAGTCAATCAGCGACTCGAGCGACCCGCCTTTGGTCGGTGGGTGATCAGGATTTAGGAGTGTGGCTGGCACACCCTTGATAGTCCCAATCATGCGCTGTTGAGAGATAAATCCTGCACCACCTTCGGATTCAGGTCGAGGTGGCTCTGTCCATTTGATGCCGCCGAAGCAGTTTTCTTCGTAAATACTTCGCCACACGCGGTTGGCGCTTGCTCCCGAGTACCCAGTAAAGCGTTCAGGATTTTTGAGGAGGTCAACGAAAATGGCATCTTCGCTCATATTTTCATCGTCAAGCTGACAAAACCGCGTCTTATCTGCGTCTTGGTCCATATCCTCAGCTGTGCGTTCAAGCTGACTCAAGCGGTACGAGCGAAATTCATCCGGCATATTTGTTTCATTCATCCGTTCTACTGTGCATGCTCGATTCATACAAATCCCTTCTTCTTTCCAAAACGGACATTCTCGGAACAAGTCTACAACAAAGTAGCGGAAGTATTTGGTCTTGCGCAAATTGTCCAGACGTTCAAACATGTACTGAGAGTTCCATTCTTCCACGCTTTCATAATCCGAGCATGCATCTTGAATCTGTCCTGTAGGCCTACAGATGGGTTTGGTCTCTAAACTCCCATCCTTTGCGCCCTGACCAAGCGGATCAAGCACCTCTTGCAGTAGGCCTGTATTAGTTTCTTCCGTGGGTTCAAGCCCACCCTCCAGCGATGATGCCAACACTGCTACAAGGGTAGCTGCAATGCATGCAAATAATGATCTTGAAAACATGTAAATTCGCATCGTTGTACTCACAGTAAGCTTTCCAGCTCACGCAAGCACACACACACAGACACACCCGTGCCTAGGATCTCGGTGGCGTGGTTGACGTAGAAGGCCGTGCGAGTTTTGCTATATGTGGAGCTATTGTGTTCCACGTGTTGTGAGTCCGCAGTGTTCAACGGCCAATGCAATGGTTTAAGCTAACGCAATAATTTCAATTTTCTCCCTCCTTTGTTGAACATATAAAAGACTGCCTCATCTCTAAATTTCTTTTTCCAATATTCTGCTGCTGTGGGACCCTCTCCAATTACTTGAACCTCGCCTTTTACTAGATTCAACCGGGTTGGTCCCACACTTATAGCAGCATGACCGACTTTTTCCCGCTGGTTACCTAATGGGTAACAGAATTGATACTTTGCCATAACGGGAGTCTCATTTGAGAAGCCCGTTATGGCTATTTTTTTTGTGGCTGTCGCGTTAGTCACGTGATCTATAGTATCGATGATTAGATACTTGGAGTTAGTCTACGTGTTAGTTGCGATAATTACCGCTTGCCGGGCGCCGGTAAATTACTACTCTCACGAAGCACCAACAGTCCCCATCTATGAACGACGAACACGACATTCCAGAAACACATTCCACGTAAACAACATATAATTCACACTACCAACACAAAACCGGTTTGCCAAACTATCGCACACCTTTCAAGTCTATCAGAGTTGGACGGCCAATCCCCCCCACGACTGCTGAGCAATTCGAAGAATCCGAACGTCCCAAGAACCTACATTCCCAAGAACCCACAAAGGCCTCGAAGCAATCGAAGGGCATCAGATCATCGACGGGCGACAGAGGCCCAACATCCGTCACTGGCTAAAGGGAGTTGGCAGACCACGTGTGGCCAAAACGTCCGGGTTTCATCGACTAGACTGAAATATGTGACATGCGTTTGAGCACGAAAGATCCGGTTATCGACTTTATTAAGTGATTCCGTAAAGCTGGCGGTGTCAGAATCCGAAAAGTAGCGACCCATTACGATACGTACTATGATCTTAAAGGACCAAAAAATGGCTGACTGTTTGGTTTATATAGATTTGTGTTTCTCCACCTAAGAAAAAATTTCTTTTTACACGACGGTCATGTGCATGACTAGGCATGTATTTTATTGGATGCTTGGATATATGCATAGGCAGATTCCTGGCCGTGTGAGCTCAGTGACCTTTAGCTTGTTGCCGCTGCGGCAGGACACCGGCGCGAGTCCGTGCCTTGTAATCACCTTTGGGTCAATTTCTGCGTCGGAACGCGCGGACTCGGTTGGGGACTACAGGGTAATCACAGGAAGAAGGGAGAGAAAGAGGGAGAGGGAAGAGAAAGAGAGAGTGTGTGCGTGCACGAGTCGTGTGTATTCGAGTGTGGATAGCTAGCTGCATATTGTGTACCAGAATGAGTTTGCCACCCACCCGCGCGCGTGGAGAGAGCTCGCGACCTTCTTCGAACGGATCTGCTACGATTACAGTTCAAGGTGACAATCAGGTAAATGGTCGTCAAGATAGCGCCCGTTCAAATATTGGTACGCTTCGACTGCGTGCTACGGATGATGATGATCCTCAAAGACCAAGGCAGCGTTTACGCGGTGTGGTATGGACGGACGACACGGTAGACAACGAAGGGTGCGGCAAGAAGAAAAGCAAAAGTGCGTGATTCAACATCATAGACAAGTTGGACTGACGCATTTTTTACCAGTCTGTTGTATATATCATAAGCCTAGAGCATTCGATGAATCATCGTCTGAAAGTTCGGCGGCGTCTGAAAACGACGAGGAATCGGAGCTGAACATTTCGTCTTCAGACGATGACAATGATCTAACAGGAACAGGAGGCGGTTCAAGTGGCGAGGGCAATAGGAACATGTCCAGCCCGTATCCTCAAAATCACCATCCATACTGCCCGCACAATCGTAAACGCCCGCCGTTGCGCAACGCGTATGAGCGTGCGTAAGCCATATGCAATAACGTAGATATTAGGAACATAACCCTTTGTGTTATTTACATCTTGGCGCTTAGGTTGCTGAATAAGGCAAGTTGACTTTTGTGGAGTTGCGGAGATGGCATGTGGCAGGTTTTGGGTCTGGTGTTACACAAAGCGCACATATGTGCATCATTCAACTTTCTCGCACGAGATTGGACCGACGTGAATTTAATGTAACCAATCGTTACTGTCAAGAATGTTACAAACACATGCCTGGTTACGGCAACTAGTTCGTGCTCGAATGTGCACACTACACGCCATCTTTGAGAACCACTTTCGTCCTTAGCCGACCTTGTTGGTGCCGCCGGACAGTGTCGTCGTTCATGGGCAGTTTCGCTGTGCCCTCCGCCCATCCTCAAGGGAAATCTCCAACTATGCAAGTGAGGAAGCGTCAAAGACTGGATGCTGACTCTCGCCCCCGGATCATCCGCATGACGGATGCCGATGGTGATCCATATACGGTAGCGGTACAGCCACTGTCAACTGCGTATGATGATGACGGTGATCCCTCAACGACATTGTATGCAGCTTTGAGTACATATGATGGTGGCAGGTCAAATCTTCGCTCGGCGTCTAGCAGTCTCTTGAGTAGTGCTGCTGCTGGCAGTTTGGGGCTTGGATCGTCAAGCGGCTCCATACTGAGCTCGTACTCTTCTCTTACTAGTGCAACGGATGCCGGTGTTATGGCTACTTCTACAACTCCGAGATCCTCATTGTCCTCGTCATTAACTTCGTCGTCGTCTCCAACCTCCTCATCTACTTCATCTACTTCGCGGTCTTCATCGTCCTCTTCTACGTCAAGCTCCTCGCGTTCATCTTCAAGCAGCTCGCGCTCGTCCTCTAGCGATACCAGCTCTTCTACGACCCCGACGTCTAGTGTGCCTGATTCCTCCTCCATGACGCCGTCCGCTACAAGCAACCCAGGCGAGCCGAAAAATCTTAGTTCGGATGATGATTCACACGCAGGTGCCATTGCTGGTGGCGTCGTGGGTGGTGTCGTTGGCTTACTTCTGGTTCTAGGTTTAATTGGGCTTCTGTTTTGGCTGTTGCGCCGTAAGCGCAAGAATACAGAAAGTAAGTTCGTGGATGCTCCATCGACTCAAGATTTCCCCAAGCGAATATGACAATGTTGGTTCAGCGGCGTATGGCCAAGGGGCTCAGTTCTATCAAGATGCACCGCTCCCGCCGTCCCATTCATCTCCTTCTTATTCAGCAAGGGACTTTGCGACAGTCCCTATTTCATCGATGTCTTCTATGCCATCTGGTACAGCAGCACCGACTGCCGCATCCGCCGCCGCCGCTGTCCCAGTAACAGCGTCTGCAGCAACTCCATCACGTTCGGCCGTTATTCCACCCACTTCATTACCCACTAGTGCAGGTGCAGCTGCGCCTGCACCTGCTCCGTACCCTGCTAGTCGTACGCGCGGGGCAGCTGACAATGTCGTAGGCATGTCTGGTCCGGCTACTCGCCCGCCTCGCTCTACGGCTGATGCTCAGCAAATGCCAGCAGCAGCTCCGACGCCAGCCTGGCGTCGGTCTGCTGCCGCGTCACAAACTCCTGGCGCGTATTATGAAGCAGACCCTGATTTACTTACCACAACGTATGAAGACACCTGGGCAAGTGCCGATAGTCCTTATGGGCGTGCAGGCGTTGGTCGCGTCACTGACGATGATCCGCCACCACCCAGAGCCGTCCACATGCAGCCAGGTCAAGTGTATACAAATGTGTCGCCGCTGGGTGCATTCACTCATATGTAACATGTCGGACATGTGCTTTCAACCTACTCGTGTACCAACAAGCATCTTGAGCTTTTCTTCATTGGTCCCTTTAGGTTTTGTTTTGGACTTAGCGAATGTGTGCTCTTGTGCGAATCTTAATTTCTTACATTCCGTGCCTTTGGTTAATTGGCTCGAGCACATGTATGTATGCGTCTTCCTTTGCAATGTCTATAGACAAAATATGCTTCCGGTAGAAAAAGACTTTATCACCATCGTTGATTGTATGCTTGTTGGATCAACATAAATGGATCACGGTCATGCAATATTGGTGCACACAGACAGCAGAATAGTCCCTATGCTCTTTCATCATGCAACAGCAAACCAAAAAAAATCCTACCGTCGAAGGTCGAGACTAGAAAACTTGTTACAAGAAAATTACAAGACCGACAAAAGCGCCCACTGCAAGGGCTTTGAAAATCGACAGCCGTGTGTGCACTGATACACCATAGTTCTGGCCACTTTTACCAGAGCCTGACTTGGTATCATCGCTGACCTTGACTTCCAAAATAGCAACCCTACCGTCAGTACCAATATTGTGATTCAAATTGTTCTTCGAAATGTCATTGAGAAGCGAAGAGTCCATTTTAAGAAGCTTCGTGCGGAAAGTCTTGCCGTTTGCAGATCGATCTTGTTGGGTCGCATTTTTCACAAGCTGATCACGACCCATATCGTACCCATTTTTTACAATGTCATGGTTCTGCTTGATAGACTTTTCAACCGAAGCAGCGATGAAAATCGCGTTCGTCTTTGCCTTATCGCCGGTTTGCATCCAGAAACGGAAATGGTTTCCACCATTCACTACTTCCGCTAGAGCCGGCTTCGCACGCATGAGGCCATCCTGCTCTACTTCTCCCCGACCGTCCCCGAGATTTGCTGATTGTGCACCATTGTTTTTTGACTTTCCTGCATTTTCGTCCAATTCGAAGCCAGTCGCATTAGCGAACTGCAAGAACCCTTCTTTGTCAAGGACACTCGAGTCAGACGTGGCTGAGATAATCACGTTCAATGGCTCTTTCTGCTTCGTGAGCATGCTGCCACCATGTTTTGATGGCGACAAGTATAGACTATTGTCATCGCCCAACGCGAGTTGACTTGTTACCAGCACAATGAAAAGTGCCTGCCAAATTCGTGGGATGTACATGGTGGTGTACAACACACTCACATTCACACATAACTCCCAACACAAAGACCCGTACGCAACGAATGAAGGGCGGGGGTGCATGTCACGTTCCCTGTATGGAGGGAGGTCGAACACCACACATACTTAGTCAGCATTGTATCACACCTTCATTTTAGGCATGGCAGTCATGCATTACTCCGCTGTCCAGGATCTCTCAGCCAGCGACATATATCCAGTGTAGCTCGAAACACTTTGTTTATCATCAAAGGAAGCAAATTTCTAATACTGGAAACCAACCATGGACTTGCACAGTAAAGAATCGATTTTTCATACACATAGTGTGAAATCCCCATGCGAGGATTTGTCATCTTGATATTCATGCGCGTGATCCATTTAGCGTCACATAGCATGGTGGTTAGAGGCGGTATTGTTCGACTCCATGTTCTGCAAATTGAAGTCCACATTTCGGTGGTAGCCATTCCACATTTCGGCCACGATCGTGATATCTTGGTTATGGTTGTTGATGTCGGCAAATGAGCGATTCATTTCCATTAGCGCTTCATTAAGGAGATCAACATTTTTAATTATACGCTCCAAAAGGAGTGTCTGTCGTTCTTCCTATTTATGGTCAGCTTTGTACGCATTCGACGTACATATGGGTTCTCGATGGCCGGCGGCATGATATACGCTGGTCTGTAGAATGATTTCCAAGAATGTCACAGGCGGACTGCCAACGTGCACTAAGTAAACTGAAAGACCTCATCCGCTCCTAACGGACGACTCAAGTGGAGATATCACGTGATCTTTTCGACGACGGCAGCGGCAGCGAAGCGCCTGTATTGACGGCAAGTCCAAATCCCAACACGCGACCGCTTTGCGACAGAGACGTACGCATCTTTGAATTATGATGCGGCCGCCGCTTGGATTGATATCCCAGGCTTCTGCAATCACATCAAATGTTCGGAGAAGGTATTTCGAATATCTGCGTATAACGTATTCGACTTCCCCTGTGGGCCCATTTGTGCCGCGAATGCTCAGCGCCGGTCCTACGCGGCTCTATTCATCTTCATCATTTGGTCAATTGGCGTCGGACACTAACAAGCATGCTAGTACGAGTGAGAGCAAGTCTAAATATGATGATGCTTCACGCGCTGAGCTGTGGAATCAAATGCTGAATACCATTATTGTTGAGCCGCGCGAAAATCCTACGGATGGAACATCATCTTCCTACTTACCCAAGTCTATTTTATCGCATTCCCGAATGCCATCTGGTGCGCCGAGGCGCGATGATTCATCGAATGTATCGAGTATGGTGGAGCAACTCGATGCAGAGTTCCGTGACAGACCAACATTCGGTTTGCCAAAACCCTGCACACCAACGACCGGTCGTTCGTTGTCTATGACCAGCACATACAACAATACGTCTGCAACTTTGTATCGACAGCTCTCACAAATTTTGAACCGGAATAATGTGCGTCGAGAGCTTCGGCTGAATGAGCGCTATGAAAAGCCCAATCAGATGCGGCGCCGCAAGCGCTCTGAGCGACATCGCCGACGTTTTGCTGATATGGTCCGCAAAAAAGTGCAGCTGGTACGTGTTTTACCTCTACGCGTTTTTTTTTTTCGTTTTTTTCTTTTCAAGGCTAACACTCACAGATTATGATGCTGAAAGCACGTAGCGCATAATGTTTATATCTCTGAGATCAGGGGAAAAAGATGCCCCTTACATGCTGGGGCTGGGATTGTTTGTAGCCACGGCGTCGCGCAATGATTGTCTTGTTACACTGGATCCCTTGTCAGAAAAGTTCGCAACGAGGGGTCAGAGTGGAGAACGTAGGGATACAATGGCAGGGTGGCGTTGCCACGTGGCCCATAGCCTTTGTTTGCTGCCGAAGTTCCTCCAGCCTGTGGACGTGATCACATTCAAGCTTTTCCGCTTCAGCAACTGCTTTGCCCGATTACATGCCAGGCGGTCTTCGCGTGATTATGAGACCTTGTCTATCTTTAACAAGTGCATGTGTGCCTTTATCCACTGTTCAACGTCCGATTCCTGTGCGACACTTGTCGGTCTCACGCGTTTCGTACAATATACGCAAGATCCCCTCTGAAACACTACCTGAAGATCCAACACCGGCTATGTGGCAGCGAGTCGCACAGTTGTTGGCGGGTACAGTGGCTGCAAGCTCTTTGGTATATTTTGTGCTTCTGGCAGACTTTGGAGAAGGGGAACATTGTTTTATGCCTGTGAGTATATGTGGTATTCTAAGTGAAGGGTTAACACTGACTATTTTAGATTCGGCGAGCTCTTCAGATTGATGCGCCTGCATGGCGCGCGAGACTATGGAAGCGACAGACAAACTTGCCGGAATCACAGCGTCTGATCTGAGCGATGCCTCATTACATGTACAGCATTCATACGTATATATATATTAAATCTATGTACTACCAGTGTTGAATGGACGCCCCAAAGGCCTTTTTGGCTGTCTATTACGCGCCCAATTTACAACGCATTGAATGACGTTTCGCGGGGCTCAGCATGTGTGCCGTCGCTGTCCTTGCATTTATCGGCCGAGGTATTCGTGTGGAACGAACCGACCGCGGTTGTGACGGGGCAGTACGTGTTCGGCCGAAATAGCTGCGCGAGCCTGGGCCACAACAAGGAATGGAACTGGCTCAAGTATGTGCTAGGAAGGGCGTGCAGAATAAATGTACTCGGATGTGAAAGTTATACCGTCTTTTTGTCGACACACAGCGGACATTACCTTCGCAGACCACCTCTGGCTCATCCGATTATCAACGCAATGAAGTTGCATATCGTGGTGAGCGTGCTTCTGATATCATTAGTTGGGAGCAGCCTAGCGCAAATGGCCCAAGGTTTGCGCAAACTGGATTTGGAAGGCACTTGGTCTAGTGGCTCTGGCAGTGTGTTGACGGGCCAAGGTTCTGGGGAATCGGATACGTTTTTCAATCCGATGAGGCGAAAGTTCACTGTCCCCAAGACGTCGGGATATTCGTACAGTTTTACAAGAGACGGATTCTTTGAAATGGCTCAATTCACATATAACTCGAGTGGCCGCGAGCCAGAATGTTTTACTGCGTCACTCAAATGGCAGCACGGTACCTATACACTTGAAGGTTCCAACATTCACATGAAACCGTATGAAGGGGATGGTGCGATTCAAGTTATGGGTAAATGTGAGGATCCGCAAGTCAAAATGGACTATTACTCTGAGAACGAAATTGGAGCAAACATTACTGTCTACACTGATACTGACATTGTGTTTTACAGTGAGCTCGATTCCATGAAGGTATTGCAAATGCACGCATTCGACGGTCGTCCACTCCCGAAGATGTACCTGCTATACCGCCCCCCACGCATGATGCCGACCCAATCGATCTTTAAGAAAGTCATTGGTGCACCTGGCACATAATATGCTTCATGTCCTTGTGATTGTTTTGTTGTATCTTCTGTCACAGGACAACGCTTTTCTAGTTCGCGCTTTCCCATCCCGCAACTGGGTGCTTTGTGCACGGTCTTCCTTATATTTGTTATTTTATAGTCTATTCTCTCATGGTGACGAACATCGTAAGCACCCAACTCTCATTTACTGGGTTCAAGCGTTTCCTTGACTAATCTACGAAATGACCATGACCATCTATCTGCGTGCTTCCGACAACGTACTGCGTCTTTGGCTTCGTCAGGATAATCAGCTGACTAATCATATTCGAGGAGGTTGTTATAGCTTCGTAAAGCTATCAAGATGAGTGTCTTCGTGATTGCAAGCTGTGGGCGAGTTGTTGTCGTGCTCCGAGCTGCTGCGTGAACGCTGCCGCTTTCTGGCAGATATCCATGCTGTAACTCGAGCCCGCTTTAATTACCACCTTAGACCATGTCGCGTGTGCCCCAGCTCATTCTCGAAGTGCTCAAGTCGCGCGCGACTCGGCGTGATTCAAAGCCATACTTAGACATGTTTTCTCGTTGTTCCGACGACAAGCGGATGCCTTCTTCTTATCAAACCCACATAAATCCTTTCAAGAAGCCGTCTTCCTCGTCTGTATCGCCGTCTGTGTCGCCGTCTCCATTACGGACGGCGATACCTCGAAGCTTGGCCACAGACGCTATGAACACAGCAGATCGGACGTCTGAGGTGGTACCCTCGCTCGACAGGACATATACAGCACTTGTCAAACTTCAAGGTCCTTTTACTGATCGACAAATGCAGTCTATTGCCGAAGGTTTGGTATATCTACAAAGACTTGGTCTTATGTGCACGATCGTTCTTGACCATGACCAATGGCCGAAGCCCACACCGTCCCAGGATCCACGCCGTGATGAATATTTCGCTGAAAATTCATATGATTCATGCTTAGAGACGTGGCGTGGAATAGAAGAAAGTGGTCTCCGTGCACGCATGCTTCATGAACTGTGGCGTGTCGCAGATGCATTGGCCATAGCCGGAGCTGACGTACAACCACTAACGCAGGCAGTTATGTGTGTACCACAGCGATGCTCGCACAAGCCACTGCCATCATTACAGCAGCCGTTGTCGTCACACCTAGAACATGACAAGAACGGCGCTTGGACACTCGAAGCTGACACTTCGATTGATAGCGTGTATCGAGCACTTCAACATGGCCACATCCCTATCATTATGCCCATGGCCATTCGTGAGTCGATGACTGATAAAGTGACAATGGATACGACAAAAAGGACGCTGCGGTGCATTTGTGTCGATGCGGACCAAGTCATGGTCACTTTATCTCGCGAAATGGCATCTCAGCGCCTGGCCGATGAACTTACGCCTGTGCGTCTCATGGTGATCACACGTGAAGGCGGTGTGCCATCGCATGCACGCGGTGGTGACCCACACCTGATGATCAATCTTTCGTCTGAGTACGAGTCGATCCGACGTTCGTACGTTTGGGACGACACACATCCCACGGCGCTGAAAAATTTGGCCATGATTCGCGACTGCTTGGCTTACATGCCAAATATGGCGTCAGGCCTGATTGCTACGCACCGATCGCCGCAAAGTCTCATTGCAAATCTCATCACCAATAAAGCAGCGTACTCACCGAGTCTTCCACCACGTTTACTTGCATCGCGCCGAGAAATGCGGCATATGCCAACGGTTGTGCGTGCAGGCATGCCGATTCGTATCGTGACTCAGTGGCACGAATTGGATCTTGCTCGCGTGCAGAATGTATTAGAGAGCAGCTTTCAGCGCAAACTCAATGCTGATGCATACTTTGCGCGGCTTAAGACCCATCTTGACTTCGTGATAGTCACTGGTAATTACGATGGCATTGCCATCGTGACGCGAGAACATGCCATGGAAGATCCACCTGGCATGCCACCTATTGCCTACTTGGACAAATTTGCAATGCTGCCGACTCTGCAAGGAAGTGGTGCCGTGGATTTTTTGTGGAATGCGCTGCGTGATGAAGTACATGGTTTGGGCTTACTAGACGCACTAAACAACAATGGAGGACATAATGGCGTAGGTGTTGGTCGCGATCTTGTGTGGAAAAGCCGTGCGGTAAACAAGGTCAATCGATGGTATTTTGAGCGAAGTAATGGATTCATGACTTTGCCAGGCGGTCCGCCTCATTGGTACCTGTTCTGGTGTGATGCCGAAGATCGGCTCAAGCAATATGCAGGTGAGCCGATCATTGCGCCGGGATCACGTTTAGACGACGTATGGATGAATACAACACCGACATCTCCCATGTTACCGATTATCGTACCAGAAGAGCAAGGCCGGTGGGAACGGTGGGCCAAATGCCTTGCTCGTATTCCATCTGCATGGCTTGCATAAGGGCATGCAAATAGGCATGCAAGTGGACATGAACATGAATTGGAAGAGTGCCATGTATTGGTCATGTGAGTGAGCCTAGTGTGGACAGTAAAAGATGTGACAAAGGCCTATCATGAGGCACACCGAGATTTGGGAGTGAGGAGGGGGGGAGACAAAAGTATAAGAGAGAGAGAGAGTGAGGGAGTGAGGGAGTGTGTGTGTTTGTGTATGTGTGCGCGCTTGAAGCATGGATAGCCATTTGGCCGAACTCCAAGATGTGCATTCTTTTATGCTTGAAGTTTGATCCATTCAATTGATTCTTAATATACCCCGTGAAATGCATGAATCACCTCGTCTATACACATGAGGAAATCCGCCACAACATGCTTCTGATCCAAACGAGCTGAGGATATCGAAGCGCACAAATTCAGCACTTACTGTGCTTCTATTTTAGCACGCTCGCCAAATCCCACGACGTCGTTCCTCAGCTCGATACTCATACATGAGTTGGGCTGCCATCCAAAGCACCCCTATGAGTTGAGCCAGGCATATCCAACCGTCGCGCGTCTCGATCATCTTCGACCAAACCGTGCGGACGCCGTCAATCCCAATGACAAAGCCGACAAGATTCGCCGAGATCATCATGAATATATTGGCTACAGTGCCCAAAGCACGCACATGGCGGAACCAAGGTCGGTGGCCATATACTTTCGCAGGGACGAGAGCGCGACCCAAGAGTTCTGGCAAAATAAAAAGGACAATCAGCCAAGCCCATGCCAACAAAGTAAACGAAAGGTCATGCCATAATGCAACAAATGTAAATACGACGAGGGATGACAGCACTTGGTGCCTCGAGCCACCCAATGGGATATAGATGTACCGAACGACCCACAAGTTATAGCTTCGGTGCCAAGCGCGCCAGAAACGAATGGCCGACGGGCAGTTACATATGGCGCGGATCATGTTTTCCGGCACATCGACGCCGTCCAACAGCGCCCATAGGCGAAACAGACGCCATGGCACAGCAAGTTTGAACCACATGATTTCCAGTGCCCAAAAACTCAATATCGCCAACTCCATTGGCGAGTACACGTCCCAATTCCCTTCGCTCTTGATCGCATTCACATACATATAGTGAAGCATGAATTCAATCGACAAGACCGATACGATGGCATCGTAATGCGTACCCAGCAATGACTCGTAATGGAATGTGTAAAGGCTTACACATCTGCGCGTAAAAGTCATTGAATGTCATAAGTGGGCCGGCGATAAACAGCGGCGGGTAGAACAGATAGGTAATTTGGGTGACGAACGTATAACTGGATAGTGCATGTGGCCATGTGGCTCGGTCTTTTGACGACAGCACTTTAGACTCGCGTCCCGCTGAGCCTGCAGAGACTGGCTGGTGCCGGCTGCTACGTGCCCAAACATAATCCATCGCAAAGCTCACAAGGCGCAGCATTGTAAAATTGTAGCTGATGTACCATCTGTGAATCAGTCCCGGATGCTCATCGAGCCATGCAAGAGAAAGTGAGAGTGTTTTGTACGGTGCACCATTGGTATAAAAGACCAGAAACAGGACAGCACCATTAAACATCCATACGGCGCAAGTCACGACAGCTGGGGGAAGCCATGCTGCACTACTCGCAATCACATAATTGAGTAGCGCAATAAGCAACAGTTTTATTACATTTGCGCCGTGCAGTGCTGTCACAAATACAAGACCAGTCACGCCCAGAAACGCTAGACGAATGCGTTTCGCATACACAGTGTTCCTACATTGCTGAGCAATCCAACGAATGCAGTGTGATAGCAAGGCATAAACAGTCATCACTGCCATAAGAATTACTCCATTTTTCCGTAGTAAGCGGTACTGGTGGTCACTGTCATCGCGAAGCCGACCACCCATCCATCCCTTGACCAAACGATTAGCATATCGAGGGTATTCAGGGCGCTTGTCAGAGCTCAAATAGATCGGTACATAGATCATGTATGGTATGATAATCATAGCTGCCACATAATATGCGTAAAACTCCCTCGTCGACCACAGAGAGGGCGTGATTTCTGCGGCTTGCTGAGGTGTCAAGGTCGTCTGATTCATTTGAACGCTCTCAGTGGCATTCGCATTAGGGGTGACAATTGTCACACCACGCGAGCGTAGACTCTCACGGAGTGGTTTGTCTCCGTCTCTCTCTACGATTCTTAGTGATGCTCGCTGGGAGCGTGCGTCACGCTCCTGCTCTTGTGGCGTATGCATAGGCAACATACGATGCACGTGCGCTCTGAATGGCCGTGTCAAGATGGAGGCACTTTAAGCGCGTTGTCTTTGACATGTACACAATGGAGGCGTGTTGCGTGCGTCACGTATCACAGTGGAGAGTAGTGACCGCAAGGCAGGGGACAAGTCTGCTGGAGGCGTCCTACTAGTTGATTCATTCAAGTTTCGTGACGGCGGTTCACACTGGCTTGGGCGCGCGTCGACCTATTACACGAACTGAACGCATTTGCCGATCGCCGAAGATATTTCCATTTGTGATATGGCGGTACGTGAATGACATGATCGCGTCGCCTCGAGTTCTAATTCATATTGCAGATTCAATGGGTCCTTTTGATATCGCGGCAGGGCAAGGTGCGCCTGGCGAAATGGTACGGCACAATGAGCCACAAAAGCAAGGCGAAAATTGTCAAAGATGTAACACAGATTATCCTTGCACGTCGTGTACGTCACATGCGGACAAACCAATCAGGAAACATGACTGACATGATACAATGTTTGCCTCTCGGATGAACTGCATCTGGGGTCTTCGTTCACTGCCTAAGTCACGCATGTGCAATTTTGTTGAATACAAGGGTACGTACATACGCTGTCCTAATACCCATAAAAAAGACAACAAAGTAGTTTATCGGCGTTATGCATCGCTATTTTTCGTTGCGGGTATTGCGCCCGATGACAACGAGCTCACGACCCTTGAGATAATTCACCGTTTCGTCGAAGTCTTAGACCGCTACTTCGGCAATGTATGCGAACTGGATCTGTACGTATGAACAAGCCGATGTACGCTTACGCAGAATCTTCAATTTCCAAAAGGCTTACCAGGTGTTAGACGAACTCGTGATTGCTGGCGAGCTGCAGGAATCTAGTAAAAAGTCCGTGCTACGTGTCGTCATGCAAGGCGATGCTGTTGAAGAAGCTGAAAATAACGAAGATGTACGTTGTCTGTGCGACCGGGATGGCATCTCGACGTGCACGCTCAAACACGAACGGCAAAGCTAACGCTTATCGCCACAGAATCTTGGTCGCATCGGTAGTCGATCTGGTTAGCAGGTCTCTTACATGTCTTATGTCTAATGCACCAACCGCCAAATCCCTCTCATGCTCTCGGTTTTGTTCTGGACTACCTTCCACGTCTTGCTGCGTATCTCCTTAGTTCACAGGTTTCACCATGCCTTGCGATAGTTTGTAGTACACGACCGTCGAATCATTCGACATCATAGCGAGTAAAAGTTGTGTTGAATCTACATGCTCCGGCAGTCGCGCAAACAGATCGTGGAACATGACAGTGTCGATCACCTGCTCAATCAACATTGGGACAACGGCGATCTTGGTCTGTGGAAGGAAGTCAGTGACTTATGCATGCCGCATATACGAACCTTGGAATTGGGTGCCTGTCCTGTCACGATGGCCCATCCAGACTTTCCGAAAGCAGGGTCGGCTATTTCACTTCTTTGCACATCATGCACTTCTAGAAAGCGCCATCGCGCTGCATACTTCAGGTCGACAAATGTCTGAAACAAAGCACCTTCTTGTGCTGGATATTTCGTACTTAAAGGCGCAACAGCAGCATACGCTGTGTGAAGCTCAGCATGCAACGGTGTCTGAGACATGCTGAGCGAGTTGCCAGCACAGCGGCCTGAGCCTTTCACTAGGACTCTCCAGACGCGGCGCAAATGACAATAATTTGAAACCGTTTATGCACGCGCATTTATTATGTATGTATGTTGGAATTTTTTTATTTATGGATTTTTGTTTTTTTTTTGGCCCTCCGATGACTCTGTACGATCCTTGTGATTAGCTTGTAGCGTCTATGATTCCAATTGGGCAAGTTTGCCATAGCGAGTGTGCGCGAAAGTGACTATATATGAATGCAGAATTTTTTTGTTAAAGAAAGAGACAAGACCTGCGTAGGTTGGTAGATTGATCATACCATCAAGGTCGCATTTGGGCGACTCAACCAGCCAGACCAATACTCCCCTGTTCTAGCGCAGACACAGCTTGAGTAGGCATGCCCGGCTTCAGCGCATCCATGGTCCGCACAATTAACGCAGTATCATCCAAGAACGAATTAAGAGAAAGACGAAGGTGTCGGAGTGTTGTCGCACGCATTGTCCTGGATATCAGCTGACCCTCTCATCTTGACGCAACGTACACATGTAAATCTGCACGTCCATCGTCAGCTGTGTGCACATCCAAACTCTTTTCAACGTCATGTGGCCGCAGCTCCTTGTCGACGCAGATGACCTGCTGTATTGTTGTAGCCACTTCTCGAGAGGGGCATGGGATCATCAATGATCTATACGTGAGCAAACATCTAGTACATACACAATATGCCGCATTGACACTGTTTCTGATGCTTTTCCAGCAACAGACATAGCACCTTTGCGTATATGATGTTCTGAACGCGCCAAACCTGGTGGATATGTGTGTTGACTCTCAAAGAAGAGGGTGGTCTAGTCCAGCGGAAATAGCACGCAACGTTTAATGACCGGTGATAATACGAACGTCGAGGCGTAATGTGAATGTGACAGCCGGCCCGATCATCGGGCGAGCCACGTGTAGATCTCGACGCGGAGCGAGGGAGTCGTGACGCGTTGCGCGCTCTGTTGAACAAAGCAAGCGCAGTGAGGTAGAGGGCAGGGAGTTTTTTCTGACCAAAAGCGCGCGCAAAGCGATTGTCGTGCTCATTTGTGGCGAGCGGCGTTCATGTCGCAGGACCAGTTGCGGTCAGGTTTGCGCATGCTAAAGCGCTCATGGAGCTCCTCCGAGCATGAAACGAACGATCCGAGTACAGAGAGCAAGCCAGTGTGCATTGATCTCTGCAACTCGCCACCAAGGAGAACGCCACTACAGGAACTAAATGAAGACACGTCACATAAGCAGCGTAAATGCACTCACGATGAGCACATGAGCCAAACGGAAAAAGAAAGGACAGAAGACGACGACTTCCTGCCATTTGAGCCACTAAAGTCAAACAACACGTGTGTTGGTGCCACGGCGAAACGCGCTGCTACCACCTCGTCTTCGCATACCTCTTCTAATCTTAATGCATTAATCAAGCCGTTGATCCGCTCGCGCGAAAAGCCATTCCCAGCCCCCGCACATGTTGCAAGTGTGCAGCGACCACCAGAAAAGCGCTCGGCTGCACGCGTTTTCCTGTCGCGTGAGCAGCAGAGTGTGTTGGAGGCAGTAGTCAAGCAAGAGAAGAGTGTGTTTTTCACGGGCTCAGCTGGCGCTGGAAAGTCGTACCTGCTAAGGCAGATCATCCAGGACTTGCACGTTAAATATAGCAAGTCGCCAGGCGCTGTTGCGATCACAGCGTCGACTGGCATTGCAGCGTGCAATATCGGGGGCATCACGCTGCACAGCTTCAGCGGGGTGGGCGTAGGCACAGGGACACCTGACCAACTCGTGCGGACTGTGCGGCGGAATCGACCAACTGTGACTCGATGGAAAAAGACAGCTGTGCTTGTCATCGACGAGGTGTCGATGATTGATCCAAAGCTGTTTGAAAAACTAGACCATGTGGCGCGTGTCATCCGCCAGTCCAACCGGCCTTTTGGCGGCATTCAGGTCGTCATGTCAGGCGACTTTTTCCAGCTTCCGCCGGTGTCACCGAACGGGCAGACGAGCTTTGTGTTTGAGTCGCCCGTTTGGTCCAGTGTGATCCAGCAAAAGTTCAACCTGACAGAGGTGTTCCGCCAGCGGGACCAGACATTTGTGAATATGCTCAATGACATGCGGTATGGTAAACTGGCACCAGAGACAATACGGATCTTTTCTCAACTAGAGCGCACACCCTCGTTGCCTGAGGGGATCACTCCTACGGAGCTTTATGCTCTCCGACGTGACGTGGAAAAAGCGAACCAGATGCGTTTGGACGCATTGCAGACAGATATGCGCACATATACAAGCATGGATAGCGGACAGCTGCCGCCGGACCAGCTGCAACGCACTCTTGATAACTTCATGGCGCCACGGCACATGGCACTGAAGAAAGGCGCGCAAGTTATGCTGATCAAGAATGTCGATCGGGAGTTGTCGAATGGCTCCGTCGGTACAGTGCTAGACTTTCTTGATGAGGATTCGTTCAAGGACCAGTATGGGGAAGAAGATGTGTCGGACGAGCTCTTAGCTCGTGCGGAGCGAGCGCCAGGTGCGTCTCGGACCATGCAGCAAGAACGCACAGAGGCGCGCGCTGCACCTCGGTGGCCGCTCATCCGCTTCCACTTGGTGAATGGCCATGTCCGTGACTATCTAGCAAGGCCGGAGTCATGGAAGATGGAAGACCCCAACGGCAAGGTTGTTGCCTCGCGCACGCAAGTGCCGGTGATCTTGGCCTGGGCGATGTCGATTCATAAATCGTACGTTTCATGGGGCTTATCCGCGCTCCACCTTTGCACGTAGGCGGCGTTTTTGGAGCAACACGCTAACCCAAACAAAGACAGGGACAGACACTGCAGCACTGCCGGATTGACCTGCGACGCGTCTTTGAAAAAGGTACGTACGATATTGTGAAGTGCAACTCGTCTCACACATGCCCAGGCCAAGCATACGTGGCACTGTCGCGAGCGACATCTCTTGATGGACTGCAGGTGATTGGCTTTCATCCCAGCAAGGTCATGGCACATCCCAAGGTCATTCAGTGGAACTGTCGCGAATTTGCTACGTAGGGGAAATAAGCCGACGAGGCGGGATGCGTGAGAGAGGGAGGAGAGAGATAGGGAAACAAGGACGAGGGGGACAGCGAAGACGTGGCTATGGGCACATGTCGCGGTCGAAGCTTTCGTTCTTCGTAGTTATATTATTCTTAATGATTACTTTTCACAAATTCAAATCTTCTTCATGGTAGTTCTCTTGGATCAAGCGATACACATATGACGGCGGATGCTCACCGACATTTGTTATGATCACATCAATGTCGGCTGGAGAGACAAAGTCCCATAGGGGGTTCTCGATCTCTGCTTTTTCAGCAAGCGTATGGGACGATGCATAGTTGACAAGCTGTGCGGTAGGGCCCTGATTGCCTGTGCGCAGGCGCTCAGGACTGACCCATGACCAGTCGGGCGAAATTTTAAATACGCCAGCCAAAGCGACGACAGGTGTGCTGTGCTCGCGGGCAGCCATAGAAATGGCCTTGGCTCCGATCGAGGCGAGGATGCCGCCATTGGCAAGTACACAACGCGCACCGAGGATCACTTTGGACACACGCGGCATCAGTGCATACACATTCGAGTCAGGCACCAGAAGCACTGACAAGCCATCGGCCGCTAGGGCGCGTGCCATTTCATGCCCAGCAAAGCTAGGTGCAGACTCAGGAACGACGGCAATAAATTTGCGGTGTTTGGCTGCTGCACGCAGGAACGTCTGCACCGTAGTTGAGTAGCCAAGCGTCAGGATGACTTCGCCAGAATGGATATGGTCACGCGCATCTTTTGCAATGCTGGTATCGACCGATTCGAATTCATCGAGCAATTCCTGAATCGCCTGGATGAGAAGCGGTTTGAGTTGGTACGCATGCGATGGTATGACAGGGATTGCATCATCGTCTGACGACATCGAGTCAGACATGCGCTGAGGCGATTCACTGCCGTCCTGCGACGGCGTGTCGAGAGGCGAAGACACGTTGCCTGGCGAAACGGTTGCATTTCTGTTGACGTCCGACGTATACGCCGACTGAGCATTAGCGCAGGTAGGAGGCGTCGCCATGGTCGATGAGGGGAATACCAAGTCAGAGATGGAGAAGGAGCGATTCGGCGCTGGTGTTACTGGCATCTCGAAGCTAGCATGCATGGAAGATGCTGGTGATGCTGGCATCGACATGGACAGAGCCGCAAGGGATTGCACGACCGAAGGGTGGGGCGGTGTGCGGGCAGTGCCACTGGAAGAAGGCGCTTCTGCACCTGCGCTTGCTGCACCTGTTCCAAGCGTTGTAAGTGCTTTGACCTCTTCGCGAAGCAGGTACAGAATGCGGCGCGTCACATTGCCGATCACGGGCTCAAACGGGTGCGCATTTTGCAAATGGTGACCGACTATGCGAATGATGCGAACGAGCTCATCTAGCTGCCACACTTTTGTTGCACTGATGACAGTTCGCACTGTCTTTGCAGTCGCTTGCGCTATAGCCTCCGTCGACACAATCTGATGCCGCCGGAGCTTGTTTTCCAGCTCTTTCACGGCTATGAGGGATGCACGATCGTGTATCACCTGCTCAAGACTTCCGCTGCTGCTCATGGGCCCCCAGGAGTGACAAGAAAAGAGGCTAAGAGGCACAATTGCGACGCAAAAAGAATCAGAAAACAAAGGCTCGTCCGCCCGTCGACGTCAACGAGATCACAGCCTTGCTTTCGCGAAAATCCAGTCTCGCGAGTGTCGTCGTCGACAATGCGCGCCCAGCAGGTCGGATGAACTCGCCTCCGTCAGCCATCCTGTGAACACAAGCCAAGCACAGCGACGCAGCAGCGGGGTGATATCACGTGATATTACCACCTACCTCTTCTCTACGGCTCGGTCTACGCGAGCAGATGCTTCCAGGTTGGGTATTACGTAGGCGGTATGTACGTGTGGGGGAAAAGAGGACAAGGGAGAGGGGTGGGGACGTGTAGGGATGTGTTGGTTTACGGCGGAGTTGGATTGTGGCGATATGCAGAAGATGAAGAGGGCGGTGTCGGTGGCGGTGGCGCACGCCTTCTTGGAGCAGCACTGACACCATCAGCAGGAGAAACGTCATACTCGACATGCATAGATGCTTTGTGTGCCTTGGAAAACAGGCGCTTCGGGAAGAAATGCCGCTTTTCGTTCTTTCCATTCCAGTGGCGTAAAACATAGTGGCGTAGAGATGATGAGGCCGGCGCAGAAAGCGCAGCAGTATCCAAGGTGGGGCTGGGTATGGCGGAGGCATCTTCAGAACTGTGAGCTCGTGCTAGTGGCGCGGCAGTCGCCGCGATCGCTGGCACCGCATGCGGGGGTATATCGGGAGCACGTCGTCGCACGTGTGGCATGCGAGTTTGGGGCGAGCTGCTTGCCGGCGACAAGGACGAGGACGAAGAGTCGGCATGCAGGTCAGGCATGGATGCAGATGTCAACTGCAGCGGCAGCGGCACTTGCAGCTCAGCAGGCCGTGGGGGCCGTGGCGGAGGAGGACGGCGTCGTTTTCCGTCAGCGCTTTGTGTGGAATCGACGCTTGGACGCCTTTGGCTCGTCCAAGACTCGAGTGATAACACGTCCAAGTCCTGTGCTAGGGTGTCGTCGTGTGCAGCAGCCTCCGCATACGACGGCGGCTCAAACTCGGGCCACATCACAGACAGTAGATCGCCGTTGTACGCGCCCTTCGTGCATATAATCGATGCAGCGGTTGACTGCAGACTCACGAGGATCAGCATGTGCTGGATGGAAGCATCTGAGGGCTCAGCGTGGAAATGCGGACGATCCTCACTGTACTCCTTCGTAAGAGACGCCACGCGTGCCTCGCCACCGCGGATGGGTGCAACGAGTGTAGCTCCATCGGGCGAGAAGCCAACGCACCATTCAGCGTTGAGACAATGCTCAGCAAGCGCCAAGGTACGCTCACTTGTATCGTGCAGGCGAGACGCATACACCATGTTGGTCAAGAGACGTGTGATGTGCGTACGTTTGTAAGGCTCTGTGCACAGTTGAGTTTGCGTGAGCAGAGCATGAAACACGCATAAATACGCCTGGCGCAACAAATCAAATGCGTCTGGTAAGTCACTCAACTCACGCAAGAAAATGTCCACCAGCACTTTGAGATCATTCACGTAAAAGTAAGACGCGGTCTCTGGAAGACAAAAAATTGCACCGAGCAGTTTGAGCACCAGCAAGTGAAAGCGACACCCATCAAATGTTGTACTTGGCGTGCGGTTCAGAAGAAACACGAGATTTTCGCTGCATGTCTTGCTCGAGTTCAACTGCTGCTCAATGTGGGGGAGAAGCGTTGTTGCATACGTCGACATCATGCACTGGTCGTGCAAGGCTAGGATCACTCGCATGCACTGTGCACTGTACTCGGATGAGTCGCTTGTTTCCATCACGACAAACAGATGATCCACGAAATGCGGCGTCAGCACACGCATGTCCTGAGCTCGCCAACGCACAGAGCATAGGATCTCGTATAGGATATGGATCGCATGGAAGTCGACACATACAAGGATGTGGCGCGACAGACTTTCTGTGCTGGAAGACGCAATCTTTGTGCCAGCTGGGCCGTGTCGAAGAAGCAGCCGTCTTTCAGTCCTCAAGTGATGGCAATGTGGCAAAGGCAGTGCTGGCTCGTAACAAGTATCCGAGTCGTGCGCGAATGCAGCATTTGCCTGCGACGCATAGTGACCAGCCCATATATTGTGGATCAGCTTTTGTACGAGCGTATGAGGAGAGTCTGTTAGCAGCCATCGATACCAATTCGGATTGCGTTCACCCGCAGCCAGTACGACTGCATACAGAACGGTCAGCTCAGCCTCCGGCGCCATAGGCAGGCGTGCACGCACGACGTCCAGGATGCAAGACATAGATTCATCTGGAACGGCATTCAGATCAAGACATGACTCGGTCTGGGACGAAGCCGTCTTACTGGTCAGGAGATGAGCTACACATTGTGTGGCAAAGGCTCGCTGGGCAGACGTGTCGCGCAAATGCGTGCTGACATATGATATACTCATGCTCCGCAGCACTTTGTACAAGAAGGTACGCGCATCCTGACCCGCATGCAATGACAACAATGCTGTTGGCGGGATTGATGCCATGTATGGATGGGGCGCGCGTCGTCACTTGTTCTCCCTCCCGCCCTCCCACTGGCTATGGGAAAGTAAGTCTTACACGTAGGTCCATCCACCCAGTTGTCCGTGTGTGTTTGTGTGTGGAGAAAATAGTCTCTCTCGTTCTGTTCCAACAAATCGGTGCCCCGTGCATGCGATCAAGTTGAGGCCTGAGCTTGTCGAGGGAGTGAGGGATTTTTCGTTTCTCGGATTCTTTGTGAACGCAGGCCGTTGGTGGAAGGGCGCGTGCGTTGCAGCTATCGATGGTAGATCGAATTGCTTCGTGGCCAAAAGACGACGACGCATTCCAGTCACATCTACAAGAGCAGCGACATGCCATCCTTTCGATCCTGTCCAATGCATTGCCACCTGCAGCCGATACCGAGCCCTATATGGGACAAGAGTGTGTGGGACTAGGTGATGCCTGGCGTGCACTGTATGCGCTCGTACGCAGCAGTGTTCATGAGCACGAAGGTAATAGCTGCATCGTTGTTGGCGAGAGTGGCTGCGGCAAGAGTCTGCTGGTCGAGTCAGTGTTGCGGCGCATCAAAGCAGAATGTCACGACAAAGAGCAAATGGGGCAGCATGCATCGCCATGGACCGTGTCGTTGTCGGCGCTGGTGCACCCAACGGACCGACAGTGCCTCTCCGACATGGCCCGCCAACTCATGGACCAGGGCGCTATGGGCCTTGATGATGTCGACGATATACTAGGGCGCGAGCAGCAAGACATGGACTCGGATACTGAGAGTGATGACCGGCCATTGGCCGAATGGGCCTCAGCATCTTTGCCGCCCACGATGCACAGAGCCCGTTCGCCCACGCAAACTGGGATGGGCTTAGAGGCCCATTTGGCTTTAGACCCCGAGTTCGAATCGGAGCATTTGGTGGATGCGGATGTGGAAGAGGCGGGGATGGCTGAGGAGGACGACGACGAAGAGGGAGAAGGAGAGGAAGAGCTGGTCGCGAGTGACAATGTTGTCAGTGTAAGAGAGCATGCCGCGCATGCACAACCAAATGCATCGGCGTCTGTGCCGGACTCGTTCGCGCAATCTATCCTATCGACGCTTTCGGCCACTTTATCGCACATCCTTTCGCTTCTCACTCGCACCAGCTCGACGGGTGAGACAAGCCACAAGCGGCCGCTCGTCATTGTGCTCGATCAGTTTGAACAGTTTGCCCAACGACCACGCCAAGCTCTCCTGTACTGCTTACTGGACGCGGTCCAGGCCGCAAGCTATGCACCTGGCCTCCTTATCATTGGCTTGTCGACGCGTGTGGATGCACCTGACTTTCTTGAAAAGCGTGTCAAGAGTCGCTTCTCACATCGCTCCGTGCATGTCCACCCGCCGTCGTTCGAACAGTATATCATTTTGACGCGGACAGCGCTCTTGGCTGGCGCATCACCAAGCACTCCTTTCGGCAAGACATGGTGCCACGAAGTTGACGCATTGCTCCAGGACAGTGCATTCCGTGCGTGTATTCAGCACCTGCATGCCCTCAGTGGCGACGTACGTTTCTTGTATCAAGCGCTGACGCCACCTGTCGCTGCGCTTAGTGTGGCGAGTCCATGCCTCGAAGCTGGCGCCTTCGTGCACGCAGCAGAACTGCAACGCCACGACCCTACACTAGCTTTTATGCTGGAACTGTCGATGCCTGAGATGGTCTTGATGATCACTGCTCGGCACCTGCAGCTTTCGGAGCATGAGCCATTCACTTTTGAAATGTGCTTCCATCATATTTGCCAGTTTGTCAAGCGAGCGCAGCGCGACTTGGGCACTGCCATCGATGCGACGGAGCGCCGCATTGTTAATGTGTCGATGGCGGGTCTGGATGCCCTCGCATCTCGTGAGCCAATGCAGCAGGCGTTCCAACGCTTGCTCGATGCCGAATTGTTGCTGCCCGAGCCTGCAAGGGTGACCCTCGCTCTGCCCAGCGGCATTGCTTCTCGCACAGGCACAGTAACCTCGCCCTACGGCACGCTGCCAGGGCCTACCGTGATACCCACATTTCTGCGCGTTCGCTCGCAAGTGTCGGCGAAGGCTATCCTCGAGAGTGTTTGTAGTCCTGAGCGTGTGGAGCCGCTAAGTTCTCTTATTGTCAAGTGGGCCGAGTCTACAGGCTTGTAATGTATCCAACTATTCTATTCATCCCCTGCCGCCTGTGCTACAGTGAGCTCAGCTCCATGTCCATAGAGACCCGATTGGCAACGCACGAGACCATGCTCGTTGCGACAAAATGGAGAATCTCCTTCCAGCAGAGAAAGCAGAGGATAGGTGTGGTGAATACAGGCAGGGCGGTTCGCCACTGCTTACGTACATGGATCACTTGTTCTAGGGCACCTGGTAGACCGACCAGCATCATCTCGAGACAGGCCGGCTCTGAGGTGCCCAGATACGTGCTAACTAGAATTCATAGTCCTGTGGGCGGCCTACGGATGGAAATGACGCATCCTTGGCGACATGTAAGCCGCGTTGTCGAAGATCGCCCAGTCCCGTGAACAGACGAGGGCCTGAGCGTGTGGCTGGCTGCTGTGACTGAGGCTGAGGTTGCGATGGCGATGGCGATCGGACCTGTGGTGACGCAGCTTGACGCTCATCAGCGTGTGCATCTGCTGATGAAGACATAGAGGCAGACACAGGCGCAGGCACTGTCGACCTCGATGACAAGGATCGGTCAGAGTGCTTGGCACCAGCTGTTTCAGCTTCCGCGCTTGTCACACCGACAGAGTGAGATGTGGAGAAAGGATGAGGCGTCGTACGACGCTCATTTACGCCACCATCTGTGTCAAGATGCAGTGTCTCGATGGCAATGCGCTTGCGCTTGATTTTGAACGCGAGGTTATTCTCCCCGCCCCCAGCACCACCCTCATTCGCACCTGACTCGAGAGACGCCCCTGCACCCATGCCACGCAAGATCGACGCACGCAGCGAAGGATTCGTCAATGTACCGATTGATGGCGTCTTGTACACACGCACGGCACCCATAAAGTCAGGAAATATGTCCGAGAGACCCGGCATCGCTGCGAACGACGAAAGACCTATGCATCCATCCATGAGATGCATGAGCCGATGCGCCAAATTGATGCCCTGCTGAGCATCTTTTCGAAATGTATACACGTGAGAAGAAAGGGACAGGCTCACTAGCGTTGGTATAGGGGGTATCGTGGAACCTGGCATAGGCATCGAAAGCGTGCGAGCCAGTGAGCGCAGCCGAAGAAGAAAGCGAATCGCTTCTGCACTATGCGTGGAAGGCGACATCCACATAGGCGATCCAAAGGCACGCAAGTCGATCCGAAGTACGGGCGTCCGGGTATGGCTAGCAATTTTGCAGTGCTCTACTGCTTGAAGAATGGCATCCCACGCCACACGGAATGGGTCTTCTGTGTCTAGTGAAACAGTTGTGAGCTGCTGCTCAGCCTTTGCTTGGCGGATCGTGTCTGGAGAGATCCGCCTGCTCAAGTCAAACACATGACTTGTGGTCGCCGACGGTAGCGAATGCTTCCGCATCTCACGCGGCTGCTGGCCGTATCGCCAAGCGATTTTCATGCGCTGCATGTCTTCAGCCACATGCGTTGAGTCCTTCGGTTTTGAAGAGGACGATGCGGAAACCTTCGATCCAGCGGATGACGACGTCTCCTCTGACTCGTCGGCCTGGCTCATGAGCTGAGATACAAATGCTTCTGCCGACTCGCCAATCACCACATTGACATGATGTGAAGCGAGCCCTTCGGCTGTCACATACCCTAAGAACAGGTCTGTGTATGCCTCGGCGGCCGAATACGCTGCATCGTCGTATGTGGCATGCAAGTCTCCGCCAAGCATTGGAGCGCCAAGCATGGCTGCAGACTCATTCGCAGTGCTTGCACACGGAACAAATGCTAGCATAGAGCCGGCAAGAATGCCTCCACCACACATGATATCGTCCAGCGCGGGTATCCCCGTCGACAAGAGTGGGACAGGCGCATCATAAGGCGCTGATCTTACGCCCTCAGGCGCTTTGCGTGCATGACTGGGCGATGATGTAAAGCGTCGAAATGCAGACATGTCCGCCAATGGAACAAAGTATGGAAACAGCGAGGCGGATCAAGACGCTGCGACGCGTCGTCGTCGTCGTCGTCGTCATACGTACAAGCGGCGGCATGCGGTACGTGGGCGACATATGTCACGTGATAAATCGATCGAATCGACGCGTGTGCGCACATCGTCATCACTGAGGCGAGAGAGGGGACTGGATGCGAGTGTGTGGCCAACGGTCGTCTACGTCTGACTGTCTTTGCTACTGCATCCGGCTAGTGGTGTCGACACTTTCCGTATGGTAACTGCCGCTGCTGCTGCACCATCGCATATCATGGCGCAAATGCAGCCTGACAAAAAAGAGAAGGACGTGGCGGTGGAACAGCCGCCACCAGCCGGAGTGCAATCGTTCTTCCTGTCCAAGATTCAATCATATGAACTTACGATCAATGAAAAAGCGCAAAATTTACGCCGCTTAGAAGCGCAGCGAAACGCACTCAATGCACGCGTCCGCTTGATCCATGAAGAGCTCCAACTCTTGCAAGAGCCCGGGTCGTACGTGGGCGAGGTGGAAAAGGTCATGGGAAAGAAAAAGGTCTTGGTCAAGATCCAGCCCGAGGGCAAGTATGTCGTAGGCATTGCGCCAGATATTGATGTCACGCAGCTGAAGCCATCGCTGCGTGTAGCCCTTCGCTCCGACTCGTATACTCTTCACAAGATCCTGCCGAACAAAATCGATCCCCTCGTCTCGCTTATGATGGTTGAAAAGGTGCCAGACAGTACATACGAAATGGTCGGTGGCCTTGACCGGCAAATCAAAGAAATCAAAGAGGTCATTGAGCTGCCAGTGAAGCACCCTGAACTCTTTGAAAGCTTAGGTATTGCGCAGCCAAAGGGCGTACTACTGTACGGACCTCCTGGTACCGGTAAGACACTGCTCGCCCGCGCCGTGGCGCATCATACCGACTGCAAGTTCATCCGAGTTAGTGGCAGTGAGCTTGTGCAGAAGTACATTGGTGAGGGTAGCCGCATGGTCCGTGAATTGTTCGTGATGGCTCGCGAGCATGCCCCGTCAATCATCTTTATGGACGAGATCGACAGCATTGGTTCAAGCCGTGGTGACGACGGCGGAAATGGAGACTCAGAAGTTCAGCGCACAATGCTAGAACTGCTGAACCAATTGGATGGATTCGAGGGCACACAGAACATCAAGGTCATCATGGCGACGAACCGAATCGATATTCTCGACAGTGCGCTGCTGCGTCCTGGTCGCATTGACCGCAAGATTGAGTTCCCGCCGCCAGGTCCAGAGGCTCGTGTGGCTATTCTGCGCATTCACTCTCGCAAAATGTCTTTGCAGCGTGGGATCAACCTGCGTGTGCTCGCGGAAAAAATGGGCCAGTGCTCGGGTGCCGAGGTCCGCGGCATTTGCACGGAAGCTGGTATGTATGCATTGCGTGAAAGACGACAGCATGTTTCTCAAGAGGACTTTGAGCTCGCGATAGCCAAGGTCCTTAAACGCCACACCGACGGCTCTATGAGCGTCAATAAACTCTTTACATAATTCCTTCTATACTTTTTTTCCTCTACGACGGTTTAAATTGAACAGAGTATCCTCCGCCCTCTTGCTGCTGTAGCTCAAAATTGTCTGTCGATAAGCCGAACCAGCCGAGCACTTTGTCCCCCACGTTCTTGAGCTGACCCAACATTTCCTTCTTTTCCTTCTCACCTGCTGCTTGCACCAATGGTGGTAACCGCGTGAGCGCCTCTCGAAGTTCGGCATGGAATGATAATGGCACAAGGCCTTCCCTTTCCAGTGTCTCGAGCTTTTGGTAGTCTTTAGGCAAGGCTGTAAGCCGTATGCCGACGTTTGGGAAAGAGGCGCCAGAAAGCACGTACCTTTGAGCGCGGCATGAAGATTCGTCCAGCCACCTAATGTCTCACTCGCGATTGCACGGCGATGCAAGGCCTTGACATTCCTGGGATCCTCCGCAATGGCTATGGCAGTTAGATGTGATACACAAGCACATACCTTCATTGGCTGCTTTCTCTGCATCCTTGTATTGCTCCTTTATGATGTTTCAGCACTCTTCCGCATAGAACAAACTATGCACGTACCAGCTTAAGATGCGCCGCAGCGAGATTCGTTTGGATCTTGATGCGCGTGTCGCGTATCTTGTCAGTCACACTCTCATTGACCAAAGTATGTGTTCGAGCCGTGTCTGTCGGGTTCTTTTCCACACGCGGGGGAAGGCGAAGCAAAGCGTCTTTGTAGTGCGTAATGGCTTGTGCGTACTGTGTCTTTTGAAAAGACTCGTTTCCTTGCGATTTAAGCGACTCGGCCTCTTCCCACAGCTTGTCTACGGGCACATCAGCCTGTCCATCTGGCTCCGCACACCCATCACATTCCTTCGACAAAGCTGGGGGCATGGCCATTGGTGAGAGCGGCACACGCTTGTGGAGAATCAGACGTAAGGAACTACACACCACGCAGGGACATGAGTAATAATTGGACCTATTTTCTGAAGCTTCGCGAGGCCACTTTCAGCACTATGGGCTACGACTCTATTTTCACACGTTTCACACTAGGCTCAGCCTCTGTGGACGGTGACGGTGGGTTATGCACATTGCTTGACTCCTTGTTTGGTGCTGAAGACGCGTCTGCCTTATTGTCTTTGGGTTGTGGTGGATTATAAGGTGGACGAAAGTACGGTTGCAAGTACCAGTGAGGAATATAGTCTGGTCGAGTAGCTCGATCAGAGGCATCTTGGATATGCGGCGGAGCAACGTAGTGATGTGGCAACTCACTTGGTCGGGTATAGTATGTTGGTTGTGATGCATCGGCTTCGAGGCGCTTCTCAAGCTCATGTACAAATGCGCGATACTCACGGATTTGATGCTCGCCATCGCCGTCGTCGTACGTGTGTGCATTGCCCAGAACGGGTCTCAAGTCTGTATGGATACACAGTGCAGGGCGCGTGATCTTGAACATGTGGCCCTTGAGCGCACTGTGAGAGGTGGGTGTCTTGAGCCTGGCAACGATATCAAGGTACTCATGAGCGATACGAATCAACTGCATAGGTTCGAATTGCGCATGATCTGCTGCTGGATCACAGAGCACGGACAGATCTCGTCCCAACTCACGATGGAATAGAGTTGGGTTGTACAAGTTGCCTTCCGCACTCATGACTCCGTCACATCCAGTATAGGCTAGACAGTCACGCCAGTCTTGAGCGTAGAGAATATTGCCATTTGCAAACACAGGGATCGCGAGCGCTTCTTTGACAGCGCGCATAATGGACCAGTCAGCAAGGCCTGTTTTGTGTCCCTTCATTTCGCGCGTACGGCCGTGCACCGTGACAATCTGCGCACCTGCCCTTTGTATCATACGCGCGTAAGCAATGCTCTTTTCGACCGAGTCATACACGCGGAACTTGGCCGTCACGGGCACCTTCAGATTCAAATGCAATGTGTTGATGAGACGGAACACCAAGTCCCAATCGTCCATGAGAAACGCACCGAACTTTCCGCGTTTTGCAATCTGCTGAGGGCATCCCAAGTTCAGATCAACCGCATCACACTTGTCCTGCACGGCTTGTGCTGCCTCTAAGAGCATATCCGGGTCATTCGCACAGAACTGTACGATCAGCGGACGGTCAGAGTCTTTTCTATCATCGCAGAGATCAAGAGTGTGTGCACCCTCCTCGCCCACATCCTGGTTAAAGAACCCTTCCCGCACGCGATGAGTGCCACGGCCTTGCTGCACGTAGATTTTTGCGTTGATCATCGGGGTGTACACAAGATCGGCGCCGTACCTGCGGCAGAGTATGCGCCATGCAAGCTCCGATTGGTCTACCATGGGAGCCACGATGCATTTTGGGGAGCCCAGACTCTTGTACAGGTCGTAACCTTCCAGTTTGTGATGGTGCGGTGTGCCAGTTTCTGGGAATGCATCGACATCCGGGATCACCGATCCCATCCTGCGTACCTGAGCAACGCGTTGACAAGATGCCACGATGTAAGAAGCTCGGGGCAAGACAGATACGCGCCTTGGTACCAAGCCGAGAATGGTCGTGGGTATGTATGTGTCTGCCACTAGGTATGTCTTGCAAGTTGGGACGCCACCACGTAATTTTCCAATATAGTCAAAAATGCCGCGGTGCCAATTTTTTCCACTTCGATATGTGTTGAAAAGCTCTTCTCTTCATCCAAGGTCGGTGGAGGCGAGATACGCACGTCTTGTTTTGGACGTGCCCTTTTTTGCAGCTATCCACCATCGCGACTCGTTACATCCACGAGTCTGATGGATCATGCAGCCGTGATACCCATAGCTGATGTGCATCAGGAACTAGATGTGCACAGGAAAGTCCGTATGGCTGGGTTGTACGTCATGAACTTTTTTTTTTCACACGTAGCTGTGTTTCGTACGACCCCAGATCCGCCGAGGCCATTCTTGAGCATGAGCACAAGCAGATTGTCGTTGACTTGTCACTCGTAGTGGAGCACTCTATGTTTTCGCTCCCTCCGCGCTCTAAGCTCATGTGTTTAGGGACATTGGAGCGTCGTTGCACCGATGCGTCCAACCAAGGCACCGAATGTATACACTCACGCACGGAAACATGCGTGCCTCTCATCTTACGCGCGATCTTTGCTAAGGTCGTGGACGAACTTGACTTGCGCCTTTGGGCCACGGCTGCACGAAGGCTACGTGCTTATCTGAGTGAAAATTAAGACCCGAAGGCCAAGAGCATCTTCTCGGCGACCTTGTCCCTCCTACACGGCCATGTTCAATACCCACGCGCTAATATTTCGTTTCCGCTGGCTAGCCTATTGAAATTATTCGCACTGAGCAATTCGCCCATCTTGATCACTCTCCACATAATGACATCATCACGACTCGATCGTGATCGTGTGCGTGATGGACCTATGACATACCGTGGTACGTTGGCAAGGCGGGGCGGGCAGGGATTAGAAAGAGCGGGACTTATGTAGAAACGATCGATATGATAACAGAGCTTTGTATGCCGAGTTGCTAATGCAGTGGAATGTGCCTTTCATACGATCCTTTGTGTTCGTCAAGTATATCCCGCGAATGTGTTTGTGCGACGGCGGATGTATGACACTCCTGTATTTGAAAGTCGGCATCCAGTGCTCAGCAACTACATTCGCGACGTAGTACGTGCCATCGCGCGTGAACTGGATGAGGTATGTGCGTTCTTTTACAAGGCGGTAGGGCGGGGTGGTGTGGGCTCACAAGGATAGTCTTCCATTCGTCAGGTCATTTTGTCCATTGGGTATGAGGATGCGCCAGATCCGTGTGACGCATTGGAAAAATTTGTGTTCGGCTTTACTCTACTTCTTCCCATGACAGATAAGCGTGACAGAGACGTCGTGATCCGTGGCAACTTGTCTCGTGCAACGGCCGACTTGGTGGCGCGGCAATTCCTTTTGCAGATCCTGACGGTGAATTCTCGCTTACGGCCTGTTGATTCTGATTGTCGACGTACGTTTCGCACAAACGTTTTTTTGGAACTAACAGCTGATCAAAAGCACTCACATTCCGCATCTTAGTAGACATGCTTGATGGGTGCACGCCTACAGGCGGGGGCATCGACGAGCCCACGTATGGATCGTGGGGACCAGCATCTGGCTATCCATTTAAAGCGAACAAGATGGATCAAGCTAAAGCATCTATCGCTACGTCTGATTGGGCTGCTGCTACGGCTGCTACCACTGTATCGTCACTCACCAGGCCGCGACCAGTATTGCATCCACTCCAATCGCTTGATTCCGGTGTTATCCACGTCGCCTTGCGTGTGGAAGAATTTCCGCTTTTCAAGCAGAATACACCTGGTCATGCGTTGTCGTCTGGTGATGCTACATGGAGTAGTAGCAATACGCCCACTCCATCCGCAGCTACTCACAAGCCCATGGAAACGGCGCGCACGCCGCCGCGTGACCTTGACGATCCTATGCTGGAATACGATGTGGGAGAAAGAGTTTCGCAGATCCCACTTCGGAAACGCAAGCTGTTTGCGCAGGTACAGGGCGGCGGTGGCCCCATGTCTGATGAGTCTAGCGAGTCTTACTCGTCTTCCAGTAGCGATTCAAGCTTGAACTAGATGTGACAGACAAGTTACGTGACAAGATGGTTGGAGGCGAAGGGGAAGGGAAGTGCGGAGGTACATGAGAAAAAAAAAAGTGACCGTGAGAGGGATCATGGATACTTGTGTCGTCACATTTGGGGGCTCTCGGCCATGGAAGGCTCTGCTGAGGGAGCCGGAGCTGACGATCCGCGTGTCTGCTCATGATTGTTGTCATCAAAATGTGCCTGGTCACTCGTTCGGACCCATTTGAGGATGCGAACGGGTGTCGATGAGCGCATAGCCTCGGCATCGGGTCCCAATCGCTCAGCGAGGCCTAAGGACACGCCCTGAACCTGTCCCTGAGCATGACCCTGCTGCGCTTGCCCTTGTCCTTGATTCTGTGCCTGAACGGATGATTGATGTAGTCCAGAGGGAACAACCCATTCACGTCGCCACACATACACTGGTTCCTTCGTGCTACGTTGCAACTCGAGCTCCTGGCCAAAGCGGCCGCCCGTCGTACGAGACATGGGGGTGGAGCAAGTGGAGCCTGGACAGTCAGCCTGGAATATTGCACAGCGACTGTACAAGCACGCGGTGAGGCGCGAGAATGATGCCACGAGGCCCCCTATTTTGTGGTCTGTCCGAGGATTTTATTACCTAAGCAGATGCTCGTGAAATAGACACGCACTACCAGCAACCTGCAATGGGCATGAAAGGGGAAATATTGGGTGATGATGAGTGGCCAAGGCCAGTCTATGTACGAGAGGGTGATGTAGTTGTGATAGAGGGCCATTGTGAGCGTGGTCGCCACAGTCCGTCCTGGCTGTAACGTGGATTCAGCGCAAAGTGGACGCCCGTGTGGCTTCGGCGCGAAATTGGAAAGAGCCATGAATAGGGAGGCCCTAAACTCAGCTGCATGTTCAGCAGGTACGGTGGACCAACGAACCAAAACGATGGAACAGGCTGATGGTGTTGCTGACGCTGCCGGAGTAAGCGGGACGTTGTCATAGGCGTGGCTAAGGCACACGCGCCATATATCTGAGGCGTGTGTGCATAGGCATCAGAGCGTGTTAAGCCGAGTTTCTTCTCGAGCTCCCGCTCCCGCTCACATGCGCTGGGAGATGATACTGAATACTCAAACTCAGCGATACTGCCGATCCACCATGGGTTTCCTTCGCGCAGCGGATGCCCCCACTCGTCATTCCATGCTTTTCGCATACGCTGACGAGCGCGAAGTCGGCGAAAAGCCGCAAGAGGGCCACGGCCTAATGAGCCGCCTTGGCCCGCATCAGAGAAGTAGCGCCGTTGCACCATGCCTTCACGCGTACGGAGAGAATTGATGGCTCGTTGCTCGATCGAGGTGAGGTTGTGGCCGCTCATATGGATATGCACAGATACGAGAGAGCCGGTGAAGAGGAAAAAAAAGAAGCTTATTGCAAAAACACTGATCATGAATCCATCGACACTCCAATGGTGGATGGCATCTCTCCATGATGACGACGATCCTTGCGAAAGTACGCCACGGGAAAAGAGTGGTGCCATACTGACGATCACGTATGTAGACAAAATCAGGCCCCATAGCACGGTCATGAAGTACAAGTGGTAATTATGTGCACCGACGCAGCCGCCGATCCACGGGCAGTGGTGATCCATCCGCAGAACACACGTGCCACATTTGCGACAGTGATGTGCTCGAGGAGGCCGCGCACGTTGGCACTGTGTACAAAACAGCTGTGCAGGATCGTACAGTGGTACGTCAGGGGGGATCCGGTGTGGTTCGGGCAATCGAGTGTCGAATGCTGGCGCTGGAGCAACGTGTGTGGCCGAGGGAGGCATGCGTTGAGACGACAGATCATGGGTCCATGCCTGTGGAACAGAGGTCGCCTGGCCGGTTGTATGCAAATAGGCATTTCCTTGTAAGTTGAGAGACGGATTCAAATCTGCAGGGGGTTTTGTATCAGGAGGCCGGCGCGGTGCTGGACTCTGGTTCTCGCCCGAGTATGGGGCTATGATAGCAGACCCTTGCAATGGAGACGAGTTGAGCGGCACGGTCAATGAACGGCCAGGCGATTCGTCGTCTGTGAGCAGTGAGCTTTGAACCATAGAGGGCGGCGTCACATGCGATAAGGGAACAGAGTGGGACTTGTCGTGCGAGACAGGCGCCTCTGGATCCATGGGTGACATGTCGAGACTCAATTCAAGCTCACGCCATCGCTGCTCACGCTCCTCGATGGGTGAGAAAAGGCGCGTATTTCGCACACTGTCGGCATTGTCTGGACTGAATGGCGTTATTTCATTATGGTCAGCCGCGCCAGGCTGTCTTTCAATGTCGATGGGCATGGTGGCAGAAGCAGGAGCAGTGACAACGCAGCCTGTTTCTATATCCAATGTCTTTGCCGCCGCTGCCTCAGTCACCAAGTCTCGAACGTAGCCAGGATGCGACGCAACCACTGTGGCAAAACACCACGACAGCATAACCCAAGGAACTAAGAATCCAACCAGCAGTCCAATGCCTTCGCGCTTGGATCCCAACGCACTCTCTTTCTGCGCAATCATCGGATAACATACTCGCCACACATAGATGGCACACGTCCACATGATACAAACAGCCACCAACACTGGATTTGCATATCGGATCCACCAGGGATCAGGCCTTGTGCTGTTCTGCACACCTATTCGCTGAGCTACCCCGATGCCGAGACGCGCAAGCACGCCCTGTGATGCGCCACCCGGCATCGAAACGCGTCGTGTCTCTGCGTCGGTTCAGCTCTTCACACAAAGGCACGTCGCCAATGCTCACAATAACACGCACGAACTCCGCAATTCGGTCTGTCCTCTCATCCCACCCCACTTCTGCTGAATCAATCCATCAGTGATGCACGTTTTGTCCTATTTTTTTTTTTCCTAAGCCATGGCCCCACCACCCGCCTCCACACTCTTGCATTTCGACCTGGGCGTAGTCTGAGCATCCTGTTCTAAGGCCTTGTAGGACCGCTCACGCGCGCACGTCCGCTTCATTACTACAGACAGAGCCTTGCCATCCATTCACTACCCTTTCATCGACCCGCATCCATTGTCGCTGCTAGGTCAGACCTCATGAGCCACATCAAGAGGCAACAACGGCGCTGGGTGTCGCTGTTAGGCTCCGTGATTATTGCGTTATCAGCAGGCAGCACCTATGTATTCAGTTCATACGCGCCCCAACTTCAAGAGGCATTGCATCTGTCGAGCACGCAGCTCAATATCCTTGGTCTCGCAGGCAACTTGGGCATGTACATGTCCGGGCCAGTATGGGGACGATGGATTGACCAAGCTGGTCCCTATGGTGCTGTGATCAGTGGTGCGTTTCTGGTGTTAACAGGCTATGGTATGCTGTCCCGAGCGCACAAGTATGCGTGGACTGATATGCCTGTGCTGATGCTCTCTTTCTTTTGTCTGTGCACGGGTCTGGGTAATTCAGCAGGCAACAATGCAGCCATCAATGTGCAGGCCAAGAGTTGGGGAGAAGACCACCGTGGATCAGCTATGGCACTTGTACTCTCAGCGTTTGGGCTTAGTGCCTTTGTGTACTCGACACTGTCACACACGTTCTTCACCGGCAATGTTACAGGATATTTGGACATGCTTGCACTCGGCAGTTTCTCCTGCTTTATTGTCGGCATGATGCTGATCAAGATTGTGCCGCCCAGTGAGGGTGAGCAGGCGCAACAGACTGCGTCGTCGTCACAATATGAGCGTGTGCCAGATCGGGAAGACCCAGAAAGAGATGCAATGCCGGGTCGCAAGCCTCTACGCCGCATGCGCTCGTCTTCGGAGACGAGTGCGCGTGTTATAGCATGGATCCGCGATGTCCACGAGTCCGAGTATGGGCACGCGGATGACGACCAAGTCATAGACGAGCGAGATCCCGGCACAACTGACATTACAGGGCTGCAACTTGTGCGCAATGTGGACTTTCTCCTTCTGTTTACCATTCTAGGCTTTCTCAGTGGCTCAGGCCTTTTGCTCATCAACAATGTCGGCACCATAACTCGCGCACTTTGGGACCATGCCGAGCGTGAGAACAGGCTGGTAGTGGGGAAGACCACTACAGACATGGCTTGAGTCGCTCACTGGTGTGGGTGCTGAATTCGTGAAAAAGGCCGGCAAGAAACAGGCCGTGCAGCGTGTCCAGGCCTTTCAAGTGTCTTGCATCAGCGTCGGCAATGCGCTGGGTCGGATTTTGATTGGGCTCGTGTCAGACTATCTAGTCTATGTGACGCAGCGTGCATCGTATCGAACGCTGCTGCTGATACCAATCGTGCTATTGGCTATTGCGTCGCAAAGTCTGGCTGCTTGGCCCGGTGTGATAACTACTGTGCACCGTCTGTTGTTTGTGTCGGCCATGACCGGTCTCATGTACGGCTTCCTGTTTGGTTTGGGGCCCGTGCTTGTGTTTGAATGGTTCGGCGTCAGCTCATTCAGTGAGAATTGGGGCTGGATGAGTTTTGCGCCTGTGATTTTTGGGAATGTGTACAATATCATGTTTGGAAGGTATGTAACGCTTGCTTGTGCGCGAGTGAGAGGGAGAGAGATCCGCGCGCCTTCATCGTCGGGCAACTAACACGAGTGTTTCTTTATTCTTATTATTTATGTTTTTTTTTTTTTTTTTTTTTTTTTTTCTTTGTTCTTTTTCGAATGTTCAACGCCATCAGAATATACGATTCCAATGTCCCTGAAGGTCGTCATCATGTGCACCGCTGCCTCAAGGGTGAAGAGTGCTATCGCTCCGTCTTCCAATTCACGACGGCAGGCTGTATCTGTGCACTTGTCGTTTGCGTCGTGTTGATCATGCGTCGCATCGATGGGTTGGTGCAGAAACTTCGTTCCTTGGTGATTCCTCGTAGACTAGCTATTGAATAGCCGTGAGTGTAACTGGTCATGCCGCGCTTGGACAATATCTCCCAAAGGCCACGTCGTGCACGCCACATCCATATCAGTATCGTCGAGTTCGTCATCAAGCCATGCGTCCTCACTTTGACTCGTGTCCCGGTATGCGTATGAGACGAGCTTTTCACTCGCGTGCCGAGACAAAAGAGCTTCGCTTCGAGACACAACGTGTCGCAGTTTCGTTGCCAGAAGCTGGTGTGCCAGGTACGGCCCCAAGGTGTTGAGCCGGATGGAGCAGGACATGAGATTGCGCGCTTGTAGAAACAGGTTAACATGAATCATGCGCTCCACGGAGAGACCAACACAGCAAGAAAACACCCCCGTACAGATGGCAAGATGTCCCGCCAGCTCGGTGGCTGAAAGAGACATGGCACCCGATGAGAGCTTTGCTCCGCCACGCCGTATGCGCAGGCGAAGCTGTTCGACCAACGTGCGTGCACGAAAAGCATGTGATTTCGGCTCTGGTTGCGCATGCTCGTCGTCTTTCGCGCCTGGGTATGGCGCAAAGGACCGCATGTAGAGTGTCAAGAGCGCCATGCCTTGGATCAGAGAGGCTCGGCGCGACACATGATTCAGCAGGAGCGTGTGGTGATGCCAATCAAGCCTACCAATAGCATCTAATGCACGCTCATCACCTTGCACGTACTTGTCGGCCAAAGCATAAGCTGCGCACATGTACGGCAGCACACTGGTGGCATAGTTGGCTAGCGTGTGCTCGACGAACGATAGCGTCGATGACACGAGTTGGTCCTGACCATGTGTCAAGAAACCATGCGAGTAATACGATTCGAGGCCGGCTGAGGCAATGAACCCGCCTGTCGGCGGATTGGAATCACTGAGTATCAGTACAAGGTAGTCTTCTGCCTCACGATCTGTCAACGACGACACCATGTTGTGGAGTAAAAAAGAGACGTGTCGTCCCAACTCTGTTGGACAGAGGGAGAAGCTCTCATTCACGCTTCGGCTGTCTATGTATACATGATACAAGAGAGAGACACAGAAATTGAGACACAGAAATTAAGACAAAAATGAGAAATACGTCGTGCACGTCTCGCTATGGGGCAGAGGGAGTATCTGTGTGAGGAAAAAAAAAAAAAAAGCTGGAAAGCTCCCTCTACGCAGGGGGAGCTGGCGTCGCGTCTGTGGCCGACGGTGTGGCAGCATTCTTGGGCGATGCCGTCTGTTTCTGGGTCATACCCGCCTCCCCGGATGCATCCTTCGTGTAATGATCCACATTCATGTCATTCAGACCCAGCACTTCATTCTGCTCAAAAGAACGCGTATAGTTTTCGACATGCAGCTGCTCATCGGGATCTGGCGCATACGGGTTCTGAATGTAACTGTCGGCGAGTGGGTCGTCCAGAATCACCGTGTACGGGCACGCCTCAGCACTTATGGCCCGTTTCAACTTGCCAAGAAAGCCCTCAAATGCATTCACATCCTTCTGGGCAGCCGAGTCGCCGCGCAAAAGCACCTTTTCATACAGTTCATCGTACACGTTCTGGAGAAGACCTTCCAGCGTCGTGAAGCGGCCGCCAAGAGTGCCAGGGGCGAGATACAGATCAATTTCAGGGATAGACAGACCCGCACTCTCGGCCTTCAGGATATCGCGAGACAAATCCTCACTGTCATTGACACGCAGCGTAAGCTTGCGCCCATGGTCGCTGATCGCCGAGCCAGATTTCACTTCATTGTCGCGGTAGCCACAGTGATCACACGCTGTCGACATGATAAGAATATCCTTGAAGTAAGGGATGTTCACTTTCTTCATGTTCGTGTTCACAGGCGCATTGCAGCTTGAGCAAGTGCCCGGGAACGTGTAGATTTGCTCGTTGTCAAACTCTGTTTCACCCGTCTCTTTGTCGAAGCCGCCGCCAGCACCGTTCGCTCCGCCATTCTCTGCACCCTGTGATCCTGCTGCTCCCTCCTGACTTTGTGTTTGTGGGTCGCCCATGATCCCAAGCGCAATGTTTTGCTCCTTGGTGCGTGCATAGTCTCGCTTACTCCATTTCACGTCAGCTCCGCCGCTGCTCTCGATAGGGCCCGTGTACTCGACGAAGCTGTTGCCGGACGGATCATCGAGTACGACCTTGAATGGCCTGAGTGGCTGCGCATCTTCGGTGGCGGTTGCGGATACGTCTGTCTCGTCCGATGCGCGCTCGCCCAGCATCTCACGCAGCCTTCGACAGAGATCCTCAATTTTCTCGTACACATCAGGCTGCAAGTGCTTCCGCACGGGCTGATCCATACCAAGATCACGCAATGTATCCTGCAGAATGCCCTCAACCGTTGTGATTTGGCCACGCCGTGCTGGAATTTGCAGCTGCAGTTCGGGGACGCTCAGCGTACAAAACTCCGACTTGATAATCTGCCTATTCATGTCTTTTTTGGTCGTGATGTGGATCGTGTACGTGCATCCTTTCGGTTGGATCTCTCCAGCACTTTGGACTTCGCTGTTACGATTTCCACAATGGGGGCATGAAAAGCTCATCACAATCACCTCGCGAAAGAATGGGATGTATGTGGGCAACAGGCGCGTGATGCCCTGCTTCCCACACTCCATGCACAGTGATTCGATCTCATGCATCGGTTTGTTTTCTTCATTTTCGAGGACTTGCTCACCAATAGGGCGAAAATGTGTTTCGTCACTCATGGTGGATGTCGTGTGAATGAGAGAATGCAAGAAATTCAAAGACCAGGAAAATCTCGCATTGTCGCGGTAAATTCCTGACCTATATGCTAGGCGGATCTCTCGTTTCTCCACACACGCATGCAAACATACGTGCATGCACACACTCTCCCACTTTTCGTGGAGGTGCGTCTCGAAGCTGGCAGAACCAGCTGGGTTCGTCACGAAACGCACCTCTCTTTCCATACTCATTGCCTCTTCAGCCATCGTGACATCGGCCTCGTTCCTTCGTCGTTGCACACGGTTCATGAGTGACGCCAAACGCATAAAGCTCGAGTCGAGTCACCGGCCTATTATTGTGACACATTCCGGCACATTCCATGCAGACGAGGCACTTGCTGTGCATCTGCTCTCGAAGCTGCCTGTATTGCATGATGCCGAGCTCATACGAACGCGTGATCCAGCCGAAATCGCTAAAGGCACCATTGTGGTCGATGTAGGTGCCGAATACGTGCCTGAAAAGCACAGGTACGACCACCATCAGCGCGGATTTTCCGAGACGTTTGATGCCGAGCATAAGACGAAGTTGAGCAGTGCCGGACTTGTCTGGAAGCACTTTGGCCGTGATATCCTCACAGCGCACTTGAACTGCTCAGCTGATGACAAGCGCATCCCAGTTTTATACAAAAAAATGTATGATGACTTTGTCGAGGCTATCGATGGCCACGACAATGGAATACCTCTGTACCCTGGAGTCAGTGAACCGCCTGCGTACCGATCGCGCACAGACCTTTCCTCTCGAGTAAGCTACATGAATCCTCGCTGGAACGAGACATGGGATGATGCCGATCTCTTGGCCCGCTTCCGTCGCGCCTCGAGCATGGCAGGTTCAGAGTTCTTTGACCGTGTGAACGATGCTGTCGATGGTTGGTTCCCTGCCCGTCAGCTCGTTGTCGACGCTCTTCATGCACGCAAATCGTTTGATGGTGCCGATGAAAAGGGTCGGATTGTTCTGTTCCAGCGTGCTGTAGCATGGAAGAGTCACATCTTTGATCTTGAGGAAAGCATGAACATTCCCGACGATGAGAAACCACTCTACATCGTCTACCCTGATGAGTCGAACAAATGGCGCGTACAAGCAGTGCCTGTCAATCTCGAGAGCTTTGAGAGCCGTAAGGCTCTGCCTGAGGCTTGGCGAGGTATTCGCGACGAGCAGCTCAGCGGACTGAGTGGCATTCCGTCCTGTGTGTTCGTTCATCAGTCCGGCTTCATTGGTGGAAATCAAACCAAAGAAGGAGCTCTCACTATGGCCAAAAAAGCGCTTGAATAAACCTGGACACTCTGTTTTGCCCGCCTCTTCCTGCCTTCGCGCTTTATTCAGACTTCATCTTCGTCGATGACCATGGACCCGCCTGGAGAAACCGCAACCCTCTGTATGACAACAAATATGCTTCCGTCTGGCCCCCTTTTTGATCTACCGTAGTCCACTTCTTTGTGTCACGCTAGCTCGACCACATCCAATTTTGTAGCACCCTACCGACGATGCAATACGTCCGCCAGTCTAGGGATCATCGTGTTAGGACTTTTGCGTCCTACGTTGCTCGATTTTCGCTTGGTTCTTTTGTTCTGGACTATCGTTCTCTACGTTTCTTGATCGATAAAAAAAACCTCGTCAGGATATCCAATGTGTTGCCCCGTTTTTGCAATGGCTTCGCTTCCGACGCAAGCGTATAAATCTTGCTAGTTTCAGTACATGCTGGCGTTATACGTGATGTACGACTTAACGTCGCGTGTGTATAGGGCTAATTGGTTGTTTGATTCGTGAAACTAACTTTACAAAAGCCATTACATACATCCGATGCCGTACATTACCCCAGAAAGACGAAGGGCTAAAGAATCGTCAAGGACGGCTTTCGCGCGCCTTGCCCGCAAACGCTATATGCAGCCGTGCTTGCCTTGTACAGAGAGAGAGAGAGAGACCTCTGCTCACACTGATTATGAAGAAATGGGACTCACATGTCACGCGTCGACACTAACAACCGGCGTAAAAAATGTGAGATACCTATCGAGTTGGATCGTAAGGACCTTGTTGATCATTTGAATGAGTTACCATGAATCGGATATACATGTACCTAACACGCAAACTCATTGGCCTGCTTTCCCCTCACACAGCAACGCACAAGTGGCTTGCTAGATAATTGGGGGAGCAAATATAGTATATACGTGGAATGTCCTGCACGCACAACGTCTCATGTCATTGGTATCATTGTAAATTACTATTCAGCCACCACGTGTCTTAGCGGAGGGAACGCCGTGACATTGCATGCAGAGTCTGGGGTTCACAGGCTGAGCCAAGAAGTCGACGCAACACCGAAGTGTAGAATAAAACAAAATATTTACCAATGATATTCATGCGCTGAATAGCTGGGTGAGAGTTTGAATAGAGTCGCTTTCCCGTTGGTGGATTGGTCGGTTCTTTATGCCTCCGACGACGGCATGCCTGCCATCCGTGTCTATGTTGCATAAAACACGTGCAGTCTCGCCACAATTCATATTCTCATCGCTCTGAGTCGGTAGAATAAGTGGCCCTGATTGAATCACTCTCGTACATTCTCCCATCACACTACTACTACCCCCTACTACTAGTGCGAATTATCTATACTTGCCATGCTGTGCGAGAAGCCCTTAGTGCTCCTCCTCGCTGCATGCCTGGCATTGGTCGTTGCCTTGGTAGAGGCGAGTGAGCGTCAACCGCATTTGGAGCTTCATCGCGAATTGCGCAAGAGAAATGCAGCCTCAACCGACCCGTCTGAACTCAATGGTAAGACATTCGATTATGTTGTGATTGGTGGTGGCCAAGCTGGTCTGGTTGTCGCCTCTCGCTTGTCTGAGAACCCTGATATCTCAGTCGCTGTCATTGAGGCCGGTACCTCGGGCACTGCCAAAAACGAGTCGGAAAAGATTGATATACCCGCAGCCAACCTGTACAATTCACCTGGCAAGACGTACATGAACTGGAAGTACAACACTGTTAAGCAGCCTCAGCTTAACGATCGGGTGACGTCTTGTCCTCGTGGAAAAGTTCTGGGTGGTAGCAGTGCTATCAATGGTCTGTACTACGTTCGCCACAGTGTGGGCGAGCAGGACGCCTGGGGCAAAATTGTGGATGACAAGGAACTTTGGGGCTGGAACAACATGTACAGGGCCATGAAAAAATCTGAGACATTCACAGAACCAAAGAGTTCTGTGGCAGATGTCGATCGAATTGTGGCTGAGCCGAATTCCCACGGCAAGGATGGCCCTATCCATGCAAGCTGGCCCGCTGTACCATTTGAATGTACTGGTGCATTCATCAATGCTAGTGTCGATGTTGCCGCGCCGTTCGCAAATGACCCATATGCTGGTACGAATCTCGGCACGTATGTTGCGACGTCGAACATCAACCCAACAAATTGGACTCGCAGCTTCTCGCGCACTGGCTACTACGACCCATTCGTGTATCGCTCGAATCTTCACGTTCTCACGCAGCATTTGGTTACAAAGATCAACTTTGATAAGAGTGGTAAACAGCTGAAGGCAACGGAAGTGAAGTTCAAATCGAGTCCAGACTCTGACGAGTACACCGTTAAAGTCGGGCGTGAGGCCATCATTAGTGGCGGTGCCATCAATACGCCCCAAATTCTTCAACTCTCAGGTATCGGTGAAAAAGGTTTCCTGAAGTCCAAGGGTATTGATGCTGTACTTAATTTGCCAGGTGTCGGTTATAATTTACAGGATCACGTGTCTGGTGGTGTTGAGTGGCAACCCAAAGGCACTACGAAGCTGCCTCCTCAGGACTTGAAGCAATCTAAGGAAGTCAACTCGTACACAAACAGTGCAGTGGCCTACCTAAATGGTTCACAAGTCATGAAGGATCAATGGGGCACGTACCTTGATCAGGTGAAGGGTAACAAGTCGAAGGCCGTAAATGCATTGCCAGCTCCCGACTCTGTGAAGAAAGGCTACGATCTCACTTACCAGACTGTGCTGGACACGATTCAGAATCAGATTGCGACAATGGAAATCCTTTTCTCCACGGCATTTGGCAAGATCCAAGTCCAAGCTGCACTGCAACACGCGTTTTCACGCGGCACTGTCATGATCAACTCGAAGGATCCTTTTGAGCCTCCAAACATTGACCCTCGCTACCTCGAGCAAGAGTCAGACATGTTCATGCTGCGCGAAGGTTTCAAGGTCGCTCGTAGCATTGGCGAAGCAGCACCATTAAACTCGTATCTGGAGAAGGAGACAAATCCTGGCAAAGATGTGTCGAGCGATTCCGACTGGGAAAACTTTATTCGGGGCCGTGTTCAGACGGAGTTCCACATCAGTGGAACAGCGGTGATGCTTCCAAAGGACAAAGGCGGTGTCGTGGACAAGAACCTGAGGGTGTACGGCACGTCAAACTTGCGCGTCATCGATGCATCTGTTGTACCGTTTGTTGTTTCGTCGCATTTCATGTCTCTCGTGTATGGTCTTGCGGAGATCGGGTCTGAAATCGTTTTGGACTCGTACAAAACTCGCAATGGTAACAATAATCGCAATGGAAGCGGAAACGGTAATAACAAAGACGGTGCCAGTAGCGGCAACAACAACAACAACACAACAACGGTGATAGCAAGAACGACAATAAGAGCGACAGCTCGAGTAACAAGAACGACGATGGCAAGAACGATAATAACAGCAACCAAAACTCTCAGCCTAATTCCGGAAGTAAGGCGTCGAAAGATGGCGATGCTTCCGGCAATAGTCGTGATGCTGCTTCCAGTGTTCATACGTCGAACCTCTTGTTGTCTCTTATGGTGAGTGCCTTGATGGCCTTCACCACTGTGTACATCTCTCTCTAAGCTACAACTCTTCTCGATCACACCATGAAGTATATTCAAGCAAAATCAAATACACCTTTCTCATGCTATAATGACACTCACCATTCTTGTAATACTTGTGCGTATGCTTTTGGCATTCGCCTTGGCGCACTTCCATAATATTGTGTAAGTAACATACTTTTGTACGTCTATGTTTCATATTAGGGATCCGATAGTGCAATTTTCAGAGAATGTTACTTGCATGAAGAATTGGGTCGTGATTGATCTGCGCATATGATTCTAAGTTGTGGCTACAGTACACTGGTTGATCGAGCCATGCTATACTACGGCTTCATCGAAGCGATCAGGACACCAACTACTCTGAAATGCAGTATCAGTTAGATAGACTGCGGGTGATTACACACACATTCAATTCCATGATTCACAATCGATTACGAGGCTTGTATTGTCGCAGTAATGCTCGTCGATAACTTGAAAAGTTCAAACTACTGTCAAGGTATAGTGAGCTGCTTTTCTCATTCCCAATGAACCACGTTTGGATGAAAAACGTAGGTGCATTACACATAGCGGCGCGTCTTGTCTCAAGTTAATGGTTTTTCTGGAGCCATGCTTCCATTTCCGATGCACCACAGCGCTCGCGATTGATTCGGCGATCTCCTTTTTCCGTTTGCGATATAGATAAGTGCCGGTACAGTGCATCGAGACGTCGGATAGCTGTAGCTCGACGTTCTTCTGTTTTAGCATCCGGAGCATCCATCGTCGCTTCGCCAAACATTTTCGCAGTCAAGGGCGGAAGTCCGTACACTTCATCTGCATATCCTTCGCGCACAAGCCAGCCGCGCAGACGGTCGACAATCGCCTGTCCACGAACTTTGGTATAAGACGAAGAAGGAATGGATCCAGCAGTTGCTTCGCGAAAATGAGCGACTCGCGACATACGCGCCTTTTGTGGATTCCATACACTTTCTAGCGCCGCTTCAGGCGTGCGGGCATACACACCTTCTTCCAGGGCAGCATCATCCTCTGGTGGCTGAATACTCTCGGCTTGTCGGAATGGTTGAATGTCGTTTCCGGTCCCCGTTTGCAATTTGGCGAGGTTTTCGTGCATCGCGTACTGCTCGCGGCTCATTGAAAGTCCCTGCGAGGGCGATGGTGGACGCCAGGTCTCTTCTAGATGAACGAGGGGCCGCATCGAGTCAAATTCATGGGACGGCGCACCCGCTTCAGGTGCATGTAGCTCCGACTCAATTGCATCAATGAATCGGTGGCCATCCTGCTGCACTTTTACAGACATGTAATGCGGATTCTGTTGCCATGCGCGCTCCATCAGAGCTGGATTCGAATCTGTCTGTTCAATGCTTATGTTGCTGAGAATTGCATTGGGCCCATGCAGGGCTGAACGCTCATGCTGAAATGCATCAAATTCCGTATTGCTCTCACGAGCCGTTTGCGATCGAAAGTCCGGCACACGCCAGTTCGTAGAGCTTGCACCTCCTTGCGCATGTGAACTCTCCAGAGCTTCTCCAGATGGGCCGCTAATTTTCTCGCTTTTACCATGGGTCGCTAGCCAGAGCCGGCTGTCGTCACCCATCGCTGCTTCTTGCTAGAAATCAACGTGTGGGGAATGGAAGTTCTCGCGTGGGGGAACGAAAGACTCGCACAATCCCAACCGGCCACTCCTGCACCTCCACATGGCGGAATCAAATCGTGGCGCACTTTTTCAGACCTATTGTGCCAGAATCTGGCACCTATTAGAGAAACCGATTCCGATGGAGGGCATTGAGAACCACAGCACTGCGCATCTCTATCTAGACCTCCATGACTGCATACAGGTGGCAAACGTTTTTTATAGTTTTTGCGTGCTTGGCAGCTTGTTTCTGTGCATATGCAGACGCTTCGAAGCATAAAAATAAAGACAAAGTGTTATTTTCCGACCTAAAAACGCTGACTTTTTACCGCGGACGCACAACAACAGCACGGCGTCTCGAACCCGTCCAACAACTTACATGCGAGGGCCGTTTATGCCGGAGGTACCAGCCAGCAGTGATCCAATGCGAGAGTCGTGGTGATCAACAGTGGCGATGTGAGTCGCAGCTTCCACCTTGGGCACAGCTGGGTGCTGTGCAAGTATCGTGCGAAGGGTGGGACTATGCAGAAGACCAATATGTACTGCGTGGCTCATGCGCTTTGCGGTACGAACTCTTACCGACGAGTAAGCGGATGAGCGGCCGGTGGGAGTCGATTCTTTTTAGTGTCCTGTTTTGGGGTCTCGCTATCTTTATTCTTCTATCCTTTCTTCATGCATGCCTTGGCTCAGAGAATGACCTTCCAGGAGGGGCTCCAGACGCAGGGCCTAATGATGCTCCTCCGCCATACCAGAAGCATCCAGGTTCGACATTCTCGTCTCCCGTTACTCGGACTTTGTCTGCTTTAGGGCTTGGTGCCGTCGCTGGCTATCTTTTCCGCTCCCGAAGAACAGGTCCTCAGCCCATGTACGATGAGGCATACCGGCCGTTCCCGGCCTATGGCACCATGCCACATCACGGCGTATATTATGGGGATGCAGCGACGCAGCTTCAAAGCGATAACATAGCCTCTTCTTCATCTGCTCACACAAGCGCGGGCTTTGGAGGGACTGAAAACCGCTAAGCTCCCTACTCCCCTTTTTTCCAAGCCTACTCACTATGTAGTCGCACATACTGTACGTACCACACATGCGCTCAAACTTGTACGGACAATGCAATCAACGAACCTCCACCTCGATTTAGTTCAGGCCTCACTTGCATTCTGCTCCATGCTCATCAACAAGATGAAGGTTGCCGCCTTGTTGCCGCTGTTGGCCTGTGCCACTCTATGCTGGGGGCAATCAAAGAAAGAAATTTCAAATATTTTGCTACAAGACAAATATGTGATTCGCTTTCAGAACAGAACAGTTCCCAGGACAGAAGCTTTGCAGTGGCTTGGCGAACTCCCAGGAACACCGGCTTTGACATCGCCTGACTACGCTGACTGGGACGGTGAGGCCAAGTTTAATGTATATCGGATTACTGAAGCAGAGACATATTTATGCCGTGTACCTCTCTTCGATAACACGTTTGTTAGCAAGGCCCCTGACGACAGGCGCATGCTATCGAGCAGTGAGACAGACAGAATATTGTCACGCGGACTCGAGCTTCTTAAGAACCTTACCGACAGGCCATTGAATATTGAATTCGGATATTTCTCGCATGTTCTTCGATACCAGAAGTATATTCTCCAGTTCCCACGTAACGATTGGAATGATAACAATGTGGTGGCCAAAGTCGAAGGGAGAGAGCAACTACCGGAGGGATATTACCTGCTAGGCATGTGGAATAGTGATGTCAGAGTCAACTCGCAGATTGCGCCCTACTATGATGTTCCCTCTGCTGATCTCGAGGAAGAAATCATGGCACCCAGGACCGATGATGCTCTCTACATACAACAGGTGTGGCAAAACGGCACAATTTGCGACTTGAATGGCCTTCCTCGAATGACAACTGTTAAAGTACGTAAAAAGCAGCGCTAACAGTCTCAGTATTACTGCGGCCCTACCACAAGAATCACTAATCTGGCTGAGGTACTCACATGCAATTAGTACGTCTTTCGATCGACTAACATGTCAGTGTGCTTGTCGTCCAAACCGAGGCATTATGCCAAGATAATATGTTTCAGCCGCCTAAAGTTCAAAAGCCACATGAAATTCAGTGCCGATTGGTGACGCCAGACAATGAAAAGGAACGGGAAGAGTATCTGAACAAGGTCGATGAGCACCACGGTGTGAAGCACAATGGCGATAAGCAAGTTGTCGATACGACCTTGCAGTTCGTGGACAAGATGGCAGCGAAAGAGGGTGATGCAAAAGAAGTTCACGTGTCTCTTTTGAACAGTGACGGACAATTGTCGACGGACCTTGAGAAGGTCCTAGACTCATTTCTCCATTCTCGCAAGCATACCATATACCCTGTCTCAAATCAAAATGCAGCGAAGCAAGCGGAAGAAAACAAGGTCAACGAAGAGTCTCCTACGACATTGGCTGAAGCGTCCCAATCTACAGAAGCATCGGCAGAGCCGCTCGACGACCGCTTGCAAGACTTGTAGCCAAACGTACACAGGCCACTTTCATACAAACTATGATTCTTCTCGTCCTCGAGTAAGGAATGGCCGAGCAAACGCGTCTTTCCATCTTGATTTAGTGCCTGTGTAAGTACATGAAAGGTATCCTATGCCTATTTAGTGATGCGCAAGTCGAAGTCGCCGCTGAGATCTACTTTCGTCATGATGCTGCAGGGCTTCGACGCACTGCTAACAGGATCATATGTGCATTCACTGGACTTGGAAATGGCTTCGCACTGATGCAAAGAAGTTCCTAGATACTAGTGAGTAAAAGCAATAAACATAATGACCTGCTTTGTTCGCACTGCAGGCCCGGCTATTGTTCTGACATAGTTTAAGAATATGCGCATCAACTCGAAACAAATCGATTCCCAAATCTCCTCCACCACAGCGATCCTGAGATCTGTTGACTGACCGCTCAACGACACGTCTGTGGCTTCTCGACTTCCACTAAATTGAAATAGTTCGCATTGCATGGGGTGCGTCGAGAAGCATGAGTTTGAATGCATTTCTGCCACCGTCCGTGCGACTTAACGCGTCAAGTTCTAGCGCACAGGCTGTGCCCAGGGTCCAGGCACATATTATGCCGTTTTCTATCGAGTACAATGGTCCTGCTCCTGTTGGAACCTACCTTCTGATGGAGTCGCCTCTTGAACCCCATCTTGCCCCAATGGGAAGTGCAAACCCAAGCAGATTCGATCCTGATGAGAGTGACGAAGCTATTTCATCATTCCGTGGCAGATATATCCATGGAACTCGCGCATATCTCCCTGATGGTTACAAGTTAGGCTTTTTTCGTATGTCTCGGGCGCTAGCGTGCTCAGAGATGCCTAATGAGTACGAGCATATCGGCGATCAACCTCGTCGCAATGCACAAAGCCATTTAATAGCCCCGCCAGCTCCAACACAGGGATCCAGGTTTTCATTGGATGATGACGAGGATGCTTTCAACGATTGTATAGGCAAGGATGAAAGCGACGAGGAAGAGCATGCGACCGCTCATCGTACCTATCGAGAGCAGGAAAACATCTTACACATGAATGAATCCGACCAGCTTTCTGCCCCTGAGTCACTTCATATTCCTGATCGACATCAAGATGAATGCGGTGCACCTGCGCTCTATCATCGTTGGGAACTAGTGCTCAATGCAGGAGCTTCATTTTGGGCGTGGGGCCCAGATGGTCCTGTCGATTATGGGAGCCACGCATTTTTGCGAACTTGTAACGAATGGATCAAGGTGATTGTCCCTTTTGTACGTATACAAAGCTTATATACTTGAATATTTACTTACACATCCTCCGTCAGCTTCATGGGACGGACGCGCTGTGATGTACGAGGGAGTTCCACGAATTTATAAAACAAGGTAGTTACATCACAAGGTGATAAAAAAGGCGTTGTATGTGCAATTGGACAGGACTTGAAACAACAAGCGTACTTAGTATCCACCGCCGTAGCCGCTGTAGCCACCTGAGCCGCTTCCCATACCGTTAGATGAGCCACCATAGCCGTTGGAACCCATTCCAGATCCCATGCCGGAACCGCCCATACCACCGGACGTGTAGCCATTAGAGCCACCCATACCGCCAGAGCTATGGTGGCCCCCCATACCACTACCCATGCCTGATGATCCAAAGCTCTCAGATCCGCCGTAGCCTCCTGACGACCCCATACCGCTCGATGAACCACCAAAGCCCCCGGACGAGCCACCATAGCCGCCAGACGAGCCGCCATAGCCGCCAGACGAGCCGCCATAGCCGCCAGACGAACTACCATAGCCTCCGGACGAACCGCCATAGCCGCCAGATGAACCACCATAACCATTCGATGAGCCACCATAGCCACTAGACGAGTCGCCGCGGCCGCCGGACGTTCCGCCGTAGCTGCCAGATGAGCCACCATAACCATTCGATGAGCCACCATAGCCGCTGGACGAGTCGCCGTAGCCAGAAGAACCACCATAACCACTCGATGAACCCATGCTAGAGTTCATACCACCACCAGTGCCCGTACTGCTAGATCCGTGGTGGTGGCTGTGACCCATACCACCACCCATACCGGATGAACCGTAGTTGTTTGATCCGCTCATGCCACCAGAGGAAGCGCCGTAGCCACCAGCGCTGCCACCCATGCTTGATGAACCATAGCTATCTGAGCCACCGTATCCACCTGATGAGTTGCCATAGCCGCTGGAACCGTAACTGTTTGATCCACTGTAGCCTCCTGATGAACCTCCATAGCCACTAGTATTACTGTCCATACGACTCGAGCCGTAGCTGTTGGAGCCGCCATAACCACTGGACGACCCACCGTAGCCGTTGGAGCCACCAGTCATACCACCAGACGAGCCATATCCGCCCTGCTGACTGTTCATCCCATTGGACGATCCGTAACCACCAGATTGGTGACCCTGGTGGCTACTGCCGTGAGAACCAGGGTTCAGCTTGTCAAGTACTTGTCCAGCTAACGAAGTTAGAAATAAAAGTATTCATAAGTACACGTACCTTTTCCACCAGTCAAATTGTTGAGCATATCCATGTTGAAGAGTAGTTGTAAGGATCATAAGAGATGCGCAGCTTCTCTATTTATATTTCGAAGTGTCCCCGTCTGTCACCGACTTGGTGCCTGTCTGTGTGTGGGCCCCATGGAATTTTATGGGAGCACGGACCAGCTAATGCATGATTATCTAAAATCACCGCCCTTCGAGCCTGGTTTGACAAGCAAGTGGCCGCACTCGCACGGAGAGATCACATCACGGTCAATTGTCGGTCGAGAAAAAACCGGGGCAACATGTCTCGATGTGGTTGGACCAACTATATATAGAACGGCAATATATGTGCACTACCCTTGGCATCTTGCGGATTTATGCCGGAAAGTAAACTTGAGGCGGTACTGCCGCAGCCACAGTCATATGTCTCGTTCAGTTTGGTACAATCAAACTGAGGCTTGTGCAGGCGCGTGTTAACCGCGTTGTGCGCATTGCATAGCCATAGCTCTGCATTATGCCGCGAGCCGACTTGAGGTGGCCATTCCTTGAGTAGCTGCTGGAAGTGCGCCGCGCAGTCTCCGCATGGGTATAGTAGGGAGAACAAGTGGATGAATTTGCGCAGATCTTCACTTTGTTGTGGGGTCGGATTCTCAGGAAATCGCGCCATCATTGTGTGTAGGAATCTCCATGTAGATCGACCGAGTTCTGCCTTTGCTGTCGCATTGGTCATTGCAGGTGCATAGGCTCCATCCACCTTTGGCTCGATTTTGACCGCGGGCACATCAACGGACGATAGCCCTGCACTCGTGTGGCCGAATCGGACCGGCTCTGGTACTGCCGGGTCTGTCTTTTGCGGTGGCAAAACTGGACGGTGCTGGTTGTTATAATTGTGCTCCTTAGCTGGGTGCGTCGGCATTACATTGTTAAGAAGCTTTCTCCAGTCTGTGATAGGATGATAAGGCCTCTCTTGCGGTGGATTGTTTTCATAAGGTCCATGGCCTTGAATAGATTGAAGCATGCCCTGCCAGATCCATTCGCCCGTCTTTGGGTCGCGGACAGGAGACGAAGTTCCCTGTGACAAGTACACGAATGCTGGAATAAGAAGTAGCAGTGTCGCTAAGATGAGAAAGCGGAGAAACCTCGTGAGCGTCAGCATGTTCCCTGTCTCGATAGAACCCAAGATTAAATCTTAGGAGCCGCATCAGTAATGCGACGAACTTCCAAGTACTGAGATCTTGCATCACGTGACAAACCTTGTCTGATCAGCTTGCCTCCCCATAACCCTCTCTCTGACACCAGGCCGATGGCGATGCGACATAGTCCCAATGTAGACGTATGAAGCGCCTCTGCATTATCAAGGTACCTAAATTTCATCAGCAACGGCTTTCGAGCTCGTCAAGGAGCGAACTGCTGCACGTTGGCCCCTGTGTACTAGTTGAATCAGGTCTTGAAGTGTAAGCTGGTAAAATCCAGTGTCTAACGTGTTTAAATGCGCAACGATCGCTCCAGCAAACGAATCCCCAGCCCCTGTGCTGTTAAGAGATTTGTCTGAAGGTATTTTCGTAGCTGGTATATGCACAACATTCACGTCGTAGGGCTGTCCAACTGAATTTTGCGTGACTAGAAGCACGCCGCGCGCACCAAGTTTGATGAATTGTGTATGTGCAACAACAGTCATGGTCAATGCGTCCTCGATCAATTCTTGAGGTAATTGCGTTGAATTTGAGAGATTGTTGATTTGCATAGTATTCAACACCCGCGGAAATACATGGCGGATTCGAGCTGCCATGCGCGCAAGTTCGTACTGGTTCGGCGTCATAATAGGAACCATGTGCATTTGTTGAAGAATTTGCATCGCCTCAATGATTCGCTCGCATTTCTTCACGGATGTTGGCTCGTATAAGTATGTAATACGCTCGCTTTTAGCGTGCAATAGAATGGCAGCTAGTGAGGCAGGGCTCAAGTTCGCATCGGCTGCGATAAACTGGGGCCTATACTGACGGAGTTTTTCGGTGACAACTTGTGGCGTTAGCGACTTTTCGACCACCTCCATGTCTGCGATTCCATGAATAAGTTCGCCATGTGCACCAAGCAAAAGGTTGCATATAGCCGTGTGAGAACTGGGGGCGAGCGCGTCTGTACGCATGCAAGACACAGTGAGCATGTCTTGTAGAAGCACCTTACCGAAGACGTCGTTAGCCATCGGTGCAACCAAAACTACTGCCTGCTTATCTTTGATGAGAGCATGGGTGGCTCTGGCAACATTGTGCGCTACACCACCAGCTGACGCGTGGATTCGTCCCGGCGTCGTCGACGATGCAAACATTTGTTTTTGTCGTGATTGTGCGGTAATATCCACAGAAGCACAGCCAAATACCATCACTTGAGACGTCTTTTTCGGCCCATGACCGTCGTACACCTGCGCAACAGACGAATATTGCGGACCAGCAAGTGCAACAGCGCACTGTGCAGCCGTGCGCGCATTGTTCAGCACAAGACCTACGTTACTTCGGACAGAGTTTTGGGCCAGTTGGCCAACACGGCGAAGAAGCCACGGTGTGACTTGTTTTCCCAGCCGGTCCATTCCTTGTTCGTGGCTTTCGCGTATGGCCTGCTCAACAGCCATTTGGATCTCGTCACCGTCAGATTCAAACTCACGAGGGATCGGAACGCCAAAGACCATGCCATTCTGAAGTTGCAGCGCCTCATTGCAAGCTATTACTTCAGCAGCTTGCTCGACACTCGACATGATGGGCACCCAACAACCCGACTTGGCTGTGTAGAAGCAGGGAAACTCACCCGACGGATTGAAAGTATATACTGGAACGCCCTGTGTCTCGAGGTATTCAAGGGTTCGTGGGATATCCAAAATTGACTTGGCACCTGAACAAAATACAGCCACACGGGTCCGACCCAGCTCGGTCAAATCGGCTGACACATCCATGGCTTTGGAAGCTGTGAGATAGGAGTATAGGAAACGTACATGACTCTGCACCGCGATGAACGCCGCCAATCCCTCCCGTAGCAAAAATCCGAATTCCTGCTCTTTGCGCTAAGGCCATAGTCCCACTGACGGTCGTGCCGCCGATCCAGCCTCGACCTTGGGCAAGAACTTGTGCGAGGCTTCCTCGGCCTGCTTTGATGGTTCGCGCAGGATCACTGTCGGAAATGCGCATGAGCTGTGACTTGTCAAGACCAATGTGAGCGCGGCCATCCAGGATAGCTATAGTCGCTGGCTCTGCACCAACGCGGCGAATCTGATCTTGGGCAGCGACCGCCATCTCATAATTGATGGGCCGTGGTAGGCCATGTGTGATGATAGTTGATTCTAGTGCAACAACGGGCCGTCCAGCCTGCAGTGCCGCCTTGACGCCTTCATGCACGATCAGGCGCATTGTTCATTTAGCTGGTGCAAGTACGAACGATTCTGTCCCAAGAAGGGAGACCTTTGGTTCGAGTTAGAGCCTATTTTTCTTTGGTGCCCTCGGCCGCGTACCATCCTGTCATCTCCACCCCAACATGCATGTCACTTCGTGACTGGCCCTCATGCCGTCCCATGTTCGTACTTAAATCATGCTCGAATCAGTGACGTGAGCGAAGACACCTCCACATATCTCCACATACACACGCACACAGACACATACGCGTACTCTCGGCCAATTTCTCCATCGACTTGTCTCAGTCCCCTTTCGTCCTTTCGTGCGACTCGTCCAACACCTCTCATGCCGGGACTTCCGCCACCCCCCTACGGGGCCGTATTTAAAGGCGCAACACTGCAGCTGTTAGAACAGGCAAAAGAACTAGCTGGTCTGTCCTATAGACCATCTGTGTTCAACCCGGCGACGCTGACAAAAAAGGGTCCTGTGCGCGTTGCTAGGAGCCGTGTGCCACCAGCGAGACCAGGTGAAGATCCTGGATTCGACATGTTTTTTGAAATGCATGGGACTGGTGCTAGACGTATCGCACTAATTATGGGACTTGCAAATTCGTGTTTTAGCTGGCTCGACCAAGTCGAGGAGTTCGGTAGTGATCCGTCGTGCTCAGTCCTGGTACTGGATAACCGAGGCTATGGTAATACGAGTTCGCCTGCACAGCGCTACACAACATGTGAGATGGCAAAAGATGTGTTGGAGGTGCTCGATCATATTGGATGGACGGAGGACAAGTCTGTCCACCTCGTAGGTGTGTCCATGGGTGGAATGATTTCGCTGGAAATTGCTCGTCAAAATCCACAGCGACTTGCATCATTGCTTCTTCTCAGTACAACTAGCGGCGACGGCAGCCCATTACCTCCTGCGATGGGTCTAGTTGCGTTAACAAAGAGTATTTTTGCCTCTATGTCCGGACGCACACGCAATGAAGCTCGTGTGAACCGAATGGCAAATGTACTTTTTCCTCTACCTTGGCAAGAAGAGAAGCATGAATCCGACCCACAAGGTCGTAAGAATGGCGAAGTGATGCGTGACATATTGTTATGGCGCTCACAATTCGTCCTTCCACCCTCGACGATGGGTCCTTTGTATCAGATGTCGGCCTGTTTGACACATCATGTTCCTCCGAAGGAGCTCATGAAGATCAACAACAATATACCAAAGGTTGGCATTGTTACGGGTGACTGGGATCAGCTTGTGAGTCCTCGACATTCACGATTTATGCATAAAAAGATGCCCGATGCTGAGTACCACGTATGGCCCGGGGCGGGACATGCTATCCATATTCAGTTCCCCACAGCTTTCAACAAATTTCTACGGAACTGGGTCGGTGCACCTGCGAGGGACTCTGCTCCTTCGTAGGCAATGGTAGTAAATCGAAGTTTGGACCGGTGATGAGTGGGCGTCTATGGCAGGTGCTTTGGGCGTGTTAGAAATTCACGCCATCTTAGGGCCGTCGCTATAAGTTATTCGAATGTAAGATTTGTGTCTCCATGAGGCGACGTAGACGTGTGGGAAGGGTCACTTACATAAATCCTTAGACATGTGTGGAAATAAATGAAGAAAAAGAAATCAAGTTGTCCTAGCCTGCTTTGGTACGACCTGTTCATACACCATCATCATCCCATCCCTATGACCACTATACGACAAGTGCATCCGAGTCCGAATGTAGCCAAGGGTGTTGAATATTGGGAGGGGGTTCCCGCGACTGTTGATGGTGTTTTAGGTGGTTATGGTAATGGCACTTTACCTCGAGTGGATGCTCTTGGTTCACGCACATTTCTTCTTCGCACCCTCCCTTATTTGAGTAGCACACCACCACCTGCGCTTAATGAATCACCACAGATGTGGACACATGAGCGAATTAGACAGCGCGGTGGCAAAGGGAAGACGGTCACACGTGCACTTGATTGCGGTGCGGGCGTAGGACGCGTAACTGAACATGTGCTTTTGCCTCTCGTAGACGAAGTGCACATGGTTGAACCTGTCTTGAAGTTTCTGCAAGAAGCCAAACGCCGTTCTGCTAGTTGGAAGCCACTGCAGCTTTCTGTTGAACAATCGCCATTCTGTGCCCGGAAAGCCGTGTACTTTCACACCTCTACCCTGCAAGAATTCCGTGTGGCTGACCCCATGTCTTCCCAAGATACCCCTCATCAACGCTCTACAGCTCCACCACCATCATACATGCAAGGTAAGGTGACGGAGCCACCAGTGAAACCTGTTCTGTATGACATTGTTCTTTGTCAATGGTGTTTGCAGCATTTATCAGAGGCGGACTTGATTCTTTTTCTCAAGGATGCGAAGACCACACTTCGCCCGCCCAGTTCCGGTGGCGATGCGACTTTCACATGCGATGGCGGTGTGATTTTTGTAAAGGAAAACGTCTGTCGAGACGCCGACGACGGTGGTGAGGCAAGTTGGTACGACTCCGAGGATTATTCGGTGACACGCTCGCGTACATTGTATGAGCGCATTTTCCGGGAAGCTGGTCTTTCCGTCGTTCGATCAGAGGTGCAACTTGGCTTTCCGCCAGAACTATTTGATGTACAGATGTGCGTAACGCAAAAGTGAGTTATTGACGACAGGTGGGCTCTACGCTAGATGAACATGAATTCTATTCAGTGATGATGATCTCGTTTTTGCATGTGCATTTATTTGTGTGCTAGTCAGTTAACCTCATCATATTTGGGCTTCAGCGTCTTCATTTCCACCGCTGCAGTCTTCATTCGGTGAGAAGATCAATTAAGGCCTGCGTGTTTGGAAGTGTTGTGGAGACGATGTCAATCTCCAACATGGACATTTGGCCTACAGTCATGCAACCGTAGATGCTTACGTCGGATGTCGCCCCCCCTCAAATGAAATAAAGTATTTTTGCCCATCCACTTGCATTTTCACAAGCGTCAATTTTTTTCAACATATTGGTGGTGACTTTGTATGATAGATATCATTGAAACGGAGCTGTCCCAGGTGTCGAAAGGCTTTTCCATCATGGGAGGCTTCGTCGTCATCTACGGCTTAATCAGTTATTTCGTAAAGGAGCGCATTTACTTGTCGGAGCCTTTGTTGGCCGTCACAGTTGGGTATGTATCGTTCAGAGAAGCTCACCATGCAGCATTATTATAGGCCCACACGTTTTAAATTGGGTCAATCCGTACGATTGGGCGAGTGAAAGCACTGTGAATCAGGTGACGTATGAACTCACACGCATCGTGATAGCTGTGCAAGTTCTTTTCACCGGGATCGCATTGCCGGAAAAATATGTGCAGAAGGAATGGAAAAGTCTCTCTGTGCTTCTTGTGCTCATTATGACAATCGCTTGGTTTATTACGGCACTACTGATCTGGGGTCTGGTAAAGAATTTAACGTTTCTAGAGGCGTTGTGCATTTCCTCCGCCGTGACGCCGACAGACCCAGTGTTGGCCAGCTCGATCACTTCCGGCCAGTATGCAGAGGAGCATGTGCCTGAGAATGTTAGGCATATCATTCTTGCGGAAAGTGGCGCAAATGATGGTCTGGGATTTCCATTCATGTTTTTAGCTGTCGTCTTGCTCGCCCGAACAGGTCAGGACCGTGGCGAGTCGGTTGGCGGTGAGGTATGGCGATGGTTTTATGGAATCGTTGTCTACGATATTGCTTTATCAATCGCATATGGGATAGTCGTGGGCTACGTGGCACGCAAGTCCCTTCGTTGGGCTGCTGAGCACAAGCTGATCGACATGTCAAACTTTTTTGGCTATGGATTTGGCCTGGCCCTCTTTACGGTTGGCACAGCAGGCCTATTTGGCACGGATGACATTCTCGCCTGCTTTGTGGTCGGCAATGTATTTACATGGGACGACTGGTTCCGTCTGAGGCAGGAGGAGACGGACTTTCAAGAGATTATTGACATGCTCTTGAACGTGGCGATCTTCATGTACATTGGTATGATTATACCCTGGCAAGATTATAGTAATGAAGAACTTGGACTCTCAGGCTGGCGCATGGTGTTACTAGGTATCACGGTCATTCTACTTCGTCGGCCACCGTGGGTACTAGCCACTCACAAGATCATCCCAGCCGTGCATTCATGGTCTCAGGGTGTATTTATGGGATGGTTTGGACCTATTGGCGTCGGTGCTGTGTACTATATTGAGGTTGCCATTCGCTCTGTTCCTGATGATCACACACGCGATCATCTTCGGCGTATTACGTCACCGGTCGTGTTATTCTGTGTGTTTTCGTCTGTCCTCACACATGGTATCACTATTCCAATTACTTACTTTGGTCCTCGTGTGATGAAACACACACACAAAATGCGTCTGTTTCCTCGTCTTACGAAGGGGTCGCAACCAAAAACATTCCTTGGCCGCTTTCTCATGTGGGAAGAGCCTGATGAAACAAGTACGCATGAAAACGCGCTACCATCAACTTCTGAACATACTACCTCGCAAGAAGAGGGTCATTCAACGCATTACGAACCTTTGCATAATGGTCATTTGCCATTTTCTCGCGCTAAGGAGGGGCTTGAACCACCTGATCTTCTCTTGTTGCGCCACCACTCTTATCCACCCGTGCCATCATCGCAAAGATCTTCAGCAGATGCGAGGGTTGTCCCCTTTGACACGTCCGAGCGCAAGGGGTTCGCCTCCCCTGATAAAGAGATGCAGGAGTCATCCATCGCTCCGCCTGCACCAGCCGTTGTCCTATGAATGCTTTCTTGTAACGAGGACACTAGTACACACACACAGACAGACAGTCTCTCTCTCTCTCTCTCTCTCTCTCTCTCTCTCTCTCCCTTCTCCCTCTAATTATCTCTTCTCAGAGCAGTCTCATTTCACGAATTAAGCCACAGCTTTGTGCTCCTATCCCAACGAATGGTGATGATGCCGTGATGGATGCGAGGCATAATTTGACAGCGCTAGCCGAGCATCTCCTTTCGCTCCCAGCTTGTTGTATGTGATATTCGTCAAGAATGCCTTACTTTTGCACTGTGTTCATTTTGTATTTTGGATAGTTCCGCAATGGTTATTGAAGTATCTATGAATTTGTTTGCCCTAAAATTGCCGCGCACTTCCTACTCTTTCTGTACCAAATGATTCATGGCATACAGCAAAAAAGCAGCAGTCCTAGGTAAGCACATTTGAGTTAGTGTGATCCGTTTGACAAAAGTAGTGATTTTCGTATGACTGCTAGTTCTGCGGCGAAGCTTACTACTTCTGCTACACGACGCTTGGTTCAATGCCAAACATCCACTTCGCTTGAGGATCTTGACTTTTCTCCACTTCTCCGTCATGTCAGTGAGCACGACACACGCCACGGGCACGAACATTGGTTTGGCAGCCAGCGTGGATACGACAATGACTTCTGCTTCCAAGTCTGCGGCGAACCAAGGACACGGGGCAGACATGGTCATTAAATTCGAGGGAATGCCCCAAGCATATGCGGAAGGAAGGAAGCGAGCGCCCATGGAGCTTCTGGAGGAACGTGCGCATGAACTTGAGCGGTTGATGGAGCGCTTGCGTGAGGTTGGCCTGTCATGCATTTCTCGCGCAGGACCGCGAGTGCGAGGACAAGTGCTGATCTTTGTACGTTGTCCTGAGCATCTGTTGCGCCAGATGCGGCACTCAGAACGGGTGCATGACTTTTTGCATGGCGTTGTGACGTCAAGTCGGCTGAATCAAGACGAAGCGTTCAAACCGGCACAGCGCGTAAGATATACGCAAATACGCATCGCTGCTCCTTATAAAGACTCGCCACAGAAACATCGTGGCGCTGGAGTCTCTCCCAAATGTGCCGAGTTCCCGCATGTTATGGACATGTTGCCACTACATGACAAAGAATTTAATCGCGCATGGATTTCGTCATGGTCCAAAATGTCTCTTTCCTCCTTTTTCTATGGAATTGGACAACACGAATTCGATAAACTACGCGATCAATTTGGCGTCGACATCGCCATGTATTTCTCATTCCTCAACACATACTTTTTGGCACTTGCGCCCATCTCGGTGCTCGGTCTGATTTTTTGGGCAGCGATCAGACATACAATCGCATGTATGCGTTCCTGCTAATTGTATGGGCGACGGTCTTCGTCGAGATATGGCGCATACGAGAACGTATGCTTGCTGTTCACTGGGGCATGACAGGTGTGTCGTCCGTGTCTCAGCGACATGAGGGTTTTCGTCCACGCACTACGACACGCAGTGCCATCACAGGCGAGTCGGAAGAAGTATTTGAAAACTGGCGTCGCGATGCACGCTTCTTTTCTTGCTTGCCTATTACGATCCTGTTTATTGTTCTGCTTCTCTGCACCATGTCTGTTTTGTTCTTGATTGAGATTGTTGTGACTGAGGTATACGATGGCCCAGGAAAGTCATTTGTCCCGCTCATCCCTACTGTTCTGTTTTCGACTTGCATTCCAATCATCCAGTCGGCCTGGCGTGCGGCTGCGCAGGCTATGACAGACTTTGAGAACCATGCGACGGCGAACAAATTTCGAGCGAGTCTCACGTTTAAAATTTTTGGCATGCAATCTGTTGTCACATACGGCATTCTTGCTTTGACAGCCTACATCTACATTCCTTTTGGCGAGTTCTTAATCAATCAGCTGTACCAGAAAGGGTATTTGACGAGATTATTTTCCATCGTATCAAATGGCACGTACGGACACAAGGGCAGCACGATGAACTTCCGCGTAAGTCCAAATCGTCTTCATGCACAGCTGTTTGCCATGTGTGTGACAGAGCAGATCACAGACACGGCGTCCGAGGTGCTGTTGCCCATGGTGATACGTTACTTCGACAGGCTTATGAAGCGCTTCCGGAGACCTGCTAGTGTGAAGGCTCGGCGTGCTGAATTCGCCAAAACCAATCCGGACCAAGAATTTCTGGAGCGCGTACAGAATGAATTCGATTTGGATGTGTATGATGAGTTTACGGATTATGCCGAGATGGCAACGCAGTTGGGTGTGATTGTTCTTTGGTCGGTGCTATGGCCTCTTGCTCCTGTGATGGGCCTCGTTAACAACTTTTTTGAGCTGCGTTCTGACGCGTACAAGCTTGTGATCAACATGCGTCGACCTTTTCCACGCCGTGTCGAGTCGATCGGCAGTTGGATGAGTGTGTTATCCATTCTTGTGCAGCTCTCTGTATTTACCAATGCATCTATGCTCTTCATGTTTGATGCACTCAAGCCAAACAGCAAGAATCCCTTCCGACCCAGAGATGCGAGTATTTCGCATCGAATCCGACTCTGGATCGTTTCGTTTACTTTTGCCCTCATGTGCAACCAATTGTACTCCCTGATCCATTCGCTCATCCGTCACATTATCGAGCGTTCAATGTGGGCAAACTGTGATGAAGACATCTCGATTCGCCGGCGACTACATATGAACCGCGTGGCTCTGATCAAGCGTTTCGAACATGCGGCCTCGCCTCGCGAACTTGAAACATTGTCGTCATCCGAGCCGGCATCCTACGATCCGTTTTGGGATCTTTCATCTGATACAGGCATTTCTTACATTCGTAATGCTTCAAAGGAAGCGTAGTGTGCACGCGCGCGTGTTTCTCAGAGTCATGGATGTTGCCGTTTCCTCATACATGCTCAGCGACACAGTCCTTTTCTCAACGGTAGGTATGTGCGTCTACCCGCAGTTTGTTACCATCTTTCCTTCCTTTCTTCCCATCTTGCCACCTTGCCACCTTGCCACCTACCACCCTCCACCGAAACGCACGTACCAGGCCCTGGCTCGATCGGCCGAATGGGATGTCGAACGTGCTCATGGGCAAATCCAATGGTCCTTTGGCCCTGGGTGCGATTCAATATACACATGTATGTACACGTAGACGAATTTGCAACCCCACAATTCACTCGTCGCTTATACAGTTGAGTAGCCGGCCAGTTTGGCAACGTCAGGCGCCGTGAGCACTTGATCGACAGCCGTGTCCCATGACGAACGACACACTGCTTGTACAGCTTCGTGCAGAGCTGATGCAGCGAGACATATCCGCAGCACAACAGCCTGACGACGAGGCCCTGCAGATGATGCTAGATGTTGAGCATGGGGACGTGAATGCTGCAGCGGAGGCCATACGTGACGCGCACACAGCTGAAATGCGTGTCTCTTCGCAGATGCCGGCGGCATCAGCGACAACATCGTTGCAGGATTCTATGTTCGCAGCGCGCGCATCGACAGAGCCCGCCGCTACGTCGCTCACAGCCGCACTACCAGCCTCTACCCCTGCGCGCATGCAAGAGGGTGCGCCGACATCGTGGCTTGCTTGGGTTTTACGTCTCGTGTCATGGCCAGTCTCTTGGATAGGCGCAACAATGCTTTGGTGTTTCCGTTTACTTCACCGCCTCAGTGGGCAAAGGCAAGGCACCGAATCCAATGGCCTCACTCGGTATGCACAAGACCCGGACGTCTGTGCACGTGTATGGATTGACGAGCTCGAACGCGACACGAATGGCTCCATATCGCGTGATGCCACATCTATGCAGCGTGTCTCGCTTCCACCGTTCATTGGATGCAGCTACTCAGAGGCACTGCGCCGAGCAAAACACAATCTTCAAATCCTCGTGGTCATACTAACGAGCCAAGCGCACAGTGACTACCAAATCTTCCGCCAGCAGGTGCTTACAGACCCTACTCTTGTGCGCACGCTGCAATCGCCGGACCTGCTCGTGTGGGGCGGCGACATTCGTGATCGAGAGGCGTTCCGCGTTGGTACACTACTCGAGGCAAGCACGTATCCGTTTATTGCATTCATTGCACTGCAACCGCGTCGTTCTCGCTCGCGTGGAACGATCGTGCCGCACCCAGCAGTGCTATCCCGGATCGAGGGATCACCACACACCGCCCTTTCAGCTTCTGCACTTTCCACACACATCACGGACGTTTTGCTGCCTCGCACATACTCTTACCTTACTCAGCTACGACGCGAACGTCGGCACAGGGATATGGAGCGAGATCTCAGGATGGAACAAGACCGAGCGTATGAGGAAGCAAGTCAACGTGATCAAGCCCGGGTACTACGCAGCCGAGCTGAGCACGAGCGTCAGATGGAGCAGCAACAGTCACAAGCGGCTGCCGAGGCAGAGCGTGCTCATCAACATGCGCTTCATGCACAATGGCGCTCATGGGCACGTGCATCTCTAGTGCCAAAAGAGCCTGACGTGGGTGTAGCACCTGCAATTCGCATCTCTGTCAAGCTGCCGGATGGGCGCAATCTCCAGCGCCGATTCCGCTCCTCTGATACGTTAGAGCAGTTGTATGCGTATGTTGATACCATTGATGTCCTTCCTTTGCAACATTCGCTTCCTAAAATGGATACTTCGTACGTTCACACGTACAAGTTCCACCTTGTACAGACATATCCTCGCCGTGTGCTGCCACTAGAGCATCTTTCAATGCAACTTCAGGACATTGAGGGACTTGGGCCTAGTGCGAACCTGATTGTCGAGGCGTCTATGTCTTTGGTGGACGAAGACGAGGAAGATGACGAGGATGAACTATAATATCTATGCTTTGAATAACAAGACTTTATTTGATATATGCGTAGTTGTGCTAAGTCGTGCATACTTGTATGGCGTCAAAAGCAAGAAAAGCTGTCTGCGATTGTCTATCAACATGTACATGTTACAAAACACGCCACAGAGCGTAGCAAGGCAGCAAAAGCTCTGAAGACCTGTCGCAACTACAAAAACATTCGAGTAGAAACCAAATAGTGAGCAACTGCCGAAGACTGGATAAAATGCGATCGATTCAGGGAGTCCCCTCTCCACACGCTTTCCATTCATACTCATCAGTCTGAAATCCATTTACTCTTGGTCAGTGAAAAGGAACTTGAGGGTACCATAATAAGCAATGACAGGATAGTCTTGATGAGACACACCAGGGATAAAGTCAATAGTGTGCGATTTAGACCAGCCCTCCGTCGAATTACCCCGCTGGGCAACCCATTCGGCAGCACGGCACACACGAGAGACCCCTTGGGCATTCGCCTTGCAGTTTTCCGGGCCGTGGCCATTATCATCAAGTGATACAGAGAAATGGATGCGACGTTTCAGGAAATTTTCGATACGATGAACTCCATTCTTGCCTGACCCTTTGCGTCCGTATTTGGGAATACTCTTGTGTACCGACATGCCGTAAGGCCATTCGCCGTATTCAGGACATTTCGCAGTGCTAAAGGGGCGTGTGTCATTGAGCCACACGTACGAGCCTGGATTACCAACCCAGTATTTCAAACGAGCGTCTTCATCGGTCAGATCCCGTAACATGGCATAGTGCATCGATGTTTGACCACCCATCGAGTGACCGGCAACCGTAACTGTCTTCATGTTCGGGAATTGTTGTCTGTCAAGAAGCATTGAAACATAGAAGTCCAGAACATCAAATGAGCTCATGTGCTTGAATGCCCGTGGATGACGCACTGTGTCACCGGCCGACCAGCCGGCTTTTTGAAATGTGATTTCATTTTTCTTCATCGCACCCCTTTTACGGTCTACCTCATCCATGAATGTGGGCGACAGCATTAGCACCTTGCCCGAACCAACATTAAGCTCTGGATACTTTTGTGCTACACGGTATGCGTTACCCAGAAGGTTCAAGTACTTCCAAGAATCACGCCATTGACCGGGTATCAAAATGATAGCACGTTCAATTTTTTCTGGATCGTAGTGCTTGTTCACATAGAAGGGATCGATGGCAATATCGTCGCCGCTCTTCGACACCACAAGTGATCGGTTCAGCTTAAACATGTTGAACCTTTCCGGTAGCCATAGATAGCCCGTCTTGTAAGTCCCAATTGTCCAAGGATTCCAGGTGAAAAATGCACCGCGCGACCACGGAACTTGTTGTAAATCACCAGTACCGGTTATGTTTGCATCCGAAGCCCACAATGACTGATCAGGATCAAAAATCCCAGGAAACTCGAGAATTTTCTGGGCAGCCGCAATCGGGTCTGACTTGCCCAGGTCCTCTACAGTCGCCTGCGCCTCTGGAGAGCCTTGTGCTTGGGCGATCGATACAAGCTGAGCTAAGAGGCTTGTAAGTGCTAATGCGCAGCTAAGCCACGTTCGGGTAAAGTGCATGGTAGGTCCGAACTCAATCGCTAGCAAACAGAGTTCTGACGAGCTTCGCTACGCCGAACAAATTGATGGACCGGTAGGCTGTTTATATCGATAAACGAAATCTCACAGCCCGATTTCATAAACAATGCTGCTGGAGTCCATTTCCTAATTTGCATAAAAACCTTCTTGCGGAGATACATATATTATGCAAGACCTGAAATTTCATATATTGTCGATACATTTTCCGATGATAAAATAAAGCATGTCCTAGTAGGGAAGGTTGGTTTGAAATTCACGTGATCTTGTTCACAAATAATTGGACGTCTCAGCTGTGCGTTTGCAATCAAATAGAGCGAGGGCCGGTGATTCGATAAGCTCGCCTAAGATTGGTGTAATTCTAGCTTGTCGCTCAATCTCGGAATCATGAGGTGCACGCCAAGTAATGCACAAAATAGAAGACCAATTCCAGTGGCTCTACGGACATAGACCTTGCATGACAGCACGTGCAAGCTTCGTTGTGAAGACGGCCGGTTTGCGGCTCGTTCCCAATGCAATAGTTTTAACGCGTATGCAATGTAAGGGTGGTAGGCGAGCCACACGTAATAGTGCTGATGAGATCGTGTATTTGGGAGTTCGTTCGTGTAACGGCGCTTTGACTATCCGATACCATTCGCCCCAGCTTGATTCGTTGTGTTCACCTTCATACGTCAGCTACCTAAGCAAGCCAAACCATATCAGCGTTCATGACTGTATCCCTGATGACTTTTATATCTATGAATTTCGCACAAAAAAATAGGCACATGAAAACCACGAAACCATCGCTGGAGCTAGACGAGCTTTTAAGGCATTCTTATTTCTATCACAAGACTAATTAGCATGGTGGATCTCAGTGTCGGTTACCCTTAGACCTCCGATCCGAAGCAGAAAGCCAGATAATGGCCCCTGATTCGCGGCGTACCTGGGGTATATCACGTGATTACTACCGTAGCTCTCGTGTGTCTCGCCGCATGTCTGCACACATGAGATAGTTGTGCACGGCCATTTATTAGCTCGTATTATGCCGGCGACGACTCTCGCGCGCGTCGTGATGCGGCCGACCGCACGCGGTAAGGTCTTGCCAAATATGTTGTGTCGCTCACTCTCCAACTCGTTGAGTGTTCGGCAAAATAAAGTGTCGGCATTAGACTTCCAGCTTTCCTCCGCAGATGCTATTTATCGTGCGCGTCTTGCCGCACTGGAGCAGCTCTTGCCTATCATCAAGGGTCGCTGGGGTGGCGCTGGTTTTGCAGTCTCACAGGCACTCGGTCTTGGTTGGCTTACCGATTCGGAAGAATCGGTTATGCGTTATGTGTCTTCGCGAGCAGTGTACGTGCCTATGTGGGTAGTCGACGCCATGTTCCATCTTCCATGCCGTGGTGATAATGGTTCAGCACGAGCATCATTTATTTCGACCAATTCAACTTTCCCAGGCAATGCATGGAAGCCTATGGACACTCTACCACTTCGACCACCTCCCCCACGCACAGACAACTCGCCTCCTCCAACACAGGCCCTTATCACGCCGAATGACGAGCCCATGACATATACACCTTTTTCACGCCAACGCCATCTGTTTCCTGACGTTGAGATACCAGAAGGAATTAGTGTGCTCCCATTTAACATATCTCCATTATCGCTACCAGATATTTGCAAGGCGGCAGACCTTCGTACTTCGATGGTCGATCTACTTTCGGAAGGTCCTGCATTGCATATTAATCGGCGATTCACGATTCTACCTGGTGTTGAGATTCAAGTGGCGAATCTTGACACAAGCCGGTCTGACGATACAAAGGCTATGCTTCGAATGGAGCTTGACAAACTTTCGTTCGATATGTTCGCTTGCTATCCAGTCATGCTTCCGATCCATTTGATCGAGTTTCAATATGACGCGCATGGCGAAAAGGATAGGCAAGCGACTGTAGCGCTCGGCGCATGGGATCCCAGTACGTTTTGAATTTTGATCAGGTCCACTAACACGTTTTTCTCCAACAGGCTTACTAGCATATGCAGTTCGCAGTGACGAGCAGGATGCGTGGGTGTCAAAGAGCAGTGCTTCTTGGCTAGACATTGACATTCTTGACTTTGATCCGCGAGTGCCCGTTGCTCCGTCCGCTTTGGACCCTAACGCCAAGAGTGAGACGGAGGTGTCTGATGCGCGTATCATTGACCTCATGGCACAACAGACACAAATGCAAAGTGTCATGGAGCATCGGGCACGATATTTCGTGGAAAATGCTGACTGGTCCATCTGTGAGGAGTGGGAGCGCGAGCATGCCAAGGATGCGCCCTCGTCAGAGGAAACCACAAGTGGCCTAGGCAGCAAAATCAACTGGCACAATGTGCACATTCGTCCATACTATCAAGAAGTCGAAACCAATCGTCGGTATGCAGCGCTATCGACTGAGGCAGCCTTTTCCTCTCGCCTGCTTGATGGAATTGAAAAGGACCGTCAAAATGGTGTGGATGTATCACATGTGCAGACATTCCATGACGGAGAGCTCGTATCAGGTGCGTAAAATTTGAGAAAAATCATAGTTCTGCTGTAATATGGCTATTGACACGGATTCAGGCGACGAAGCGATTGATGTGCTTCGGGACCGTATGTCCAGGATCCACACTCAACGTGCTGCGGCCAAGCCTCACTGGGTGGATGAGCGGATATAAGCGGTAGCATAGGATACTGAACTGTCTTGCACATGACAACAGGCGTTACTTTGCTGCATGATGCTTGTTAGTACCACGCACATCAAGACAAGATCAATAAATATATATGTGCTTGTGGATGCATGATTTCATGCGGAAAAAAACGTACCTTATAATGAGTGAAGCGACATTCGAACATGGCACCGCGATCTTCGAGAATCTCGAGAATCGTGAGCAGAAGAAGAATCGGGTTACGACCACAGATTGTGTTCCCCGTTTTCGTCAAGTGCATTGCGAATGCTTGTCGTGCACGTCGCGAGCCGTGCTTGTTAAAGCTAATGGCCGACATGCCTTCGGCATCCAAGTTCTGAATGGATTGGTAAATTGGCATTTTCGGTTCGATACAGCTCTTGTTCGCCGACGAGAGCATGATGCCCTTGCTTGTAGACGTAGGCTGATACCACGTGTATTGGAAGCGGCTACCCCAATGGCAAAAGTCGCTTGATATGACAAAAAGCGTACGCGGGTCAGCGAAGTACTGGGCAAAGCATAAAGCATATGCGAAATTCATTTGCTCTGGCAGATGCCCAACAAGCACGGGCACAATTTTTACATCGCGCTCGCCCCACACTTTGTATATGTAGGGCAGGTGCATCTCGATACTGTGTTCTGCCTCATCGACTTCTTCCGACATCATTGCAAACATCTTCGTACTGCGGAGTTGCTGAACGACACCCTCGTCCACATCAAGATTACCCAAAGGTGTGGCGAATTTTTTGAAAGGCGATAGGGCACATCCTTGCAGATACGCAACGTGAGAAGGACCCAGAACAAACACTCGATCACTGAAAAAATGTCAGAATCGACGGATCGTTTTCCAACTAGCCTTTATTGTGCGAATACAGGCATCATACATACATGTCGTCTGGGCGGATGCAGCCGTACGCCCAGGCGGCTGATGATCCTGAGAATGTGTAGCCAGCGTGCCTGTATAAAATCAGCCTTGCACTATCACGTACGGTGCGATGATAGCCTTAGACCCTTGTCCCATAGGATTGCGAGCCACAGACGGAATATTCGCGTCGTTCGTAGTTGTTTCAGCTGCTGTTTTCAGCCACTGAAAGAGTGCCTGATCGAGATCATCACCTCGCTCATCAGCGACATGCATACGTACGTTGAGAGGAATACCAAGTTCCAGCATGGGATGCAGCTCTGGTACTCATGATACTACAGCAATTCGCTCTAGAGTGCGACGTAGGAGGTTGTGAATCGTAAGGAAAGTTGAATGTTGATTGCTTTTGGACTGTTCCAAACCTTGACAAGAGGCGCGGAGGGACCACGTTTAAAAAATCTTATCCTATGACCGTGGAGAAATTGACAAATCATCGTCGTAATCGAGATCGTTGGCACGTGTGGAAAGACATGTCGGGCGCAAACTCTCCACACTACGTGCCTAGTCCGAGAGATCTTGTCCTGGCCGTTTCAACGACTTTTGTCCTGAGCCGAACTGCTTTGTGTTTTCCTCCACACATCTGTCACTTGCCCACTCGTTCATGGATGGCGTCTTGGCGTGGCGTTGCGCGTTGGCGCATCGCCATTGCGTTGCCATTAGTAACGCGCTTCTATGAAGTGCGATACTACGGTGTTCGAATGTGCACCTCCGGCTCAGTCAAGCTTCGTCCGTACCAGCAGGAATGTGTCGATGCCTGCATCGACGCTCTCGAACGAAAGCACCTCACGCGGATCGGGGTCTCAGCACCCACCGGGAGCGGGAAAACGACGATGTTTCTTGAACTTGTGTCGCGCATTTTCTCACGAGAAGCAAATACATCACATGCGTTGATCCTTGTAAACGGCATCACACTTGCACAGCAAGCAGCTGAGCGCGCCAAACGCATGTTCCCTCACATGACTGTGGACATGGATCAGGGCGCGCGTCACGTAGCTTCTGGTGAAGCAGACATTACTGTTGCGACTGTTCAGACGCTGCGGCAGCCGAAACGTCTCGCGAAATACAACCCCCACAAATTCAAGTGCGTGATTGTCGACGAGGCCCATCATTCGACGTCGCCAAGCTACCTATCGGTTCTGTCTCACTTTCACAAAGCGATTGTACCATCAAATAAGCATGGATCTACCACCGATGCAACGACACCCATCATTGGATTCTCTGCTACTTTTACGCGACATGACGGTGTGGCGTTGGGCCTCGTCTTTGAAGAAATTGTCTTCCACAAAGACTTTCTTGATATGATTGACGAACAGTGGTTATGTCCCGTGCGATTTACATTGATTCGAGCTGACTTTGATTTGTCGAAAGTATCGACAACTTCCAGTGACTACGTCGTGTCATCATTAGCACATGTGGTCAATCGACCTGACGTTAATGAATTGGTCGTTCGCTCATGGATGGATCTAGCAGGTGCCACGCGTCAATCCACGCTTGTATTTGCCGTGGATGTTGCACATGTACATGCGCTTGTAAAAGAGTTTCAAGTCCGTGGTATTGATGCTCGTGGAATTCATGCCTCCATGCGTTTGACCGAGCGTGAATCTCTGCTTGCGTCATTTCAGCGCGCTGATTTTCCTGTACTAATCAATTGCGGTACGTTTCTGCAGCAGTCATAAAATGGTTTGGATCTATCTTACACGCTGTGCAGCAATTCTTACAGAGGGCGCAGATATGCCGGGGATTGATTGTGTCTTGCTTATGCGCCCGACCAAGTCTCGTAACCTATTCGCACAGATGATCGGTCGTGGTATGCGAAAAAGCGCGGGTAAATCCGACTGTCTGATCTTGGATGTTGTTGGAAATGCACACAATGACCTTGTATGCACACCTACTCTCTTAGGTTTGGAAGAGCAGAATATTGCATCGGACGAGGCTACCGTTGTCGATGGCACACGTCATCGGTATGATACTACGAGAGCAACAGTCCATGCGTATACTAACAAAACTTTTCAGGCATCCAAATCATTCCTAGAACCACCTGAACACGTCGCTTTTATCGACTTTGACGATGTACATGAACTACAAAAGGCGATGAGTATGGGTGCGGCCAAATCAGTCAAAGAACTGTCCCCCTATGCATGGGTTGATTGTGGCGCCGATACGTATGTGCTGGGCTCGTTTGACGGAGCGTACGTGAAGGTTCGTCGTGTCGATTCAGAATGGCATGCCCATTATTATGCGCGGAATGCAGCGTTTTGGAAAGACGTTGCAGCCGGCCTAACATTGAATGCGCCCTATTTCAAGCGTAAAGTTCTTGCATCTACTGATCTTGGGCATGCATTGCGTGGCTGTGACACGTTCATGAACCGTGTGCTGGAAGCCTCAAATAGGTCCCCCATGTGGCTACGACGACAAGCACGTTGGCGTGCGATGCCAGCGACGCCGAAATCTCGTGCTCTCCTCGCACAAACACTCACACATCGCTGTCATACGTTGAGTACTCCGTCCATTTCACCCAGTATGACGCAGGGATCGCTACAACGCGCTATGATTCGACTTCGTCACGGTGGCAAATCGTTGTGGCGCAGCGCCATGAAGCGACACAATCGTTTGCACGCACGGAAAGCTTCACAAAATGTACAAGTAGGCCCGTTGCCGCTCTAATTTTGCATATGTGAATCTCATTGGCATAATTCATTCTCGCAGACCGGACGCAAATACATCGTTGTAAGGATGCACATCGTTCCTGACACGTCTAAATGAATGGGTTGGTGTGTAAAAACAAATTAATAATGTCGACACACAACACTCGCCCCCTTCCTCCAACTGCCGATAGAAAGCTGTTTTTTTCTTACAAATTTTCGTGTTTTTCTTGCGCAGAGAACAAGACCGTGTTGGTCTTACCTGCGGTAACGCGTTCCACAAGAACTAGACGAAAAAAGATATCACGGCAATGGACTGTACAGGCATACTTCAGTATACAGAAAAATATTTGATTCGCGTACGTGGTACATAGGCTCACAGCAGAGAGGTATCCGCGTAGGTTGCTTGGGTGTCTACTGACGATGGCGTAGTATCTCCTCCGCAAACTCTTTCGAAAGGGCAGACCATCACATGGTGGTAGCGGTGCCGGAGCTGATGCTGGCGTGGGTGCTTATCAAACGGGGGGCCTAGGATACCCCCCACAAGCATTCAATCAGCATGGATTTCAGCAAGCATACCCGACGCAGCAAGGGTTTCAGCCTAGCTATGGCCCGGCCTACAGCGCACCTGGAGGCCCAGCAGCGAATTCCGCTCAGATCCTGGGAGCCAATGCAAATATTCACGACTTTGACGATAACAACAAAAATGCGCAGAATCCACACTACAAAGCACTGCGAAGCAAAGCCCAGTCTGAAGGCGACAAGATGGCACATTGCTTTGAGCAGTCCCAGCAAGCGTATGCTCGCAGGCGCATGGCGCTGGTGCAAAGAAACTAAGCCAGGAAGGTCATCAGCACAAGGCGGCCATGGAACGCCTCAACACTGAGGCGAGGCAGTGGATCTTTGCAGCAAACAATGCTGACAGTCCCCCAGATACTCTCGACCTTCACGGCTTGTACGTGAAAGAGGCGCTTATCAAAGTCGAGGAGGCCATTCAAAAAGCACAAGCACAAAACTACACAGAGCTGAAACTTATTGTCGGCAAGGGTCTGCATTCAAAAGACCATGTTGCTCATATCAAGCCAGCCGTCGAACGCTTATTGTCAAGGTGCGTTTGGAAATCCGTCGTCAAAGCCACGCCTTGCCTTACTGACAGCTTACTCCAACAGGTATCATTTGGATGCACATGTTGACAAACACAATGCAGGCATTGTTGTGGTCAACTTGGCAGGTCCTAAAGGCGGTGGTTCGCTTGACTTTACCCGTGATATCGCTCGACACGCCACAGGCAACGACCAGGAGTGTGTGGTCATGTAAACCTCATGCCTGTTCAAATGCAAGCATTATTACATACATTATCGCCAAAGCCATGAAAGCCAATGCGACTTATCTTCGTCTCGTTGTTGCATCTTCTGTGCGGCCATGGAAACGCCGCATTGTCGAAGTCCCTGAATCCTGGCACTTACAGCTTCGACCAACAGAGGATACGCACGCTCTATTGCCGAGGCAAGAAACGCCGGCTTCGTATACAGTATTTTTCGCGCCGATGCTGGTGCCACATGATTATACGCACGTATCACTTGATTCAGTCGATGCACGGCTGCTTCATGGTATGTTGACTCTTGCCGGGATCCACGCGGCATCCCGGAAAGCTCGCACCCACTCGAGTGTCCGCTGCTCAGCTTCATTACGCGGCTCAATCCGGAATGACGGCAGGTCATTGTCGGCGTCATTGGATTTAGCATGCCATTGCACACCGACGGGAGCCAAGTCCAGCCAAGCATTCGTCTCATCAAGGTTTTTCAATGCTCGACAGATCCATGCATGTTGCACACGCTGCCGTAGAAAGAGTATGTCCCTTTGCATGTCATTGTTCAGCTGGACCCAAGGTGGCATCGCTCCTTGCCGTTGGATCATGCGGTTCAATACAAATTCTTCACGCTGAAGATACGGATTGGTTTCATTGTAATCGCGTGGAATTGGTCTGCCGCGCAATGAATTCGCTTGCAGTTGCCCACTTTTTAAAGCCTCTACGATTTTTTGCTCAGCAATCCCTGCTAGCCCTTTCGTGGCGCCTACCATAGCCAAGAAAGGCTGTTGTGATGATGAGGGCAGCTTAACTTCTTCATCTTGCGGTTTTTCTTTTGCGTCAGCAAGACGCGTTTTATCGTATCTGAGTAGGCGAATATCCATCGCCTTTTCTATCCTATCGCGATGCAGAGACCGACGCAGTGAGTCGCGCAGTTCGCCCATAGCCTTCCGATCATCCAACGCCAGTTGTGATGAGGTGATGCCTCTCTTGGCTAATTGCTTTGCCATGTCAGACTTGTGCGACTCAGGCGAAAGATACTTGCCCCGATATACTTGTGGTTCATTGGATGTAGCATGTGATGGGCGAACATACACCGCATTCCATGGTTGGCCTTGTGGTGTGTGCGGCTTGAGTATCGTGTGCCGTGAATGTTCTTCCAAGGATGTAGTAGTTGGGAGATCCGTGGGCTTCTGTGCCCGAGCGAGGCGATTTTTTTCTGCCGTTCTTCCATCCTCCTGCCTACGCAATGGTTTATACTTGTCCATTAACATGCGCAACACAGTGTGCTCTAGCCGCTCGTCCCCCGTCCAAACGGGATCATTGGGGTCTTGAAGGACAAGTGGCGTTTTCACTGAGGACTCTTGCGCTTCCTCACGCACCGCATCTTCAAACAACTTATCCGAGGCTTTCTGCGAATACCTAGCGCATTGTATGCGTCGCACTGTCCCTCTCTTCAGGTAACGTCGAAGCATGGTGGCAACTTGATGCACGCGTTGCTCCAGGCTCTCCACATTTGGGTGCTGTCAAAGAAAGGCGAGAGACTTTCATGGGATAGAGCTAGGCGAAGATGCCTCCACAACAATTTCCAACCAGAGCTGGATCTACAAAGCACGAGACAAAGAGCTAGGGCACTAGCGCCTGAAACGACAACGTCTTGTTTTGAAGGCTGAGAAACGCTCATAGCTCATCTTCGTTCACAAGTTCTCCTACGATTGGATACTTTCCAGCAAAATGCGAGACCCAGTCCTCCATATTTTTCCTACAAGTTAGCTCGATAAACACGTGCCTCTCAAGTTCCGTCAAATCCTCCAATTTGTCGATAGGTTGATCAATCGGCGTAAGGACATCTTTCGTGATTAGTACAGCGAGGATGCGTAAAGTAACCTAACGACACGTACCTAGGGCAAATGACTGCTTGGCCATGCCGCGAGACGCATCACGGCCGGCAAAGTTACCGTAAGGACCATTGGGTCCGTAAAAGTTTCGACCGCTCGATACGTCAAAAACTTGTCCATTGATAGCCAAAAGAATTTTGTCTGTATTGCCATCCTGGCTCGCATGTGTTCCATCATGCAACGCTAGTGTTCGAGGAGTATATTTCACCCATTCAATGGATTTCGAGTGTTCGGGTGGCAAGGTCGAGTACTGTGCACTTGGAGCAAGAGACCTGGCCTCTTTGGTACTTGGCATACTGGCAGGCGATGACGCCTCAGGAGGCCATAGCAAATACACGGCCAGAGGCACGCATAGACTGAAGAGGAACAAGTTGAGTGAATTATCCGTCACCGAGTCCCAATACTGCACATGAGTGGCGCCTTAAACTTACAGGCCTAACAGACGGTGGGAGAAACACCGAAATGATTTGTCCCATTTCGTGAAGCTGATCGATCACGCACGGACAGTGGGCCGAGAACTATGGGAAGTATAGCGACTGGCCATGGTGTCATTACGCACATGGACATGCTCGTGGTTGCTTAGTCAGCTTGCGCTCGTGACAGGGTTTAGTTCGAAATGGAGAAGACGGATGACTTCTAGTGAGTAGGTACGTCAACTGAGCACGAATAAGTACATCGAGTATAACGTAGCTTTGTCATCCTCCGTCCATATTGAGAACTATGACGAAGCCGACGTTTCCAGATCCGCCCAAACTCGATACTTTGGTCTTACACGCTGATCAGCCTGACGAAACGAAAGATGAGGCATTCCCTGTTGCTCCTTCGATCTCTATGAGCACGACGTTTCGCCAGCCACATCCAGACAGCACACTTGCCCGAAATGCTGACAACCTTGAGAGTGCCCCAGACGTCGCTCCTTACCATGTGTATAGCCGCTATACGCAAGATACTCGCACTCGCGCTGAACGTGTAATTTCTGGTATACTGGGTGCACATTCGCTCTTATACTCATCAGGGCTCTCAGCTTCTGACTCACTCTTGGATTTTTGTTTGCCCAGTGTGATTGCAATTCGTGAGGGCTACTTTGGCGTACACGAAGTGATTCACAAGTATTGCCGCGGTCGTAATGTGAAAGTAATTGATCTCGATGACGAATATCCTGTTCTTGCTGGAGTACCAGCTGAAAATGAGTCAAACATCAGTCAAGGGAAACTTCTGGTCTGGCTCGAAACACCACTGAATCCGACGGGGGAAGCGCGCGACATCGAGCATTATGCCAACCGTGCGCGTGCTGCCAATGGTTATTTGGTTGTGGATGCGACGCTTGCGCCACCTCCACTCATGGATCCCTTTCTTCATGGCGCCGATTTTGTCGTGCACTCAGGCACGAAGTATTTGGCGGACATTCCGATTTGCTAATGGGGATTCTTGCAACTAAATGTTACAAGACTTTCGTACAGCTTTGGTATGAACGGAGCCTAAATGGGCGCGTTCCAGGCAATATGGAGACGTTTCTTTTGTTGCGATCCTTGCGTACGATGCCTTTGCGTGTTCGCCACCAGTCGAAGACAGCCACGAGTCTCGTGCAGTTCTTGCATAGCCTAACGGCAGGAAAAGACCCTATTGATCCTGTCTCTGACAAAATTTCCAATGGCAAATTTGTGAAGCAAGTATGGCACTCTTCTCTCCAGCCTCGTGAAACCTACGATGAAGAAGTTGCAGAAACTGCTCAAGAGAACCATGCATTTGACCCGTCCTCACAACTTCCCGATGGCGGGTCACCCACCTTTGGTATTCTCCTAGCGAAAGCCTCGTATGCAAAATATGTCGCACATTTCCTCACATATTTTGTTCCTGCTACATCTTTGGGCGGTGTCGAATCATTGATAGAACAACGCGCCGTTGTTTCTTCAAGGGCCGACGAAAGAATTGTTCGAATATCTACAGGGTTGGAAGATCTCGATGATTTGAAAAAGGATCTTGCTCGTGCAATGGTAGCTACCATCCAACACGTCGAGAACAACCCAAACGAAGCGTCTGAGTAGGCTGATTAACTAGCGCAAAACGTTTAGACGTGGAGGAATTCAACCCCACAAGTTCTGTAGTGTGCATGCAAGCAAATCTTACCACGTGGAGTTTCCGATGTTGTACTGCATATTTATCCCAACGACGGTGTAGTGTTTTCTGTCGCTTCAGGTGTCGTTCAGTGAGGGAGTTGAGCGAGAGCGATTCTATCGCTAACGCTTCAACAAGAACGTGTCTAATATCAAATATGCATACATTATGGCTGCTAGTTAGTGTGTCTGTGCTCAGTATGGCATCTATACATGCTCAGATTGTCCCCGAATTTGCGTATGTATTGACATTGAGACTAACAGCTCTAGCGTGGATCCTCGTTTGTTTGAACCTATATCCCTCCAAAATGAGACGTGGAGCTACCTTCAAGAAAATCAGAAGCGTGCGACGCCGACACAAACCACCGCAGCGACTCCGTCAAATCCGTCTGGCGTTGATAAGAACAATACCAGCAATCATCTCGAGAGCACTGGCTCTGCCAGTCCTGGTGCTACAGCGACACTCCAAGCTGACACTTCCAAAGGTCATTGTGAAATGTCAAATGATTTGTCTGTAAATCAACAGGCTAGCTGGGACGAGTACGTCGTAAGCACCTGCTGTACTTCGTCGGACTATGCGGAATGCTGGTACCGTGTACAAGCGAGCGTAGATGCAAAGCTTGCATGTGTAATACCCAAGTGTCAAGATCTTCAGACAAATGATCCTGACAAAATGTTAGGGTTCAAGCCATTGTCTGGTTCTAATGGGCAAGGCAAATACCAGAATCTCTTTCCAATTTTGATTTTGAGCTCGGCGTTGCGTCATGCGATCCCGCACTTTCTTGTTGTTTCGATATCACTCGGCGTCTCGCTTCTGCTACTCGTGTAATATATAACTGAGGAGGAGCACCGTGACTGACACTAAACTCGTAACTAGCGGGATGTTTCGTCAAAGCTGCCCTCTGATAGAAACGCTACAGCCTCAATCATATGCACATTCTACAAATGGGACCAGCTCCCAATGATCTGTCCAGCGCTTATCCTCTCCTATATAGGAAAACCTTTCAAGACATTGCGAGTTCAATTTACATGTAAGAAAGCTCCGATGTGCTACTTCGGTTCAATAGTCAACTCCGGATCTTGCCTGCCCTGCCGTTCACGACGCATCACGGGTGTGGCAAATTTTCTTGATTCACTCCACGTCGTATGCATATAAAATGCATGCTTTTGCCACGCATGTCCCATCCATTATTGGTATTAGACTGCTGACACGCAGACAAAGACAAGTTGTCTTCGTAAAGCGTGCATTTAGAAGTGACCATGTCAGGTCCAACTCGCATGGACTCGTCACGGGTCTTTGCAAAATGGGTCAGGCAGCTACATCTAGCACAGCAGTATAAGTCCAGACATCTGGCCACGTCCGTGCGAGTGCGAGGTCGTTCGCCCCCAAAATTGCACAGTGACTTGCATCCATCAAGGTCTCGTCAACGCTTCCATCGAATTCAAAATGTGATCAAAACCACTTTGGGACAAATTGCTCCTGTTTTGAATGGTGCTTTCCGTGTCTTTCTTCCTAGCCACGCACGCATGGCGTGCATAAGGGCATCTTCTAGAGAGCCTGCATCGTTTTCCACAAGACGTACTCCCTCATCGCCCTTGGCTGCGTTTGCTATGAAACGTGTACATCTCCCACGAGGTCCTGGCCTGCACGTTTCTACATGTCATGGCCCAGGTCTTCAGAGTGCTCGTGCCTTTAGTTCCGGTGGTGCTGGTGCCCGATTGTTTGAAAATATGGTCACTGATGCACCGCTCGCTATCCGAGCCTTTGGTAACAAATTCAAGGATGAAGCGCATGTCCGTGAGTCCAAGTCTTTGCGGCGTGAAGCTCGCGCAGCGAAGACGCAACTCAAAGCTGTGCGTGGCGTTATGCCATTGAATCATTACGGACTCGCATCTCTTTGCGCGATGGAACCAGGGGCGCTGACAAACCTTGACTCTGTCAATGCTGATGATATGGAACTGTTTTTTCCTCTCGCGAAGACTTCGTCTGCATGCGCAGGCCCATTTCAAGGTGTCAAGACGGTCCTCACAGTTGCATTGGATCCATACACGCCTATGATCGACGGCAAGAGCGAGGTGCTTCGTAGCCAAAACATGCCTCAAGTAAGTGCGTCCTTGTTAGACGAGAACATGCAGTCGAAGCTCCATCAGATTCAGGCCAGATACAAGCACCATCATGAATGTATCAAGCTTTTGGAGGCCGTGTTACGATATCACAACATGTGGCCCAGTAAGTTGGACATGTCATGTGTTGAAGTCCCTATTGTATCAAATAAACCGGTCTTTCTCAGAATTAAAATACCTGGCTGGCGGAAACCAGATGTCGAAGCGGCGCTAAGGGACGTACCCAAGCATGTTATACATTTACATTCACACCCGCTTGATTGTCTCTGGAGTCTGATGGAAATTTCCTAGCCATTGCACATTGTAGTAAGGATTCGTGTAGGTCACATATCAAGGTGGAACTGATATCATCGACAGCTTGGAAAAACAAGTGAACAAATTTTTCGAGCGAAATGAACAATGACATTGCCGGTTTCTTTGTTGTCTCCTCCACACATGGAAGACCTTTGGCCTGTAATCCAACGAGAGACAAACATTAGCACAGACCTGCGTATATAAGGCTTGTTTCGAACCGAACAAATGGTCATTTTGTCCGAACTCGTAGATCAGCCGTCTGATTCTGAAGAAGGCATGAACGAATTTAGTTTGGATTCGCACATATGGGATGACGTTGTTCCCGTAGCTCAAGATGATGGACCTCAGCCGTTATGTCCTATTTTGTACGACCCAGATTGTATGTGTGTGACCATTTTTCCAACTTACACATCAGATGCCAAAGCAATGAGTCTTTATCGGGCTCTTATGTCCAAAGATAAAGGCTCTATGGAAGTATCGGATCGCGCACTAGCGCTTACGGAGCTCTTGGTGCATATGAATCCAGCTAATTACACAGTATGGCAGTCTCGAGCTCAAGTGCTCATCCGTATGGCATCGAGAGGGGATGCGTATGGTTGTCTGCAAAAGGAGCTAGAATTTCTTGATCATTTTGCGCTTATGAATATGAAGAACTACCAGGTATGGTACGTGTGGCTGTCCTAACATGACTCTCCCAGGCAGCATCGCAAAGTGATTGTATCGATGCTTGGTGATCCATCCCGAGAAATGGACTTTATCTCAGCCACGCTTGACCAAGACTCGAAAAATTATCATACATGGGCCTATCGTCAGTGGGTGCTCGCCCATTTTGGCGGTCTTGGACCGCGCGACGTGAAAGTCGAGGCAGCTGGTGCCGGACAATATCCACAGCTGTGGGAAGCTGACATTAATTACGCTGATTCCATGATACAAAAAGATGTTCGAAATAACAGTGCATTCAACCATCGATGGTTTTGCATATTTGGGCGTGCGATGCAAGGGAGAAGCGAACTCCCACCTGACATGGAACCGAAACGTGATGATGAAATCAAGTAAGTTCGAAGAAGCACGAGTTCCCCAATGCACGCACATACTGACACGCAAATTTTTTATCAGTTATGCATTATCCAAGATCTCTTTGGCTCCGAATAGCGCAAGCGCGTGGAACTATCTTCGCGGGTATGTACCGCATTTTCTCATCCCTGTGCCAGGCTCCATAGGGCGCTTTTACCTCGACGTTCATTTGCCGCGATCTTGCATCGCATACAAGAATTTATTCCCACAATGGATCACGCTGAAGCATCGAGGCATCCGGATGTTGACGCCGCAGGAAAAACACCTGCCTTGGCTTTGGAGTGGCTGTTCGATGCACAGATGGAATCATTTCGTGATGGTGACGACAAGTCAATTCTGTATCATGTACGTTTTTCGGTGCACTTATGTTAGATCCTCACCCGGCTTCGACATGCTGATCCAGCCCGAGAATGTTATTGGTCTTACAAGGAAAGGATGCTGCCGTAGGGGTCGCGAGATAAGACAGTTATGGACATCAGTCGGCCAAGTGTTGTGAGTGTGTGACGTGTGTGGAGGCTGTACCTGCGAGAATTGGGTGACATGCTGTGTGGATTGCCACGATTGTCCTGAGGGAGGAGTCGAGCTGACTGCGACACCATGCAAGGCTTTGGGAGTATGTAATAGCTGCACTCTATATTTACATGTATAGTGGGGCGCTACCGACCTCGGGATGAGGATGCAGAAAGAAGGGCGTTGGAAGGCAGCTCGCGTCCACGAAAGAGTGGCACGCGAATCACTACTGTGCGGTGTGCGTGTGACTATTCTCAGGTCTAACCAACATGCAGTCGAGCTTCCTTTCAACATATGGTGGTATGTCGCGTAACAAGCTGAAAAAGAAGCGGTTCCTGTGAGAATCACGTTGCGCAAGGTGTGCGTTTCAATGCAGACAAAATCCCGACTGGCTCGTATTATAGTACGCCTATATGGACGTTCCGATGCAAATGCCATTCGTGTCAAGCGTACTTTGAGATACGTACAGATCCTAAGGTGCGACTTATCTTTACTGCACGATGCATGTTCAGCTAACTTGGGAAGAATGCGCAATATGTGGTTGTATCGGGTGCTCGGAAGCAAGTCCGTGAATGGCAGCCAAGTGAAGAGGATGACGTTCTTTTGCATGGTACGTAATGAATTCTGAATGTTCCCAACGAAAGACAATCATCAGACACCTGGGACGTCGGAACGCGACGGTGCATTTGCCCAGCTGGAGAAGCAGCAACAGCAGAAACAGAATGCCCATACATACCAGGAGCGCGTCGCCGAGCTTGAGCAAGTCTCTGCTGAAAGGTGGACTGATCCTTATGGAATCAATGCTCAACTCCGTAAGACGTTTCGAGCTGAAAAACATGCACGACTCAGGCGCGAGCTAAGTGATGCCTCTTTGCGTGAACGAATAGGCTGGAGTCAAGATCGATTGCTTGCTGGTCCGAGCTCATCTGAACCTGGTTATTCGACACCAGATATGCGGCAAGCTTGGGTTCAAGCACAAGATGCGAAGGAACGCACGAGACTTGAACATCCGTCGAGAAGAGTGCGCGACAGGAAGCTCCCATCCAAAGCAGTACAAAGCCTGACACCTGCAGCGCAGTCACTCGCTGCACGTTTGCTTTCCAATACACACACAAAGAAAAAGAAAAATATAACAAATAACAAAAGGGGCTAGATGATACATATGGTGCCAAGTGCGGCATGAAAGGAGAGAAATTTGTATGATTATATTGAGATACAATGACCTAAACAAGTTTCTTCGACGATGTGTGCTCGTGCGTTGCCGGCAGCTCATTGCTGCTCGCTGAAGATGGCGACGAAGCGAAGCGGTTGTGCCAGAGCGAACTGAGCTTGAGCCCAGTCGACTGTTCAATATCATGAAGACCCGATGCGAACGTGTCGGACACACGTTCGCGCGTCATCTGCATGTGATCCATACCGGTGAACCAGAACTGACGAGCGCGGTCCCATTGCTCACGGCGGGCCTTGCTGAAAGACGGAGCATACGACTGCTCCTTCGTCTCATAGTACTCGCCAATGTTCTGCGTAGTGTGCGGGAGAAAGTACTTCATCGAGGCGAGCAGGACGACTGGAGGCACGGCCCATCGGATAGGGAACGAGCCATGACGAGTGAATACAATGCTTGCTAGAGTCACCACGCCGACGTAGAGTCCGTTGGGCGTGACTGTCTCATCCTTGGCAATCAAGCTATTCATGCGGTCTGTGGGGAAGATAGGGGATAGTCGTTAGTACCACACAATCACGAAAGGAAAAATATGTCATTTGCGTTTGCCACAGCGTACCTTCTACTTTGTCTTCCGCATGAATTACCGAGCTGACGCCGGACCGAACCGAGGCCAAGACACCACTTGTGTACTGCTGGACGGCCTGACGGGCGCGTGACACTTGGCGTTCAAGTTCTGTTGAAGTCTCAACGACGGTTACTTCGCGGTCCCTCTCAGGGTACACAGACAGTTTCTCCTAATATGGTTAGCGCGCTTCTGGCAATGACTGCGCAACGTACAGGCACAGACATAGCGATCAATACTCAGACAAGAGAGAGGCGGTGAGACGAATTCAGTCGCTTGCTTGGACCCGATCCGTTTCCTCTCGTCGGCTTTGAGGCTGGCAGCATTTGACATGTAGGTGAGCATATTTCCTCAACTGATGCGCCGCGTCGCGAATCGCTCCCCCACATGCATCACGACGGGCTCCACAGTAGGACAGATATTGATCCACGCTGCTGGTGACAATTGACGTGTATGAGCCATGTCGGACGATGAGGTAAGTGTGTGATATGGTCTTGAAAAAGCTTCGAATGAGTGAAAGGGAAAGAAAATGGCATATGGCGGACGTGAAACTAACTCGCCAGTTTATGATGGATGACGCGCTGGAAGAAGAGGATTATGAATTCGAGTACGAGGACGATGACGACGAGCACGAAGGAGATGCAGATGTAGAAAACAAGTATTATAATGCCAAGGGTATGTTTTCGTCTAGAAAGCAACTAACAGCAGCCATGAAATCGAATGATCCCGTGGCGGCCTTGCGTGAGCTGCAAAACATTGTGGATCAAGACACGCCACAGACAGAATGGTGAGTTTGCAGGCCACTCGCTAATGATCTCCAGGGGCTTTAAAGCTCTGAAACAGCAAAGTAAGATCTTTTTACAATTAGGACGTTTCTTGGACGCTCTTGGCAAGTACGAACACGTACTGCACTATACCCATTCAGTGGTCACGCGGAACTATGCAGAAAAATCCATCTGCTCGATTCTGGATCGTGTGTCTGCAGCGATAAGCATGCCATTGGAACTGGTGGAAGCATGGTTTTCTCAAACACAAAACACCCTCTCCGTGTCTCAGACTGATCGCCTACGCACCAAGATAGGACTAAAGCTCGCGCGATTATGGCTCGCGCGGCGCGAGTGGGATCGGCTCGCCAGGGTGCGTACATGCTTTAGGCATTCGATCTATGCTTACACGTTAGGTGCTTGGTGACTTACGAACGCATCTAATGGAAGCGAGTCATGGCGACATACAATCTCAGGGGACAACAGTGCTGGAGCTGCTATCGTTAGAGATTCAGATGTATCGAGAAACTGGAAACTTGCGCATGGTCAAGGTTCGTGTCTACGAGATGCTGCATTATGGCCGAGCTTACATGTTTAGGCCACGTACAATGCAGCCATGAACGTGCAAAATGCCATTCCGCACCCACGCACGATGGGTGTGATACGTGAGTTTGGTGGGAAAATGCACATGACCGAAAGTATGTATCGGAGTCAACAAGAAGCATGCAAATGATTGTCTCTCTAACGGTAGAAAACTGGGAGGCGGCACAGGTGGACTTTTTCCAAGCCTTCCGCAACTATGATGAGGCCGGGAGCCCACAGCGTATTCAAGTCCTAAAATACTTGGTGATGGCAAATATGCTCATGGGCAGTGGGATCAACGTGTTTGACTCGCAGGAGACGAAGCCGTACGTTTTGCTGCAATGAAGAGAAGCCAATGTATGCTAACAAAAGCTGTGTGTTTTCTCAGATACAAAGATGATCCCAATATTGTGGCCATGACTGCCCTGGCTGATGCATTTGAGCGTCGGGACGTTGATGATACTGAACATATTATCGCAGGTGCGTCGGACAACTCGAGCCGGACTCCTCATGCAATCAGACTACCGCGATTCTCTTGCTAGTGATAGTTTCGTCGAGGAATTTCTCACGGAAGTGTTGAAGGAGTTACGTGTGCAATACATTCTTGACTACGTTCGCCCATACGCGGCGGTGAGAATGGACAAACTCGCGTCGGTACGTATGGCACACCAGACGTGTTATTGTCTTGGCTTTGTCACTGACATGGTTGCCTGTCTTTTTTATTTTTGGATCTTCCACGATTTCCTTTGTGTACTTGATTATTTCATCTTGCCAAGCTGCTCCATTTGCATACGAATGACGTCGAATCCCTTCTGGTCACGCTTATTTTGGATGGCCGCTTGGATGCGCGTATTGACGGAGTGGAGCAGGTACTCAAATTGCCACGCTCATCAAATAGTCATGCACGCGACGACGCACGGCAGGCTTTGCACGCATGGTACGATCAAATGTGGGAACTTGCAATGGCCATCTCAAGCAAACAGGGTAAGTGGATGATAGGTGCTCTTCCTCGCACCCGCAGAAGACATCTAACATGACGGGATCCCAGCCAATCGACTAGCTCGAGCAACGTAGTCAACAGCTTAGTAGATGTTACTCCATGCGCCTTGAGTGCACAGGCCAGGGTGAACCACCTCTGCTATTGGTTGGATGCGAGTGTTGGAGAGTCAAAAAGACGTGGAGAAGCCAGTTAATGATCTCCTCGTACAACACATAGAGCATCTACATGTGCAAGACACACATGACTGTCGAAGCTGTTTGAGCTGTGAGGTGGGCGGCTAGGGAAACTTAAAAATGGCAACAATCCAGTCTCAACCCAATTTTCCTCATCCCCCTTCTCTCTCGCTTTCCCTCTCGGTTCTGGTAACCGGCACTAGCACACTAGCACTTAAAGGTATCAGCGTTGATCGCATACCTTAGATCACCAACTCTCTTTGACAACACTCTTTCATTCCTTGCTACACTTTTTAATCCCACACCTTCTCTCGTACAAACTCCTTATCCGACATGCAGTACTTCATGCTTCCTGCTGCTCTCATGACCGCATCCGGTATGCTGGCCAATGCTGCGCCCGTCAGTAGCGGTGCCAGTGCGAACCAGAAAGGTGCTCAAGGTCTTGAGCCTATGGCTCCTTCTGCTACGCGCCCTGGTGAGCCGCTTGTCGTCTCGTGGGGACCAGCCTCCGGTAATTCAGACTGGAAGCACATGAATGTGTCGCTTGTCGCCCTCAGTGAAAACGGCAAGAACAAGGTGACTCATCTTGCTACGGACGTTGATGGCACTGATGCAAAGAACAACACGCTACGTACCAAGGCACCTAAGCATTTGGGTAACAGTGATTCGACCAACTATGTGATTCGCTTTACCGACGGTAAGGAACACAAGGACTCGCCGAAGTTCACTATCGAGCACAAGAACCACACATACTCAAAGCTGAGTGCGCGCCACGGCGATTCGCACTCAAGTGCATCCTCGAGTGCATCGGACGCCGATAGTAATGGTGCAAGTTCCATTGATTCGAGCGACATCTCAGCTATCATCCAGCAGATGCTAAGCTCGGGCCACGCTGCCGGCGGGCGTAGTGCTGCTGCTGCAAAAGCTGGTGGTGATGATGTGGAACAGAGCGGTGCTGACGGCCTTGAGGATGAAGAAGAGCAAGAAGACGACGGAGCTACCAAGGTAATGAGCTCCTCATCGTCTTCATCGTCGTCGTCCAAGGGGCAGCTGCCGACGCCTGTGACTATCGATGGCGTCATGTACGTTCCAATGGTCGGCTCGTCTCTGCCAAGCAATCTTCCAACGTCTGGCTTGGGACTTGCTAAGTCCAATTCGACAACCGGCGATGGTTCAAGCAGCAGCAAGAGCCGTCACCACGCTAAGCAAACGCACAAACCGGACAGTCGTGATGCTTGGTCAGATATTGCGCAGTCAATGGACGCTGCTGAAGCTAAGCACCGTCACCACGGCAAATCGTCCTCGTCGTCAAGTGGAGAGACGGATAGCGACATGATGGGTGTGCGTAATGCGGCTGTTTCTATGCCGTCGACGTCAAAGAATCACCGCCACAACGGAAAGTCATCGTCAACGACGTCCCCATCGTCATCGAGCAAGAGCCACCACCACAAACACTCTAACAGCCGTGGTTCAGGCAGTGCCCACGGTCGTAACGCTGCTGCTTCTACATCAGGAAGCCCATCGTCTTCTTCGTCGAGCAAGAAGCACAAGGGTCACCATGGCGGACAGCAGAAGCTTCATTCGTCAACAACTGGCGCATCGTCCAGCCACGATTCTAAGTCTTCGTCAGCACCCGGCAGCTCGAGTGCTTCAAGTCAGTCCAGCTCGACCAATGGTTCTTCGAGCTCGGGCAGCAGCAGTAGCTCCTCGAGCGCATCACCCAGTGGTGGTGCACCCGCTGGCAAGAATGCTGCGGCTTCCGGTGGCAGCAGCCAAGGAGGAGGCAGCGACAGCCCAAGCGGTGGTAACGGTGGCGGCGGCCCTACGGGTGGAGAAATGACAGTGGCGACACCGCCTTATGCGGCACAGTGCCAACCTCTCAAGATTACGTGGAAGGGTGGTGAGCCACCGTTCCGCCCCAAAATCACGGCTGACGGTGACGTCAGCAATGTGCTATCGCTCTTGGATGAGACGTCTGACACAGGTCTGACCTGGAAAGTGAATGTGGCTGAGGGCCAGAAATTCACAATCAGCGTTTGCGACGCGACTGGCCAGTGTCAAGCATCGGCACCTGTCGGTCCTGTAGGCAAAGGCCCAGGTGACTGCTTGAACGGCGATGGTGCGCAGAAACGTTCATTCGCCAAGCGGGGTGGTACAACAGGCTCTTGGGACGATGAGACATCGTCGTCTTCGTCATCGAGCGGCCGTAACCACAACACGCGCACGAAGAGCTCATCCAGCAGTTCAAGTCCTTCGGCATCGTCTTCATCCACCTCTGCCATTAACCTGAACAGGCTAACTTCATTGACATCGGTGCCCTCGGCCGCTGCTTCGTCAATTCTCAGTTCCTTGCCTTCGGTCTCCTTCTTCCGAGGTATGGACCCATTGGCAGGACTCGGCTCGCTGTTCTCGCGTGAGAGTGGCTCCTTGTCGAGTACGTCATCGTCGCCCATGGCTTCGCGTTCCATGACTCGTTCTCGCGCAGCGCCAACTTCGACGTCGTCGCGCCGTCGTCACCATGGCACTCAGAGCGCGAGTCAGGGCAGTAGTGAGGCCCTCGATGGACAGATGACACGCTCGTTGCACGATGAGCAGTCGAATGGCCGAGACCAGGATCTGATGGATGTCTTGGCACAGGGCATCATGGGTGACTCGGGCTTGTCGCCAAGCCAAATCAGTGAATACTTCCACAGCTCCGGACACTCAACGTCAGACCACCAGCGTCACGGCCAGATGTCTATGACTGTGGACTACCACCGCGGCACGCAAAGTGTTTCGATGAGTAGCTAAGAGTCGCTGGGGGTGCTTCGGCTGCGCCACTGAGGTTTCTTGTCATGTTCTTGAGAAATTTTGTGTTTGGATGTGTATTAAGGATGTTTGTTTTGATGTTGTCACTGATTGACTGATCTTTCCCACATGACATCTTCCCTTTTCTTTCCCCGTTTCATACACCCCTGTTTTGTGACATTCCCCTATCATCATCATCGTTTCGCCTTTCCCTTTCCCTTTCCCCCTCCCCCTTAGACGCGCATACATTCGTTTATTTTTACAAGCTAGCGTGTCCTTATTTTTACCCTTGATCCATTGTATGTAGTGCCAAGCCAGAAATTTACGCATTTTTTGTCAAACTTGTAAGTTTGCACGAGCTCTAGCAATCAATGCGACAGAGTATGAACATGGTAGTTGGGATGAAGCGACAAACTGGGCTGAACGATTCATTATTTATAAAGACGGTATGTACACCATGTCTTGATCAAGTGGTACCATCATTCAAGGTACTTTTCGCTCAAAAATGAGGGGGCTCTCACCAGTCGCCAAAGGGCCTAGGCACGGCCACATAAAGAAAGGCAAAAAGGTGCTGCGAGCAGGTTAGCACGGGGATGGGGCAGGTGTAAATGAAAGGCTGTGATGATATTATGTATCAACATACGCCTCGAATTGGTCAACACCAAAGCTTTGATCCTGCAAGTTGAGTCGCGCCCACATACGTACACCGCGTAGGTCTTGTTCGATTCGCGCATAGCCTGGATCCATCTGCGTGCGGTGATGATCATGGAGTGAGAACAATCCATGTGTCCAAGAGACTGGGTCATCCACGTACGGAAAACCAAACGCGCCCTAAGATAGGAGGGCTCTCTGCCTCCTGACGCAGTACATTTTGCATGTCCTTACTTGTCCCACGTTCTATCAGGAGCTCGACTTCTTGCCCATCAAAGTACGGAGTGACAAGGGTCGCCACAACATTCTCAGACAGGCCGCCATACAATCCCGCCACATGTCCGTCAAAATAATCTCAATGATGTCTTCAAGTAGATCAGGGTTCGTTTTTTTCATGATATACAGAATACTCGTGATAGAGGAGGAATCGAGTGATAGCTTCTCAGGTAGTGTGAATGGTACTGCGTGTTGCACACAGTCAGAGTTATGAGCCAAACGTACCTCCAGACATACGATCTGCATCTGTTAGTAGCTTGAAAAAATGACTCCTCTTATTACGAACGGTTGTCGGTGTTGAATTGCCTGCCAACTTCATCATGTACAGAAAACAATGCGGACGCCACTCGATATCGAGATTCCATGCTTCTCGAAATCTTCGAAGAACATGAAATTCTATTTAACATCAAGGAGACGAACAAACAAATCAATACTTGATTCTTTTCGTCCGTTACACTCATAGAAAATGATCGTTTGGCCAATTTTGGTTGAATGGCGTGACAGTAGGAGCTGTACTAGTCCGAACCATCTACTTAGTTGTTGGTATGAAGTGTGGGGATGGAGGAAGTCCAAGCGGGCTGTGTGGAGGCCATGAAAGCTGGGGCTGTCTTCGAACCTAGAAAAGTGTTTGCATACTCTTTTTGATGCTTGGCAGAGCATTAGCAGCAGCAGCAGCCATGACCGGAACAACACATGTGTTGCCACGGTATGTCGAGATTGCTGTAAACTTAGAAGATCCTATGTTCCGCGGGGTATACCATGATAAGACAAAACATCCCAGTACGTGATGATGTACTGCTTGCTGACGTAGACAAGATGACTTGGACCGTGTGCTGGAACGAGCTCAGCATGCAGGTGTCGAGGCGCAAATCATTACGTCCGGCTCACTTTCGGAAGTGCCAAATGTGCTTAAGCTTGCAGATCCAAAACACCACTTGTTCGCAACGGCTGGATGCCATCCAACTCGGTCGGCAGAGATGGAATCGTACGAAGGTGGCGGGGCAGCAGCCTACATCGCAGCCTTGAAAAGTCTTATTCAGACGCATCCGAGCATTGTGGCCGTTGGCGAATGTGGTCTTGACTATGATCGACTGCAATTTTCTCCTGCTGACGCACAGCAGCGGTGCTTTGAGCTTCAACTTCAGCTCGCACGGGAAGTGCAGCTCCCTCTGTTTCTGCATTCACGCGCTGCTCATGCGGACTTTATCCGCATTCTACGACCACATCTAACAGCACTCCGGCAATGCACAGACGACCACAATCCCTCTGCACAGAGCCGTGGGAGTGTGGGTGTCGTCCACAGTTTTACTGGCTCCCTTGAAGAAATGCAAGAGCTCGTGGCTCTGGGGCTCTATATTGGAGTGAATGGGTGCTCCCTCAAGACGCAGGAAAACTTGGACGTCGTCAAGCAGATCCCTGTGCATCGCATTATGCTTGAGACGGATGCACCATGGTGCGATATTCGCCCTACACATGCTTCGCATGCATATCTCGAGGCATTTGGCAATAGCCATCCCGAGCTGTATGCGACGTATTCACCCGCCCGTGTCAAGCCTGAAAAGTGGAATGAAGCATCAGCCGTCAAGGGTCGCTGTGAGCCATGCCACATTGGTCAGGTGGCAGCTGTGGTTGCACAGCTCAAGGGCATGCCACTAACATGAACTTGCCGAACATGCCTATCAGAATTCCGTTGATTTGTTTCAGCTTAAGTAGAGAAGAGACGCGTAGCCAGGCAACGAACGAGGAGTGTGGAGGCACCGATCAAAAGTCCTCCTAACGGTGGAGAACAAGTTACGACGCGCAAGTCGTTGGCGCCGAGAAAACCACGTGCGCGCTGGGACACTGGAAAGTGCTCAGGCATATATGGCATTCGTGTGGCGATTGTCACAGTCTAAAGGACGCGTGAACCTAGCACAAGCTTAAAAGCCCTGCGTGCCACGAGACTGAGGGTGCGACGACGATAAGAACGATTGTGAGATAGCTGCAGAACGTCCTAGCATTATGGACATTGAGCAGGATGATGCCGTCACGCAGCTTGGTGGACTTGCTTTGGGCCAAGTTCTGCAGGACCTGGGCGTCGTTGGCGCGGACTCTGACTTGAGTCGAATTGGACTTGGTTCGAAAAAGACAGCTACGACACCTGCACTGCATCGCGAGGAAATTTACAGAAATGACTTTGATGATGACGCAGACGATGATATCAAGTTGGGGCCCGTTGGTCAAGATGACGAGGATGACACCATCATGGAAGATGTTACGAACCTGCGCAAAACGCCCGTGAATCGCGAACCTGGTCGTGGCAAATTCCTTGTGCGTGGCGAGGAAGAAGATTTTGCGGATGAAGATGAAGAGGATCACCAGGAAGGCGATGCGCGTAAAGGAATGGTGCAGCTCGCGACAGTGCCAACCACACAGCCGCCACTCAACAAGACAGACGAGCTTGTGGCGCCCAAGTCTGCGCTACCATATCAGCAACAGCAAGCCGAACCGCCAATGAGCCCTACAACGGAAGCGCGCATGCTCTTCCCGGACTTTCAACCCGGCAAATTGCTAGATTTTACTGAGCTCTTTGGCACGCGCTCGCTGAAGCGGCGAAAACTCATCGGTCGGCTTCCGCAGTATACCAAGCCGCATGTCGACATCTCTGTGCGGGAATCAGATAAGGATGAGTTCTTTTCAGCTGAAGGGTTTGAACGCGAGAGACAGCCAACGTTTCTGGGACGAATTGTGAACCCGCATTTAGCAGATCAGGAGTATGAATCGGCCAAGATTCATTGCCAAGTCTTGTTTGATGATTCGGCTATTGAAGATCAAAGTGCTAACGGTGATACACACGAACCAATCCAGCTTCTGAATAATGTCGAAGTCGATGACTGGCAGCGGCGGGTTCTGTTGGACTCGCACAAAGATCAAGCTGAGTTTTCAACAGATGAGAAGCTTCTGCCACCTGTATTATCCATGGAGACCGTGAGCCGGCCGCGGAACCATGAGCTTGCAAACGGCATGTGGTTTGAGAACATCATATGGAATCCCCATCATCCGTTTCGCCGCTTCGATCGTCTTTTGATGGACATGAATGATGCGGAAATGATCTTGGAAAATGAAAATACTCAAAGAGAAAAACAAGTATCGCTTTTGCGGGCAGATGCGCCACCGAACTTACTCAAGTCCAGCAAGTTCGCGGCGGAATTGGATCCATTCAACCTGTCGAACGATCGCATGTACGAAATGAGCAAGGAACATCGACACCGGGTGCGGCAGACACTCGGACAACTGGTTGTGCGGCATGCATGGCCTGCGATCAAGTTGCAGCTGCCATTCTATAAGACGCGGCTTTCGAAGCATGAGACGCGCTCATGGCATCGCCCACGGATCCAGTTTCCGTCGAACATGCCCATAACGTTTTCGCGAGTGCGCACGTCGCGCAAGTCCAAAGATGGAGAGCGCAAGTCAAAGGATCCAAGTGAGGTGCTTCACAGCACGCGTGACCTGACGCTTAAGGATGCGAGCAACTACATTATGTGTGAGTACTCTGAAGAGTACCCGCCTTTACTTTCGAACATTGGGATTGGGTAGCTTGCTGGTCAACTACTACCGAACAAAAGATGCCAAAGATGATCATATTCCGCGCTCCGAGCTGGGCGAAGCATTTGTGCTCGACATTACCGATGAGTCGCCGTTCATGAAGTTTGGCAGTGTGGAGCCCGGGCAGACGCAACCAGTCCTGTACAATAATATGACTCGTGCGCCTCTGTTTCGCCATAAGCCATCGCAGAACGACTTCTTGTTCATCCGCAGCACAACCAAGAATGATGTACGGTATTACCTACGGGACGTGCCGAATTTGTATGTGGTGGGCCAAACGTACCCAACAACGCCGATCCCTGGTCCCCATGCGCGCCTTGTGACAAACAACATCAAATACCGCCTGCAAATGATTACTTACAAGCTGGTGGAAAAAAGTCATGCACACCGCATCAAAATTCACCGCGTCATGAAGTATTTCCCGGACCAAAATGAACTACAAATGCGGCAGCGACTGAAGGAGTTTATGGTGTACAACCGCAAATCCGGTGATGTGCACCAGGGCTTCTGGCGGCTCAAGCCGGACGTGCCGATCCCGGACGAAGCCGAGCTACAGAAACTCTTGACGCCCGAGCACATTTGTCTCGTCGAGGGTATGCAGGTCGGACAGCGTCACCTCCTGGATGCTGGGTTTACAAAGACAGCAGAAGGCGCCGACGACGATGCAGACGAAAGCAAGTTGGAAATAGAGCAGCTGCTTGCTCCGTGGATCACCAGCAAAAACTTTTTGCATGCGACACAAGGCAAGGCCATGCTCAAGCTGCACGGCGAGGGTGATCCCAGTGGACGTGGTGAAGCATTTAGCTTCGTGCGTGTGTCAATGAAGGAGATTTTCCTTCGTGCTGGCGAAGATGTGGACGAGCGACTCGCTGCAGAAGCCGAGACACGCGCCAAGTCCGGGCACAGGTACAACGTGGCAGAGCAACAAGCGATCTACCGATCTGAAATCGCGCGTATTTGGAAAGCGCAGCTGGCGGCACTGTCGAATCCTGAGCCGCCGCGCATCACAGCGAAAGAAGAGCAGCTATGGCGTGATGAGCAGCGGCGCGAGCGCAAGCAGCAAGAGCAAAAGGCCACGCGACCACTTTTAGTCAAGCGACTTTTTCATGGCGTTTGGTACAAGCACATTGTGCGTGATCCGTCCGTCATCAACGCATACGTAAAGCAGCGACAGGAAATCGAAGAGCAGAGCATCGTCACGGAGTCGCTCGTGCCCACGGGCGATGCGGCGTTGGATGCCATGCGAAAGAAGCGCCTGGAAGAAGAAATTGCCGCGCGTGTCAAGAACCAGGACCGTCGCTTGCAACGCAAGAACGCCAAGGCAGCGGCAGAAGGCATCGACGGCGGCTACAAAAAGATGCCGAACAAGACAAATACGAAACGGCGCTGTGGCCGCTGTGGACAGGTTGGTCATATGCTCACGAACAATGCGTGCCCACAATACCATGCAGACAAGGCCAACAGTGGACGCCCAGGTGCGAGTGGTGCTAATGCGGTGCGTCCGCCCAGTGTGATGCCCATGCCGAACAGCACCTACTATACGAGTGCATCGACTCAGCAACAGGGCACCGCGATGCCAACTACATTCCCACCGTTCGGCATGAACGACCCTATGGGCCCGCAATCGCCACCTCCGCCAATGCAGCGATGAATCAACATGTTCGTCATTCGATTCATTTTTCCAGTCTCACTGCCTGTTGCTCATTTCGACACCTGTATGAAAGTAGGACTTGCTCCGTCTTCACTGTTTCTAATCCGACTCATTGAGATCCATGTCCGGGTTTATTCGTACACTGGTAGTGGTAGTCTACAACTTGGACATATTTGTTTGATTTCCATCCAAGGAATCAGGCATTCCTTATGGAATATATGATGACACGGAGCAACCACGATGGAAGACTTATACGCAGAATGGCCTGACATGGACGATGGAGCTGTCGCCAAGCCCCATTCATTCGGCATGAGGCATATGGGACAGTCACCCAACACAACGGGAGACGCTGAATCAGCTTGATGAGATGCTTCTTCGTCGCGATCTTGGCTTAGCATAGACGCAAGCTCAGCTGGCGTCGGTTGCCAATTCCAGTCATGCTCAGAGCGGCGCCATGATCGAGGAAGAAAGAAGAGAGGTCCAGCGACATTCTGACCAACAAGTACTAAGGCCTGGGCGCAACACCAGCCGATAGGAAGCCAGACCCAAGGCGATGGATCGAAAAAGAATATATTGAAGCGAAAGCAAAAGAGATAGATTGGCACATAGCAGCGAGTGACTGTCATACCCAGGACAGTGCTATTCAAAAGACCCGTAGATCGCCGCTGAATATTACAGTAAATCTGAGGCGCCCAGAACGAGGATGAAATCAGTAAGAATACAAAAACAAAGTGAACTGGAAAAAAGGGGGCAAGCGTCCAAATTGCGATGACTCCGATAAGCCAACGAACAGAGGAGGGTGTGTGCTCGCGCAGGTAACGGATACGGCGAAGCAAAAAGAGACGATACTCATGCCATGCAGACTGGTCCACATGCGAGTCGGACGAGCTGTCGTCCTCACTATCAAGCAGCGATGCCTGCGCTGGATTATCACGTCCTAGAGTCGTCGTTCTTGCCGCTGCAGCGGCTGCTTCCTGAACAAGCTCGTTGTGTTGACGAAACGCATTGACGGCCAATCGGCACTCAAACGCGAAAAACAAGATGCCTTTCATGAAACCAATTGTCAACATCCCAGGGGGTGTTGAACTTGTTGGACGAGAAAGCTAGCATAGTATGAGTTATGCACAAGAACGCATCAAAGTTTGCGTGGATGAATAATGAGATACCAGACACACGAGTAATGGCCGTGTGTGTTTGAATGCGCTCACATTCTCGCGACATGAGCAGAAGCTGTACAAATACAACGCAAATCATCCCAGCGACATAGTAGCGGGAATCGCTCCAGAACTGAGCGCGCGACTTTCCTAGCAGCGTGTCTGTCTCGACAAACATGCCGCAGCGTGATGAAACGCCAATAATGTTCAGTTGAAATTGGGGAGCTCGGTGCACGACTGCGAGTCCCGTTGGGTGAGACAGCTCCCTCTCTGACAGGTCAAGTTCTGTTTGCACATGCTCAGGACCGGCAGGCATCATTTGTGCATACATCTGGATCGTACAGTTGCTCGGATCCCGTTGATCTGGAAGAACAGGGGGCGCCTTTGAATCCCAGTGGGCCAGCACGTAGTCCAAGCGCTCGATTCGAGCACGAATATCAGCCAAGCATGCTTGCCCTGTTGCATTCCGAAGAAACATGCCTTCCTCTTGAGGTATCATGCCAAGAACGTGCCGAATATCCAAAGGGTCATGCGACGTGCTCGGTGTTCCAACAAGAAATATGCGACCGGAGCGCATGACGTGCACGCCTGCGACTTCTAGCGTCGTAGTGGTCAGTGAGTCATCATCACTCGCTATTCCTCGAAGCGTCATGTCCCCATACAAGTGCGAAACGTGCGAGTCGGGTACTGGACGCTCGCGAAGTCCCGCATAGATATTCGTATGATTCCAAACTGCTTTTCCTCGCTCGCGCACTTGCTGGGCGGACGTGTGTGACTGGTTCCACACCGACATCTTGCCGAAATAGTACCCACTCGCATTAGGGAAAAAAGCCTGCGGTGGGCCACGGTGAATACTGTACAAATCCTGCAAGGCGTCTTGTAGTTTTCCATCGCTATCCTTATGAGGAACGAAGGTACCTTGCTCTGATTTGTTGTTGTGAAGGTACCCCTGCAATTCATTGAGCTCGCGATCGAGACGTGTGCGGGTATGGAACAAGTCACTGCGCTCGAGTACTCGAGCTGCATATACGCGATCTGATAGGGTAATGAATGCTATGAGTACCAACAAGATCGCTTTCCAGCTCATGGAAGGCAAGAAGCATGACCGAGTCCTCGGCCAACACAACCGCACGGACCTTGCCATGGTCACAATCTAACATCACCCAAGGATATGGGGCGAAGAACGTGCTGCTTAGTCAGCCGCCACTCATGATGACAGTCCGATAGACAGAATGTCTGACATACATGTGTGGTGAGAATGGAGACGCGCGTCAAAAGGCTGTAAGACGATAACGACGTTTAGCAAAGTTGGTCCCAGGAAAGATTCTAGTCCCCCTCACCGGCCGTTCTTGACGTACATCGAGTACGATATTTTTGAAATTTGATCCTCACAAGCGGCGCGGTACCAATCTGACTTCATTCTTCTTTCCCCGCTCACCCTTGGGCTCAATTCCGCCATCGAAGAAAACCGCGACTATTTTTTCTTTCTTCAATAGAATTTTGATCGATTGTCTGTAAGAGAGGCGCGCACACATACAAAAGACGTTTGGACATGCATGTTCACGTCCTGGGTATTGGTGCGATGGGCACACTCATAGCGTCGCATCTTCGCACAGCTATGCGGCAGCGTCTCATGCCACTTATGCGCACACGAACGCCGCGTTGGCATGTACCAGCTTCTGTGGCAGCATACTTACCTGATGCAGAGTCACTGACATTAACATTGCATATGCGAGAAAAGGCAGGTGCCCGAAAACAGGATGACGACACACCAGGCTTTACGGAACTGACTGTAGATCGCGAAGGTGCGCGCATGACGGAAAAGGGATTTGAAGTTGAACTGGCGTCGCCGGTCGATCCAATTCAGACACGCGTCTTTCTTCCAGATGCTAATGGGATACCCCGAGAGAGACCTGGGCGTCCACCACGGCCGCTAGACAGTTTGATTGTGACGGCGAAAGCAGATGCTACGTTCGCCGCTGTGCGCTCCCTTGTGCCGCGCATTACCCCATCGACGACGGTCGTCTTGCTCCAGAATGGCATGGGTGTGCTTGATCAACTGATTGAACGCTTCTGGCCTCGCCCAGACATGCGACCGCACTTTGTGCTGGGAAGTACCACACATGGATGCTACTTGCGCAAGCCACTACATACGATTCACGCAGGCTTTGGCAGCGTGTATTTAGGACTGGTGCCGAGTGCTCAGCTTGCAACAGCTAGAGCGACAACACCGGCAAAGCCGCAGGGTGTCGAGCCATGTGCATCCAAGATGGATCTCGCTGGTCTGCCGGAAGGCTCACTCCGTTCGACACTCGCTCTATTGCTGTCGTTGCCGTTGGACGTGCATTGGGAGCCGATTCGCGCATTCCAAATGCGCGCGCTACGCAAGCTTGCCATCAATGCATGCATCAATCCGACAACGGCGCTTGTCGACTGCAAGAATGGCGACTTGTTTGGCGTCCCTGCAGCCCTGGACTTGTTCCGCGCCCTATGCACAGAGGCAAGCCAGGTGCTAGAGGCGCATGCGCGTGATGCGAAGGCAGCGGCTACAACCAGCGAAACAGAGGCGGTGCATCTCAGCAGCTTGCCTTTGGCCGACTTGCTCACACAGACAGATGGAGACGGTATACCGCTTTTAGATGCGTCACTGAAGCCGGCATCGCTACTGCATGAAGTTGAAAATGTTGTTCGGGCGACAGCGACGAATTGGAGCAGCATGCATCAAGATATACGCACACGCCGTGGTAAGACGGAGATTAAATATATCAACGGGTACCTTGCTGAACTGGGTCGGGCATATGGGATCCCAACGCCGGCGAATGACATGCTGATCAACCTTGTCAAGCTTAAATCACAGCGCGTAACCGGTTCCTGGAATTCGCGCGCCATGTAAGAAAATACAAAGGAGTCTATGAATGTGTGTAACTTGTGTGTGTTGCGTTGTGTCTATGCGCGTCGCTCGGGGTCCTGCATCCGGTGGATTTGAACGTCACTGTCTAGTTAGTGGATGTGACACAGCCAGAGCCAATATTGGCTACGTACGGGCCGAGAGTAATCTGTGACATGTTTTGCGGTGTAATCAGCACATACTGTACACCCAAAGAAGCACGTGCAGCGTCAATCTGTAAAAGAAAGAGGAACCAAGCGGGTTATCGTCAGCATCCCGTTGTAGCCGGCACATACCATCATTCGCATCGAGACTTGTCGATTGACCGCATCCATAAAAACATCGAACTCATCCAGGCACCGGATCGGGCAGCCTATCGCCTCCCATAGCGAGAGCAGAAGGCAAATTGTCGCAAAGGACTTTTCCCCACCAGACAGTGCCTTGGGGTCTTTGTCGTGTGCGTGTGTTCCATCACCTGTTTGGACCTGGTAGAGGGGAATGCATGTAAGTGCAGTTGCATGCGTCAGCTACTGCCTCATTTCATGGCACTGTACGTACCCGAAGCCTGAGTGTCTGTGCATTATGATCGAAATGCAGTGATCCAGAGAACCCGCGGTTCTGCAGGTGCAGGGAAAAGTTGGCTCGCGCACGGATTGCGACGAACCGGCGAAAATAGTGCCACTTCTCAAGCCGCAACTGGACCGACTCTTCCAGCAATTGGATCGTTGCGTGTGTCTGCTCGAGTTGCAGTTTCGCTTCCTGGTACGCCTTATTCTTCGCGCGCAGCTCCCTGACTACTGCATCGACAGAGAGACCAGTGCGGGCCTCGTCTTGTTGCAAGTGAGCCTCGATCGCATTGATTTGTTCCTCCAGCGATGCTGGCGTCCGCTGTGTCTCGACACGCGCACAATAGTCGGTGGCCATTTGTGTCCACGAGGCAATGAGCTCACAGAGCGAGGCATGCTCGCGACTGGTTTCTTGTACCAGAGTGTTCTGAGCGTCCATTTGTCGAGACCAATGCTCTTGTGTCTTTTGCAGGCGCACGCGCTCCGTATACGATTGCTGGAGCTGCAATTCAGCGTCCCTTCTGTGTGCCTCGACAAGCTCAATTTGGTCGAGCAGCTGCTCACATTTGGCCAGGTGCGGTGCGAGGCTTTCCTCAGCCTCTTCTTTCTCGCTCTCAGTTTGTTTGAACCTGTCGACGATCCGAGCCATTTCCTCGTCCGCTTCGACACGCGCCTCTTCGAGAGCAGCCACATTCGCCGGCTCCTCTTCTCGCATGAGCTCTTCCACATGCGCGATCCGTTGCCGCAAAGCGCGCATCTCGTGCCGAGCGGCTTCAACAGCTTGTTGATTCCTTTGCTGCTCTTGGTCGTATGCAGCCTCACGGGCCGCGACGGCCTCGAGTGCTGTTTTGACATGGCCAAGTTTCTCCTCATACGATGCGATGGAGCGGCGTGCATCGTCCATCTCAACGGCATGGTCCGCAGCGAAGCGCGGCACGCCCGTGTACCGCGTAATTGTTTGCGTTACACTGCTCTTAGCACCACCGGTGATTTTGAAGAGGTCCGCGGAGTAGCATTGGAGTACGTTGGGAAGATGCCGTCGCATGAGCTCATCGCCCTGCACACGCTCCGAAACAAGTGCGCTCTTTTCGATGCGGTGGCCATCGATCAGTACCCGCACAATGTACTCGTCTGTGTCGAGGACACGCAGCATTGTCACGACGGACGCGTCTGGTTCTCCAGCAGAATAGTCGTACAAGTCGCGGGCTGCTGTAATGATTTGATTCGAGGCACGGAACTCTTTGAGGATGCGTGCGAGTCGCACTCGATCATCGTGATTCGTCACAACAAAGGCATTGAGCGGATCGGAAAGCACGCTCTCGATGACTGGGGCCCAGCGCCGCTCACGAAGTCGGATGTGCATGCCGAGCGGCCCTATCGGACGCTCATGCCATCGAGTCTCACGGCGAATTGCCGCCATGATCCGCGGCATGTCGTGCCCTCCAAAAGCAGTGATTCGGTTCGATGCTGCCTCTGTGCACCGTTCGAGAAAGCTCTGCAGATGCGAGATCTTCTCCTCCAATACATGTGTGTCCGATGTAAGGCGTGCTCGTTCAGCACGGCACTCCGAGCGGCGAACGTTCACTTCATCACCTGCCTGCCCAAGACTTACTTGGCGCCGCTCGACATTGAGTCGCTCTCGCACAAGCTCGTCCCGCTCAGCCTCCTGTGCTTCTCGTATAGCGCGGCGATCTTGCGCTTGACGCCGTGCTTCTGCATCGATCTGAGCTTGCATCTGCCGGATCGTCTGCTCAACACGATCGGCCTGGTGACTTAGCTCACGCTCCTGCTCCTTGAGACGCGCAAGAGAGGCGCGATGCTCCTTGACGACTTGCAGAACCTGTGCACGCTGCTCCTTCAGCTGAACTTCTTTTTCCTGACTCTCGCGACTTCGCGTCTCGAGCTCAGCGACGACATCGTTTAGTTCTTTCGCGCGCAAACTATCATCTTCACGCCTCTTCTCCAATGCCGCGTGCTTGCGGTGTGCATGGTCCAGCTTGGACTCTAGCGCCGCACGCTCTTTCTCCTTGGCAATCACCTGGCTCCATACTAGTTCTTCTTTCAGAGCGTCGAGTTTCTCCTGCTCAACTCGCGCCTGCTCAATCTGATGCCATTTGTCATTGGCTTCGCGAGCCTCTCGCTCTAGATCAGGTAGGACGTCCTCCGTCATTCGAATGGCTCGTTTCATGCGCTGTACATTCGTCTGAATGAGCTCATACTCCTGGGCAAGTTGCGTGAGCTGAGTGCCCCGCAGAAAAAAGCTGTATTTGTCCTCTGGTTGTGAGCTGCCAAGGAACTGGCGCGCGGCGTCTTGACTGAGAATGTTCATTGGATTATCAACCTGAATGTTCGCATAGTCACATATAGCATCGAGTTCCTCGCGCTTTGTCGAGACAATCTTTCCATCGGCGTTCTTGATCTTCCAAGTGCCAGCCCCGTCCGTGTGAATTCGGCGCTCGATCGTGATCGCGTGGCCGTACACATCAGGGCGGTACGCATCAGACCCTTGGTTCCGCATTCGGACTCGCACCTCAGCAGCGCTAGATCCTTCGCGGATAAAGTCTTTTAGACTGCTGCCCCGACTCGTTGTGGTTGCCTTGCCACCCAGCGCGATCGTAATAGCCGTCAGGATGGCGCTCTTGCCACTCCCATTATGTCCAATGATGAAGTTGATGCGCGGACCTAGACCAATGCTTAGATTTCGATGACACATAAAGTTGATCATATCCACGCGTTCAATCACGCCCATAGTAGCAGCAGAAGCTTCGGCCTGCGCCGGCGTTGGCGCGACATGTGCTAGCCCTTGTGTATCTGACTGCTCACCGCGCATCAAGGTGGACTCGGAGTCAGTTTGTTGATGTATAGCACTTGGTGGAACTGACGGCTCCTCCGATTCAGAGGCGTCACTAAGCACCCTAGACAGTAGCGGCATTTCGGTTGCCACGGCCGTGGACTCGTCGTCTGACGACAAAGGGGTATCAATTCGGGCGCGTTTCGCCTAGAGTCAGAGAGTGTTCCATACGTACAAATAGTTCTAAATCACGCGCAACATGATCATCATCGTCCTCACTCACGCCTCGCGCGCGTCGTCGCATTGCCTCACACCCACAACCCCAAGAAACCTGATGTCACACGTACGTACACGCGTCGGTGGTGTGGGGTGTGTGGAGGCTATTGAGGCACGGCGCCCTGCAAGACACACGCCCAAGGAGGGGGAAATGATGAGTCTGGCTGACGGCGCGGCAGCGAGAAGACTGGTATCACCTGGATTAGAGGACCGCTGTGCATAAATCCCATACGCGCTCTAGCCCGCCGTGCGAAATCAACGTGCGTGCGTCCTGAGGTGCGTGTAACAAGAGCCTAAAAGGCCAATTGCGCTTGTCGGCTCGAAAAAGCGGAGGGCCGCCGACAAGCACCGTCTTCTCTCATCGCACTCTTTCGCTCTTGGCTTAGACATAGTGTTTCCATACTATGTTCGCTGGTACGTGATACGGCAGCGTGGCTGACATGCGCCAGGTGCACCGACTCCCTCGCCGCTTGAGCTCGCTATTGCACGGACACAGGCGCGCCAGACTGTGCGCTCGTTCGCCCTGATCGTGGGTGTGCTGCACTTTGGTACGTCCAGCGTGGTGGTTGTATGCTTCAGTACTAATTGACGCCATCAGCACCTTATCTCTTGCACTATGTGAGCAACATCTTCCGCCTCAAGTAAAACACATGAATGGTGCAAATGCGTTCGCGCCCTTGCACACATGAACAGAACCAGCAAATGAGACTAGAGGGTGTATATTTGTGTGTGTGTGTGTGTGTGAATGCATGCAGAGAATACGAAAGTAGAGTTATACGAGCTACAAAAATGATTTTCGTTCATCCGATTGCGACCGTGAATCAGGCGAAGTACCGCGACTTGCAGGAACGTCATTCGACACCATATTGTGCTTGTTAAGAAAGAGGGCAATGGTGTCAAAGTACTTGGCCTGGATGTGTCAGCATGTGAAATACAGTTATAGTATGACATCATGGAAAGGTGACGTACATTGAGCCATGTATCATCTGGATGGTTAGCACGGTGGTTTGGCAGGCGCGGAGACGTACTATGCGTGGCATGATCGAATGTGTGAATCTCCTTCCTGGAACTCTTGCACAAGCGGTACAGCTCGGCCATATGCTCAGAAGGCACGATCTCATCGTCTCGTGCACTGAGAAAAAGAACGGCCATGTGAGATGGGATCTTAGTGATCGAGCGATACGAGGGCCAAATTTCACCTGTGAAACAACGTGTGTGTAGCGTGTGAGTATCAGATAACAGGGGAGGGGGGAGAGTGAGCAGCAAATCGATACGTACGACACAAGAATGTGAAATGTCGAAGCATCGGCAACACAGAAGGGATCAGTTTCGGAATGCTCAAAAATGTGTTCTCTACAATCAGGGCACGCACAGTTTCGGGGTTACGAGCAGCCAAGTCAATGGCCACGGCCCCACCAATGCTCTGCCCATATGCGATGACGGGGGTGTGAGAGAGTTTCGCATGCTTTCGAATCCAGTCTAGCGTCGTCTGCGCATCGATACGGAGCCCAGGTTCGGTGGGTTCGCCGGTCGACAGGCCATAGCCACGGTACGATAACATCACCACGTGACAGCCAAGACGATGGAAAAAGTCCCGGGCAATTGGCAAACGGTGGCCCATGTTGCCTGCATTCGCATGCAGCATCAGCACCGTGGGACGTGGCTGTTCATCCTCGTGCGGAATCACATACACATGCAGCTTGATCTGATCTGGCGTCACAAGACGATGCTCAGTATATGGCATGCCATACTGAGAAGGCGAGTCGACAATCGTCCTTGAGCCTTCAGGGAATGATGCTGGGTAGATTAACGCGGTCTGATACACATACAGAAGCCCAGCGAGTGTCGCTATCGTAACACCCGCTGCACCTGCAAGGACACGTGCTACGGTCGATACGGACATAGCACGCGAGCAATCCAGCAGACAAACGAGTCAGTTCTTGAGGGGGATGAGAAACGCACGGGCGTGATGGTTGGACCGTGCGTACTTTGACGACAATGGATCCTAAGATGGGCGAGCCGAGCGTGCGCCGAACAAACCCAATGAACGGAACCCAACAACACGAACGTATGTGGAGTGCCTCAGGGGAGAGGGGAGGAGTGTGGCTGAAGATAGACAGACGCCTAGCTGAGAAGTGATCGGCCGAAGATCCACATTCTTTCCAGCACGCCTCTCTGGGGTTGCTAGCCCCAAACATCACTGGGTCTCATCAGCGATGGCGCCGCCGCTATATAGTACGTATGCAGAAGCAAGGACGACATGAGAGACATGCTTCATTTTTCCCATATGAGTACTGAGCACCTTATCTAACTGAGCAGCAACACAATCTGGACGTTTGTGGCATGCGTACGTGATACCGCGAGGGAGAAGTGTCGGAAAAGCAGGGACGACGAACAACTGACTAACACCATCAATAGGGGCCAAATCCTCGTGGTGACGGTAGGATTGCCTGGGCGTGGAAAAACGCACCTCGCGCATTCGATCCAGCGTTACCTGCGCTGGATGGGTGTGCAATGCCGCGTATACAACCTAGCAAACATGCGGCGTAGTATGTTGGGCCCATTGAACCAGCTGCCTGGGGATTACTTTGGAAATGTACAACATGATACCGAGACAAAGATGATGCGTCTGAATGTAATGGAGCGGCTCGAGAGTACGATCCGACAGTTTTTCGAGCAAGGTGGCCAAGTCGCTGTATACGATGCAAACAACAGCAACCACGAGCGGCGGTGTTTGATCCAGGAAGAGTTTGGGAAAATGGGTGTGCAAGTTTTGTTTATCGGTACGTATCGTGCGATATTGCTTGGCCTTGTGTAGATTCGCATCACACGTTGCGGCGAAAAAAAAAAAAAAAAAAAAAAAAAAAAAAAAGACTTACTTCACATATGCCTGTGCCAGGACGTCCTGTCGTGTCTCTTGGCACTGCCACCACCAACTCTCACCGCATCCGGATCACACTCGTTGCCTTTCTTTCTGCTCTTACTAACCGAAACTAGAATGTGTGTGTGATGATGAGATGCTCATCGAGCGGAATATTCGGTCTATGCATCATTTCAATCCAGACTACCAGGGCTGGTCTCCCGAAGATATATTTGCCAATTTCCGCCAGAGGATTGCTATGCATGAATTAGATTACGAGCCAATTACCGAGCCTACCGCACCACATGTTCAACTACTGAATCTCGGGCAACGCATTGTCGTCAACAACGTGCATGGGTATCTTCAGAACCGGATTGTGTTCTTCCTCATGAACATGCACAATCAACAACGTACGATCTACTTTGCCCGCACGGGTGAAGCACTGATCGAGCATCTGTACAAGGCAGATGCGGACCTCTCATCCCTAGGTTCGCAGTATGCACAGCGCTTGCACGACTTTGTCATGGCTTTGCGTGCGAAAAAAACATTCGCATCAGACGAGTCGTGTGCGACGCTCTCACAACAACACACGTTGTCGTTCATCACCTCATCCGGCAAAAGTGTGTTGAGTGATGATGTTGAAGGATGGGACGATGAGTGCAGAGAGTTGCAAGTATGGTGCTCAACACGCAAGAGTTCACTCAACACAGCGACACCTTTTCGTTTGCAGGGCACACGAGTGATGGAAATGACGCAGCTTGGCGAGCTCAAACCCGGGGTCGTCGATGGCATGACCGAAGAAGATCTTCACACACGGTTCCCACGCTACCAGGAAGAACAGGCCAAAGACCCATACAGTTTCCGATTCCCACGTGCCGAGAGCTATCATGACCTGGCGATTCGTCTCGAATCTGTGATCCTCGAGTTGGAAAGGGCTCGTGAGGACGTGCTGATTATTGCACAGCCGTCGGTGCTCCGTTGCCTGATTGCATATCTGCAGGGCAACAAACCGCAGGAGATCCCCTTTATCCAAGTGCGCGAAGGCGACTTGGTCGAAATCCGGCCGCAGGCATTTGGTCTAGCGACACGACTGTTCTCCTTCTGGGACCCTGAAAAGGAGCGTGAGCAACGCGATATTGACTTCGCTATGCGCGCTGCGATGGCCGTATCACAAGACTCTGAGAGTCGCCTGCCTCAGCATACGGACCTTCATGGAAACTCTCTACTACCCTGACCGTCGTACATAGATACCACGGTTGCATACCAAGAGCAACGTTTTGACCCTGTAATTTTGTTGGCCTTTCTTTACTGCATAACGGTAAGCGATACTTCAACAAGTATCATGGGGGAACATACTTTCGTGTACTTGTCGCTCTTGAGCTTGGAGCGCCGATCGAGCATGGCCTCGGCCAGACGTCCTTCCCTTTGTGCCCGTAACAATTCACGCCGCGACTCAGGGGCATATTGATGCCAGGAGCCGGCATTCCATCCTTGTCGTGAGCGTGCGAGTTGCACTTCATCCACCAAACTCGCTGCACTAGATGTGCCCACTTTCGTGGCTCGTTGCGTTTTTCGATAAGCATGCCGGAAGCGCCACTGCACACTTACGTCCCAAACACAAGCGGGCGTGAGTTCTTTGGCATCTGCTCGCACCAGGCGGCGCCGTTGGCGTGAATCTGCAGATGAACTAGCATCCTCCGTAGCAAGCCAGCCACCGTATTTGGATTGGAGTGCAAATCCAGCCCGAGGACCTGGAATCACAGTGTCGTTACCATCGCCGGGTGAGGCTGTGGATGAGGATGCCATTGGATCCACACGCCGGAGAACCCATTCCTCTTGGGGCCCACGAGCCTCGTTAGACGCAATCACAGCACCGTAAGAAGAAGAGCCCAGAAATGTTCCCTGGGCACTCTTGAAGGTCCACGTCTGTGACTCAGGCAAGTTGGTCGCAACCCAGACCTGGTGGACAGTCAGCGGTGTTACTTCTGAGGCAACGATTGTCGCGCCATCAGCAAAGGCATTGTCTTCTTCTCCATTTCCACTGATTGCTGGCAATGCAGGTGGCTCAACGGTCGATGTCTCAACTTGAGTGAGTGGTGCATTAAAGCTCAGCACAATAGCAGACCCATTTTCTTGTCGCTGGTGCACGAAGCATGGACCAGTTATTTCGCCGCATACACCTGGACTAACCCATGCTAAACTTGTGTGAGTCTCTTTTTTTTCTTCCACCCTCACGCATCATCCCTCTCTCTCTCTCTCTCTATCTCTTTCCGTCTCGTTCACTCACCTTGATCATCTCCACCATACATGTCCACATCAGACTCATCATCGTCCACACTTGTAGATGCACGCTTGCGCGCAGATGTACTGCTTTGGATCTTGCTTCGCTTGCGCTTCGGCTTCGGCGTGAGCGCAAGGGTAACATACCTTGTCTCCTTTGAAGGTAAGTCGGAGTGACCTGCCACTTCCAGACATGGATCGATGAATCGAGGATGGGACACCGAAAAGGTGGAGAAGGTCGTGAGGCTCTAGGCGCCTACGCATTTTTACTGCGCCCCTCAATGTGCGAAATGGGGCCTAAATTATGCCGATTCCATCATCTTGGCCAACGTGGGTCAAGGATGTGCGGGCGGCTCTTGCGTGCGAGCGACAACCAGTCCCTCACTATGTGTACAAACGGCTGGCAATCGATCTGATCCTTGTGACGACAAAATGTCGCTCTGCTATGCTGATTGATACATGCACACTTTCTCTGCGTCAGATTCAAGCTCTGGCTGCACTGTTCGAGCAGCATGGTCTCGACAACCTGTCACTCATCCTATACGCACCAGCTCATCAAGTATTTGTCGTAAACAGGCAAAGCGTCATAGAAAGCTTCGAAAAAGATCAAAATCGACGTGTGTTTGTCGATCCGCGCTACGCGCACCAACCAGTCTATGATACCCCGGCTGGTGTACAAACGATCCTATCGCGCATTCAGGAAGCATGTGTGGCAAACGAGCATGCGAGTATAATTGTGTCACGAAACTCCACGGAAGATGCACGATACCTCGGCATCTCTGCATGTGGATGGCTTCTTGGGTATCCGGTCGTGTACCTATGCTCGACGGTAGGCGATGCATTGGACATCTCTCATATGGACGCCAGTATTCAGTGCCTGCCTGTCGCACACGAAGAAGCAGATGCACATTGGTCTACGAATGAATGGGATACAAGCGCTGCCAAGTTCACGGACCTGTCGCTTCTTCTTGTCGAGGCGACGATGCAATACGCACCTGTCCCACAGATGTCTGCTCACGAATATCATCCAGTGATGGCTTACACACTACCAGTAAACATGCCACACGCACAGGAATTAGTGGACGCATGGAAGCACCAAATTCTCTCTCATTGGCAAGCGCGGCGAGTTTATCTTCCTGAGTTCCTACGCCATGTCACATTTCACATTCAATCTGTACAAATATACATGGACCGAATCGCATTGTAAGAGGAAACTAGCCATTCTGGGTACCTTTCTTTGCTGCTGCAGCTTCCTGCTTCGCACGCAATGCTGCAGCATCTCGTTCACGGCGCTGTGCAAGCGTGAGTCCACTCTCGTTGTTCTTGCCCTTGTTCATTTCTGCTTGCTTCTTTTGGTTCTTTGCACGTGCGATCTCACGAGCATTGCCGCCTACGCATGAGGTGAGCTACACTGATCTGAACAAAGATGCTTGTACTTACGTGCCATGATGAAGTGGTTGCCAGTGTGTGTATGTGTTTTCCTTGTTCCACAGCGAGAATATGGGAGCCGGGGATATATATATGTTTGTGTGGTTCAATAGCAAGAGATGTGGAGCCAAGCGAAGTGAACACGCAGTCCTATCTGGTTAGTGCCGCGTGCATGAATCGTCGCCTATCTGGCGCAGGCTGGACGCGTCACGGCGATATCGGGCAACGTGGAGGAAAGTGTCCATCTCAGCATGCTCGATACACACTTCCACGATTCATCTGTAATCTTGAGCCATGTGCTCTCGAGTCACCCATTTCTTGGCAGCGCCGATCTCCACGCATTCGTTGACCCTGGACTCGGCATAGAAAGTGCCGTCGGTTATCTTCGCATTTCATCGCGCGCGCGCGAGAAGAAACTTGACCAGGACCTGAAAGGTTATAGTCACGTTATTAGAGCGACGATGGGTGTGAGCACAATTTTCTCATCATCTGCTCGATTTGCCCTGCGGCATGCGGCCAAGGCAAGTCCTTGCCCCATGAGCAAAGCATTCATCTCAACGAACCAACACAATGTACCTAGTCTATTGACCCTCGCTACTGTGCGACCCGAGCAATTAGATGCCATTCTGCAGCACTCGGCCACCTTGAAGCACAGAGCCAAGTTTACGGCCTTGGGCTTGTCTGACATCGAATCGTCCCTCGACAAGAAAACGATCGCTTTAATCTTCAGCAAACGCAGCACGCGAACACGTGTGGCAAGCGAGTCAAGTATTGCAGCTTTGGGTGGACATGCTATGTTTTTGTCGCCGTCTGATATCCAGCTGGGTGTGAATGAAAGCTTGTATGACACCGCTTTCGTCGTGAGCTCCATGGTCGACGGCATCATGGCACGTGTCGGGGGACATGACGAAATTGAGGTAAGGAAGCGAAGCTCTTGTTCGGTGTGACACTAACTTGAAAGATGCTTGCGCGCAATTCAAAAGTGCCAGTGATCAATGCACTTTCGAGTCTATTCCATCCCACGCAGATCTTAGCAGACTTGCTCACGATCCTCGAGGTCGGCGGCGTGCAAGGGCCATTGCCGCTCCTTCAGACGCTGGCTGGAAAAAAAGTTGCGTGGGTTGGCGACTCGAACAACATACTGAACGAAATGCTCGTGACATACCCTCGACTGGGCGTGCACGTGAGTGTCGCTGCTCCTCAAGGTGCTGCGTACGAACGCAATCCTGTCGTTTGGGATCTCATGACCCGTGGCCTTACAACACTTCCGCAACACATGCCTCGCGGAGAAGTCGAATGGTGTCATGATCCAGTCCATGCCGTCAAGGATGCCGACTACATTGTGACCGATACTTGGTACGTGCGCCAGCTTGGAGCTCGAGCCGCTGACGTCTACACAGGATTTCAATGGGTGATGAAGCGCAGAAGGACCAACGCCTACGTGACTTTGCCGGATTCCAGGTGACAGAAGAGCTAGCTCGCCAAGGCGGTGCCAAGTCTGACTGGAAGTTCTTGCATTGTTTGCCGCGCAAGGCCGAGGAAGTCTCCGACGAGGTAAGCTAAGGTCGTTTTTTTGTTGGCTCTGACACGTTACGCAGGTATTCTATGGTTCTCGCTCACTCGTGTTCCCTGAGGCGGAGAACCGCAAGTGGACCATCATGGCATGTTTCGAGTACGTTGAACCTTACAAGTGCGCTTACATTCAAGCTGGCTCTTTGGCCGCCGAGAATTGTAGGGTCAAGGTATATGCACCATATTGCGAGCTCGTCGCAGCACGTGATTGACTGATCATTATCAAGCTCCACGGAGATGTGATGAGCGATAGGGTAACGCCACCTAGTCCGAACAGAGGATATATTAGAGGAAACTGTAGTGCCAGAAAGCTAAATCTATTCCTCTATTTGCAAATCATGGTAACATTCTATGAATTGAAAGCAGCGATGCCGCAGGGCAAGTCGTTCGACTTTGCCCAGTTGAAAGGCAAGGTTGTCTTGATCGTGAATACGGCAAGCAAGTGTGGCTTTACTCCGCAATTCGAGGGCTTGGAGAAATTGTACAAGGACTACTCGCCGCGTGGATTGATGGTACTGGGATTCCCATGTAATCAGTTCATGTCTCAGGATCCTGGCGATGATGAGAGCATTGGTGGATTTTGCATGAAGGTACGTTTGCTGGTAGGAAACCCACGATCAGAGGCGGTGGGAGCTGGGAAGGGGCAGTACTTTATTAGAACTTTCATGACTGACACGGTTGTTTTCCAGAACTATGGCGTCTCATTCCCCATCATGGCCAAGTCGGACGTCAACGGCGAGCATGCGAACGAAACGTTCAAGTTCCTGAAGCATGAGCAACCAGGATTGTTTGGCTCTGAAATGATCAGTACGTACTCACATCATTGGATTGTCTAACACGGTACAGAATGGAACTTCACCAAAGTAGGTTACCGACAAATATACACGCTTACCATTACTAACCACATCAGTTTTTGGTTGATAGGCAGGGCAAAGTGGTGCACCGATATGCACCCCAGACTTCCCCTGCTGATATTGCGAAAGATATCGAGAAACTGCTTTAGATTCTATAGTCATCTCATACATTTGTTCCGTTTCGTCCTATGTTTGCACACACATACACACACACACACACACGCACGCACAAGCACACGCGCGCGCGAGCATTTTTGCCCGTTCCTATATCTGGGCCACTCGTTTTTTCCATTGTCTCTCTAGACTCTCCATCAACATGGAGAATGGCGTCTTGTCAAGTCCCGTCTGGTCAAGTGATCCCATAAACTCTTTGGGCAAGTACTTTTGGTCTGTTTCAGGTTAGTGAAAATGCATCGAAGGGTCATTTCCGACGTACTTGGCCCCTCCGACTGTGCTTGAGCCGCCACATACTCCCTTTTCCGCAAACGATTCGCGGACTTTACATAGAAGAATCCCGTGAAAGCTGCAGCGAGCATAATGCCCCAGCTAGGTTTTCATTAGCTATGCGACGGACACGTACGTCGCGGCCATCCGCTTGGGAGAGCCTCGAAGCAGGCCTTTTTGCTCCATGGTTATGACTATGTGGAGAGAAGGGGAGCGAGGAAATGAATTTAGATTCATCACTAAAGGATTTGGATGCAGAAATTGATTGTGCTGCCGTGGCTACACTAGGGACGTATGGACATCAGCCGTGTCTGGGACGAGATTGTCCTACTCCGCTCGACGTTGCTGCCTGACGAGTTCAGCTGGCGCGGGACACCCGACGAGACAGAGGTATGGGAGCGTGTGTATGAGGCTTGCCAGGATGGCCAACCTTTACCGATGTCTGTACCACCACAGCAAGTGCATCTGTCATTGTGTGTGAATAAGCAGTTAGGCGTTTCAATGAATGTTAAACTCAACGAATCCAATGCTCGTCCTGGAATCTCAGTCTTTGTTCAGAGAACAGATCTTATCTCACAAGCCCAACTGACTGACATGGTTCAACAGCGTCTCGATGAGTGCGCATTGCAAGACATTTCACATCGGACGTTTGACGTGTTGAACTTACTGCATGAAATTACATCGGAGATCGAAGAAGTGCATGAATGTATAAGTGTCGACCAAGAACGTTTCCAACATGCAGTCGCTCGTCAAGCGAATGCACAGAGTCTTGCGATGAAGCGCGTGATCTTTTGGTCTCATCACCTTGTAGCACCATCGAAGCGGCGCCAATTTGCAGCATGGTGTCCAGAGCTAGGTGTGTGGGGCTTGTTCAAGCTGGGTTACCCAGGATTCTTGTGCTTTGAAGGTGCTTGTGACGATGTCGACGATATGGTTCGCCGCGTAAAAGGCATGCAATGGGCGGCCATATCGATGCGTACCGAAGTAGCGTGGACATTTATACGCACCGATGACATGCTGGGAACAACACTGGAGGCGGCGATCCGGCATTGTCCTCTAGCAAAGGCGCGTCCACTGTATGAAAAAGTGCGCACTGACGCAAAAGAAATCGAGAGTATGAGCGAATTTGTTGCATGGTACGTCATATTCCCACCTTGAAAGATATGCGCTACTGACACGAAGTCTACGGTCTCTACCGCTGAGTGAAGAGGAAATCAGTGATGCGTGTCATTTGCGCATGGCACAAGGAGGAAAAAATTCATCGAGTGGCGAATGAGGACGGGCCGAAGCCCTCGTACATCGTCGAGACAGGCTCACACTGGATGTACGGCTCCAACGCGTACGTCAATGTCAAGATGCAAGAGACATGGACCAGCCCTCACTCTTTGCTTTCCTCGCCGGACAGAAACAAAGGAGACACGCCAGATGATGATCGAGAAAGAAAGAGTTCAGGAAAGAGGTCGCATCATCTGCGCATGACTTGGGTGTAGTGCCCAAGTCATATGGGGAGGGAAAAGCGGGGTCTTGGGCGTAGCTCGAGAAGCTGTGCCTCACCCGCATGGCATCGAATGGATTTCTAGATCCATCATTCCAGTGATTCCTTGTACAAGCCATGCTTGTCTGGAAATCGCGTAATGTGCCAGCGTTTGTGTTAGTGTTAGATGTTGACACACAGCCAGTCCGAGCCCAGCGCAGCGACAGCGCATCCGTTCGGACCAGACCCTAGAGCTCTAAGCTAATGGAATATCAGCTGAGCTTCTAGGATCTGTGCAGCATCGGCTCTAGGATCATGGCGTGTTTCTCGTCCGCAGGCTGGCCCATGCCTCGTGGAATGGAAGCAAAACACAAATGGAGAAGTACGACGCATGTCGCAGATGATTCTGACTGGATGTAGGGACAGGCAAGGGCCTGGGGAAGGGCAAAGGGCACAAGGGGCCTAGGAAATCTTACTTAATCTACACGTGGAAGCATTTGATGAATGGTTGCCTGAGCCGTGCGCTCATGCTTACATACATGTTTTTGTCGAATAGGGTCCGGGTCCTAGTTCCTATCTGCTCGTCATACGGCGGTGGAGCTGGTCATAGCTAGACCTGGCACGTGATGATACCACGTCGATCCTCTCCTCTACACCCTCCCCATGGCAAAATCTCAGCGAGTGCGCGACGCGAAGGTCCAATGGTCGACAACAAGACCATTCTCGCCATAGCAAAGAAAGAGAAAGCAAGTAAGGCGCCTCATGAAATGCAAGCTTAGAGTGCAAGCTACACAGGTTTATCTAATGCGAGCAAAAAAAAAGGAATGGCCAGTTGCTGGCAATCCCATTTACTCGTAGATCCACTGGTCGACGGCACGCTTGTAAGGGATCGTGGCGTCCTGCTTGCCGAACCAGAGCGCAATCTCAGCCTTGGCCGACTCAGGTGAGTCTGAGCCGTGGCAGATGTTGCGGCCCACATCAATGCAGTAGTCGCCACGGATCGTGCCGGGAGCGGAAGCAAGAGGGTTCGTGGCACCAAGGAGCGCACGGCCCTGCTTCACGACATCCTTGCCCTGCCAGACCATAGCCACGACAGGACCCGACGACATGTACTTGATCAGACCTGGGAAAAATGGCTTGCCCTTAAGGTCCTTGTAGTGCTTCTCAAGGTGGTCTTCACCAGCGTGCACCAGCTTCATGGCCACAAGCTGGTAGCCACGGTCCTCGAAGCGCTGGATGATCTTGCCAACGAGGCCGCGTTGGACACCGTCTGGCTTGATCATAATGTAGGCTAGCACGTGTAAGTAGCCATCCTTTTCTTTTGGCTTTGTTTGACAAGCGTCATTGGTACTTACTCTGCTCACTCGACATGTTGGGGTGTAGTGGTAGGTGTAGAAAGAAAGGAATCTCTGCGACCTTCCCAGGCCCATCAACTGACCCTCGGCTGGCTCGGCTTGTCCACCAGCGCGACGTAGGGCTCGTGCACGTGATACATCCGTGCCCGTGTGTGGGTCACGCAGTCCGAGCGAAAGGCCCAACGGGCGGCCCACAAATCCCAAACAACGGTTCCTGGTTGTTGGGTGGTTGCGGGGCGAAGAGGGGTTGGGAACGGTTTCAAGGGCGAAACCCTTTCAAACCAAACGGTATTGTTCCCGGCAAACATGGCGGAACCGCCCATCGGGTTTTAGCTCTTAGCGCCGGGAGACCGAAAAATTGGCATTTGGGCGCTTTGGCGCCATGCATCTGCTCATATCTCTCCCATGCGTGTGTGCGCCGCACATGTAGGTGCGCGCACGATGATTCGAGGCAGCTCGGCGCGAGCGCTTCGGATCGGGGCTCTCGGTCTGGCTGGTGGTGTCGGAATCCTTGCTTACTCGATGCTGCAATGGCGCTTTCTCCATTCGTCGAAGGACGCAGCCGATACAGGCGAGTCGAAGGGCCACGATGTTGGTCCGACCGCGTCCATATCGACGTCTGCTTCTGCGTCTGCATCCGATGAGACATCATCATCATCATCACCGCCACCACCGCCAAAGTCGGTTGTGAGCCGTGTATGGGGGGCTATATCGCTCTATGTGGTTGAGCCAGTTCTTGTACTGAAACGATTTCTTGTCTTGGCTATTACCTTTGCGCCTGTCGTGCTAGCAACGCCCTTGCTTGTTATCGGTCATCGTATAACGTACCGGGATGAAGATGGACACATGGTCGAGGGCGAACGGTGGGGCACTGTTCTCTGGTATAAACTGCTTGTGATGCAGATGGAGCGTGCTGGCCCTACGTTTGTGAAACTCGGCCAGTGGGCTGGGTCCCGTCGCGACTTGTTCCCTGACGAGCTTTGCAATCGCCTATCGAAACTGCATTCGAACAACAAGCCGCACTCCATGACCTATACGCGTGAAGTCCTCGAGCGTGTGTTCAAGCGGTCATTTGATGAGATATTTGCGTCCTTTGACGAGCAGCCTGTGGGGATTGGCGCCGTCGGTCAGGTTTATAAGGCTGTGCTGCATCAGGACCTTTTGCCTAGTGATTACTTGAACGATCGGCGCGAACAAGATCGGCTGCAGGAGGCTGCCGAGAACATTGGGCGTGAGCTGGCCCTCACGTACGAGCACGACGAATCGTCCGATCACCATGGCGCCGCCGTTGCCATCAAAGTGCTGCATCCTAAGGTGCATCGCATTATTGGGCACGACATTCAGATTATGCAGTTTTTTGCGGGACTGTTGAACCTCATTCCTGGCATGCGCTGGGTCTCGCTCCCGGAAGAAGTCGATCGGTTTGCTGCGCTGATGCTAAGTCAACTGGATCTGCGTGAGGAAGCATCGCATCTCTCTCGCTTCGAGCGCAACTTTGGGGGCCGTGGCGGCACTGTCATTTTTCCTCGGCCCTTGCGGGCTTTTTGTGCCCGAGACGTGCTCGTTGAAGAGCTTGTGGAAGCTGTGCCCCTCAAGCACTTTATGCGCATGGGCGGCGGTGCGTACGACTCACGCATTGCCGAGATGGGTCTTGATGCATTCCTCAGCATGTTGCTGATTGACAACTTTGCACATGCCGACCTGCACCCAGGAAACATCATGGTCAAGTTCTACCGTCCGTCTATGCGATCCATGTTGCAAAATGCCTTCTCTCGCGTTTTTTACCGCTTCGATCCTGACTATGTGCTGGGACACCGCGGGCGGACGGGGATCATTCCTGATGATCAAGTTTCGCAGGAACTCGTTGCACGCTCGAACGATTCAGACTCGTGGCACTCAGCGATCCGATCCATCCAGGAGGATGGGTTCTTGCCGGAGCTTGTGATTCTTGACGCAGGTCTGGTCTCGGAGTTATCGCCCAAGAACCTGCGCAATTTCCTTGACCTGTTTGCTGCCATTGCTATGTTTGATGGTCGTCAAGCAGGGTCACTTATGGTCGACCGCTGTCGCACACCTGAACTTGTCACGGACAGGGAGCAGTTTATTCGTGTGATTGAGGGTGTCATGGACAGCGTCAAGTCCGAAACATTTAGCCTAGCATCGCTCAACATTGGCGACGTGCTGAACAAAGTACTAAAGGCAGTCCGCACATACCATGTCAAGATGGAGCCTGACTTTGTCGATACTGTACTGAGTATTCTAATTCTCGAGGGAATTGGTCGTAAGCTAGACCCTAATATCGACCTGTTCCGCAGTGCCATTCCGATCCTCCGCTCGCTGGGGCACAAAATGTCCAGCGACGAGACACAACTTGCCAGCTTGCGTGAACAAGTAAGCCTCAAAACACTTCTCCCGATGCTCAAGCTCTGGTTCTTCATGGAGTTCCGCTCCTTGTTCATGGCACCACAAAATTCACCTCAAATTGTCGATGCCTTCGTTCGTTATGGTTGGCTCTCTGAGTAATTACATCTACTATGTCAACAATCATTGGTTCATGCATCTAGCGCGTCGTCCTCCGAGTCCATGCCATTCACATCGAGGTCCACAGCGTTATCACTACCGTCATCTTCATCCAGATCAAATTCGATGTCATCCACGACCTCGTCCATCGCTTTGGTTTCTCCCTCATCGACATCGGATCCGTGTGCCCCTGATTCTTCTGACTCCGACTTCCCCCCCACATAGTTAGTATATACCCGACGAAAGACTGTGCAACGCACCGACACCGAAAATCCTGATGCAAAGTCCGCATCATCAAATAGTTCTTCATCGTCTGCATGTCCTGCCGCAGATGCCGAGTCGGCTTGTGGTGTAGATCCGCTCGATTTGATAGGATATGATGCATCTGCTGCCCCCTTGCTCAGATGCGATGACTGCGATCCCAGCACAGATGTATGTGGAAGATCCACTTGTTTCGACAACGGTGTTGAGGGCTTTTCGCTCTTGATCGACTGCTTTTCTTTGCTAGCGGCTGCCGGCATTTGTGGCGCAGGTGATGAAGAACCCTGCTTTCTTGGAGCTGCCGTGGGTGAAGATGTTGATGGTGATGCCGAGCGAGAATTGGTATTGAGAATGCGTTGTGTTACAGCTGTCGATGCCGTCTTGGCGTTGCGCGTCGATCCCTTGCGCGTGGATTTATTTCCTGCGCCCATACACTTTTCCAAGTGCGTTGCATAGCGGTTCGACGACACTTGTCTCGAACACACAAGACACTCATACAGTGGGTTATTAGAATAATAGTCTGTCTTCGCCCCATTGGCAAACATGGCGGCATCAGCTGAATCTTTCACACCTGGTTAGCCACAGTTGGTGCTGCGTACCATGGACATTTTGACTTTGGCTCGCACTGCATGTAATCAATATTCTCACACGTACGGTTTATCACACAGTGCACAATCCATCCTCATACGCTTAGTGCGTCCGTGCACTTCCAAAGCTACAGATACAACGACCTCATTGATCAATGAATCCATCAGTCGCGACTCCTTCATCATAAGCAAGCACGCATACTCACAAAGATCCGTTTTGGATCCATGGTGCAAGAAGACCCCTAGGTCAAGCCGCACGAACGTGTATGGAGGATGACCTGCTGTCCTCACACTTGAGTACAATTCACGTCAGTCTAGGCCGGCAAGCTTGATGCCAAATACTATGGCTTGTCTTGGGCGTGGAGGACATGTGAATGTGGAGACATGCTGAGTCATCTCTGTCGCGCTCCATCTCTTTCTGTACGGCCGAGCCTAACGGGCTCGTCGTGGCAATCCTTGTAGGCTCAACAGGTCATCTTGTCACAAATCTGATTGTTGGGGACCAAGTGAGGAACGCGTTCCTTGGTAATCGTACTGAAATTTGCCTGCATGTCATTTACATTGCCGCCGCCGTTGAAGCAGCAATTAACTCTATACCGTGATTCCCTGAATAGCCAAATTGAGGCATGGGCTGCTGAATACCACGTCAATCCCGCGGCAATCCGACGGCATCTCGGCTTCTCACGCGAATTCGGTCGACAGCCCAATTCATGGAACCTGTACCAGCGGTACCTGGCTGAACAGAAGCGGAAGAATGCGAATGGCGATCCTTCGGCTTTAGACGTGGGATCCGGCACTGGTCGAACCGATGCTGGTGCCTCACAAGCACAACGCATTCGTGATGAACTCGCACCCTTGTACCAAAAGATGAAGGAAGACCCTGAGTTCATGCTACGGACGCGACAGGAAATCAGTGCATGGGAGCAAGACAACCGGCTGGAGAAATCCAGCACAATCACCCGGGCCGAATACAAGCGTGCTGTCCGTCGTTTTGAGCAGTTTTCGCAACAATGTTCGCAAAATTTAGGCGCCGAATCTTTCACGATCATTGCGCATCCGAATATAGGCTCGAACCATGTCCAAATCACAGCTTCTCCTGCTGGACTGCATGCGTTCCAAACAGCACTCGGTGCAGGCAAGCCTCTAGAGACGTTTCAAAACCGGTTTGCCGCTTGCATCTGTCTAACCATTGCGCCAACCGACGATCCGACCGCTCTCGAGCGCGAGACAAATTTAGATGTCCAAGTCCCACTTCAGCCGCAAGAACCGATTATTTTGCCTGAGGATCCAACTTTGCTCACGTCGATTCAAAAGCGCAAGCTTGCTACGCCTCTATTCCAACGCCTGGTTGAGTCGGGATTGGATCCCGTTGGCCTGGCAAATTTCCGGAAGAAATCCCAGTCGCGCTTCCCGTGGAAGGGCCTAATGACATGGCTTTATGAGAATGGGTATCGATTCAACTACTGGCCCAACGATTCTACACTGTATGGGGTCCGTCATGCTGCCGGTGAAGCGGCTTTACTGCCTGCACATCTACGTTGCGAAGGTCTTAATACGCCGAATTGCTGGAAGTCCGATGCCATGAATGCCATTCTGCGCGCGTGCGTTGACCCAACGGATCCTCTGCGCGTTGTGCGTTTGTAACAATTAGTACTGATCTGCGCGACCATACGTCGCTAGTCTATTGTGTCTATAAAGAAATTATTTCGACGGCCACAGACGGTTTGTAGTTGTACGAAGATGATTCGCCACGGACATATCTTGCTTCATTTTGTAGCAGGTCACAATATCTGATCAGATGCGCAAGTGGCTATTTTCCAACGGTGCATGGACCGCCCAAATCTTAGTTGGGCCAATTGCTGTAATTGGGCCGTGCTCCCAACGTGCGAACGCATTTCCGCTTGCATCTGGCCACAGAATTGAGGCTTTTGATCGCCGCGGACATGTTTAGTGAACGGCTTCAAAAACTCCACGCACTAAATGCAGGTTGGTTAAGCGTGTTATTGGCCTGCGGACATATGGAAAACATGATGGCCAGAAAAGCAAAAGAAAAAAAATACCCAAGGGACATCAATTTGCGATTCGTGCGCAGGATCATCTTTCAATTTCAATCCAAATCGTAAGCCAACTACGTCAGGTGCCGGTGGGTCAGCGAGCACCATCGCCATGGCTTCTAATGTGGGATCATTAGAAGAGAAAAACGGCGGTTACATCAGCTCGCCGCCTGATTCGGGCAACACTTCTAAAATGTTGACCAAAGGGATACCTGAGCAAGACGATGAGCTGGCTCTTGATGATCAACATCCTAAGACGAAAACGGCTGACATGAACACAAAGCGGGAGGATCGACAGGGAAATCAAAAGTTTGGTGTTCGCGTTCGCGAGCATTGGTGGCAGTTCTGGCGATTCAAAAATCCGCCCCCACCCCCGCCCGAGAGTATCGATGATGCGCAAGAGCTGCCGTTGGGGCGCACGAATATTTTCTCTGATTATACATATCACTGGGTTGCGCCAATGCTCTCTTTGGGATACCGTCGTCCGTTGGAGGCTACAGATCTGTGGGCTATGGACGGACCTCGTCAAGCTAAACACTTGAGCTCGAGGCTTGTCGATCGCTGGGATGCCCGTGTCGCAAAAGCTGATGAGTACAACCGCAAGTTTGACGAAGGCAAGGTCAAAGTGACTTCTTCCATGCGTCGTAAATGGCGCAATCAGGCCAAGAAGGAACACGCGCAAAATCTTGGTGGCGAGGCGTCTGTTGAAGAGCGAATCGCCGCCAAAGAGGCCATCTGGTTTTTGCCAGACCTGTCCGTCATGAAACAGATTGACATAACGCCTGAGATTCGTCGCAAGAAGGCCCTCGCGGGTACGGTCAAGAGCGGACGCAAGCGTGCGAATCTGTTTCTGGCCTGTGTTGACATTTTCTGGCCGCATATCATAGAAGCGTTCTGCGCCAAGATCCTTGCTGATGTGGCGCAGATGTGCTCAGCGCTGGTGATGGAGCATCTTATCGGAGCAGTGCGTGATGGTGATACTGGTTTGGGATGCGGTTACACTGTTGTTATGTTTGTCATGCTATTAATTGGAAACGTTCTCTCCAACCGGTTCTTCTATAAGAGCTTGTATGTCGGTGTGTTTTGCCGAGCAGCTCTTGTGTCTGGTATTTTCCGGCGCGCACTTAACATGCAGGGTCGGGATCGTTCGACAGGCAAGCTTGTGAACCATGTCAGCACTGATGTCAGTCGCATTGACTTTGGTGCGCAGTGGTGGCTTCTTACCTTTACCGCACCCGTTGAGATTATTGTTTGTTTGATTATTCTTCTTACCCGTTTCGGTGTGTCGTGCCTTTCTGGCTTTGCGCTGATTGTCGTGGTGATGCCATTCCAACTTTATTTCATGAAGTTCTTATTCATGCTGCGCGCAAAGTCGATGCAGTGGACGGACCGCCGTGCTCGTCGTACGCAGGAGATGCTTTCAGGCATGCGCATCGTAAAGCTGTTCTCGTATGAGTCGAACTTCTTCAAGCTGATTTCGACTTTGCGCAAGCATGAACTGAAGTATGTGTTTTTTCTCGCCGTGGCTCGCGCCGGGCTTATGGCAACGGCTATTAGCTTGCCTCTTCTCGCTGGTGTGCTTGCAGTGATTACGTACTATTTCAAGAACGACAAGCTCGACCCAGAGAAGGTCTTCCCTGCCATCACTTTGTTCCAGCTGTTGCGTCTTCCGCTCATGTTCTTACCATTCGGTATCAGTGTTATCGCAGATGGTGCAAATTCGTTCATTCGATTGCGTGACGTGTTCTATGCTGAGCAACACGATACAACGCTGACGTCAGACGAGACGTCGCCCTATGGTTTGAATATCGATAACGCCACTTTTGTGTGGGAAGGTGTCGAGGAAGATGACACACTCAAGCCGGTGAAAAAGCTGAATGAGAAGAGCAACTCGAAAAAGAAAATGAAACAGAAGCGTATGTGGGCATTCCTGCGCCGGAACCGCAAGGACAAGTCCAAGGGCGCCAAGGGCCCGAAGAAGTTGAACATTTTCTCTCGTAAAAAGAAGGGCACCTCGGGCGGCCAAGAGCCTGTCTCGCAAGAAGTGCCAGTTGCCGCAGAAAAAGATGCGCAGCCGGGCAAGGCCGCCGACGAGGACGAAATGCCATTTCAACTGCAAAATATCGACCTCAAGGTAAAGCGTGGAGAGCTATGTGCGATTATTGGTCCTGTCGGGTCGGGCAAGTCTTCTCTGCTTCTCGGTGCGATTGGCGAAATGGCGCGTTCGAGCGGCCAAGTCGTTTGGTCATCACAGCGCGTTGCATACTGCTCGCAGTCTGCATGGATCCAGAACGCGACGGTTCGCGAAAACATTTTGTTTGGCCAGCCATGGGATGCTAAACGTTATTGGGACTGTGTGGAGCGATCGGAGCTGTTCGCTGACTTTGCAATGTTGCAGGGCGGTGACATGACAGAAATTGGCGAGCGCGGCGTGACCTTGTCTGGTGGTCAGAAGCAGCGGATCAACATAGCGCGTGCACTTTACTTCAATGCTGATGTGGTGTGTCTGGACGACCCACTGTCTGCTGTCGATGCGCATGTTGGAAAGGCCCTATTTAACAATGCGATCTTGCCGATGAAGAAGCAGGGAAAGACGGTGCTTCTTGTCACACATGCCATTCAGCACCTGCCTTTGTGTGACCGCATCGTGTTGATGGACGACGGTCGGATTGAGGAAATGGGCACGTACGAGGAGCTTATGCAGAAGGGCGGCTCATTCTACACGACGATGTACAACTTTGGCATGCTGAAAGATGAGGACGAAGAAGACGCTGATGAACTCGCCGCGGAGACAGAAGATGCAAAGGCACCGCCGAAAAAGTACACGTTGGCCGAGCTGAGCAAGCCGGGTGCCGGGAAGACCATGGAGAGTGAAGAACGTAATACTGGTTCTGTTGACAGTGTGGTCTGGGTGTCGTATTTGAAAGCAGGAAGTGGTACGCTGATTGTACCAATTGTGCTTGCTGCCGGCGCTTGCATGCAAGCATCGACGAACCTATCGAGCTACTGGGTTGTATGGTGGCAAAAGTGGCACTATGAGCACAGGAAATCGATCGGGATGGAAGCGGGCATTTATGCAACTTTAGGTATCATTCAACTGATTTTCAACTTTATCATGGACGTTGCGCTTGGGTTGCTAACATTCCTTGCGTCTCGAAAGCTGCACGATCGTGCGATGAAGCGCGTCGTGTTCTCGCCCATGTCGTGGTTCGACACAACACCCATTGGCCGTATTATCAATCGATTCGGCAAGGATATTGACGTGCTCGACAATCAGCTGAGTAATTTGGTCCGCCAATGTGCCTCAACGGTTCTGTCGATTCTGGGTGCTGCCATTATGGTCATTGTCTTTACGTACTACTTCGCGATTGTTGTCGTCGCAGTGTTTGTGTTCGCGTACTTCTTTGCGACGTTCTATCGATCGTCCGCGCGTGAATTCAAACGGGTGGATGCCTTATTGCGCTCGACACTGTACTCACACTTTGCCGAGTCGCTCACGGGTCTGACGACCATCCGTGCATACCGTGAATCTGACCGCTTCTTGCACGACAACTACAAATACATGGACTTGCAGAACCGAGCGTACTTCCTCACGATTGTCAACCAACGCTGGCTCGGTCTGCGTCTCGACTTTCTCGGCTCATTGTGTGTGCTAATTACTGGTATTCTATGTTCTGTGCGTGTAGGGTCCATTGATCCAGGCAAGACCGGTGTGTCGCTCTCGCAAGTCGTCACTGTCGCGCAGACGCTTGGTTTCTTAACGCGGCAACTGACAGAATTGGAGAACGAAATGAACTCGGCGGAGCGTCTCGTATACTACGCAAACAATCTCGATCAGGAACCTCCGCAGCAGATACCTGAAAACAAGCCTGAACCGGCATGGCCAGCGCATGGCAGCGTTGAACTGGACAATGTGTGGCTCCGTTACAGGGAGAACCTGCCGAATGTGCTCAAAGGTGTCACATTCTCCGTGCATGGCGGCCAGAAGGTCGGCATTGTTGGCCGTACTGGTGCTGGCAAGAGTTCCATCTTGACTGTGCTGTTGCGGCTCTCGGAGGCGACGCAAGGTCGCGTCCTGATTGATGGCGTTGACGTGTCCAAGATCGGTCTCGAGGATCTGCGTCGCAACATTGCGATTCTGCCGCAGGATCCTCTCCTGTTCAGCGGTACGCTCCGGTCGAATTTGGATCCCTTTGAGCGCTTCGATGATGCACGACTCTACGATGCTATGCACCGTTCATACCTGACATCCGCAGCCAACGCTAGTCAGCCGCCCACTGGCGCAGTTACACCTGTTGTGGGTGAAGATGGCCAGCCATTGCCGTCCGCAACGCAAGGCGAGGCAACTGTGCCAGCCCAGCCGAAAGCGCTCACGCGTCTCACACTTGACTCCATCATTGATGAGGAAGGTGCAAATTTGTCTGTGGGCCAACGCAGCTTGGTCTCGTTAGCGCGCGCCCTTGTGAAAGATTGCAAGATTATTCTTCTCGATGAGGCCACAGCGTCTGTGGACTTGGAGACGGATGCAAAGATTCAGCGCACGATCCGCACCGAGTTTGCAGATCGAACACTTTTGTGTATCGCGCATCGCCTTACCACTATTATTGGTTACGATAAAATTATTGTTATGGATGATGGCAAAGTGGCAGAGTTCGCATGCGCCACTTGCTCTGTTTGACAATCAAGACAGTATCTTCCATGGCATGTGCGAGCGCAGTGGTATTACTCGTGAAGATATTCTTTTAGCCCGTTCCGTCGAGTCGAATGCCGATGACGAAGCGGCGCAGGCTTCTTATCCTGCAGCAGCTACGACTGTACCGCAACAAGAGCCCTACTACTTGTACGAAAGTCCACCCAACATGCCTCAACAGCAGAATGGTGTGGTCTTTTACAACTCGCACGAATAAGCAGCTTGATCTTATGCACACGGGCCTTTTCCCTCTTTCCTCGAAACTTGTTAATTTTTTGAAGCGCTTTTTGCAAGTGTTTTTTTTTCTACCTAATGCAATGGCCCTACCTACAAACTTGGTCATATCATTTTTTGACTCAAAACTCCTGGACTCTATCTCTCGCCCCATCCCCTTTCTTTCCAAAAGTAACATAGTATGCAGTATCATATATAGACCAATATATTTGACCAAGGACCAAATTTTATAGTAGAGAGATGCACAGGGCTCAAGTAACACCTGGATGAACAGGTGGACAGCTTGATAGAGAGAGAGAGAGTGTGTGTGTGTGTCGTGTTCATTTCGGCACTGAATGAACGTCGGTCTACCAGAACCGTTAGCTCACGTGCAGTCCCGAGCAGCGAGGCAAAGGAAAGGCCTCTCACTCCAGTCACAACACGATTTATTGGGTGTCACGCTTCATCTGAGGTGCAAGTGTGGTTGAACACTTCTCATGATTGTATGCATCTAGAGCACGTTCTCCTTCGGGAACTTGAGGACGGGACCGACTTGGCCAATGCACATGCCACCCAGACGGTGACCCACATCCACAGCTTCTTCCATCGACTTGCCCATGATGAGGCCAGCAATCACACCGCCGGCAAACGCATCACCAGCGCCGTTCGTGTCGACAATGTTAGCAGCATCAATCTTCGGCGTCGGGTGCGTAATGACGGACGACTGGCCCTGCACTGCCCGGATGGTCGACTCTGCTCCATGTGTAATAAGGACTGTGCGCGGCTTCGACACCTCGGATGGAGAGTCGGCAATCTTCTGCGCGATGGAACTGAGATCGCTCGTTTCCATGCCCGATGCCTTAGCCCAGGCCTCAGCTTCCGACTCGTTGCCGATCACAAGCTCGGCATACGGCATCACCTGATCTACCTGCGACTTGAAGAACTGCGGAATGAAGGGAGCCGACAGGTTGAAGGCGAATGGCTTGCCCGTTTCTTTCGCATGCTTCGCAACGATCAAAGCACTTTCCACACCGTGCGTAAGGAAGAAGCCGCCAATGTAGAAGAACTTGGCTGCCTCAATAGCCGCCTTGGCTTCCTGCGAGTCCAGATGCGATTTGTCAAATTTCTCAGCAGCGCCAAGGTTTGTGCAAAGCGAGCGGTCATGGCCTGTAATCACCACAGCGCACGAGCCTGTTGGCGTGTCATTCACGACCTGGTAGACAGACTGCAGACCTTCACGCTCATTCGCAGCACGCAGCTGTTGAGCAAGATCATCGTTGCCGACACATCCAAGATACGCAGTCGATCCCTCGGGCAAGGCGTATTGCGCGCAGCGAGCTGTGTTTTGAGCAGCACCACCAGCGACGTACGTCACCTGGTAGTTTTCGACTAAGTGCTCGTAGATGCTCAGCTGCTCAGGCGAAGCAAGCACCGCATCATTTGGTTTCAGGCCGTACTTCTGGAGCACGTCCTGGCCATCGCGCACCTGCATGTCGAGCAACGGATTTCCAAGGGCTACAAGCTTCAGGTTCTCAAAGTTTACCATGGTTCTCGGACGAAAGTAGGGCTGGGTTGGTTGTATTCAGGTAGGGACCGAGCGGACTGGCGTCGAGTTCGTCGTGCCTGAGACACGGGCGATGCCACAAACTTGCAGCCTAGCTGGTGGGTCGGGGGGATTCCAGCGGCATGCAGTGTGGAGAAACCGGATGCACTAATCACGTGCCGATAAAGCCAACGTCAGCACGTCGATCTGGAGCGATCGGTGACGACATTGACACAAACGCTTCGTCGCTGGCTCCAGTGAATTGAGTGTGCGTGATGAGCCAAGAGAAACAAGAAGCAGACTATACACCAGAGGTCGATGCACTTCTCCCACAGTTAGAGAAGCTGGCCAGCGTACGTAAGAAAGTATTTGTCCCTCACTAAGCATGCTAATAATAGTCTGGCTCGCTTCAGGAAGGACTGGATCTCATAGCGCCACTTGAGAAGCGTGCGCGAGGGGTATGTATACGAATGGGAAAAAAAACCAGCATGGATTCAAATGTGTTGAGATCATGCTAACAGAAACAGGCATCTGACGTATTGAGCACTACACGTCTGCTTCTGACGTCTGTCCTCATGATACGCACCATTCCAGATGTTGAACATACGGATCTCAGCAAGCTTTGTGAAGCTGTGCATTCGTACTCTAAAAAGCATGGACAGCTGAAGAAAGCCATATCTCGAATGATACAGCTAGCTATGCTGTTTTTACAGAGCCCTGATACCACAGACATGCAGGCACCGGCGTCTTTCTACGCTGTTCTTGGCAAGGACTCGCTGCAGACAGCACTAAAAGACGAGCCAATGGGCGACTCTGCCGCAACAGAGTCGATGGCTGTAGATGATGGCGGCAACTCAAAGGCGTCTCAAGGCGACAAAGCATCCGGTGACAAGGTCGAAGAGGACCGTGAAGGGAAAGAAGACGATCGCATCACCGCACTTTTGCAGCATGCAAAAGCTATTGGAGACAAGTCGCTTGATGATGCAGCCAAGATGAAACTTATGGTGACATTGCGTGAGCTGACAGAGGGCAAGGTGTTTCTTGAAGTCGAGCGTGCACGCGTGAGTCGGTCGATGTCTGATATGCTGTACGCACAGGGTGATGTCAACAAGGCTGCAGAGACGTTACAAGACCTTGCTGTCGAGACGTTTGGAAGCCTAGGCCGCCGTGAGAAAGTGGAATTTATTCTTGAGCAGATGCGACTCAATTTGGAGCGGGGTGATATGAGTCGCGTTAACATGCTGAGTCGTAAGATCAATGTTAAGTTCTTTGAAGACGAAGCACAGCAGGATCTAAAGCTCCTATATTACGACATCATGGTCAAAGTGGGCATGCACGATGGAAAGTACCTTGATGTTTGCAAATATTATCGAGAAGTGCTCAACACACCTAGCATTCGTGCTGATCAAGATAAGTTCAGAGATGCTCTTCGACACGTGGTGATTTTCCTTGTACTGGCGCCATTTGATCATGAGCAACGTGACCTGCTTGGTCGCGTTGACTCTATAGAACCACTTGACTCTGTGCCTGAGTACAAGAACTTGCTCAAGTGCTTTACCACGCCGGAACTCATGCGTTGGCCTGGTATTGAGGCATTGTATGGCCCCATGCTGCGTCAACTGCCTGTGTTTTCTGGCAGCGCAGCGGCCGAAGAGCGTTGGAAACAGCTTCACACGCGTGTTGTCGCGTACAATATTCAAGTCATTGCGAAATATTATACGAAAATCCGTTTGGACCGCCTCGCACAACTGCTTGATTTATCTATCGAACAAGCTGAAGAGGCGTTGGCTAATCTTGTCGTCAACAAAACAACACATGCGCGTATCGACCGACCTGCTCAGATCGTAAGCTTCCAAGCGCCTTTGTCAGATGCCGAGGTCCTGAACCACTGGAGTGGTGATATGTCGAAGCTTCTGCAGACTGTGGAGAAAGTCTCTCATCTTGTGGAAAAGGAATGGGCCATTCAACGTGCTGGACTCGTCGTCAAGGCCAATGACTAAGGCGGTAGCTCCAACAAAAATGCCGACAGAGGTGTATGAGCGCGTAAGTAGGCATGGGAAATGTATAAAAATACAATCATCAACGCAGTTGTGGTAGCCTTTGCAATCTGCGACTTGGTGTCGTCATACACGTACTCGAGCGACGCTGCGTTTGCGCTAAGCGGGTGATCACGTGAACAAGCTGTGTGCGGGGGATACGCGCTCAATTTGTTGCCCCGTAGGTACATGCGTTAGTCGAGTGAGGGAGAGTGCGCTTAATAGCAGCAGTCAATTCGTTCCTCGTAGTGGTGCAGCTTACGGTCAGAGGGTGACGGCAACATGAGTCTGTCAGTGAATGAACACGAGCTGCTGCAAGAATATGAGCTCAGTTCATTGCAACCAAGGCAGTGGGAAGACATAAAGCGACAAAAACCGAGCCGGTCGAAAGAGTCTGCGTTTCAACATCACAACGATTGGACTGATCCCCTCGGTCTTCATTCAACAGTGCCGACATTAAGTTCTAACGATGCCAATATCCTCAGCAAGGTTAATATAACAAGCAAGGCATTCGACGCGAAAACATTCCTCAATACTGTGCATCCGAACGCGTCGTACTCCGAACTTTCTCATGGCGCAGCGAACTTGAAACGAAGCATGGCACAGGGCTCCGAGGCTTTGAAGGTGCTAGTTGACCAAAATTTCGACAGATTTGTGACTGTGAAGGCCACAAATGATAGCGTATTTCGTGAGATGAGTGAGTCTATGGGTGGTCCCTTCGGATCTGCGCCAGATGAAGGTGTTGAGGGACTCCGCACGTCTGTCACTAGTGCCAATTCTCAAGCTGACGATGTATTTCGACCTGTGCTTGAAAACTACGTAAAGTCTGTCAAGCTTCGGAACACGCTCGGTGTGTTTCAACGCTCACGCTTCTTTTTCAATCTGCCCGGTTCGTTGCATGAAAATGTCGAAGCTGGGCATTATGAGGCAGCTTTGCGTGACTACCTGAAGGGCAAATACCTGCTCGAGAATCGACCCAGTCAAATTCTTCCGCTCCAAAACGAGTCCAATACACCACCGACGGAAAGTCAGCTCGCACAGCAACGGCGCATTTTTGCTCGTGTCTGGGATGCCGTCGACGAGATTATGTACGATATGCAAGGCAAGCTTGTTGATATTCTCCGTCAACCGAATCGAAGTATCGATGAGCAAGAGAAATGCTTCGAGGTTCTGCTAACACTAGATCCAACGACAGATCCTGTTGCTGTCTTTCTTGAAGCTCAGCATAACCATATCTTGTCTCTCTTGCGTTCGACATTTGAGCAACAAGTACACGCCATACAGCAGCAAGCGGATCCTAGCAAGGCTTGCACAGATTTGGAGCGTGCAAAAGATCTACATGATTGCTTGGTTCTTGTCCGCACGTCTGATGGTGCGAAGCCATCATTCGATAAGATGCTGGGCGTCTCGCATTGGCACCTGATCGACACAATGGTCTCGGAAGTGTGTCGAGTAACCCTACAGTCTGTGCCAACGTTCTGGCGTGTCGCTCGCGACCACGCTGAGGGCAAGTTCAGCAAGGAAAAGGTGATTCTCAATTCACCCATTCACAAGCAGTCCAAGGCATGGGCTCTCGAGTGTATCGAACTGTTCACCAAAAGCCTGACAAAGTTCTTTGATCTGCAACCGTTCCAAGTACGCGCAAATCAGTCACTTCCGGCACGACAGCTGCCGGCGTGGGTGCCGGCGATAAGCTGCTCGCTCAGCACGACGAATTATATGAATAGCATTCTGTCAACGATTGCTGAGACAGTCAGAGAACTGAATTCTTTGTCGATTCCTAGTACGTCGACTCAGCTGCATGCGCTTCTTCTCGATATCCGCTTCCAGTTTACGGAGGTGCATTGTCATTTGTGGCAACATGATGCTAAACTGTGTCACTATCTGGAAAACTGGATACCCAACTCACAACAACCATCTATCACGTCTTATCTGTTCTCGTTTTCTGTATTTAATCGATGGAATGCTCGCGAAGGTTTCTATATCGCCGACGTTCGCACAAAAATGTCTCAAGGAACGCCTGAAAATGAAATCGACGCAGCATTCATCATGCATCTCAAGACTACATTTATCCACGTGCTGCATACGTTTCTTGAGGGGATTGTACTTGCAGCACAGTCAGTTCACGACATACCCGAACTCTGGTCTCTGCTCCGTCCGCCCCATGACGTTGCTGGGCTCACAGCACGTGATCGAGACACGCGCATCCTCTTGAGCGTGTCGAATTTGACGCAGTTACGCACACATGTCATATCAGCTTGGATCAAGCAGTTCGAAGATGCTTACCATGTGACGCTGACTCTCGAAAGACAGGAGCTGCTCGACGTCTGTTTACGACTTGACAATGAATTACTGTCTGACTCGGTCCGCCGCAAAGGAGAAGACATTAGGGACATTATTCGACGGGGCATTTTGGAGGAAGGCATCCAGTGGAACAACTGCCCGCATCCGTCAGGCGTCAATCCATTTGTGTATCAAGCTTTGCTCCGTCTTGTTCAAGTGCATGCGCAGATCCGTGCGACCGTGCCGGCATTGGTGTCGCGTGTCATTACAGCACTTGTGGAGATTATGGCTGATGCCATTCTCCATGCTTACTCACAAATTCTGGCTTTCAACACAGTGTGGCATGCTACAAGCCACGCTCGAAATTGAGTTTGTCCACCAGACCATGGCATACCACGTATCTCCAAAGGCTGAATCTACTCTTAAAGCCGTGTATGAGACCATCAGCCAGCGGTATTCAAGCTCAGCATCCGCACAAAAGACGAATAGCTTGCAAAAAGAGCTCGAAAGTGTCAAGCACACGCTCATTACGAGCCGCAAGGCTACCGCACTGGCATTTCTGTGTTTCCGGCGTCCAAAAAGCTCTAGTGCTTCTGTATCTCCTGCCACGCATGTCCCTGCGAAAGATCCCGTCAATGCAAGCACCTCGAATCGTCCATAGCCATTGTTACGATGTCCTACGTCCTCTGCGAAGCATGTATATGAACATGAATGTGGTAATAGCTGATAAACTAAACCATGTGGCTGCATATTCGGCATGCTGGTTCCGCAGCTCGATACGCGGAGGACGGCCCACAGGCGTGCCCTGACGAATAAGTGTATTGGCATCAGCGAACGTGCCACCAAAGATCTCTTCCATGTACACTGGGAGCACTGGCTCACTCTGAGACGCTTGGAATGCTTCTTCCGGTGTGCTTGGGGCAGGAGCAGACGATGCTGTAGCCGCAATTCGACGGAGCCAGCGGTACGCTGTTGATTCAGCTGGTGCATCAGGCATCGTCGAAGGCACAGCATCCTCGATACCTGCCTGTTCGTTCAGCCAGTGTGCCATCTGGCTTGGATGGATCTGCAGCCAAAGGTTATTGTGTGGTTCATTTGGCAATGCAAGTCGGCTAGGTGGGTATACACGTGGCAGAAGTACCACAATCGCACGATCTTTGCCGTCATCTTTGGGTGGGTGTCGCAAACGCTTGTTCATGCCTGTGCCGACAATCTGATCATTCGTTACGAAACCACGGTTTACCAGAATGTCAGGTCCACCTGAAGACCGCTTGAATGGCATGATAACATTGTAACCACGTTCATCCTCTCGTGTACGTGGTCCAACGAACAACACACGCGACATGTCAAAGTGTCCATGCACTTGAAATAGGCGGTACTCAAATTCACTCAGCACATCCATATTGATGTTGCGTGGGAGCGGGAGCGGATCGCGACGCAGCTTATCTTCCAACTCGTCGATCAATGACACCTTCCACTTGAGTCGGCGCAATTGCCAAAACCCAAGATACATTGCGAAGCATTGAAGGAATGCAAGCACGTACAAGATCGGCGATGTATACCATGGCTTGGGTTTTCGCCGTTGTGGACGGTTATATATGAGAGGTTGCTCCGGCAGATCCTGCTCAGGAACAGCCACAGGAAGATGATGCTCTTTCTGTGGCAACATGAATGTCTTGGAGAATGTCCGTGGCGGCACGGTAGAGATCAGCCGCATCGCTTCAAGTGCACGAATTGCGCCGAGATGATGCCGTACAATTATTCTCTGCGGTGGAGCTACAGTATGCCGAAGCAGGCTATGCCATGCTCGCGACTGTAGCAATGAAGTGACTACCGCCATGGAATGAAGATGATAGAAATGAGGTCACAGTCCATGCGCACCTCCATTTCACGACTTCTTCGAACCAACACATGTCTGTGTCCGGTCTGACCAGCCAGATTCAGACGTGTGATATAATCAATACCCCCTCTTACGGTACCTGTGACAATATCAAGCACGCCCGATTCCTCACGAGGCGTGCCGGCCGAAGAGGAAATATGCACCCACTTCATTTGAATTTTCTCGTCGCTGGTTGGCCGGCCGAATGCGCAGAAATCAGAGAGGCCTCGGTTGGATACGAGGAGGGGGGGTGTGTTCTGCGCCCATAAGCACTCTTTCCCGAACTTAAACCACTGGGTCGATGCAGGGCATTGTGGCTAGTCGAGTGGTTGGCCTTGCGAGCAAGCCTCGTCTTGCAAGCGCGTCACGCACCACACTTCGTGGTTTGGCAACCGTATCAGACGCACCAAAACGTACGCACGGTGGCCTCCGCGATCAGGACCGTATTTTCCAGAACCTATATGGTCAGCATGACTTTCGCCTGAAAGGCGCTCTTGCACGCGGTGACTGGCATCGCACGCGTGATATCATTGAACGTGGGCATGAATTTATTATCAACCAAATGAAGGCCTCGGGTATTCGTGGTCGCGGTGGCGCAGGCTTTCCGTCCGGCATGAAATGGAGTTTCATGCTCAAGCCAGGTTGGGAGAAAGACCCACGCCCTCGTTATCTGGTAATCAATGCCGATGAGGGTGAGCCAGGTACCTGCAAGGATCGTGAGATCATGCGCCACGACCCACACAAACTGATTGAAGGCTGTCTCGTTGCTGGACGTGCCATGGGGGCGAACGCCGCATACATTTACATCCGAGGCGAATTCTTCCTTGAGGCATACAATCTGCAAGTTGCTATCAATGAAGCATACAAGGCTGGTTTGATCGGCAAGAATGCTTGCGGATCGGGCTACGACTTTGACGTGTACGTGCATCGCGGTGCCGGTGCCTACATTTGTGGCGAAGAGACGGCTTTGATAGAATCGCTGGAAGGCAAGCAGGGCAAGCCACGTATGAAGCCACCGTTCCCTGCCGATACGGGTGTCTTTGGCTGCCCTACGACTGTCGCTAATGTCGAGACTGTGTCGGTGGCACCGACCATCATCCGCCGCGGTCCAGAATGGTTCGCCAGCTTTGGTCGCGAGAGGAACCACGGTACAAAGCTTTACGCTATCAGTGGCCATGTGAATCGGCCATGTGTGGTGGAAGAAGAAATGAGTATTCCTCTCAAGGAGTTGATTGAGCGACACTGTGGTGGTGTGCGCGGCGGCTGGGATAACCTCCTTGCTGTGATTCCCGGTGGTTCGTCAACGCCCATGATCCCTAAGGAGGTGTGTGAACGCACTCTGATGGACTTTGACTCCCTGCGTGACAACCAAAGTGCCCTTGGTACGGGTGCCGTTATTGTGATGGACAAGTCTACGGATCTTGTGAAGGCGATTGCTCGTTTGACGAAATTCTACCACCACGAGAGCTGTGGTCAATGCACGCCGTGCCGTGAAGGCACGGCCTGGCTTGACAGTATGATGACACGCTTTGAAAATGGTCGCGCGTCGCTTCGGGAGATTGATATGATCTGGGAAATTACGCGTCAGATGGAGGGCCACACGATCTGTGGTCTTGCAGATGCCTCAGCATGGCCGATCCAGGGTCTCTTGCGTCACTTCCGTCCTGTTGTGGAAGAACGCATCAAAGAATATGTGGCAAAGCATGGCACGGTCCTGTATGGCGGCCGCCTTGCGAGTGAGCGCAGGCCAGACCTCGCTATTCCCGCAAACGTGTCATTCCCTGATCAAGCTTCGAAGGACAACTTCCAACCGGGTGTGAAGGATTTATAGCTGTGCTTTGTAGGTTTCTATACGCACTGGCACGAGTCTGACTGGGGACTGATGCCCATAGAGAAGGAAGAGAGAGTGTTTGTAAAGAAGTGCGCACGTTGACCTGCGAGTTGAGCGTCATTCGACATACTCAATCTTGCTTTCGATCACCGGAAGGTGTTACTTCGTTGCGCCGCATCTTCTCACGATGTAGTTCCGAGACAAACCTGACATAAGTTACACGATCCCGAGTGGAAGAGAAAAAAGAGAGAAAAAAGAGACAAAACACACATACCAATTGGTCGAGAGGTACAAAGCAATGGCCAGAAGAAGGAGCGCCAAAACGTGTAAATTTGCGCTTGTGCAGAGAAAGAGCGTCGTGAGGACAGCGAACAAAGCGTAGAACACGTAGTTCATCACTTCAAGTGTCGTGGAGTTGACACCCTCCTGAAAAATGCTGTCAAGCACGCTCTCGACCCAAGCCTCAAAACTTGCACCCATATTGTCCACTTGCGGCACCGGTTGCGGCAATCGCAAAGAATGCTTGTCGAATGTCTTGATTTTGGAAAACGCACTCACTACCTGATCAAAATCTTCCCTGCTTACCTCTTCTGGTGGAGGGTCCTCTCGCGTAGTAGTACAGGCCCATGTCCAGCTTAGCTTGAATGCTTTCGTCAGCACTTGTAATTATACCCCGGTATGCGTGATATTTGTGCATGAATGCAAGAAAACTGCTCACACACGTAGGTTCCAAACCACGCCAGATTGGACTTAGGATGCATACCCTCCTGCGTCGCGAAACACATGAGCGCAAAGCTGCGCCAAGTGTGAAGATTGACTGGTCCCTGTATGGCGGTGTCGAGAATCTTCAGGGACAAGTAGATAAGGCTGCGGCTGGGCGCAAATGGATGCCGCACGTTGGCGAGAAACCGTTGCCATCTGATGACTTTTTGTGGTCACTCAATGAAGAGCCACACCGAACTCGACGCCTCGCCATCATGAAGGCGCACCCAGAAGTGAGAAAGCTCATGGGTCATGAACCACTAACGAAGTACGTTGCAATGAGCGTTGTGTGCCTTCAAGTGGTGCTGGCGGTAATTGTGACGGCACTCGGCTGGCACCCTTTGGACTGGCGCTTCCTCCTAACAGCATACTTGATTGGCGGTACAGCGAACCAACATATTTTTCTTGCAATTCATGAGATTACCCACAACCTTGCATTCAAAAGTATCGCAGCGAATCGGGTCTTGGCAATCCTCACAAACCTCCCTGCGGCTGTGCCTTTTGCTATGACTTTCAAGCCATACCATATTGAACATCACAAGCATCTGGGCGAGGACGGGATCGACACAGATATTCCTACCAAAGTTGAAATGATGCTCTTGAACAACGTACTGGGGAAAGCGTTTTTCGCCACATTCCAGCTCTTTTTCTACGCTATTCGGCCTGGCTTTGTGCGTGTCCAGAAGTTGACTGGCTGGCATTTTTTGAATATATGTGTCCAGCTTAGCTTTGATGCTTTTATCTGCTATGCATGTGGCTCGCCCACGCCATTGATATATCTCCTTCTCAGCTCATTTTTCGCTGGCTCGCTTCATCCTGTTGCGGGTCATTTCATTTCAGAGCACTACATGTTCAGTGGAATTGAACAGGAGACTTGGAGCTACTACGGTCCTTTAAATGTGCTATTGTACAATGTCGGATACCATAACGAGCACCATGACTTCCCCTCGGTGCCCTGGACACGCTTGCCTACCTTGCGTTCTCTTGCGCCCGAATTTTATGATGTCTTACCAAGTCATACATCATGGACTATGGTCATTCTCAGTTTCATCTTTAGCCATCATTCAGGCATGAATATGCGTGTGAAGCGCCAGCCAAGATTGAAAAAGCTTAGCGAGCCACCCATTGAAGACGGACCTAACTACACAGGCTGGGAAGTGCGCACCTAACTCATTCTATTCTCTGCACTGGATCTGCTCGCATGTGGTCACCCATTTATCATTACGATTCACACTACCCTACTCACCATGTATAAGACCTGCAATACCACCACCCTTCTTGACATGATTTCGTAGTGCCAATTTGTTGAACGTGTTTTATTTCCCAACATCGGGCGCAGTCGGCGCATTGGTAGAGCCTGTGCACTCTCCACACCGGTTGTCATTAATAACCCCCATTCTTACATGTCCCTTCATTCCCCACTTTATTGGCCAAACCATGTTATCATCGGCAACTGTCCTTCCAGTATGGCCTCCTCATGAGCTGACGGAACCTGAACGAAACAAGTGTATCACCCAGGATGCGAGAGACTATGCCCTAGGACACGGCCTCGTGTACAGAGCTCTTCCCGCGGAGCAAGGCGGCCTTCCCCCTCAAGATGTGACAATCCATGCACCTACAACCATTGTACCCACGCCTTTCCCACGCGCATTGTACGAAAAGGCTCAGCGTCTGCAACCCCTCTTTAATGAGTTATACGCGAAGGTCGCAATGGATGCGGAATTCCTTTCGACAATCCTCGAAAACTCAGTCGTAAAGGTTGATGATTTCCAGCGTCGGCTATACCAAATATGGCGCGCTGTGCTGGAAGAAGGTGGCTCGCAGCCCATGCAGCTTGGCCTTTTTCGCAGTGATTATCTGATGCACGCGAATGCGCGCGATGAGCTCGAACTACAACAGGTGGAATTTAACACGATCGCTGCTTCTTTCGGCGCACTCTGTACACGTGCATCAAACATGCATCACCATCTGCTCAAGAATGGAGCATATGCAGGCGTGCATCCGAGTCTTTGCGCTGAAAACATGCCCCGAAACGATGCTTTGTCAACGCTTGTACATGGTCTCGCAGATGCTCATCGCCACTATCTGTCCGAGACAGGCCAGCCGCAACATATGTCATCGCCTGCAGTTCTCTTTGTTGTTCAACCAAACGAACGCAACGCATTTGACCAACGTGCTATTGAACATGAGTTAGAAGACCAGCACCGAATCCCTGTCTTGCGTATTTCACTCGATGAACTGTGCACGAAAGCTACGCTGCATGGCACGAACCGAGTGCTAGTTGTTCAGTCACCTCTGCATCTAACCCCGATCGAGATCTCGGTTGTGTACTTCCGCAGTGGGTATGGTCCAGATGACTACACGTCACAGGATGCATGGGATGTGCGTCTCATGCTCGAGCGGAGTCATGCGATCAAATGCCCTAGTGTAGCACTCCAGCTTGCTGGCTCGAAGAAGGTTCAGCAGGTGCTTGCTGAGCCGAACGTGCTGGAGCAATTTTTGGGCCAGTCGGCGCACGATGTCCGAGTGACATTCTCGCAGTTGTGGCCGCTGGACGAGTCGCATCTTGGTCAAGAAGGATTGGAACTCGCCAGAACCTCACCTGACAAGTATGTGATGAAGCCGCAGCGCGAAGGTGGGAGCCACAACATTTATAAGCACGACATTCCATTGGCCCTGGACGCGATGCACAAGCGTGACCAGGAGCGCAAATCTCATGGTGAAGATGTGGCAGTTAAAGAGCATGAAGGCTACATCCTCATGAGTCTGATCAACACACCCAAGGACCGCGGAGCTATGATGTTGCGTGCAGGCCGTGGCGATATGGCACAAACGGTTGCTCAGACGGTGAGTGAGCTTGGTGTGTATGGAACAGCGTTGTTTGGCGTTACAGGGAAGGAGTCCATGCGATCGGGCGGCTATCTCTTGCGAACGAAGGCAAGCGACAGCAATGAAGGTGGCGTGGCTGTTGGATTCAGCGTCATTGACACACCATTGTTGATTTGAGACAGCAGTGCCACGCTCGTGTCTCCTCACCAAACTCATCCATATGCATGCGTTTCTCTGTTTCTCTCTCTCTGTTTCTCTCTCTCTCTCTCTCTCTCTCTCTCTCTCTCTTTCAATCCTATATGTACAATCATGAAGTAGGGAATACCTTGCGTCGCTCAGAAAGCTCTTCTTCCAGCAAGTGAAGCTCAGCGTCAATTTCTCGCAAGCGTTCTTCCAATCGTTTCCGGTAGTCTTCATCCGTGATAGGTTGAATGGGGCTGTGCTTTTGAAGAACTTCCTTGGTTCGACTCAACCAGGATGATGTCGATGGCTGATGGAGCGGCTGCGCTTGGTGTATTGGGTCGTCTGGTCGAACGGTTGGTGCCTTGGTCTGTTCGCGCACCTCGATGGATTCTGAATGGTCGGGACGATGCGACGGCTCAATCCATCTTTGTGCGCCGAGCTTGAGTTCATTAAAGCCGAGCTGCACTGTCGTACAAAGACCAGACATCGTAATTGCGCCTGGCACGACAGGACGTCGGAGCCACAAGGCAGCCAAAACCCCGATCGTGGCACCGCTAAAGAAGGTCGACGGGATGTTTTCAAAGTGCCCCCGCTGTTCACACATCGGCCACACATGGCATGTCCATGGCTGCATTACATATTCACGAAGCACTAGAACAATTAGTCCTCATATCTTGAATGCGTACCAAAAAAACCAAACGAAAAAGCAAACCAGCCCTTCGACATACGCCATGCAGCCACGACGGGTTCAATTTGCGATGCACGCAACACAGACACGACCGTCCCTGACACGCCACCCAACGCGCCAACCACCAGTGAATTACGTAGCACTTTGACAGGAGCATCCTCCTTCACAGACAACTGTGGCCACATGCTGCGAGCTTGGGCTGCTGCCATCACACACAACACACGTCACTGGCAGTGGCACCGGCACCGGCAAATGTCGCAGGCATCCGCTGCTCCCTACACATTCAGCCAAGAAGACCAGGTCATGAAAGGACACTACCCAAGCAGGTGATGCACGTGACCCAATCTTTTGGACGTCACGGCTCTTACGTACGATGAATTGGATTCGTTACGGCGACGACGACAAGCAGGCAAGCGACCATGGTACGTATCGGCAACAAGCAAAGATGAATCGCGAGCGCCTGGAATACCGATGAGCTCTGATTGTGCTAACCTATAGGCGAGTATTTCTACAGCGCCCATTCAGACGAATGTGCAAACGCTTGAGCGTATCGGCGCACATTCGCATGTGCATGGCCTCGGCTTGGACGAGCGTCTTGAGCCATACGAAAGTGCCCAAGGTATGGTAGGGCAGCGCGCTGCGCGGAAAGCTGCTGGAATGATTGTCAAGATTGTACAGAATGCCAAGATCGCGGGACGCGCCATGTTGATGGCAGGGCCTCCCGGCACAGGAAAGACAGCCATCGCCATGGGTATGGCACAGACCCTGGGACCTGATGTCCCTTTCATTATGTTATCAGCTTCAGAAGTTTTTTCGCTAGAAATGAGTAAGACAGAAGCGCTGATGCAGGCATTCCGCAAGGCCATTGGTGTGCGCATTCGTGAGGAGGCAGAGCTCATTGAGGGCGAAGTCGTCGAGATCCAAATTGATCGGAGCCTTACAGGCGCCACAAAAACCGGCAAAATCATTATCAAAACAACTGACATGGAGACTGTGTATGAACTTGGCAACAAGATGATTGATGCACTGCAAAAAGAAAAAGTGGCAGCTGGAGACGTGATAACGATCGAAAAGTCTAGTGGCCGGATATCCAAACTTGGCCGCAGCTTCGCGTGCTCGCGTGATTATGATGCCATTGGAAGTGATACAAAATTTGTCCAGTGCCCAGAGGGTGAGCTTCAGCGTCGGCGGGAAGTCGTCCACACCGTTTCACTACACGAAATTGACGTCATCAATTCGCGCACACAGGGATTTCTTGCTCTATTTGCCGGAGATACGGGTGAGATCAAACCGGAGCTTCGTGATCAAATCAATGCCAAGGTTGGCGAATGGCGTGAGGAGGGCAAGGCTGAGATTGTGCCTGGAGTACTCTTCATCGACGAAGTACACATGCTTGACATTGAGTGTTTCTCGTTCCTTAACCGTGCGTTGGAATCGGAGCTTGCGCCTCTTGTCGTGATGGCCTCAAACCGCGGTCAGGCTCGAATTCGGGGTACGCGCTTCTCCAGTCCGCACGGCCTCCCCATTGATCTGTTGGATCGGATCCTGATTATAAGTACTAAACCTTACTCGGACACAGAAATCAAAGAAATCCTATCTATTCGGTATGTTTTTTGTGCTACTTCCACTTACCTACGTTTATGGCAGTGCCCAAGAAGAAGACGTAAAGCTCAAACCCGAGGCTTTGGACGTTCTCACGCGCATGGCTGTAGAGACGTCCCTTCGTTATACGATCAATCTCATTACTACGGCACACCTAGCAGCGAAACAAAGGAAGTCGGACGAAGTTGACGTTGCTGATGTTCGTCGCGTATACAGTACGTATGACCTGAATATGCCTGTGTCGCGTCGGTCACTAACTTTTTAGACTTATTTGTCGACGAGAAGCGCAGTGTTCAATACCTTCAAGAACATGCAGCTGAATTCATGAGCGAAGAAGTCATTCCTAGTGCATAGAAAGCTTCCTCGTCTCATTGCCAATGGATAGGTATATCAATATAATTTGTGCCAATAAATGAGCTTGGGTTTCCCACAGCGATTCCGCCTCGTATATTATCGGGGATTTGGCTCGTAACTGCCTCCACTAGGATTGCCCTCACCGCTTTCTTCTTACGTTAGCGTACGCTGTGGACGCGTGTCGTGTTGAACGAGGTTATTTACGGTATGCCCCACACCAACCATGCCGCCATCAAGGCACGACGCACTTCTTCCACATATCTATCATGGCATGTATACGTGTGGCTAACTCTCAGAAACTCAAGAAAATGGCAGCATGATGTGTGCACAGCATGCGCTGAACGCGATACTTCAAGGACATTTCTTCGATCCAACGCAGCTCGCTCAAATTGCGAATGAGATTGCCGAATTCGAGCGTGATGAGCTTGGACTTGTTGAGAAAAATCATGATGCTGTTGTTTCACACCATGTGGATGAGACTGGGCACTTTAGTGTGGAAGTCATGGACCGTGCGCTCAAGGCTTGGGACATGAACCTAGCGCGATGGTATCCGTGCGAAAGGCTCCGTGAGCGCCATCAGCATCCTGAGCGTGAGTTTGCATTCTTACTCAACCTGAGCCAGCACTGGTTTGCACTACGCGGGTTTGGATCTCAGCATCGCCAATGGTATAATTTAAACAGCTTTTTTGCGCGTCCAGAATGGCTTGGCGATGCGTATCTAGGCTCTTTCCTGCACCAGGCAGAACTCGAGCAATATTCGATTTTTGTCATCGAGCCGTTTGAGAACACAGATCCACCAGCTACAATTGCTGATGATATGGCCGATATCGCTTCTGCTTCGTTCTCAAGATATGCTGGTATTGACGGCACTGCGTCCGAGGACGATGAAGACGAGGCACTCCAGGCCGCTATTCGTTCAAGTCTCGAAGATCATTCACATCAAGTGTCTCAGCAACAGATGCCGATGAGCAAAAGGCGAAATCGAGAGGATTTTTCTCCTGACAAAGAAGATACTGACGAGTCTTACCGCCATCGTGTCTGGCGGTCGCCAATCACAGATTCTCCAGGAAGCGGACACCGTTCACAGCGGCGATCACTGAAACAGCGAGGCAAGCAAAGAATTGTGTCGCAATCGTTATCGCAAGAGAAACAGTCGTCACCCAAAACGAGCTCGATAGTTTCATCAAGCTTCAGCGAACATGACATACTAGAGTCGAGCTCGTGCCGTACATCACCTTTTTTGCACCCGACAGTTGCTGCCTCTCTCTTAGATGAAGATGTTCAAGATATCGAAGAAGATCAACAATATGAGCGGTACGCTGCACCTAGCGGATTTTATACTCTTGACGACGACAATGACGCTCAGCTCCAAGCATCTATTGCTCTCAGCCTTGGTCAGCCATGCGAAGTTCCGAAAGAGTTGTTGGAAAAGACTCAACGTGCACTTGATAATCGTCATGCTCCAGAGCCCATTCCCGATGACGTTATACGAATCCGCAACATGAGAGAACAAGCTGCCGCGGCGATATCGAAAGCTGATATATCATCTGATCCCCACAGAAAACGGGATGCGCCAGCTACGGTAAACACTGAAGAAAGGAAAGAGGAAGCCGTACACGCTGATGCTGACTTCGACGCTGATAGTGAGACTACTCAACAGCCTATCTCGGCAGAAGAAATGCGTCGACGACGTCTTGCACGTTTCGGATAAGGATGCTCAAATGTTACGTACGTCTCTGTTCATTCACTAGATAATTCCATCCGCTCTACAGCGTGCAAGACTTCATTCAGTTGCTCGTGGAGCTTTCGAATGACTAGTTGGTCGACAGGGTTTAAATGAAGGTTGGCTGTCTGGGCACCATCTTCGCTGTCAGGATGAGCCTTATTCACGCAGCAAGAGTGGGATGCTTCATCTGATGCATGCTTCATGGCATTAACAGCATGAGAGACTTGAAGGGGATGCATCGCTGCATTTTGTACGCGCGCCAGGGCCCGCTCAAGATCAATTAATTCGAGCTTGAGAGCGTACAAGGCGATTTTGCGCGTGTTTTGAGGTGAAGGTGTGTAATCGCCTATTCGAACCTCCATAGGTGACGACGTTGACGACAACAGTGAGGGAGCTGATGACGACGTTGTTGCCATGGATGCTTCTGGAGGCATGCTGGTCGACAAGCCTGCATTCGAGCGTATTTGGGGCGAGTTGCATGCACATATCGATTGACCTTGCGAGCAACTGCATGAACACGAACGGCTGCCACTGGATGCAAGCATTTCACGAAATAGCTGCAATGCACGCGCATAAATTTGGAGCGCTGTTGTTATTAGCATAGCCGCACTGGACTTGCACGTGGGGCAGTCTGCGCTGCATTTGCATTGCTTTGATACGGACTGGCTCATTGACAACGTAAAAACGAGCGACAAGAGAGCCTTATTCTCAGGACTTTGCTCAGAATCATTCTCTGGAGACGTCTGAATGCCTTTTCGAATAGATCGCTCTAGAGATAGAAAAGCCAGACCTGAATCACACTGACATGAGCATCGACTACCATCGGGGCTCGGCACACAATGGACTTTTTCCGGCGAAGATGGACGTTTGAGCCGTTCTGTCGATGATTTGTGGAATAGGTGGTCTGACACAGGATGTATGAAAGATGTATTCGAGAAAGATGTGCAGCAACTGGATCCGCCCCGCGGGTGTCGGCACGCCCATGTGAGTGGTGGGTGCAGAACCAAGGGTCGCTGAACGAGATTTTGAGCAGCATGAAGCCGCGGATACCGGTTCACATATCGAGCTTAGTGACGGGTCCAGCCCAGTGTCGAAAGCAAGAGGCTTGCTATCATGATTACTTTGAGAAGGAAAGGTGTTCACTTGAGGCGAAGATGTCGAGAAATTTTTTTCTATTGGCAAAGGCAAAGACAATGCTGTATTCCACCACCGCATATCAGACGGAACAGAAAACGCAAGTTGGTCTTCGAGAAATGCACTTTTGGCATATTCCGTTTGATCTCGACCTGATTCGGACAGTTTCATGGGTACAACGTCATTGGAAATTGGGTATGAAGAAGAAAGAGAAGATTCGCTAACGTCATCGCGGAGCACTTTGCTTTCGTTTAGAAAGGTTTGTCCATCTAGCATGCTTTGCGTTAACCCATCGGAGGGAGCAATCTCTAGAGTATACAAAGATTCAACAAACGCTGCCAAGGACAGGTCAGACAATGTGGAAGATGCCAGAGAAGTTTGAGGGACTTGCATGGAGGAAGTAGGTCTCTTTGAAAAGTCATGGACACCAGCAGTTGCCATGCCGTTCATCAAAGAGGAAAGCTGAGTCGTGCTTTCAGCAGAGGACGTCAAATTGAACGACAACCGGGGCACACTAAGAGATGCCGTCGATGACTCTGTATCGTTGGCAACGATAGAGGGCGAGCTCATGTATGACATACCGTGACCTGACATCAGTTGAGAAGCGCTTCCATTATGAAAATGCTCCGGAGAGGAATCAGGCGATAACGCACGTTTTCGAGGACGGCCAATGCGACATCGCACAGCTGAAGGTTAAGTGAGAGGATTCACAACGTACCAAAAATACAGTCCTTTTGATCAATTTGGCATCGCTGACACGGCATTCCATCTTCGAACATGCCTGAACACCGAAGTTTCCGTCTTCGACATGACTCGCAAGCCTCGCGCAGGTTGTATTTGAGTTGTCTCGCTTCGCCAAACGAAATGTATCGACCATCGACCAACACGAGGACCGAAGGACGATGCAAGACCCGCGACATTTGTTGGGCAGTTTCAATAGACGAACTCATATTAACCACGCAGATTTACCGACTATACAAATGAATTCATGTACTCAGCAAATGGCTTAACCGGCTTCATTCGACACAGGCAAATATGATTTAGGGACCTGGGGCGAATTTTTTTATTCACTAAGCGACAAGCATGGAAAGTTGCGTGTGTGGCCAATTTGATTGAACCTCCGCATAGTGACTGACGACACGGCTTTAAGTCATATTAGTTGAGACAAACCGTAACTGGAACATGTGGAGAAAGCCTCGAGATCGGCATTAGACACAAGTACGCTAGTCCATTGTGTCTTTGGTTGGGGAAGGAACGGTCAAAGCGGCATTCTGTGCTCTAATGACCGCGACGGCAGTCAGCATCTCGGAATCAGTGGACTCAGAGTCAGCAGTTTCATTAAGTAATGCTCGTGTCAGTGAGAACAGTGCAGACTTTGACTATGCGGCCTCGATACTCACTTTGGATCCATCGAGCGACGTCAGAGACGAATCGTTCACGCATGATCCATCTTCGCCGACAAAGCTATCGCTAATACATGGTATGTGGAATTTCTTCTCTCACAATAGCCATGGCACTCACGATTGGACTTCAAGTCGTATGTTCAAGTTCCGTGTATACTCTTACAGGAACCGTAGGGAAGTGGGATTTTCTCATCGCCAGGTGTCATAACCCAATACGCGGGATCAGTCGGCGCAAGCTTGATCGTATGGGCTGTGTGTGGGCTTTTGGCTTTGACTGGGGCGAGGTATGTTGGTATTGTGAAAACATTGTATTAATTCAGCTCGTACGCTGAACTAGCGTCAGCGATTCCTCTTAATGGCGGCTCACAAGCTTATCTGCAAGTGTGTAAGGCGCTATGCTTACCAGTTATGACAGTATGCTTATGGGTCAATGATGTCGTATATGTTCTCATTCACAGCAATTACTGCACTCAAGTCCAGCACTGGTGCCATCATTGCGACAATTCTTGGCGAATACGTCACACGCGTGGGGATGCATTTGTTGAGGGGCCCTGATGTCGGCGATGACTACCACAAGTTTCATTTAGCTGAGCTACCTTCACTCTATGTGAAAATGATTGCCTCTGGCGCGATCCTATTCATATTTTTAACACATGCCTTTCATCCAATCGTTGGCCCTCGAGTACAGCTAACTGTAACGGCAGCCAAGATTCTCCTGCTGTGCTGTATCCCAATTTTGGCCCTTGTGATGGTATTGATGGGAAACGTACCAACAGAGTCGAAACACGCATTTTCCTCGTTCACGGGTCTCTTCGACGGCACGACGAAAGACGTAGGACAATATGCGCTCGCACTGTACAGTGGCCTTTGGGCATTTGATGGGTGGGACCAGTGTACATTTGTGACTGGTGAGTTGGATGACCCAGCTCGAAAAGTGTCGCTCGCCGTCATTGCCAGCACGGAGGTGGTTACGCTGTTGTTTCTTAGCACGGTTGTTTCATACTTCCTTGTTCTACCACCAGGTCTAGTAGCACGCACGAATTCCGTTGCACTGGATTTCGGCATTGCCACGTTTGGCTCGACAGGTGGCGTTGTGTTTGCAGCGCTCGTTGCATTTTCATGCTTCGGCGCACTTAATGGTCACATGTACACATACTCGCACCTAGCTGCTGCCGCAGGTCGAGAGGGATACCTTCCGAGGCAAATAGGCGTCCAACACACGAAATTTGGGACGCCACTGTATGCACAGATGCTCACGCATACTCTCACGCTGCTCTTTGTCGTATTTGGCTCAGGCTTCACGAGCCTTGTTAACTTCGCGGGCGTTTGCTCGTGGTTCTGGTATGGATGCACCGTGACGTGCGTTCTTGTGTTGCGTATCCAGGAGCCACACCTAGAGAGACCGTATCGAGTTTGGCTGTCTACACCGATTCTATTTTCTTTTGTGGCCATCTTTCTTCTCGTCATGCCTGTTTTCTCCGCGCCCTGGGAGGCACTTGCAGCATTCATTTTCATTTTCTCAGGCATGCCACTCTACCTCATTACCCATCCTCAAGCAAGACGTGCGGCTTGGTCTGTATTTGCTAGTTCAAATGCTTATGCATTCAAGCCCATCGCGACGTCCGCAGGAACAACGGATGCTCAGAACAATATACCCATGTGGGAGCTGAATGAGTCTAGAACCCATTCGCCAAGCACGACGTAAGCATGCATAAGCTTTTTCTTTTTGATAGATCTTTGGCATGCGCGTCTGGCCAGCCCTTTATCAACGCATTGATGCAAAATGACTGAGCAAAGCCACGCCTATGTCTTGTCACAGGCCATGCGCATGCCAAAAATATCCGACGAGTTGATTTCCCGTGCACGGCCCATACTTACGTAAGTCAATCTAAATTCTGATAGGCCCTATTGTTGGTCCTTGGCGTATGAGTAAAGGGCACCCCTAAGTGACAGCATGGAGGATTCACCGAGCTTTCGACCATGACGACTCACCGAATGGGAGAAGGGTGGTCGGAACGCAATCGTATCCCTACGGTACAAGAGTACCTATCTAAAGAGCGCATTCGAAATGGTGAACAGCCTAACAGCAGTTTAGGCACATTGTGGAACTGGGCTACAGCGTCTGCCAATCCGAGCCAAAGGCCGAGCTCGCCTGACAGTCTACAGCGCTCGAACACAGACCTCTCTTACCTGCAGAGCACGGTGAGAACACAAGGGAGCACTGATGAGGATAGTCACAGAACCTCGTCTACAACAGAGAGGCCCGATGAAGCTAGCCAGCATGTCGTGCCATCATCGACACGTGATGATCAGACAGTCATGCATCAGGATGATACGCCATCTGATGAGGAAACATTCATGGACTCGCAGCAAGATGTGGAAGATGCAGAAGATGCGAGTATGAAACCCTACGTACACTTGTCTCCCCATAAGCAGCAACCGAAACAGCAGTCACATGCTGTTGACGGTCTGAAGCAGACTGATCAAAACTCTCGTGAGAAACAACGACACCAGCGTTCTTTCAGTCTTTTGCGGCGGCGGAGCTCACGCAGGTCGAGAAGCCAGCGCTCCGGCTCAGATGAAGCGGATACAGCATCTTTTGTATCTAAGAGCAGTGAAAAAATCCCTGAACACCAGGAGGTGTTGGATTCAGGTGGTGGTGAAGAAGAAAAGAACCGGATTAAAGAGGCTGCGAAAGCAAGCCGCGAGCCTAAAAAGAACAATTTTATTGCTAAAGGGCGTCGCATTGTTGAGGACCCAGTTACGGGAGAAAGTGTTATCATCCAAGACGGCCGTGATTTCAAGATTGATCCTAAAGAGCTGGACTCCCGATACAAGGGCGGATTCTCTGCGAGACGACCATTATCATGCAAATCGTATGATACCAAGTACACCAGCCCGGATCCTGCGCGGCCAACTTCGATCCTGCTGCAATCATTCCCTGAGCCGCTCGACCCGGGCAAGGTGAAAGAACTTGACGACATCTTCCTCAAATTGTACTTGGGCTATGGTGCTCTGATTGTACTAGTTTGGGGCATTGCGACAATTGGCCATGGCTGGGGTGCGTTTGCAACGCGCACATTTTGGCTTGGCTTGGCTGGGATTGCCGGCTTTATGGGTCTTGGTACGTTGCGTAATGTGATCATGCACCAAATGGAACGTATGCGTGTGGCCATGCACCGGCAACGTGGTGAAAAGTATTCGCCACCATACCCAGAGAGTGTGGAGTGGATGAATGCTATCATCGCATGTGTGTGGCGCCAGTTAAACCCCGAGATGTTTGTGCCCATAATCGACCAAGTTGAAGACATTATGCAGGCGTCATTGCCAAGTATGATCAGCGCCGTCAAGGTCTCAGATGTGAGTCTTGGTTCGAATCCTTTTCGAGTGATTTCAATGCGCGGGCTTGCCGAGTTGATGACGGAAAAGACTCAAGTAAATAAAACATGGATTGAAAGAAACAACGAATTACTGGGTAGCGGCAAAAGCGAGCATGACAATGACAACAATTGCGACTCGGACGAAGGAAATCAAGAGGATGAATTCCATGGATTGGAGGCAATGGACCCTGAATTGCGCAAAGAAGCCGTTGAAGACAAGGCCGGGGACTTTTTGAACCTGGAAGTGAGCTTTTGTTACTCTGCGTTGCCTGGCGAATCGTCCAAAGATCGGACGAAGAATGTTCATTTGCTAATCGAGTTCTTCATTGGTGCATTTGACTGGCTGGAAATCCCTCTGCCTGTATGGGTGCAAATAGAACGCATTATTGGCACTGCTCGTATTCGTGCGCAAATTATGAGTGAGCCGCCGTTCGTGCGCAATGTGACCTTCTCTCTGATGGGTGTGCCGAATATTGCGATTAGTGCGATTCCTATTTCACGCATCTTGCCGAACGTCCTGGACCTTCCTATTATCTCGCACTTTGTCCAGACGTCGATTGCTGCAGCGTCAGACATGTATGTGGCACCGAAAAGCATGACGCTGAATGTGCAACGCATCTTGAATGGCGATGGTGTGAAGAAGGACACAGAAGCAGTTGGTGTTATTGTGGTCAACATTCACTATGGCCAGAACCTGAGCTCACAGGACTTGAACGGCCGGTCTGATCCATACTGCGTGCTGAGTCTAGCCAAGTTCGGTCGACCTATGTACTCGACTCGCATCATCTTCGAAGACCTCGACCCTGTGTGGGAGGAAACGGCGTTCTTGTTGATATCGAAGGAGGATATTCGCTCGGACGAAGGACTCTCTCTACAGTTGTGGGATTCGGACAAGCGCTCAGCGGACGATATTGTCGGTCGTGTGAATGTCCCATTGCGGCATCTTATGCGGCATCCCAATCAAATCAAGTCGCATTTGTCAAACTTGATGGGATTCGAAGATGCCGACCAGATGCAAGGACAATTAAGCTGGAGTGTTGGTTTCTTTGAGAAGGCGAAGCTGAATAAGAAGCTACGCAAGACCGAAGACGAGTCCAATGAGGACGAGGTAGACAAAGTTGTTAAGCGCAAGCCGTCGCCCATTGACTCGGAGCAAGAGGCACTGGCACTCGATACACCACCAGATGAAGAATATCCTAGTGGTATTTTGAGTGTTATTGTGAAGTTTATTGCAGGTTTGGAGAGGCGCGATGTCGAGAAGGGCGTCGACGACAAGGATCGCGAGGGTGCTGCAGGACAGGATGTGGAAATGAGCTCGGCTAAGCTGCCATGTGGCTATTGTGAGTTGATTTTGAACGACAATCTTTTCTACAAGACACGTGTAAAGCAATACAACAATATGCCATTTTACCAAGCAGGCACAGAAGTGTTTGTGCGTGACTGGACGACATCTGAGTTGCGTATGATTGTACGCGACTCGCGCGTTCGCGAGCATGATCCGATCATGGGTATTGTTGCACTACCACTGAAGGACTTATTCAGAGAGGCTTCGCAAATTGAGCAGTCATTTGCGCTGCAGGATGGCGTTGGTTATGGCAAGCTGCACTGCAGTATCGTGTTCCGGTCGGTGAAGCTCAAGATGCCACGTGAGCTGCGTGGCTTTAATACAGTATCTGTGGATCTGCTGAGCTCGATCGAAGTGAAGGGCAACACGCCGGAGTGGATGAAAAAGCTCGACGATGTCAAAATCACCCTCGTTGCCAACAAATTCGAGAAGAAGCTCGGCACTCGATACAAGAATCACGTGCCAGACAATGAGCCGCTCGCGCGTGTGCCTGTGTTTGATCGATACTCGACCAATCTCGTGTTCTGCTTTGGCCGCACGCCCCTGACGAGCACATTGCCGATCCCGAACTTCTTCCGGGCCGTGGGCGTTGCCATATTGCCACTGCGTGAGCTAGAAGACAACCAAATCACTGATGTAGAGCTTCCAATCCTCGCGGGACCTGCGCTGCACGCATTGGAACGCAACTTTGTCAACAAGCAAACAAAGGACACGCACAAGTTCAATGAAGTCGGCACTCTAGCTGTGCGTGTATGCGTTAACCCGGGCATGGATGAGGCGCACAAGCCGATGCTGGTTGGCTCGCGAGACCGCCATGAATTCGAAGTGTACGAGCGACTTGTAAGTCTACCGAATCGTGCTGAAGTCAATTCACATGCCAACGATGACGGCATCATTACTCGGCAAGAACGTAAGGAGATGAACCGTTTGCAAACGCGGGAGCTTCATATGCGCCACCGCGGTGCTATGGGCTACACACCTATACGAACGGCAGTATGGGCAAAGGACGGACTGAAGAGTCACATGTCTAGTCTTGGTCGGCACATGTTTGGCAGCAAGGATCAGCGTGACCAGTATGTGAAATCTGAAGTCTAGAGTTGTGTCGCACAAGTATACGCATGCAAAACAAGGTCTATAGGAGAAGGAACTGCGTTCGATTGAATGACGGGAAGAATACACGAATCCCTTCATCTAGTCGCTGCACTGTAAGACGTGTTGATGAAGTGCAATGGCCCGCACAAACGCGAGAAGGGACACGAGCAGTCAGAGGATGTCTGACAATGTCCAAAGAAAATATATATGCTTAAATACATATAAAACATATGTAGGCTGGCTAAAAGCTCAAGCACCCACAAGGTGCCGTAAGAAGTCAAAATTTGGAGTGTTGAGGGGGTCGAAAAACGTGCACGATGTGTGGAGGCGGACGTCTCCAGCGGTGGCCCATGGCTTCCAACCATGTCGTGGCTCAAGTCGGCAGTAGGCCGATCCAAGTCGAACGCACATGAGCGGCTCCCGCCGTTGCACTCACGCCTTGCAGACTGGACAGGTGACTTTCGAGATGCGAACAAGTTTGCTGAATGCTTTCTTGACCAGCTCACACTGCCTGGCGAAATATCCACGATGGCGTACGAGCCAGGCATGGGGTACTTGGCAGTCGGCACATCGGCCGGGACTGTCCATCTATTTGGGGCGCCATGCATTCGCATGGCCATCACGCTTCGACCTGCATTGCGCGTTAAACACCTTCTTTTTAAGTCAGACACGTACTTACTTATATGCATTGACGAGAAAGACAATCTGAGTATCTATGATCTGTCGAGGCGAGACCCGCACGGCTCAACTCTGCATGCGTCACGGCGCACAGCGCCAGGTCAGCCGCAAATGGCAAATGCGGATACGCCTATGCGTGTTGGTATTCATTCGGCGCGCAACGTTGTGTTGTGTGCTGAGGTGACAAGTGTGCACAGCATGTTGTTTCTCGGGCTGACGGACGGCTCTGTCGAGACATACGATCTCGAGCGCTTCAGCACAACGTCGTTCCGCATCCCGAATCTTTGGTGGAATGAGGAAGAGATCCTACGTCGTTCACAAGTGCCCAATGCGCCCAGTCGACTGCATACGCCACTGATCATCGATATCCAGACACACCCTCGAGATGCAGCAATTCTTCTGCTGTGCTATGAAGGTGGTGCTATCTTGTACTCTATTCGTGATAACGCGGCGTTGCATACGTTCCAGTTGCGCTTGCTTCCAGGTGCGCCAGGACCGGTGCCTGACGCGCCGATGGATGTTATCTGGAGCGAACGCTTGTGCCCAGCCACAGCGATTGCATGGAGTCCGTGTGGCTCCATGTTTGCGATGGGACATGAGAATGGTGCAATCTCATTCTGGAGTGTGAAAGAAGAAGACAAGCCCATTATGGTGCGCACGTTGGACGACATTGACATTGATCGGCCGGTCCTTCCAGAGACGCTCCCGAAGTCATCGGCTGGACCCCGTGAGCCCATCTTCAAACTTACTTGGTCGGCCTTTCCCGAGCAGGGCTGGTACGAGTACGGCGCACAAGCTGCTGGCGCATGGACAAGTTCAGCAGGCGCGTCACAAAATGACAAGACGGCATCAGCTGGAGACGGCAACGGCAACGGCAGTGGCAGTGGCAGTGGCGGCAATAATACCACTGGTATCACTTCACGAACCAGCCCACCTAACGGCACTGTGCTGACCATCATGGGTGGCACACCAGTGAACCAGCCAGCAACATGCCTGTACACATTCCACCTGTCCTCGCCCCCAGCGACCAGTGGCATCTTTGCAAGCCAGACTCCTGAAGCCCTGTCTCGGGAGCGTGCCGTGCTGCGCGATGCACTTCAGCCGTTCTTTGTGGGGATGTACAGAACGGCCAGTACGGTGGAAGATTTCTGCTTACTTCCTCGATTGAATCCCCACTTCCGCGGCACTTTTGATCCATATGCGATTGTCATCCTGGTGGGGCAGGACACGATGCTGCCATCGCTCGCTGTGCAAAGTACACGACGCGGCATGGACGTGTTTTCATTTCCGCCGCAGCAGGGCACTCGGGCGTATGAGCGCCTCTCGCTGCCACTGCCGTTAACATTCGCGGGACGTGGCACTGTCCTGGGTGCCTATGTGGCTACTGTACCTGTGGCTCAGTATCGCCGCCTTGTTCAGCAAGCGACAGAGCATGTGGTCGGCAGCATCAAGGACAACGAGCCAATGGGTGGACTGGCTAAGCCACAGCTGCACGGTGCCTTGCCTATTCACGCCCAAGCGCTTGCTCAGAAAGGACAGCCACGGATTCTCATCACGTGGCACTTGGATGGCCGTGTTCGATGGCATGATGTGAGTCCCCACTTGCTCCTGCTAGGCGACGAGGATCCACGGCGCGGCACGATCCTACGTGAGCCATTCCCTACGCCCCTACCCCATCTGACTGTATCGATTCGAGACGTCGTGATGCACCCGTCAGCCATTGGCATGCCGGCACTCGACGCGCTCCAGCGCTTCCCAATGCAAATACAGATCGCCAGCGTTCACATGGCATGGGATGCATTAGAATGTGCGATTTCGCTGACGACAGGCCATGTGCTACATATGGCGCTGGGCACCGGTACGAACATCAATACGTCGGCAGTGTCGCCTCTCATTGGCTCCATCCAAAACATGCACATGGACAGTGGTGCACCGTCTCAACATGCGTTCGAGTTCACATCCCTGGAGACGGTCGCTGACATCCACTCAGGGGGGCTTCCAGCCCAATGTCATGATGCAGCTTCTTCCTGGCAGTGCTACGTGCAGTGCGCTGTGTGATGTGGGTCTGTATGCCTGTGCGTATGGTGGCATGCTCGTTGTTGCCGATTGCCGCTCACAGGATGTTGTGGTCCGCGCTGGCTCAAGCAGCGCAGACTTCTTTTCCCGGCAGCTTGGCTCGCGCGAGGCAAAAATTATCGAAAGCGAAGGCAACGCAGAGATTATGTGGCTCAAGTTTAGCGTCTGCCGCACACTATCAGACAATGTGCTGGCGCTGCGCCTGCTCGTGGGACGTGCGAATGGGTATGTGACGATCTGGTCGTTTGAGCACGGCAGCCTCGATAGCTGGATGGGATTCCGTTCCGATGCCATGATGCTCGGCGTGGCTGGTCGTCCCGTATACGTGAACGTGCTTGGTTCGTCCGGTGCCGAAGCGTTAGCCACAGAGACGAGCGTGCAGCGGGCGAACATGGACCAGGTCAGCGAGGGCCCGAATGACAATTTGCACGACTTTTACCTGCTTTTAGTCGTGCACGCGCGCGAAGTTCACCTGTATGACCAGGTCACTGGCCAGCGCTTCGCACATGCAGACTGGCCGGACCCTGCTTTGGGTGCGCACGTCGTGGAGAGGCGGAATGCCAAGGTGCTGGTGGTTCTCGCAGCCAACAGTGTGTTTGTGTTGTCATTGCCACGCCTCGACACCGTACACCGGGTACAGCGCCATGTGCCACCAGGCCAAGAGGTCGTTGCATCGACACCGCAAGTGAGTCTGGAGCGCCAGGGCGATTTTATGGAGCTGACCAATGGTCAACAGCTGCGGCTGTGGTCCATTTTTGGCTCACTCCCTCACGCCGAGATGCCCAGCTTGTTCTTATTTACGCCACGTTCCCTTCCACTTCCGCCAGGTGCTGGCGCAACGGGGTACATCGCAAGTGTCGCTGGTTGGCTCGGCTCGTCAGCGGGCCAGTCGTTGTCACAGGGTGGCCAAATCGATGCACTCATCGGTGGCAAGCGCCGAGCCAAGTTGCCTAATTTGCCTCCACGCATGGTTTGGCAAAAGGATGACGACCTCAGCACCAATGCAGCTGGCTCAGCAGCTACAGGGATCCAGGGTCAAGGCACAGGTAAAGCAGGCTCTTCTCAAGCCGCGAGTACCGATCCCAATGCAAGCGGTGCTTGGCTAGCTAGTTACCAACGGCAATTCCTCAACTTTGCGTCTAGCAGTGCTCGTGCGCAAGCAAGCTGGAATATGCAATTACTCCACAAGCGCGATGAGATTCTTTCAGAGTACGTATGGGAGACTGGCATTCTCTCTTTTCAAGCGCTGGATCGTATTCGCTAACCAAGGCAGCCTTGACGAGAGCATGACGAATTTGGAGCGGGGCGCTAAGGACTTTTTCAAGCAGTACGTTGCTTCTTGTGCAAATGCTACTCATGTACGTGTACGCTAACTGACAGAACGCGGAACGCCGCACTTAAATCGGCTGCTAAGGAAAAGTTCAATTCATACTTTTAATAGACTTTGCATTCGACTCAACACTCGCCAAGGCCGAGTGCAAGCGAGACGACATATTCCCTCAGGCTTATGTTTCAGGAAAGATGGTGCTATAGCAGTTGTTCCACATGTCTATGCATCTCTTGTCCTCCTCGTTCGCAACATCAATCTCATCAGCCTCACATCCGCGTGTATTTATGTTCCGTAGTATATATGGTTAGGTTGCATGGCACTCGTTCACCTCTCCACCTACAGGCGACGCGCACACCTCCACTACACGGTAGGAGCTGAGCTCAGATGGACCTTGACCATAGCACGACTCTTTCGTCGACGGCGCCGCACGGCCTCATTGACTATTTCTACCAAGACTGCATCCGAAATCTTATCGCTTCGGCAGACGATCTGCCGGATCTGTCCACAGTTGTCTGAGCACGATGTCCAGCGCTATGACGCATCCATTGGAACGTGTGCTTACGTCTATGGACGATGTTGGCGAGGCTTACGTTGCATGGAATGCTGTTTCACCTGCTTGGCGAGCAGGGCCAGAGCTTGCATGGCGCCATGGCACCTACGTACCGACAGAAGCAGCCATTATACGCACATGCACGCCCGTTCTGTATGAGATTCATGCCTCCTATGCAGCAGCGCCGTTGTGTGGCCTTGCATCGTTTCGTAACGTGGTTAGTGCTGAGCTCTCATTCGTGCAAGCCACCGACAGTCCACAGAACAATGCTTCGTTTCTACTGACATTTTGGAATGAGGTGCTTTATGCACTTGCCTACATGAGCCCGATCACTGCGCTGCAGACCGTGCACCCGACTCAGGCAGGTGCCAATGAACGCACATGCAACAACGCAGCGAAGCAAAAAGCCGCTGCTGGAGCCACCGCGATGGTTCATATCGCTGCTCGCAATGGTCAACACTGGATTCGTCTGATGCCCATACGTCCTGATGCTCTCATGCGCGAATTTCGCGAGTATGAAAGCACCGTATCACTATCTGAGCCGCCTGCCGTCGACGAAGCCATGACAGAGAATTCTATCGTACGCTTAGCGCATGAGTTGAAACACGCAGCGGCTCAAACCTCTTCCATGAAGCCTACGCTGGAAATTATTTTGACTCGCATCACGCTCAGTGATTCCGGAAGCCTCTTTGATGCATGCCCTGCGCCTGAGAGTGTCTCATACTGGACCTGTCCTGAAACGGTGAGGATGCAGCGTCGCCTTCAAGGCATAGCAGATTATGCGGCTTCTTTGGGCGTGCGCATCACGTTTGGTGCTCATGAACCCATGCCGCTTCACATACCCATTCCACGACCTCCATCTACATCGGGAGATGCCCCGCCGCCCACGCAATGCATCAACTTGGACGTCAGCGCTATGGTCGCGATATGCAGCGATCTGTCTCACGGATTCCCTGTACATGTAGAAACGCATTCGAATCGTGCCCTATCTGCTCAAGTTTCGCATGAACGAAGCAGCTCCCTTCTTCAGGTTCTCAAAGATGCACTTGGCCACGCCCCGACGCAACTTGTTGCAACGCAAGAGGCCATCGATAAATTCGCTTCTATTGTCGATCGTGTCGCTTCGAGTCGTGAGTATGAGCGTGCGCGCTGGCTGCTCGGCTCGCGCCGAGCGCCATGCGTCGACGAGGCTTGGGCGCGTCTTTTTCCGCAGTCCGTGCAGGTGATCGATGACCTGTTCAAGGCAAGCGTTACGTGGTCAGATACCTCATACACGTGTCATTTGGAGCAAGCACTAGATCGTTTGAAGGTGCGACGTGCACGCCCAAAAAGCCTCAGTGCTTCGCCTCACACGGTACACACACTGCAGATGGGCCTCAAGAAACGCATCACTACGCTCCTTGCTCATTCGCATGGCGTGCAAGAGCTTCTAGAAGAGGCAGGACCCATTACTGGGTCAACCCTGTCACATGCAGTGATCTGGCTAATACAACCGCGTTCATTCACATCGTCTGCGCCCTCCTCTGTCTCACCAAGGCGTTCGAGCTCGTCCTCTGCCGAATTGATAACATCAGGGAAAGTTGGGCCCAGCAACTCACCCCCCTTGATATCTCGACCGTCTGCATCGACAGTGTCCCCATTGCCATTTCCATTGACAGCACGACGGCCCGCATGGAACGCATGGTTGAAAGTGTGGCAATGGATGCAAGGCCCAAAAATGCCCAAGCAGCACATCATCAAACATTATCCGTGGTGGCCATGGCAGCACTTGGAAGCGGCCTGGCTTCGATGGACTGCGCCACTCGCATGGAAACCACCCGCATCAAGTGACTTGCCACTCTGGGGCAGCGAAGAAGCGCCTTCCATCGAGCTTGAGCCAACCAACCACATGCACACGATACCCACACCACCTCCAGCTAAACAAGGCGGCACCCCTGGGCAGCGCTGGTGGGCCAAGATTGAGTGCGATTGGCAAAGAAACTGGCTTCATTGGATCATATTATGTGCGGTGTGTATCGGCTGGCTCTTTTGTTTCTCTGTGATGGTGCATTACACATGGTTCTCAGCCCGTATCCTAACGAACGAGGGTTGGCGAACGCCATCACCTTTTACATGTACAACGACCTTGTGGGGTCGAAATGATGAATGTGGATTAGACGGAAGCTCTTGCGCGCCTTTTTCCGATTCTACCATGACGTTCCAGTGTCCAAGTGGATGCGCAAAAACAACGCTGCTGAACCCACGCACTGTTGGAGACCAAGCGTACAACTATGTGCCCCTGGTCGTCGGCGGCAGCAATTCTACACCCTACCGCGCGGACTCGTTCATATGTGCGGCCGCACAGCACGCAGGAGTAATTGGCCGTCGTGGTGGATGCGGTATCGTACGGCAGATGGGATCATTTACGCACTTTGACAACAGTTCACAGAATGGCATTGATTCGGTTCCTTTTCCCTCCGTGTTCCCATCGTCATTTCTATTTTTGCATCCGCAAGACTCGCAGCATTGCACGGACGAGCGCTGGCGCTTGTATATTATAAATGTGGTGTTTCTGGCTGTCTTGACTTTCGTCGTAAGACCCATGCCACTCTTTCTTTTCTGGACCATGTCGTGTGTCGGCTTCTGGCACGTGAACTTGGTATCGGAGCTGCGAAGTATGCCGCCGCCGGTGGGCGCAGCCGCTGGCGACTTTGGACCTCATCTCTTCGTCTGCTTTGTCATTTGGCACTGCGCGCTAAAGCACGTATGGGGAGCGTTTCAGCACGTGCCTCTGGAGTTTGGCATTGGATGGCTCGGACTGTGGTGGATCGGTGTGCTGCTGGACGTCGTGTTTGCAGACGTCCCTCTCCAGCGGCTAACGGTGCACGACATATCGCAGCAGCCAGGCGCATTGTCATCGCTGGTTATCGTGGTGATTGTCGTGGTGATTTTAGCGTTCAATCAGGTGCGCGTCATCCGCAGTGTGGGCCTGCTCCCGAAGTTCTTGACGCTGTATATTATTGCATGTGTCGTTCTAGGTCTTTGTGCAGCTGTGCCAGGCGAAGTCGTTCGAATCCACCATTATGTGATTGGCCTTGCTCTTTTGCCAGCCTGTGGCTTTCCCACACGCATATCGATGCTCTGTTGTGCGATCCTCTTTGGCATGTATATTAATGGCGTCGCCCGGTGGGGCTTCGATGGCCTTTTACAAGACGAGGGCGTTGTTCGCGGTGATGCTGTGGGAGACTCTGCTATTCCACACTTTTCGATGAATCGGACGTTCACAGACCAAATGATTCGCTGGGCGCCCATTCCCACGGCTGAACAAAATGTTTGGTCCAGCTTCTCGTTGCTTGTGGATGATGTTCTGCGTTACAAGGGTCCAGCCACATCGTTCAATCTCTCGTCGATTTTAAATCATGACATTTTCGAGAATTCTAATCTTTTGAGTCAATCGCAAATTCATCAAAGCTTAGAGTCTGGCAAACATTTTCTCCGTCTTGCCTATTCTTCTGCCACCGACACAGGCGACTTTACGAAAGCCGCCATCGCATGGTTCAACGGCACTTTTATCAAGCCACCAGCAGGCCGAACGTAATACTTTTTTCCAGCCTGCTAGAAGTATGCACGCGTGTAGAATAATGCTATTTTTTCTCTCATACTGGGACGCGCCTATAGCTATCCAACTTTCGGACGCACTCCCATCTTGATTTGGGTATATATGATGTGTGCCAGACGCGTCGGCATCAGTGTGGAGGTGACAAGACGCAACTTGGCTAGCTTGACGAGAATCCGTGGTTCCCTTGTCTAGTTATCGTGCAGAGCGCAATTTTTGAGCCTTTTTTTTCTTATCCACGGATACCAACTCGACCATGTCGGGTGCGGATGGTGGGGAGAGTTGTGAAGAGCTTCTGAACATGTTGCATCAGCGTATGATATCCACGGGAGAGTGGTCGTCGCTTCTTGTCCAACTCCGTCGGATGCTGGAGGAGAGCGGCTGGGAAGCTCAGCTGCGTGAACAAGCTGAACGTACGGAACATCTAAGAACTAGCAAGGTCATATACTTACATTACGCAGGTGAGGCGCGATCACAAGATTCGCTACATATAGGTGCCATCGTCGACAAACTTGGCGGATATGCTCATGGTAGGTGCGCGAGCACTTCTGACGTCACGCTGAGCAGATACATTCCCGGAGTCGGTGCGAACCAGCATTTCTTCAAAAGTGCGAGATTTTTTAGATCGAAATCTCGAAGACGCATAATTGTATACTATGGCGCAACAGACGTGCCGTTCCATGCTCCATTTACTTGTCGTTCATAGATCGTGCGCTGTGCGTGCTTTAACTCCAATACATCCACCTTATGTGGCTCAATAATGACCAAAGCAAATCTGCTGAATCAGAATCCAATGCTGTTGCAACTGAAGAAACGTACGACTCGGGGATGGCGTTGGGTTCTCGAAGATTTCGCTCATGCGGCGACTGGATCTGATGCTGTGGTCGCGGAGTTGGCGACAAGGAAGACGATTCTGCCGTCGCGATTGGTGGGACAGGCTGCCCAGGCGGCGGGCCAAAGAACGTGTTTTGCATTCTTGGACTCAGCAACCTCCAGAAGCGCTCACGTTCCTCATCCCATGCGAAGTCTGCATCGGAAATCGCAAGTTGGGCATCAGGAAATTGCGCACGCCACTTGTGTGTCGGCGCCGGCAATAAGTAAGCAGCCCCTTGGATCCGAAACTACATGGATGTAAGAGTCGAACGGTCGCCCGTGCCACATCGTGTTTCCCTCTGAATAGTACGTACCTGAACGCGCTCAGGCGCGATGTACCAAGCGAGCTCTACAGGGGCATTCGAACAAGAAGCGATATCCATGGCTTTGCTTGAACGTACATCCGTGGTAAAGACAAGACGGTCGCTCGAAGCATTCTCATGTTGATCGTTGACGAATCCTCGGTGCACTACTTGACGAACACGGGGCATGCAGCCCGTTGATTCACTACAACTTAGAGTAGAAAACGCATAGAGCCCTGAATTAACTATTCGCGCTACGCACCGACACTCCAGTCACTTGCATGTTCAGTCAATGCATTTTGCAAGCGAGTCTTCCACATGTTTAACGGCGTGAAAGTTGGCCGGACAGAAATAAAGTCTGATAATATTATCTCTCACCTTTAAAAATTGTTGCGTGGGTGCATCTTAATCTTAGCTTCTCCATTACTAGCCCTATACCCCGCCACTATTTAAAACCAGCCCTCGCCATTACCCATGATTTTCACATCGCCATACAAACCTATTAAACTACCTCAAAACGAATCCTTACCAAAGTTTGTTCTTCGCTCCGTTTCAGATGAAGCAGACAATACACCAATCCTCTTTCCATCAATAGAGTCCCGCCGGTCCAAACCTGCACCGTTGACTCTAAAGCAAGTACGTCAAGGCGCATGGGGCATGGCCACGGGTCTATTATCAGAGAATATAGCCGGGCGGCCATGGAGAAAAGGAGACGTTATGGCATTTTATTCTGAAAATCAACATGACTACCTTCTAGCCGCTTTGGGTGTCATGATGACAGGGGCAATCCCTGCCTTGCTGAATCCCATGTACAAGCCAGAGGAGCTCGAGCATGTATTCAAGCTGACGAAACCTCGCGCTCTACTAGCCTCGCTAAATTCATACGAGAATGCAAAGAATGCCGCAGACTCATTGGCGAAACTCACTGGCGAAAATATAGATTTGTACGTGTTTGACGAGGAGCATGAGCACAGTTTCTACAAGCGGCTCGTGGAACCAGGCATCAAGGCTCGCGATGCGGGAGACAAGTTAGTGGAAAATGTCCAATTTGACCCTGCGAAGCAAGAATCTATGTTTTGTTTTAGTTCTGGCACATCAGGCCTTCCGAAGGCCGTGCGCCTCACTCACATGAACCTCATCGCGAACACGATACAAATGACCGTCACACTCGGCGGGCGTGTAAACAAGCCAACTTATGATCTATATGGCTGGTACGACCAGCCAGCAGCGCCGTTGCAAGAAGGAATTGATCAAGTACACTACTCATTGCTACCGCAGTTCCATTGTTATGGCATGATCACATCAATCATCAATTTACACACCCTTACTCCAGCCATCATTGAGGCCAAGTTTTCCCCTGAAAGCTTTTTCCGGGCCGTGCAAAAATTCAGAGTGACATTTGCATTCGTTGTGCCTCCGATCTTGATTGCCTTAGTTCGATCCCCTATGGCTGACAAGTATGATTTATCGTCGATCAAATCGTTGGCCTCGGGAGCCGCGTTTCTTAGTAAAGAGCTGTGCACTATGGTCAATGATCGATACGGTATCCGTATCACTGATGGTACGTATCCTCCAATATTGTATACACGTATATATGTATGTGCGAGTATGACTAACATACGCTTCAGGTTATGGAATGACTGAAAGTACGTCGCCATGCACCAGAAGGGCTAACAGAAACAGCGTCGCCGATTATTTCGCTCCAGACGCAGCAGGATCTTGGTTTGAACAAACTGAATGTGGGCAGACTTGTGCCAAATACCGAGGCGCAGATCATTGATGTCAACACAAAAAGACCAGTGGGTGTGAACCAGCGAGGTGAGCTACTGGTGCGTGGTCCTCAAGTTATGCTCGGCTACTTAAAAAATGACGAGGCCAACGCCCAAGCGTTTGCTCCTGACATGCATGACGAACATCGGTTTTTCAAATCAGGAGACATTGCGTCCTTCGATCAAGATGGTACGTTGTGCATGCAGACTTGTGCTAACAACACAGGCTATATTACTCTGCACGATCGTGTCAAAGATATTATCAAATACAACGGCTATCAGGTTGCAGCGTCAGAAATTGAAACCATTGTCAACTCGCTTCCATTCGTACTTGAGTCTGCTGTCGTGGCCAAGGTTGTGAAGGAAGATGTTTCCCATAACGAATTGCCATGGGCGTGCATCGTGATGAGGCCCGATAAAACATCGCTCTCAGAGAAAGAACTAACGAAGCAAGTCCTTGATACCGTAAATACCCGAGTCTCTGGTTACAAAAAGTTGCGTGGCGTGTCATGGACTGACCAGCTCCCTAAGAAGTATGTACACACGTGGTTACTGACAACTGTTAGTACGTCTGGGAAAGTTCTAAAGCGTGAATTGCGGAAGCAATTAAGTGAGACTGATAGTTAACGGAAATGGTTAAATTGGGTATTATGGTCCATACAGCTATAAACATTTCGTTAAGATGATTTTTGGTCCATCATTCGCAATGTGCTGACATCAGGCACCACGCCCTTCGTCTGCATGAGGTACGACACGGCATCCCATGCGCCTGCACGCACGGCAGTCGTGAGCATGGGAACATCCACCTGGCAACGGTCCGCTAAGCGCCGTCGTTTAGAAGGAACAGCGCCTTTCTCCGGTAAAGATCGCCGCGCGCGCGGAGGCTCTTGTCTGGTAGCCCGAACAACATCCAGAGCGTGTAAGTCGTCAACGATAGCTCGAAGGCGCGTGCGCCACTGAAACTCAAGTGCATCATCTTGCTCTACCAAGAGCCGAACAACAGCAAGCGAGCCTTTCTTACACGCCACATGCAAGGCAATGCTTTTTTTCAAAGAGGGGTCTGCACCTGTTGCCAGCAACAGGCAGACGAGGGGCGTGCTGTCCAAATGCACGGCCATCGCGAGTGGGTATCCTTGAGATGAATTTGGAGATGCGCGATGCAAGAGAATCATTCGCGCGATGAGCTCCAAATCAGACAAAGGGGGCAGCCGTACTTCACTCTCGGGCATACCAACGGGAGTAAGATCGCAAACATGACGAACGAAGGATAGAAGCAACCCGTGCTCCAGCGCAGGTGTTCCATCCAAATAAGAGGGCATGCTAACCACGACCGAATGACGAAACAGCCGCTCGGGTACGGCATGGCATGCCAGTCGAGTCGGCACAAGAGCTTGTGTTCCCTCAGGCATTGTCGCAAAGATGCCGTACAGCTGACAAATATTGCCGCACCATTTGCTACGAATGACTAGACGCTCCAACATGCGCATAACATCAGGTGTGCATATGCCGAAACGTGCCACAAAGGACAAAATATCACAAGTTGCAGCACGGCGTAACGCACTTGTAGAGCCCGACGTAGGATACGTTGTGGGCGCGAACATGGACCGCAGCTGAGGAGCAAGAGGGTTCATCCTGAAACCCTGCGTGAACCGAAGCGAATATGAATCCAGCCAGCAACAAAAAAGATATTCTGCTTTCACATGACGAGGGGCTAGAGCACAGGCATGCCACAAAACCCGACAAACGTATGCGAGACTAGAGCTCTTCGAGATGAGCAGAATGCGCCATATTATCTCTACGGGTAGTCGGTCAATTCGCCTTAACATGCATCCTGCCATGCAGGATGCAGTTTGGTCGAACTGAGCGAAAATTGTTCGTTGCTGGTTCTTTCATTCGCATGGATGCGCCCACAGTGACGTGATTGAGAATGGGGAGTTGAGTCTTCGCGCGGCTTAGTCACGTGTGAGATTTCCTTCTTCGGGCGCTTGAGAATGCGGGTGTGTGTTTGTGTGTTGATTGAGGTAAGCTAGTATCGAATTGGCTGCATAGAGTCAGTACCTTGCGCTACTCAATTCCATACGCTTGTAAGATTCAAGGAAATGATCCGTCACTTGGCCCAAAGATGGGTCAGAAAAGCGTATCATATGGAATTGAGAGAATTTATCCTCAATTTACTGCCTCCAGTTCTGCTTAATATTGCCCTTCTACCATTCGTGTTTGTGCGTCCGGTGCAAGAATGGGTGGGTAGCAAAGTTTTCCTAAGTTTCATGGTCTCGCATCTAGCATTCTTTCCTGTCGGAAATACATTCTCAGCTCATGTTCATATGACGGCGTTGACCTTACTTATTGCTGCGCTTTGGCTGGGATTGAGCTTTGTCATCGTGTGCGTACAGGTCTGGATCGATCAGCCAAACATTATCTACACGTCCCTCAGAACGCGTGGACTGGGTGCATCTTACGTATTTGCAACATTTTTTATTTCTGGGTACATATGGAGCCGAGTGCCGCGTCTTCGAGTGCCGATGCGTGTAGTCATGTTCACTCAAACATGGATCATGACGACGCCAATCTCGCAAATCACGTACCGCAATTTCTCCGACTTGTTTTTCCCCTTGTTCATACCGGCTGTACTTTCAATCTTCGCAAATCTAATGATCCCGCGTACAGCATACCGCACATATTTCCGATGTATGTCATCGGCTCTAGACGCTATAACAGGTCTCATGGAGATTTCAATGACGAACTTCGAGAAAGAGCTCGTCGAATGGCAAAAATTTGTCAGTCAAAATCCAGATAATTACTATGATGCACATGCATTTGAACAGTCTAATAATGTGAGCAGCTCACTCAAAGTCCTAAAAGAACGTGTAAGTGTCATGAACCGCGCTTTGTCTGCCTCTTTGCATGAGGTCACTTGGTGCATTATCCCTATTTCTGAAACAAATCATCTTAGGACATTTATTGTCGATACCTCAACATGGCTAAAAAGTGGAATGGGTTTGTCCATTCCGCAAGTGGATTTCGAAGATCCCCTCTTCGACGAAACTCGCGACGCGGAGGATGATGAAGTAATATCTATGGCAGAGTCCACCACGTCTCTTCGAATGACACTGTCTAACCCACAATCTATGTCTGTTCTACAAATGAACAAAATCGAAGAAGTCGCCCGCTCCTTGAGAGATTTGGAATCAGCTATTCTTGATGTCATCGGCTTATTGAAAGTTCTGATCAACAATTCTATTCATAACTTTTCTCAAACGTACCCGCGTTCTTCGAGTGTAACATTCGCAAAGGCTATTCATCATGCTCGCTTAGGCGACAGTGAAAAGTTCGGTAATCCAATGGAGATACTTTCAAATACAGAAAAAGAGTTGGAAAATGCCATGACTAAATGTAACATGCACTTGCATCTTCTTCTCAGGGCCCGTGGATTTAGGGAGTCTCACGAAAATCAAGCCCCAACACCGCCGGCCTCTGTAAATTCATCATCAGACCCAACAAAGAAGTCGGATGAGGAAGCGAAATCGACACAAGATCAATTCCGCAAACCGAATTTATTTTGCACTGACATGTATGTGGTATGTCAATTTTATTTGTCGCTTTTTCAACTCGCTAGGCGAGCGAAAAACACTTTGAATCTGTCGGTTCCTATGCTCGAGAAGCTGGTCAAGCGTCGACGAAGATCCATCTATCTGCCCCGATTTGATTTTCTACGGTGGATTCAATCGACCAGCGGCATTAGTCTATTTCAAAATGCCACAACTGACTTGTACTTACCGTCGCATTACGCAAATCGGGGACAAGTCGGCACAACGGATGACAACAACGATGAACACTCAGACAACATCGCTCACATATTCGAGAATCCCAACAAAAAGACAAAATATAAAACGTATGCACAAAATGTAGCTCACGCCATGAGAACCACACGCAAGAATGTCCGTGGCAATACACTTTGGTCGCATTTCAGGTATCGCGTGATCAGTATATTGCGGTCGTCCCCTGTCATGAATGGACGAATTTTCATTTCGACGGTGCTGCAACAAGTAAAACACTCAAGCCATGTCCGGTTCGCTCTCAAACTAGCGAGTGGTGTAACACTATTCTCTGCGATCGGATTCGTATATCCAAGACAAGATCAGTGGTGGCGCCAGTGCAAGGGGCCTTGGCTATTGATTGCGTACACTTGGTCACTTGAAGCGACAACAGGAGACTCGTTTCGCATCGCTATCTTCCGAATCATCGGAACAATTCTGGGTTCACTGTTTGGATTTTTAACGATGGAGATCTCGCGCGGAAATCCGTGGGGAATTAGTGTCATGATCAGCTTTTTTTCTGTTATCGCCATCTTGATACGCATGCGACCCAGTCTCGTTCCCGTCGGCGCTCTGACAGGCTTTACGACGCCACTCGTGGCAATATTGGCATACCAAAGTCCGCGAGGTGACGCGCCCATACATGAAGCACTTTTACGTGGGTACATGAACCTTCTTGGTATTGCTGCTGCGCTTGTCGTCAATTTGGTGTTTTGGCCGTATCATGCTCGGACTCAGTTGATGTACAAATTGTCAGATACATCTACACTACTCCAAAACTGGTATTTGACGATGGCGCGGCAAATGCTGTACAGAGGGTTTAAATCTTCGCCCAAGCTTCAAGCTGGTTACATCGAGTTGGAGAAGTCAATCCGCTTGCACTTGACAAGCTGTGAAGCACTTATGCGCGTCATATCGAGTGAACTCAGTCTGGTTCCCAAGCCGATCAAGATCATGCATCGCATTTTCGAGCATTTGGAAATGATCTTCACGTTGTTTATGACTTTGCGAATGTGTCGAGAACAGGAGTATCGAACTGGAAGCGAACTCGCTGTATTACAAGTGCTGCACCTGCGTCAGGAGCTGATCTCGTCTGTGGTGCTGGACTTGTGGCTTGTGGCGCAATCCATGATCACTCGGGCGCGGCTACCACAGTCACTACCTTCGACAAAACGCTCGATGGAAGAGGGGATTTCAGCGACCGCCCTTGGATACCATGAGCTTGTATACTATAACTCGCCTAATAATATTTCCTCACAAAGACCCATTTATGATGGACCTTTTCTCCGTCAAGAGGCATATCCTAAATTATCTAGCACGTCATCATATGGTGAAAGGGGCTATGCGTCACACACGCGGACAATGGAGGATACGATGTTTCTGCTAGCAGAACATTCCATATTGTCGCAGATTGTTTTCTCTTTGGAGTGTCTTTTGCAGCTTATGCGCTTCATGCTGGGCGAGCTGCGTCTTGTAAACTAACGGATATTATCACATATGCACATTTACCCATTCATAGTCACAGACAATTACGTTTACCACGTAGAGCAGGATATGAAGAGTCTGAAGCTTGTAGGATTGACATACTCTCCATTTGGCTGAGAGTCATGCGCCCGTGCATGAGATAAGCTTTGATGCGCCCCTTTTGTTAGTTAGGTGAGCTAACGTACTTCATCCGACTCGTAACGCGTCCGTTCGATCTCATCTCGGAACCATGCTATTGTTTCATGTCGCGCACTCAGCGTCGGAGAAGCTGCACGCGTAAATAACGGCATTCACGCTTACCTCTTGTGGACCGGAGTAGGCTCCTGTAAAGTGACAATACTTTCGCTTGGTGCAAGAAGCTTTTCAGCGAGGGCCCACCCTCCAACATGCTCGCTCTCCGAACTTATGCAAGTCACGAAGCGTCGTGCACGGTGAATGGGATTAGAGACAACTGCGTCGAGCCAGTGTCACAAAAAAGATCACGTGCTTTGTAACGCGCGCTAGCGCGACTGAAAAGACGTTCAAACAGCGGCCTTACGAGTTCTCTTCGTGCGGCAATGTCGTCCACTTCGTGTTGCTCACTGCGCAGTGCAGGTGCGTATATCGTCAAAACTAACATATAGCCTAGTTGCATGCTCGATTGCCTGTGGGTATTCAAAGGGCGTCTAGATAAAGCGACACCAGGGGAAGTGCCATTCCTCGTGCTTGCTCATAACGAGCAAGCCCGCTCGGGCATCTTAGCGCCCGCTCGTCCGTTTGCACACTCGTCAGACGGGTGATGGGTCGGTAGTCCGTACATGCTACGTAGAAGAGTAATAATGGTAGCTACTGAAAGAAGAGAGGGCTGGCCAACTTGCACGCGGAGTAAGGTGCATGAAATAGAAGCGCTATGTTGACATCAAGAATGGCACAAAATGATATGCAAAGTTGACGAAAAAAAAAATGCGTTGGATGATGCTGTCTTCGGATTTCATTTGACGCTCGACAGAGGCGGCCAGCTTCGCTTTACGTAGGAATTTCTAGTGATCTTTTCGCGTTAAATGTGCATGCCTTTAGCGGATGCGCTCTCCACTCGTTCGCTACGCATGTCTATCGAGTTGACCGATGCTACGGCAGGTGACTGGTCCGCCATATCGACAAAGTTCCATTGCAGCTTACAAAACACAAATTCATAAGCACGGCAACATTAAAAAGCATTCAGGGATGGCACATCAGCGTCGACCCACGTTTCGTTCAGTGAATACCCAGAGTTTTGCCTCATGGAAAGTGCCGCAGCTTAAGGAAGAGTGCAAACGACTGGGCTTGATTACCTCACAACCAAAGCAAGGGCTCATTGATTCGCTTCATGAATACTATAAAACGCATAGTTCATCTATCGTCATGGATACGGAAAAGTCGCGGAAAATGCCTGACGATATGATTGTCATATCTGACTCAGATCTCACAGACCACTCAACGAGTGTAGAAATACTGGAACACTCGACGAGTGATCAGTCTCGCAAAAGCATGCAAGAAAGCGAACTTAACAAGGCGGTTGCACAAATCCAGTTAGAAGACGATTCTGCTGTATCAGATATATCGTCTTTGTCTAGTGATTCAACACCGTTCAAACACGACTTCGACACATATGAAACAGATTTGTACAGCCCCCGAGCCAATACAATGGATGAGCCTATGTGCCGGATCATATTATCAGATGAACAACTTTACAGACGAATTTTGTTGATGGAGCCAATAAGCCTAGATGAGTTCATGAGCGTAGCGCAACGATCTGGTGTGTTATCCAACTCTATCACAAAGAATCGGGCAAGGCTTCGGACGTGGCTCGATTGTCAAGGTATATGTTTTTACGAAGCTGAGCTTGCGGGCTAGGTGTCTACATCGGTCTCAATTATCTCGAACCTGAATTTGCATCAGCAATAGTCCAGACTAATACTCACTGAACCACAAAATACACTTGCCCCGTCTTCAAATTCTTGCACACATAGCGGACAGGCTGACCGCGCCAGTACCGCTGCACTGCAAAATTAGTACGGCACATGCTCCTGTGCGTCTCATCACTTACAGCTGATACGCATTCCTCCTAAAGGAATAACAGCCTCCAACCTGGTTGATGGTAAGATGATCACGATTCACGTACGTGTTGAAATCGATCTGCGGTTAGTCTCCTTGCCGCTTTCTTATCGCTACGCACAAAACCATTGCCAAAATCGGCGGTAATAACATCATCAGGCGTTACGTTGAGTTTCTTTCGATTTGAAGCGGAACCGAGCCACGACATGCGGTGCTGTCTAGCCTTGTCATTGTTAGAGAACGTTTTGACAACATTTTCGTCCACTTCCATATTACGGTCCAGCTGAGGTTCCTTTGCATCAGGACCGGAGTGATAGAAAAGCGACGATATGTCGTCTTCTAGAAACGTTTCTTCAGAATTTGGCTGAGGAAACTTGGGCCAAGCATCGCGTTCGAAACACTCTTTGGCCGATGCGCACGATGAGAACGTGCCCTCAACAGCACGGTCAGCCTTAGCGCGAAATACTGTGGAGAGAAATGGTGATAAGGCCCATGGCTTATCTCCATACAAGTCATGCTTGACTGAATTCATCGTTAGCACAAGGACGTACGATTTGGATCGATGAATGATGCGAAGCGCAAGACTAGTCCCATTCCGTACGGAAGGGAATCCTAGTATATCGTAAGTGGAAAGATAGAGATAACGACGTACGCGAATGGGTTCATCGAACTCATTTCCGAATACTAGATCGTTGGCATTCACACCAGCAGGGAAGCGACCTTGCATTTGAATGCTATATGACATTTGTGAGCCATATGGCATGGAGAAATATTTAACATCCTCGAGGTATTCGACATTCTCAGGTAGTTCTCCATGAAAATTCTTTACCCGAACAGTTAATTTACCTTGGAAGCAGTCTGAATCAATCACAACAGGTTTATCGTCATGATTGACAGCCACTAGCTCTAGCTTGTTCGCCGTGGGACCTGCCGAGATGCGTAGCTTAGGTGCCATGCTTGTGTGAAAGAGGACGTCCATGTTCTTCATGTCTATTCAAGTAGGCATCCAGATTATCTAAACAGCACGGGCCAATTGGTGACGCAATCCAGTGACAGCTGCGCCAACACAAGTGAGGGCGGGGAAAGAAAGCGCCAAACGAGCGATCGGTTCCGTTCACGATCCTTGCAAACATCACGATGGGCAAGGTGCGTCATGAAGCTATAATATGACTAACGCAAAGTTCTTGGACAAGCTTCACGATGTGTTTCACAAAACTGAGACACATGCGCCTAAGGACGTGACGCCATGGAACGAGCCCATTAGCAAGCGATCAAAATATGCCATTCGTAAACAACGGGGCGTAAACTTGGGCTCTTGGTTTGCACTCGAAAGCTGGCTTACGGGTAGTTTGTTCCAATCACTGAATGAATCGGGTAGCTGTGACATGGATATCGTCAAGGGAATGAACTTAGAGGAAGCAAAACAGCTTCTCGAGCGTCACTGGGACTCGTTCATCGATGACGGCGATTGGAAATGGATGAAGGCGCATGGCATCAACTCCGTGCGCATACCGATTCTGTACGCGCATTTCCTTGCTGGGAATAAAGAGCACACCAAACTCTTAAAGGGGACAGACTATGCATCGTTCGCAACTGTATATGAGGGTGCCTGGCAACGCATCGTCGCAAGCATCGAGAAGGCTGCTTCGCTTGACATTGGAGTGCTAATCGACTTGCACGGTGTACCTGGTGGACAGAATGGTGACAGTCATTGCGGTAAGAGCGACGGTAACGTGAGCTTTTGGAACGGGCTGCATGCGTCATCAAACCGCAAACTAACAATCCAAATTCTTACCGCACTTGCTGAAGCTGTTAGTCAATATGACAATGTGATTGGTCTTGAGCTCATGAACGAGCCTCAAAACCACAGCTGTCTGGAGGGCTTTTATGTTGATGCGATCAAGGCAATTCGCGCTAGCTCGAGCCCTGCTGTCGCCCAGTTGCCTTTGTACATCGGTGATGGCTGGGACACGAACCACTACGCTAAGTACGTGGGCAAACACAGCGACATAGGCAACCCGCTTGTCTTGGACCATCACATGTATCGCTGTTTCACGTCGCATGATCATCGAACTTCTGCCGAGCAGCATGCTTGTGATCTTGATATAGGAAAGCAAGGCAAGACGGCATGGTGGCTCAAGGGCATTTCCGAGCACGCACAAGGCGCTATTATCATCGGCGAATGGAGTGGCGCTTTGAATCCTGGTTCTTTACGTGGATGTGCCAACCACTTGGATGCACTTAAAAGTTGGTCACATGCTCAGTGGCATGCGTTTGAATCTTATACGGCTGGTTACTATTACTGGACATTAAAGAAGGAAGGGGGCCCTGATCCCGGATGGTGCTTTTACACCGCTGTAGAGAAAGGTACAATGCCTCCGTCACTGAACCCTCTCGATGGAGGTCACGTGGACTTCAACGCTCTCCATCAGCAGGGTGTTGAACTTGCGCAGCGATGCCTCCAGGAACACACCAAGTACTGGGATTCGAAGGGCGGAAACTATGATCATGAACAGTACAAGCATGGATTTGAGATGGGCTGGAAGGATGCCCTCGAATTTCTGCAAGAGGGTGCAGAAGTTGGACTTCCCAACCAGCTCGCAAAACTTCGCTTGGCTTCGTACGAACAGGACCATGACTCCAAGAATGCTTGGGAATTTGAACACGGTTTCAGACAGGCATTGGAAGCCTTTCGACGGACCTTGTACGGTTGAGATAGCTATGGCCACATAATTTCAATTGATTTTCATTTTTTGTACAAATCTTCTATACATCACTCGCATTTTTGGCACTTGTTTTCTTTCCATTTTCTATTGCCTGCAATAGTTCTGTCTTGAAGACTATCTCTTCCTTTATTCTTCCTCTTCTTCATGCATATTGAGTGTTACGCCGTATTTGTAAGAATCAGGATTTTGAGGTACATAATAATTAGAAGCTTCAGACACGGCGTCGGAAGTTGTTGGCATAGTTGCAACATTGTTATTCACGTATTCGTCATCGTGACCTTTGGATGCTTCTGATGGCATTTCATCCCATTGCTTGCGTGGCTGAGGGATACGATCTATGCGTTAGTAGCTCTGTGGAACATACGTAATAGTCCGTAGCCCATGCCGCACCCCAGAAGGCCCTCACCACCCCAATCACGGTTGGGCACAATCATGATCTCGCGCGTATGGTCGTAGTCACTGTTGTAGACATAGAGAGAGAGTTGATGGTTCACATATTGTTCCACAAGTTGGAAAAAGTCACCCTCACTTTGAAGTGGGCCACCTGTCCATCCAATAATATAGTCACCATAAGGTACGAGCCCTGCCGAATCAGCAGGTGAGCCTTCTATTACGTCCAGGACATGCCACACATGACTCACGGTCTCGAGCGGGTTGCAAAGACGCAGAGTTAGACCTAGTAAAGATGGTTGTGCCCCACTTTGAGATTGGTCGTCAGACCATCTGCGAGAGGGGACAATGCTGACGTCTGAAGTATATGTCAAATAACATGTCATGACGACGCACCTCGATATTCCTGATGTTTGGAGTTCCACGTATTGATAATGATCGTGCGGCCTTCATTCTCTTCGACAGTGGACCATTTAGCATTTGGTAGCTTAGTATCGGAAGGAATACCGCGCGGGAATTCAATGCCAAGATCCGCAAGCGGGCGCCCATTAATACCAATACAAAAGTCAAAAAACGGCTCACTGTAATGCGTTGGCAGTTCATTCAATTCATGCAACGTACAAGCCGGCATACTGAGCAGGACTTCTCTGAGCAACGCGAATAACATGATACCCCTGCTTCGGAGCTAAAAAGAAGTTAGTTTGGCGTTACTGAAGCATACCTAGTCCGTCCGACTCAATACGGCTCTCGTTCGCACCCATAAGTGAGTCAAATACGGTAAAGTCCTAGTTACCTTCGCCGTCGGCACGGTGGAGATCTCAACTTTCAACCACGTGGTGTAAGTTAACTGAGAAAGACAACTGAGATGTCTCTTCATAATCTAGCGTCGCAGTTCTTTCTACAATCCATGAAATATAACCTTTTCATGAACTACCTGAGGAATGATGTGTGGAATAGTGTTCAATAATAAAAATCTTGCCACAGTGGCTCTCATCATTACGAAACTTAGTTGCCAAGGATAAGATCGGCGGCAATTTCGGCAATACCGTACACTACCGACTCCAAATGGCATGACATCGAAAGGGGTGGAATTGAGGCATCAGCGACACGCAAGTTGCTTGTACCATGTACCTTAAGATTAGGGGCAACAACACCTCCCTCGCTCCTCGGCAACATCGAGCAGGTGCTACTTGGATGGTATTCGGTGCCGGCATTTTCGCGAATCCAGTTTTCAAGGTCCTCATTCGACTGCACGTCAGAGCCAGGTGAGTCCTCGTGGGCAATGAGGTCCTTGAGAGGAGACTCTTGTGAAATCTTGCGAATCAGTTTAAGTGACTGGCGCAACATAGTCATGTCCATATCCTCCTTCAAGTAGTTCGGGTTCATCAGAGGCCACTCGAAGGGATTCTTGTTCTTAATTCGAACATAGCCACGCGACAGAGGGTGTTGCAGAGCAGCTTGGATGTTAATACTGCCGAAGATAAGATTGCCTAGAATCTCCACAGGCGATACGACATCTTCGCCGAAGACGTGCTGAGCCATAGACTCATAGGTCTTCTCGTGGCCCCTGCGCACAGCCTCATTCTTCTTGCCTTCACCGGCAAGCTCACGGGCACGCGCTTGGAGCTTGGAGCGCACGTGATCAGGGTGCTTGAAAAGACTCTCGAAGTTAACGTACGACACAGCAGAGTTGACGTAAGAATCAGTCTTCTTGTTGCCAGTGATCTGTTGAGGTGCAACGTCCTTGTCGTTCTTAGCACGGAAAGACAGGCCGAAACTAATATGATCCTGAAGATTCTCACCGACACCAGGCAGGTCAACCACAACATCAATACCGTGACGGTTCAGTAGATCTGAGGAACCAATACCTGAGAGTTGCAGGATCTGAGGAGTGTTAATCGCACCAGCGCAAAGAATAACTTCCTTGTTGGCGTGTACTGTGTGCTCCACTTCGTCTACACTCGCTTTGTAGTGCACACCCGTGGCTTGAACGTGGTTCTTGTCAGAACGGTCAAAGATAACCTGGGTTACCAGGTGGCCAGTGAGAACTTGCAGGTTGTTACGGTCAGAGATTGGATCCAGATACTCGTTACGCGAGAAGCTGCGCTGCCAGTTACGCTTGTTCATAGACGAGAGTGCAACATATGTACCATGGTTCTCGCCGTCATAGGCATCCTTGACTCGGGGGACAGCTACTTTAGACGCAGATTCAATAAAAGCACCGACGGGCCCATACGTTACAGCGGGCCAAGTAGTGTGAATTGGGCCATTCCGTCCATGCGACCTACCGTCATACTCAATATGGGCTTGTTCGCGAACACTCTTAAGAGGAGTTTGAAGCTTCTCGCTCTTCTTCATACCATTAAGCAGGTTGTCCCAACCCCAGTGGTTCCAGCCGTTTTTGCCGGCGAGCTCGGCCCAAGCGTCAGCTTCTTCCCGACTAGGACGAACATAGTAAAGACCGTTGATCGCACTGCTACCACCAAGGACTTTTCCACGGGGCCAAGACTTTTCCTTTCCATTCAGATGTTTTTGGGAGGTTGTCTTGTACTGCCAGTCGTACTGTGTGTTGACAGCAGAGTCATACAACATGGCTGAGGGGACGATAAACTTGTCGTTGTCCTCATAGCCAGAGGGTCCAGCCTCAATGACAGCCACTGAGTTAGAACCATCAGCAGAGAGGCGATTAGCCAGTACCAGACCGGCTGTACCACCACCAACAATCACATAGTCAAAAGATTTGCCATCGATGTCCCAACCATTACCAGTTGTCGCGCGCCTAGTGTAATTATGGACCTCGCCGACATATGCCGATACTTGTGAAATAGAGAAAACAGAAACCACTGAGAGGGCAGCGGCCCAGCTGAACAATCGAGTCATCGTAGCACCCAGCAGTTCGAGGCAATGAGGGGAGGGAGCGGGAATATGTCTGGCGCTGGAATCTACTTGGCATTATTATACCCATGAAATAAACAACACCACTGTGGCGAAATTGAACAGTCTGCCAGGGCGCGTGCCGACGCACCTGTCTGCAAAGAAACTCTGACATGTTCAGCCAACATGCGTAGCTGTGCATTCTACTCGTGGAATTCCGGCGGCTAGGGCAAGTCAGAGAATGTCTTGCATCCAATCCATTCCAAGCACTTTGGCGTTCTTGCATGGGCAAGTCTGTATTTTACTCATGTGTACGTAATCATGTTGGAACTATCACTATTAACTCAATCCAACCCCAGTGTCAAAAGATTGTGCAATTCTTCGATTGTCTAAATTATCTATGCAGCGTACTGTACTACTTTTATGCAACAGTGCTCGTAGCAGCGGTGGAAAGAACATAAGAAGGAAGTATTTATATATGAAGTTAGAAGGAGATGTAAAATGTGAAAAATGCAACAACAACGCTCATTAGAATGGTAGAGTAAACTTTGGAGCTGGTGTACAACGTGGAGCTCGCGTCTTGAGCATTGTTGTCGGAGTCACTTTTGCCAGTCGAATTTTTTGCGCCAGCGCTAGCTGCGCCTCCTGAATGGCCATCTGCGTCCTTAGCATTGCCATTATCTTTCTTTTCGCCGTCGCCACCAGAGTTTGATTGTTTGTAAGCATCCAAGACAACTTCAGCACCAACCTCAGCGACGCCGTATACAAGAGACATGAAATGCGATGCGACCACAAAAGGCACCACAGAGGCATCTATGACACGCAAGTTCGACGTGCCATACACCATAAGGTTCTTGTCAACAACACCGCCTTTGTCCTGAGGAAGCATCGCAGCAGTACCACTCGGATGATACTCAGTGCCGACGCGATCACGAATGAAGTTATCCCAGTCTTGATCAGACGTCACGTTTGTTCCAGGATGAGTCTCCTGGTCCAAGAACGAATTCAGAGGCTGCGCCTGTCCTACTTCACGTGCAAGCTTGAATGCACCTCGAAGCATGTCCAAGTCCGAACTTTGTTCAAAGTAGCGGGGGTCAATGTCAGGGGCCTGGAATGGATCATTCGAGTTCACTAACACATGACCACGAGAGAAAGCATGCTGTAGAGCCGATTGAACCTGAACCTGGCCAAATGCCATAGAGAAAAGCATCTCAATGGTTGCGACGTTCTTTTGGATAACCCCAAGCACAGTCGAGTATGTCAAGTCGTAGCCTTTCTTGGCGGCGTCCGTGCCATTGTATGCATCGACAGCCTTAGATTTGTTGCCCTTCACTTGGTCGATATACGAGTTCCATTGATCCTTGAGAACTTGTGAACCATTCACATATGCAACTCCATTGTTTGTGTAAGAGTTGACCTCCTTTGACTCATTGGTATCCGAAGGCGGCATCTTTGTGCTATCCTTAGGGTGCCATTCGACACCTCCAGAGATGTGGTCCTGAAGGTTGTAGCCAACAGCTGGGGATTCGAGCACAACATCGATGCCTTTAGATTTCAAGAAGTTCTTGTCACCAATACCAGACAGCTGTAAGATCTGAGGCGTATTGATAGCGCCGCCGCTGACGATAACCTCGCGACCAGCTTTGACGGTGTATTCGTCAGAGTTAGGGTCCGACTTGAACTTCACATCGGTAGCCTTAATCTGCTTACCACTTGTGTCAAATTCGATTTTTGTAACCAGGTGGCGAGTAAGAACATGAAGGTTCGAGCGATAAACGTAAGGGTCATAATAACCAGTGCGGGCAAAGCTACGCGTCCAATTAGACGGGTTGATGTTCAAGGTTGCCACGTAAGTTCCAAGATTAGTGCCACCGTAGGGGTCCTTGGCATGCGGCGTGGCAACGCTCGAGCTGGCATTAACAAACGCACCGACACAGTCGTATGTCACTGCAGGCCAAGTAGAATTGATCGGGCCATTCATTCCATGGGAGTCTGGGTTGGGTGAAATTTGATCAATTTGGGCCACAGAGTCCAGCGGTGCGGTGAACGCTTCTGACTTTTTCATGGCCCTGTACATGTTATCCCAGCCCCATAGATCCTTAGCACCGATCATGTCGCCCCACGCATCCTGCTCGTGGACACTGTGACGAACGTAATAGAGACCGTTGATAGCACTGCTTCCACCGAGAACTTTCCCGCGTGGCCATGGGGCAACCCTATTATTCAACTGTGGTTGCGGAACCGTCTTGTAATGCCAGTTCATGTACGTTTGACCCGGAGAGTTGTACAAGTTCGCAGCGGGTGGCAAGATCTTCTCGGACTCGTTCTTGGCCGTCCCAGACGTACCAGCTTCAATTACAGCCACTGTTATATTGGGATTCTCAGTCAAGCGCGACGCGACCACAAGACCGGCGAGACCACCACCAATAATCACATAGTCAAATGTTTTCCCATTGAACTCAGAAGCATCTGTTGAAGCCGTATCACGTTTACGAAGCTCGCGGCTAAGACGAGCAACGGAGACATCACTTGCAGAGACAACAGCAGATGCGACAAGCGCTACGAGGACCAGCAAGAATGGCGTCACGCCCAACATCGTCACTGATGCTGAATGTGTTTCCAGCCAAACGTAGCAAGAAGTTAAAAATATATGGGTGGCATTAGTCTTAAAATTGGCGTTCGTACACGTGTGTTTATGCACAGACGCGCACCGCTGGAATCCCGCCACGCATGTGGCAAATGCCCGATTTCAAATCAGGGACAAAATCGGATCCAAGTATGACTTAACTAGTGAAATATCATTGGCATCTGGGTGGCTAAAGTCTCTAATTGGATACGTGTGCGTATTTAACGCATGAATGAGCGTTTTCGAAAAGCACATCCAAATCTGCATGGGAAACGAAACAATCAATCAATGAAGCCACCTTTAGTGAGTGCATCTCGTGCTGCACGATTAATGTGCTTAAATCGCTCCGGGCCTAGTAAAACACCGCCAAACCAACGTGTCACAACAACCAAAACATTCTCGACGCGCTGTTATAACATGCATAAGTTTGTGTAATCGCCTTATACGCACCAGTAATGTGAGTAAATGGGCCAACCGACCACCTGCGGCTGTTTCGCCATTGTCATCGCAATCTGTCACACGTTAATCAAGTTACCTGCCTCGTTGCTAACCTACCGTGGTGACATACTCCATCAGGTGTGCGACAGACCCATGCATGAATTACAGGATGTGTGGCACGCTGAATTCGTTTGTCAGACTCAAGAATATGCGCGAGTATGACAGGGACCTTCATGATGTCAGTTACAATGACCGCCGCTCACTTACTTCATCTGGGTGAGAGATTCTTGCCGCGTGACCTAGAAATTCAGACTTTCTTTCCAGTATCGTGTCGCTGTGGACGAGTGATCGCAAATCAGCTTGGCGGGAAGAGGCGGTTTGAGGCTTTTGGTGCGTGTCCCGCGGCGCTTCATCATCCTCATAAGACACAGATTTGGATCGTTCATCCCACCAATCTTGTAGAGATTCCGAAGCACTATCTATACCTTGGAATAGGACAGGTTCACCTTTAACCCATGGTGCTGAACCTTCTGGTGAGAAGGTATGGCTCAGTTTATCGCGAATTGCATCATCGATTTGGAACGAGCCCAGCGTTCGATTTACCAGTTCCAAGGTTGGTGCTTCATCGCAATTTGGATATCCCTTAGGGAGTCGGACTTGTAATTTTACGTGAATGTCGCCTGATTTCTGCCATGGCAAGCGCACAACAAACAGGGTGGGCTCGTCCACGTTTGCGCCAGACTTAAGTTCAACCTCTTCCATCCCGTATATAGATTGAAGAGCTATGAGCTCGTGTGCGAGTTCATCAGCGTTGTTGGCTTGCTTTTCACTCGGAAATCGCTGGGTATCTTGCAGCGCCTCTATCAAAGCGTTCATCTTCGCGAGATGAAAGTTGAAGCGACACACGCCTTTTTACGTAATTCACATTGCATAACGCGCATTAAACAGAGAAAGCCTAATCCTACAGCCTCGCACAAGCGTAGTAAGAGCGATGACGTCCTTATGGACTCAGGCATCGTCCTTAATGTACGTGCAACGGCCCATATTGACAATTTTCAGAGGGAGAACGAATATATCTATCAAATATGCAGTGGATGAAACACGCCCACCGTACGTGACATGACGTCAATAACATTACTAGGATCTGGATTGGGCCTTGGAAAGTACAGTCTGCCACAAAAAAGACTGCGTCGTCTGGGCACTTGCCTGCATCTGCAATGGACACATTGGCGCGTCAAACTGTGTCTATATGGATGTACTCGCCCGTATCGAGAGGTGCTATGCGAGTGAAAGAAATTGAGCACCTAAAGCGCGAGGTAGGTTTGTCCGCAACGTCGGAATAGCTGACACCTTCCCAGGTCACCACGCTGTCTCGATTGAGGCATCCATGTATTCTGGAAGTTGTGGAACCATTGGAAGAAAGCCGCTCCAACTTCATGTTCGCAACAGAGCAAGTCATTGCTAGCTCTCATACCATGATGCAAGAGACGACAAACCCTGACATGCAACTAGACGAAGTGGAAGTGCAAAAAGGCTTTCTCCAGATTGCTCAAGGGCTAGAGTTCTTGCATGATGCTAAGCTCATACATACTAATTTAACATCAAATGCTGTGGTTATCAATGCCAAGGGCGATTGGAAACTTTGTGGATGTGCCTATTTGACGAATGTGTCTGAGATCACGAGCGACAGGCACTGGGCATGGGAGGACGATGAACATGCTTTGCCTGAGATGATGCGGCGTGATGTGGATGTGATGGACCCGGTGTACGTAATGGACCACAAAGTGGATCCGAGTAACGATATGTACTCGCTCGGCATTTTATTTTTCATGGCGTTGCATCACGGTGCAAAACCTTATCAAACATATGGTAGTATCAGTGCAATGTGCACCTATGTCGAGGAACTTTCCAGCAGGATCCACACATCGACGTGGGATATGTTGGGAAGCGATGCTCAAAGTACGTGCAAGGGGGTGGGAAAGAAACTGGGGTTAACTGACCTAATGAAAGATATCTTGATGCACCTCATTACGCGAAAAGATACGGATCGATATTCTGCTAAAATGTTTCAACAGCTTCCATATTTTAATAGTATGCTCGTGCGCATCCTCAAGTTTATGGAACGTGAAAGCTTTTCTACACGGTCGAGATCGGAGCAAGTGCAATTCCTTCGAGGCATGTATAAAATGCTGCCGCAATTCTCCATGGCTTTGTTGCGACGGAAGCTTCTACCTAATGTAAGTACCACAAAGACTCACAGTAGTTGCTGGAAGCCTCCCCGGACAAGGCACTGTTGCCCTACATTCTTCCGAATGTCTTTTTCATCGCAAAGCACTTCTGTACGTTGTGATGCATGACTTACACAGCACAACTTGAGTTTACATCCAGCGTCCTTCCGCGATTAGAGCCGCACTTCCGAGTGCATGATCCTCCTCAGTGCCAGAGTGCGTGTGATTGAGTTTTTTCTAGACTTTTTCCTAACGTGACCACAGTGTTGCTGCTAAATCATACGGACTTGATGGTCAATAAAACGACACCGGTTGTATTTCGAGACCGGGTGATGCCGTTATTTTACTCTGCCTTTGATCATGAGAACGTTGCTGTGCAGGAGAATGCTTTGCAGCACATTCCCAAACTGTGTGGCATACTAGATTTTTCGCACGTCAAAGACAAACTGCTACCCAAGCTCACTACGGTGTTCTCAAAAACTAAAACACTATCTGTTAAAGTGAGCAGCTTGGTATGTAAATGGTATTCCGTGGTTGATTCCCTGACTTGTAGATCTGTTTCCATGCGATGATTCCTTTGCTGGACAAAGTGAGTATCATGGATACCTTGCTGCCGACTATGGGTCGAATCAAGACACGCGAGCCCTCCGTTATGGTAGCATCGCTTGCAGTTTATGAGGCACTGTGTGAAAAGGTGGATTTAGAGACCAAGGCTACTGTATTTTTACCTCGTCTTTGGGTCATGGCGATGTGTCCGTTGTTGAATGAGACCCAATTTCATCGGTTTATCCGAACAATCAAGAGCCTTGGAGAAACAGTCGAACAGGAACAGCTTGCACATATTCGTGAGGCAAGTCACCTGGAGGTACAAACAAACGAATCAGCGCAACAGTCTGCAAGCAATGTTACGCCCATTCCTTTGAATGCAGCTATTGCATCTACGGGCGATATCGATTTGGAGGCGTTGGTGGGGCACGCTCGTTACGAAACCAGTGTGCAAGCCATGGAGAATCTTCTTCCCTCTTCTTCATCCATGACAACTACCACATCCACGCCGTCACAGACCAAATCGGTGAATATGACATTGCAGACGGAAACACCCGCCCGCTCAAAGTCGTCCAATACTCCCGACATGAGTGGACACAATTCCACGTCATGTACCGGCACACAATCTCCAGGTTTATTTGATGCGCTTGTTCCTTCTAGCACACGCATGTTAGCTCCACCTTCGACAGTCAGTACGCAGCTCAATAAGCCGCAGACTGTGCAGCCACCACCAGGATGGAGCGGCGGCATGTTAACGCCTGAGTCAAAGAAACCAACAACATCAATCCCAAAGAATCCCTCTAAGGCGCAGTGGCAAGACTTTGATCCACTCAAGTAACTCAGGCTCCTGCCGCATCATTGTCGGCTACGTCCTCGCATGCATCAATCCATTGTGAATAGACATCAATCGGCTGAGATAGAGTGTCTGTATCTGCCGAAAAATTTTGCCCACATATCTTGCAACTTAAGTACCCAATACGCGCCTTTTCGTCACTGCATGTTAGCTCTTCTTTGCTCCGTCCAGCTAGCTGACGCCACTGGAACCTACATTTTGCACGAAACAGCGCGCTCGTGATGGCAGAAGAGACATGTGAATACGGTATCTGAAAAAAAAAAATTAGTGTCCATTCCAATGCAACGTACCAAGCGGTGGCATTTTCTTGCGCCCTGCGCCAGGTGTGCGAGTTGACTTCTTGCGTTTGCCCATCTTCCTCGAAGCGTCAGGGATGCGTCGACAACTAGGATCGTGCCCGTTGGCTCACACGTTTGCCTCTACTCGTCGTGCAAGCATGTGGGTGTGCGTGCACACATGCATGTCACGTGCGAACACACGTTGTGGAGTATGAGTGGGTGGCATGGGTACATGGACACAAAGGTGGACAGTCCATAAACGAACCAAATTTTAGGTTTCGTCGGTAAAAAGTGAACCGGCCACCGCGTGCGACTCGTCCACTGAGCTTGTGTCGTGACTGAAGCTGCTACCTGCGTACATCAGAACAGGACAGAGCGAATAATATATATATATATATTTTCAGCATGACTTCAGAGATTCCTAAAGACGATGCACTCGTTCGTAGCAGGGGATCAAATATATGGATCGCTGCAGGTGATGGTGATCTGGATCGTGTGAAGTATCTATTAGAGCATGAAGGTGTGTCTTCGTCAACATCCATGAGGATGGAAAAAAGCTAACATAGCGCTCAAGGAATGATGCCAACAAGCAAAGACGAAGCAGGGTATACGCCATTGCACGCGGCAGCGTCGTACAACAAACAAGGTGTCTTGTATGTTCTGAGAGTCATGTATGAACTAACAGCAGGCGGTATCTCTTGCATTCCAGAGAAGAACCAAAAGAATCCATCAACGTGGAAGACAATGATGGTGAAACGCCCCTATTTTTCTGTGAAACAGTGGATATGGCACGGTTACTTGTGGAAGAACTGGGCGCCGATATTGCGCACCGTAATGAAGCGGGTCTCTCTGCAGCAGAGAACGCACGTGTGAATGATCTTGAAGATGTCGCAATGTACCTCGCATCGAAGACAGGCGAGTCACTCGCGCCAAGGGCATCCATTCTCGAACGGATTGGCGAAGAAGAAGAGGATCTGGAGTTTTTGGCGCAAGGACGTGAAGAGGACGGGGTGGGTGTCAGGAACAGCGAAAGTGCCATCGTCACTAATGACGGCGACGACGGCGATGTCGACGATGTCGATGATAGTCCTCGAGTAAATGCATTGATGAGTCGCATAGAAGACATTATGCGACGCGCGGACGAAACTCAAACTGATCCTACTGAAGAGCTGCGTCAAATTGTAAGTGCAAGTATTGCACGGCAAATTGTGGAGGGCTATGGTAATTAGGCGGTCTTGGACTCATCGTCACCAAGCTCAAATGCCTGCGTGATGAGCGCGGAAACGGAACCAAGATGCTCGTCACCAGGTTCGTTTCGGAACACTGCGTGGTTAGTACACATGGTATACAAAGAGGGGATGCGTGTCAAGAAGACGTACTGAACAAGAGCGATTCAGACAATGCAAGCACATCGTTTTTCGAAAGCTTCTCTTTGCCCCCAGCATGTAAGCGGAAGAACCAAGCGGTGGTACCTGCCAAATCACAGTCAAGGAACATGATTTCATCGAGACCCGTGATGATGTTTTGCAGCGTCAAAGAGCCGCAGTGTTCACGATCCCAAAAGTCAAAAAGGCGTCTAGCAAACGTCTGGTCTGGTATGCGGCGCTCAATACGTTCTTGAAGCCCATTCATGACAATATATTCATCGCGTGCCCACGTCGCCATCTCACTGAGGAAAATGCGGAACGTCGTGAAGTTCACGCGCATTTCCTTTAGGTCCTGCTTCGGATCGCTCACTGTGACGGGTTTTTCGCCACCGGTCAGTGAGTCGGGCGCATTTCGAGCACGGTAAATAGACTCGACGACATGGTCATAAATTAGACTCACCTGCGCCTTGCTAAAGTGACCGTAGTCCTTGAGGTTCCGGATGGCACTGCGGCGTGCGAATCCCTCGATTTCTTGCACAATCTGCTGGCGGAATCGCTTGCGTTCTTGGTCAACCAAGTCATTCGTTATGATGCCAAACTCGCGGAAGCCAATAACCAATAGTTGCTGGAACCGCGTGATTTGTTGCCGGCGTTCATCTCGGCTTTCGGGATAGGCACTATCGCCGAGCGTGCGGAAGTAGTTGCGCAATAGACCAATGAGAGTGCCATCGTCCGTCACGCTTAGGATTGCTTCGCCGTTGATCTTGAGGATGGCCAGGCCGATTTGGAAGAGCACCTGCGAGCCAAATGCCATGAAACAGTCGACAATACGAAATGCAAACACCATCGGCATGCTGTTGATATACAAAGATAGCAGCCACGGGAGTGTCACGATGCTCAATTGCATGTCATACTTAATAAAGTGCTCGTGCAGCACGGGCATCGTCTGTTGAACGAGGTGTTCAAACACTTTCTGGTCGAGCAATGTGCCAGACATGCTCTGAGTGTAATAGCCGGGCAGAAGGCGCTCGCACAACGTATCGAGCATCCAGAAACATTGTTCTTCTGACATGTAAATCAGTAGAGCAGCCACAACAATGTTCATTGCTTGGCAATAGCCTAATTCGCGATTTTTCCAGCTGTATGCCACCAGAACGCGACGGAGTGTTTCAATGCCCTCGGGCGTTTGGTACGCAGCGTATTCAGGAAGTGACCGGTTCAGATCTTTTTCAATTTCCTCCATGCTTGTATTAGACTGACCTTCATGCTCTTTTAAAATAGCAGCATATTCACCACTATGCGCCATCCGCTGGAAAATCGAGCCACTTGCGACCTCCCAGAGCTCACCGCGCAGCATGTTCGGCAATCCCACTTGTACGAGCCGAGTGAATTGTGGATACCTTACAATCGTGATGTTCCGACCATGCGTGCGCAAGTACTCCGTCCACAGACGAGTCTTGCTCTTGTCCTTGAGCTTTTTCGGATCGCCTGGAAAACCGAATGATGCACCGAGTCCTATTTGATACATAGGCGTTTCATCTGCGGGGGCTGATGGTGGTGTCAATGAGGACGATGGTTCTGATGAAGTCGCCGCACCCATGCCCTCTTGTACGTCTTCACGGTGCTTGCCCTTAGCACTGACGTGCGTGTCCAATGCACCCTGCAAAAGCGCCTCACTGTAGCATGTGGCGAGGAATGGCTTCAGCTGCTTCATTTCACCGAGATGTGCGCGTAATCGATCGCGCATTGCATTACAGAATCCCTCGCAAGATGGTCGTAATGCATTGAGCTGGAACACTAGCTGCATGCCGTGCCAGACTGTGATGCTCAGCGCAAAGACAGCATCACGTGTATTAAGCCGTTCAACGCGACGAATAGTCGCAAGTGGAATGGCAACACGGCAGCCGCGGCCACGATCTCCTTGGCTTGCATAGCACAAGAACGAGGGCGTCAGCGTAAGTCGACCGGCAAACACCAGATCCTCTCGAACTTCATTCGAGTCAGGATTTGAGAGGGACAAGATGGCTGATAGGATCTCCGCTCGGTTTCCTGCCTCGTCTACATATGGTCCTTCTGTAGGTGGCAGGCCAAATGCATGTGCAAATTGTTGCGCCCGCGTAGGGGGGCGGTAGTCTCGCAAGGAATGTACGATCGTCGACATAGGATATGTGTCCCGGTCGTTGGACGGCCCAAATTCGCGCTCGGTCGTTACAAGAGCAGTGAGTACGAAGTGTGGGCCACAGCAAGCACACGTTGTCTCACACGCGCATTGACACACAGCGGATTGGCTGAAATGGCATCAGGTCCTGTTCCTTCGCCACGCCACCACATGTTCCACCTGCAGCCGCCCCCTTCCCCATTGTCATGAGCTCTCCACTAATTACATCAGCCTTTAGACACACCAACCAAACAAATCCCAATACGGAATACAGAGCCACGGCAAGGCAGCTACAATGTATACTCACAAACACACACGCAATCGAATAGAGAATCCGTACAGTGGTGTGGCCAATGCAAAGGGGGGCGGGGAAAACGAGGCGAAGAGCTAATCTACTAACAAGCCTGGTCATACAATGTGCTAGGAGCAAGAATCAGTTTACTTGATCTTGTACTTGGCAGCAACTTGGTCAAGTTCATCTGCCTTGGCGCGGAGCTTGGCAGCATTTTGCTTTGCACGAACTCGCTGGTAGCCACGGTCCGTACCGAGAAAGTGGTCCCACCAACGGAAACTTGTCGAGTAGCAGCCAAGGAAGGCCATGTGGTGGTAGTCGTGGTGGTCGGCACCTGCCCAGAAGGGAATCCAGTTGTGCAGACTAATAGGGAAGTCGTAACCAGAGTGAGCATCGACCGCCTGGAACAGACGGAGCACAATCCAAATGTACACGGTCAAGATATGCAGGTCCTTGGTATAGGCACACAACAGGAATGGGCCACCAATGGTGCCGAGACCCAGGATCAGGACTTCCAGAGGGTGCGCATACTCGGCCGCAAGACCGAAAGGTGCAACGTACTCGTGGTGGATCTTGTGAATGTGCTTGTACAGAGGACCATAGTGCATTGCACGGTGCGCCCAGTAATGGAATGCATCCTCAAACACAAAGAACAGGAGCGATTTGCCACAGCATCTTAGTCCAGCTAGGGAATGGTACCTCGTGCGTCGTCAGGCCGAGGTACTCACAGATGGGATGAAAACTCCAGATCTGAGGAAGCTCAACAGTGAAGTGACTAAGAAGCACAAGACGCGTACACCGCCACTGATCAGCGAGCGTTGGCACATAGTTCTAAATCAACGTGTCAGTAGATCCAGCATTCACACACACAGAGTACATACAGGCTGCAATTTGTACTTTCGCATTGACGGCATCGCATCAATAATCATCCAAGGAATCGATCGTCCAAAGTATACAATTTCGTGCAGGAGGAAACTCATCACACCTGTTGCAATGACCGGGTTACCCCAGTACTGGTACCATTGCACCCAAAGTTGTTCAGCGTAAGAGAGTTTCGAGGTATCAAGGTCTGCATAAAGAACGTGTGCAGGCGTGGGATGTCCTGTGAGACTTTCAAGCGTATGATTCAACGATGTTGCGAATGTCGCCATGTGGGGAATGGTCGTTGATTGTGAACAAGGGTCGTTCGACCGTAGGTCGACCTAAATTTGGATCCAAATCGCGCCTTTTGTGCCATTCAGAATCGCACCACTTTGGACTGTCCACGTGCAACACGCATGACACAAACCGCGTGATACCACTCTCGATGCTTATATGATCGGCACACGCGGCCACTTCCTGTTCTCGTGTGGAGTAAGGGAGGCGACGCTGCCAAGTCCATGTGGCATCCGTGCAGGGTAGAAAGCGTCTTTTAGTTCGCGGAAAAAATCTATTCGCATCTTCTTCTTTAACGCTTACATTGCCTAAAGGCAATAGACCCCGACTTCTATAAAAGCACCTCTTCAGTAGAACTAGGCGGACTTTTCTCCCACTGGGGGTCAAGGGCGTCATTCCATGATTGTGTGAGGTCGTAAAGGAGCCGGAGAACCATACTCTCCCGGCATGTCTGGGAGCGGGACGATGGGGCTGGGTGCGTCGATGGGAATGATGAGTGTTCGTGCTCTCAAATGCCTACCGTCGCAAGGTCTCGTTGTACACACACGGAAGCAGGGCATGTTTGTCCCGTTCTTGTAGAGTAAAGAGTGATGTGTGTATCTGTATATATATATATATATATTTATATTTATGCGTGTGTGTGTGTGACCGTGAAAGAAACCAAGAACCGTGTGCTTTCGTAATCTACACCAAGGAGAGGACAAGAGGAGGGTAGGTGATTGCGAATGGGTGTACACAGCGCAGGGAAACAGTATGCAACAACGCGTGCAACGCGTGCGTATAGATTCACACTGACAAGTTGGATTTTAACACCCCTACGCCAACTCATTTAGGGGGCACGCAAACAGGGGGTTTGGGTGGGCTCGAGCCGGACAACATCGACTGGAGTGTTTGGCTTCCGGCAAATACGACACAAAAAATGCCGAAGGTGAACAACAGAATATCCATTACTTTTGCACGGTGTGTGAATGCACATGCCCGTAAATGCAAGAGCGGAGGGTAGATGAAGCACAGCGGCACACACGCAACGGAGCCGATCAAGCTCACGAACTTGTCGAGATCATTTGCGCCGAGCCAAGCAGCAAACATAGCAAGCACCACTGTAGCAAAGCGGAAAGAATTCTTAAGCATCTTTGTACGCAGACTAAACTTGCCACTACGCTTGAACAAGCCCAATTCAAGAATGGTGAGCGCAGGGAATAGCTGCAATGGCATCGAGAGCAAAATAGCAATGGAGTACAAGGCTTGGATGGCCTGCACGAAACGCGAATTGCCGGGCAAGTTGGTAATGACAACAGTCTGCGTCTCGCTGCCGAAGGTTGCATAAGAGAGGGCACCTGAAGCAGCAAAAAGAACGGTGACAACCAACATGACCCAAGACAAGGTGGCGGGAAACTTTCTTGGCTCTTTCATACTTTCCGTGATGGGAATCACAAGTCCTACCCCCTCAAATGTGAACACAGCTGTGCCTATAAAGAGAGGGAAGTTTTTGCTGTTAAACATGACGACATCGCCGAACCCGTAAGTGGCCAGAGAGCCAATCTCATAGTAGAATAGGTACACAATACCCGCAAGAATAAACACGTCAGCAATCAATGCGGTAGATGATAACTTGGCAATCTTGCGCACAAGACTCAGTGGAAGGAATACAAGCGCCTGGGCCACAATGAGCGTCGCATGTGAGACCAGGGTCCGGCATTGCGTGAGCGACAGAATTAGTGCCTGCATGTTCTCCGCCACAAACACCGTATATGCCGCGACAAAGCCCAACTGCGACACTACGATAGAAGCAAGGATCGCATTGCGCATGTATGAGCCATACAGAATGCCACCCATCTCGCCGAAACCAACATGCAGCTTTTGATTTGTCTGAACGAGTAAGAGAAACGACCACAAAGAAATTCCTGCGATCAAGCACATGATCACTGTTGAGAACAGCAGACCGCCGTTGAAAAACGCCTTGCCGAGGAACAGAATGCCTGTGCCGATAAACGACTTGAGAAGCATCAGTACAGCATCTAGCACGGATGCCTCGCCTTTGTGTTCGTGTCGACGACGTCCACGGAACGATGGAATCGCACCGTGCACCCGGCGTCGACGCACTAGCGGTGTCGTCTCCGAAGGACTTGCAGCCGTCTGCGCTTCTTCATCCATATTGCCATCCCCATCGTCATCATCATCCATGTCTAGTTCATAGTCGTTCAGCTCTTCACCAGCAAAGTGACCGTAAAGCATAAGGAACTCGACAAAGCTCTTGAGCGCACGGGGCGGCGGCTTGCCTTGTTCAGCTGCATGCGTCATGACATAGGAACGGCGAAAGCCGCCAGGCTGCTTCAAGATGTCAGAGTCGATGCCAGAGTCGAGGTCACGCGTGCGTGGAAGAAACACGCTTTCTGAACGACGAGGGCGCGGTCGGTTTTGGTGTGCCCAGCGGTACACGTCCTCGGTGATAGCGCCGCCTTGCATATGATGCGGTGCCTGGTACTCGTCCTCGTGTGTGGACAAGCGGCCACTGGCTGCGGAGATAGCCGATGCACTTAATGCAGACGCGGTACCATCTGGTTCTTCGTGCCCATCAGCACCAGTGCTTTGGTCATCAGGAGTGACCAAGTAGCGCTGGACGTGCATCGCCTTGTCTGTGTCGGGCATGGGATGAGACTCCAGTTCCCCATAAGGTGACGTGGGGCGATGATACGAAGACGCATCGCGCTCGGCGGACAAGATGGACGCCTCTCTCGCATCGGCTGATGCGTTTGCACCGTCCCTCTTCGTCGTGTTGGACATTCTTGCGTCTTGACTGGACGACCAACAACAACAACAACGACGGTCCGCGCAGGCGGATCAATCCAAGCGTCTGCACAGGTTAGACCTCTGTCGCTTAACAGTCTGTATGTGCAGCTTTAGTCATACAGACGCACATGGACCTGGGTGTGGTTCTTTTTCTCCATCTGGCGCATGGCGCGCGCCTAAATCCCCATTGATAGCGTCTGTTTTCTGCCCGGCGTGGGATGGCGCACAAATCTATGCGGGCGCGGTGGGCCAGGTGACTGGCCGGTCCATCCAAACAAAATTTAGCGCCACGGTATGGCACAGTGGAGCAGCACACAAGGCCAGTGGCGGGGAGCTTTCCAAGTCTGCCGACAAGTACGCAAGGCTGGGCTCCACAGAGGTTGTGTAGCGGCCTCGAGAACTGTCGGCAACAATGTCCACCTCAGATGTTCAGCGCCACGCACGAGAGGATGGGCGAGTGCAACGTCATTCTGAACGAGAAGACGTGCACGGCAACAATGAGGAGGAACAGCATGCGCCTCTAACGGCGCGGCAGAAAGCATCTTTACGCTTTCTTCAGGTGAACACGCCTATTAGCCTGTTGTGCTGCATTGCAACGGCGCTCTTTGCCGCAATGATTGTGCCTTCAATTCACTATGTGTTCCGGAGTCAGCCGACGTACTTTAGTATGGCACCGCTCATGCTCCTTGCGTACAGTATCGTTATGTTGCTGTTCGAGTTTGGCTTTTGTTTGCTAGCTGTCATCACACCTAACCCACACACACAGCGATGCATTGTACAGGGTGCAGGCTCAAGACTAGCCTTGGCAAACTACATGCTATCGATGTGGCTTTTGTGTCGTATTATCGACAGCACGACAACCATGGTGATTGGCTCTTGTGTGCTTGTTGGCATTGCAATTCTGACGCTAACAAATGGTGTTGTATTGCGTGCCAAGTACCGCGCACGTTGGATGCATCCATTAGAGTTGCTCCTCGTGCATGTGCCGAACAAGCTGGTCTTTCTTTTTGTAGCCCAAGTTTTGTTGTGGGATCAGCTAATGCTCACATGGGGCTGGGACCGCAGCCTTGGAAGAGACGCACTGGCTAAGGGATTTTGGTTTGCTGTTTGCGTGCAAACCTTGTCCGGCATTGGGCTCATTGTTTGGATCACGTACACGTGCGATGTGTCAGTATATGTGATTTCGATGTTCCTCGACGCTGCTGTCCTCAAGTTTTACAAGATGCCCATCATCGGCCCGAACGCGCGGCCCTTTATCCTCACAATCATCTTCTTTGTCTCAATGTTTCTGCGGACGATTGCACTGCTTGTTCCCGCAATGCTGCAGAATGGATTCCTTGTCATATGTCATACTCACAGGCGTCATGTTCCGGATGCACCATACGAAAATCCAGCTGTCGAAGATGTGTCCACTTCTACGCCCAGTGCTCTACCGCCGCCCTCATCCGCGCAGCCTTCAGTTGGGGCTGGTGCTTCCAACGACAATGATGAAGAGTCGACTGAGCGCACACGACTGCTTAGGCACACTGATCCTGCCTATGGCGCCGTTTCGTCGGCATGACGCTTTTGTATCTGCTGCGTTTTCGATGTCCGCTATGAGTTTGTATATGTCCCAGAATTAGCCTACAAATCGGAAGCAATCTGCCTGTATAAAGTACTTGGCGACCGTTCGTGTTTCTGTCGCCTTGTCACTGTTAGCGATATTTTTACTGCCCTTGCCGCTGCCGTTGCTGCTCCTGCTTGGCATCCATACGAAAGGCACACCGCCTTCTGCCCCAGTTCCTGCCCCATTGATGAGGACGAACGACTGCGAAAATACTCTCGGATACGTCTCAATGGGCGCGTCGGCATTAAATTTGCGCTTCGATGATGCGCCACCGCTGCTATGGCCGCTGGCGCCACCAGTCGATGTCGCTGATTTTGGTGCATTGCTTTGATCCGTTGCAAGACTCTCTGGCGTGTAGTGAGCGACTGTACCAGAGACGTTCAACATCAACGACGGTGCCACATTTTGATCTGTAGTCGGGTTAGTATTGTGTGCTTCTCATACTACTCGTTTGCAGCGCAGCTAGCCTCATGCACACCGAGTCCTTGTAGAAGCAGTGACGCCATCGACAACCAGAGTGTCGGCGAGACCACAGATTCTTGTTGCCCCCGCGAGCTCGATACCAGTGTGGCAAGCGACTGGTATCAGAGATTCGAGACACAGGCTCGACACGAGGGGCGTGGACGTTGGTTCACATAAAATGTTGGAGCGAGCGCACGCTTCATACCCATAGGCATTGTACGTACCATAAGCATCAAATGGGCCTAGTGGGTGGCAGTCAAATGATTGGATTTCGTGTTGCGAGCCTGGGTGTGTTTCGAGCCATTGCTTGTACTGCGTGGCTCCACTGATGGGATTGCCGTTCCATGAAATTGACGAATTTGGTAGGTATAGCGAGGGTAAGAGGTTTCCACGTTGAGGCGAGTCAGACGCAGCGTAGTATGCAGTCACAAATGACTCTGATGCATTGGCCGTGAACTCCATGAGCCATGCAGGTGCACTGATGTGCTTTTTTTCACCCACCGACATGTTGGAGAAGGTGAGTAGCGCAAGCGTCTTTAAAACCACAAGCGCTACCACCAAATGATGCGGATCTATACGTGAAGTCGCGCGCCCGGTCGCTGCGACGATAAGTCGAAGGCCTGGTGGCGATCTGTTCCCTAGACGGTTGTCCGAAGTAGAAATGGTTTGAACTTCTGCAGGGACGAATGTACATTTCAGGTGGAGAGCGAGACGCTACGTATACCAGTTCCACCAATTGGGCCCCTTTTTTTTTTTTTGGCCCATTCGCATCCTTGGCCAGGATTAACCCAACTCGACCCATTGCTCCAGTGTACATACGAATACGACACATACTCATACAAGTTCACAATTCTTCAATCACCATGTCAGGGTCGCACTCCTCGCCGTCTTGTGCAGGAAGCTGAATGTCCTGGTCGTCTTTCATAGTTGCGTCTGTCTCGTCGCGCTTCAGTAGATTGACCAGTCGAACAATGGCCTCTGCAATCTGTTCCTTGTCTTCAGCCAAGTGCGCCTCACGCACAACAATGTAAGCACCTCGCTGACGCAGACTCTCACGACCATAATGGGAAGTACATAGCAACAAGAGGCACTCAACAAGCATAAGGCGCAATGCGCTGTCTTTCTCACGGGGCTTGTTTTCATCCACCAGCTGGCACGCCTCTGGCAACGACTCCTGATCCTCTATATCAACTTTTGCGAGTTCCTTTCCGTCAATCAGCGGCATCAATAAATACGGCAGGACATCCAGGGAAGGTCGATCGACGGGTGCGGCAGCCGGTGTAGGAGCGAGAAGAAGTTTGTGCGCATGCTTGAGGAAAAAAATATTCTTCAACGCACTAATGACGCCACCGCGACGAATCAAATCTGCATGTTCCGTATACACCATCATGCGGCCAACGGGGTAAGCATCGACAAGTTGTGGATCTGTGCCCTCCATGGGAGCAACAAAGAATTCGCGGCCCCGTGGCAACACTGTCACGTTCGCAAACACACTTGCCAGAAAGTTGCAAGTCGACTTGCGCTGGATGCGCGGACGACCATCAGGTCCCATGTCCACCGGCTTTGCCTCTGAGGCAGTAGCGGCCTCTTTCTTCGCTGCCTCGATACGAGCACGCATATCTGCATCGCTAGAGCGACTTGTCTCGACGGTAGCGCCCTCTTCAAATGCACGGAGGAGCTTGACGAGCGCGGGTACTTTGGCCGTCTCATTTGCATGCATTGAATTCGCGAGCCGTTTTGATGCAGCCTCGACGGCTTGTTTCTGCTCCTCATAATCGGGCTTCGAGGGGTCTGCATCCAAGCCTCGCAGGGCAACCTGGAGATCCAACGGCGAGAGAAATGAGTAGAAAGGCCGATCTTCCACCTCCATAGTAAGCAGGCGGGAGGCAATTGACTCAAACTTGGTAAGGTTCGATAGCAGCATGCATGCTAGATCAGCTAGGAGCGAGACCGAGTCGCCAATATATGTTACAAGAAAGGCCAAGAACTCTTCGTCGCCAATACGCGCCGCGACAGACGCCGTATCACACAGGTTGATCAGCGCACTGAGTGCATCGTGCACCGTGAGGGGCTGGTCATTGCAGAGCTTCTTCAGCTGCTCAATGACGTCCAAGGGCTCGCCCTTCGGCGTACAGACTGGCTTACCATGCGCATCTTTGAGTGGATCGATCAAAAGACGACGGTTGGGATTGTTTTTTCCACTAAATGACACGATGGATGACATAGCGAGCTGCCTTACCTGAGGATTCGCATCTGCGAGAAACACAAGTAGCTCATGACTCGCTGGCAATGCCATACTGATGGTGGTTACAACCCAAAGTCGTTGTCGTAATGATCGTGGCAAGGATGGCACCTATGGAGTGATTGGTTCATCTCTGATCGTTCTCATGACGAAACAGGAAAAATAATAAAAATTCGAATAATCAAATTCGTTGGAGAAAAAATAACCGCAGTAACCGCAACGGCGTCGACGGTGAGTAGATCTAATTTGGCAGGGCGCCATAATTCGGTCGGAAGTAGGGTTTAGAAGCACAGGAGAAGCACATCACATCGGACCGCACCGCGCACAAACAGTGCTAGCGGGAGGAGCGATGTGAATGACTTGCCGTGTAGCATGCGAACTTATCCCACGTACACAAAGAAAGGACTTTATTTCAGCTATACGTCGTAAAAAACAAAACAGCTACGTCTGCAAACTCAGTGGGAAACGGCTGTCTTGCCTTTTGCGCGACGGCGCGCGAGTACCTTTTTACCAGTTCGGGACCTTAGACGAGCGAGGAAGCCATGTTTGCGCTTGCGCTTACGCTGCGATGGTTGGTACTCTGAGCCATATGTTGTGAAGCGAACGCCGCCCAACTGGGGTATATGAAAAGGCATCTGTCGCTGAGGCAGAAGTGCGTGCCGTGCCATAGAAAGGATCGGCGATGGTGAACGAAGACGCGCACTCAGACTTGACGCTGTGCGTGCATACGCAATGGGCATGGATGTGGTGCGTGCACACGTTATCGAGTGGGAGGCTGGGCGACAAGCCGAGTTTCTTCGCATGCTGTTTGCGTGGTGAATTGGCATTCGTCCATGCCGAAAGGCCCGTAGACCAATGAACCGCGGAGCCGTCATGCTTTGATATACACGCGACGCCAGGTTCTCGGTCGTGCGTAGGTGCGAATGTGGACGTGGAAGAAGCAAATCAAGCCAGTGGTGCTGCGAGGCCTATCAGGTTCAACGAACAAAGATAGTGAGCGAGCGAATCCGCTCGCATTCACGTGACATAACCGGCGCCACTTGTTTTCCACGCTTTCCTCTCGTGGTACGGCTTGGCCACAGCCAGTTGGTCAGGCATGGGCTTGGAGAGCCAGTCGGCCCTCCACCCTTGTTCTTCCCTGAGCGCGTCGCGGCGACAGGGACAAAGACGCGACATTCTGGTCTTTAGGCCATGTGCCACATGAGAACATTCTTTTATATATACATCGGCGTGGTGCTATCAAATAGTTGCTAGTGCTGCTATCGCCGAACATGCCACTTCCACGGCCAATTCTAGCTCTTGTGAATTCCCCACGCTATGCATCGCGTACGTCCAAAGTATCCCCCGACGTTATCATCCCTGCGGGGCGGGTGGGCACGACGAAGCCGGCGCCTCAGGCGTCTATTCTCCAGGACCTGTTTCAACGCGTAGAAGCCGATTCACAACATCATGGCGTCGCTTGGGGCGAGTGGATGACATTGTTGACAGCGACGCTGTTCGCGCTGAATGCGCCTAGCTCGCTCCAGAGAATGCATACGTATGTGATGCGCCAAGGCCCAAGTCTGCGGCCCATTACAGAGCGGGTGAATCGTGCGTGCCTAATGCGCGAAGTTGGGCTTAAAGCATTAGGTCTCATCGGCACGCCAAAGGTACGTCTTTCTCGTGCTACTTTGGGTCGTTAACGCATTCTCTAGGGCATTAACAACTTGGCGGCGTTGCGTGCATCAGTTGACGCGGACGCTGAACTTGCTCGTCATATGCCGAACGACCCCCGTCGGTATGTATGATGGCATGGGAGAAGCGGGCGCGAAGCTCGTGGACTGTGTCATTTCAGCAAAGACGCGACTCTAACAGCAGACGACTTTCGCCTGAGCAGCTTCAGGACTGCTTCCAAGCTGGTTCAGACCTATTCGATCACATTTACTCGAGGCAGTCGCACAAACTGCGACAAGTCCTCACGCACAACCACCCTGACCTTGGGGAGTATATTTTGAACTTCCAATATGGCCCACTTTTTGCGCCTGCCTCGCAGTATTTGCACACGTCTGAGCCAGTGTGGGAAGTGAATCGTGTGCGGATGAGTCTGGTGGCCATTGCTGCATTGCATGCACAGGGCGGCGTTGCGCCGCAGGTCGTCAGCCATATCTATGGTCTGCTGCGTGCGCGGCCCGTATTGGAACAGATGACCAAGGATGCTGAGCGTGAAAGTATCGAGTTTCTTACGTCCGAACACGGTGCACAATGGGCATTACAACTCGTGAACGAGGTGTGCCGCGTCGTTGAAGGATCGGAAGACGCTGAGCGTGAGAGCAGCTCTCCCGACACCTCTGCATCGCGACCCTCCAAGCTCTGATTGTGTAGATAGAATGGAGCTACATGAGCGCACGACTCGCGCCCTCTTTCGTACTGATGCCAGGAAGCTCTGTGTTGACTTGGCAACAAACAAGGAAAGCGTGGTTGTGGAGATGTGTCAGTTTGTTCTGTCAGCCAAGTAGGTCGTTGTTCTTGCCGCTACCTCTTCCTGGGTGTGGTATATTAGGCGCAGGCTTGCATCTTCCACGCAAGTCGCGCGCCTTAGAGTTGGTTGTGCGTGTCAACCAAACGCGCGCGTACGTTGGATTGGTACGCTCTGTACTTGGTGGAACTAGGGAGGAAGACGTGGCATATGAGCGAGAACATCGTCCATGCATGTGCGCAGCGTGGTGACTTGGAAGGTCTGCGCCGTGCACTGGATGAAGGCTCCGATGTACATGCGCGTGATCAAGACGGCGTAACTCCTCTGCATTGGGCAGCTATCAATGGGCATTATGAATGCTGCCAATTGCTGCTTAGCCGGGGTGCGGATGTGAACATAACTGGTGGGACATTGCGCGCGACGCCGATGCATTGGTGTACTCGGCAGGGGCAAGTACAAGTCATGTCGCTACTTCTGGACCATGGCGCCAATCCACTCCAGCTCGATGGCCAAGGATTTCACACGCTGCACCTCGCTACACATAGCAGCTTGGTGATGACCATTGTATATCTGCTACAGCGTGCTGAGTTCCAACCACAAATGGCACTTGATCGAAAAGACACACAGGGCCATACGGCGCTGATGTGGGCGGCTTTCCAGGGCGATGCATTGTCGGTGGACGTTCTTCTCAAGCACGGCGCGGCCGTGCATGTAAGTGACATGGACGGACTTACGCCCCTGCATTGGGCTGTGGTGCATGGGAACCGGCTGTGTATCCTGCGGCTTATCGAAGCTGGCAGTGACCTGAAGGCGCGTGAGCACAAAGGCCAGACTCCGTGTGAACTGGCGCGCGAATTGGGCACCTACGCGGCGTACAGATCGGCTATGAAAGAACTCGATCGCAAGGACAATGGCGAGCCTGGTCGGTTCTTGCTATCTCGGCGTGCGATTTTAGGCCTTGTATTCACTATGCCATGCCTCTTGTACGAACTCACATTCATCGTGTCGGGCCGCTCACCTTGGTTCTTGGCACCGCTAGTGTTTGTGCTGGGCATTTTCGCCACGCATGTATATACCACGGCCTACTTGCTCCAGATTGACCATGCCAAAGGCGCACATGCCTCGCCGTACTATCTATCGCTCGTGTGCTTGAGTGTGGTGCTGGGCGTGGCACACTACTGTGTGTTTCTCTCTGGCATTTCCCTCGCCCGTGACGTGACTGTTTGCGTATTGGCCACATCTCTGGTATATTTCTTCTTCCTTACTGCACGCAATGTGCCCGGCCAGTGCGCCAAACCAGCGTCCAAAGCTGAACTGCGTCGGACCATTGACTCGCTCGCGCGCGAAGGCCGTCTCAGTGGCCTGTACTTCTGTGCAACGTGTATGTCTCGTAAGCCCATGCGAGCCAAGCACTGTACCATTTGCAATACGTGCGTCGCGCGGCATGACCATCACTGCCCATGGGTGATGAACTGCATTGGACTCAACAACCATGCGCCATTCTTGATTGCTCTTGCCTTTGCTCAGGCGGCCATCACGGCATTTCACTGGGCCACCTGGGCGTACTTCCGTGCATCTGTATCACCGTCCCTTGTAGCACAGCAGCGCTGCCCGCTGTTCCCTTGGCTGTGTGCCGCAGTGTCTATAAATGGGTCGCTATACTATACGGCCGTGTGGCTCCTCCTTACCCAAATATGGGTTGGCATTCTGCTGGCTTTTCAACTGTACCAGATCTCCACGCAGGTCACGACATTCGAACTCGTGAATCTAAAACGCCACGGATTCATGGCAGGTCGGCCTGATGCAAATATGCTCGGTCAAGGTCAGGCTGGCTATATCAAAATGCAGTCGGAGCACCTCCTGGCTCAAGGCCTCTCGCCTTATGAGGTGAAGCTTGTTTTGCATGGTCGCTCGCCGGTTCGCCGCGGTTTCTGTGGCCGAATTCTGTCATCTGGCTCATCTCTTCTTGCCATCGTTGGCCTTGATTTGTACTCGCGACACTCGCCTCCTACACCACGCGCTCCCAATCCTTTTGATCATGGCTGCTTAACGAACTGGATGGACTTTGCATCACGTGGCAAGCATGACGGTATCGACTATACTCGGCTCTATGATGTACCCTAAGTGAGTGATGAGCATTGTTTGGGCTGTGTCCTGTGGTGTATGTTTCCACCTCCAACGAGTTGCCTACTTCCACAGCTGTTCGTAAATTGTTTGTAGGCTCGTTGAAGCCGAGGATCCAGCTCGGTTCTTCTTATCGTGCGTAGCAGTATCCATGTCTTTGCGCGGCACATATTGCTGGACGATATCTGCAAACTCTATGCGCCTCGTTTGCTTCGTCTCTTTGGTGGTCTTGCGCGATGCTGCCGCCATGGCCGCCAATCCTGAGATGATCATGCTGCGCTGCTCGTCGACACGCAGTTGCTTCGGAGGGGATGCTTGGTTTGTCAGCTTTTCTCCCGATTCGCGTGTTTTGCCATCTCCCAACTCGGAAATGGTCGTGTGGTGTGGCGACGCCGTGCCAAAGGCTGAGCCTGTTTCGCCCACATATGCAAGGATATCACCCTTTGTGATCATCCCGTGACGGCCGGTGCCACTAATCTTAGACTCTGGGTCAGAAATTCCCCTTTCGTGTGCCAGGCGCAACACTGATGGGAAGGTCGGCTTCGTTACGTGTACATGTGTATTACGTTGGGCATGGGATGCCGTTTCGCTCGGTGATTCGCGTTTATGACTTTCTGTGGGCTGTGAGGCAGAGGAGGAAGAGGAGAACGACGGTGACGACGATGATGTCGACGTTCCACTTTTTCCCTTGTTCACATCTTCTGCTCCTGGTGCTTGCGATATGTCATCGCCTTCGTCAGCCAAAATAGCTATCACTTCATTCACGGGGATATCCTTCGAGCCTGAAGGCTTCAAAATGCGCGCCATAAGACCATCGTCAGGCGCCTCGACATCCATCATGGCCTTGTCTGTCTCGACTTCCAAAATGACATCTCCTGCGGCAAATGTATCACCTTCCTTCACTTTCCACTGACCCAGATTCCCGTGTTCCATCGTCGGGCTCATCGCTGGCATTGAGAATTCCTTAAAGGCCAGACGCGGCGCACTCGTACTCAAGCGCGCCGTCTGCACAAATACGCGATGCATCGCAGAGCTCAACCTTGCGTTACGACATACACTGGCTACTACGAACATGGTAGCGTCCTAGCACTGCTGTGTGCCTTGTTTCGTTCGGATAAGCAAGCAAACGACACGCCCGTCCACTCGATCCACTTTTCCGTGCCAATCTGGGGGAAAACGCAGCCGTAGGTAATAATCAGTAAGGGAAGGGCGGAGAGGGAGGGGAGACTAAGGGCCTAAGGGGCTACACTAACAAATGGTCCCTCCCCCTGGCCACCCACGTCAAATGCACGTACGGAAAGTAGCCAGGCCATTTAGTACTACTATTCGAGCTTGTGGGTGTCACATGCACCCAGCCGTCTTGATTGAGTGGCTCCGGACAATCAGAAGAACGTGTCATGGATATAGCTACACAGGTATGCATTAAGACCGAGTTTCTTGGCTAGGGCGTTTTTTGGCGAGACCAAGTGAGTGTAAAAGGGCCTTGTTGTTGCGGCCAGTTTTTCGCATCCCACCGAGGCCATGGCGCGGAGTCCAGGGACCTAGGGATGCATTCGCATAGAAGTCCATGGGATAGTCATTCAATTCGTGGCGACAGTCATCAATATGACTTTCTCGGTTCCACTGCACGCCTTCCACGTCTTGGAAGTCAGTAGCCTGCACGGGAGTAGAGTTCATCGACGCCGGATACCGAATCATGCCGAGATCGTGCGGTGCATCTGCCCACAAAGCAACGCGGCCGAGCGCCGCCGCCGCTTCGTATGGACTAAGTAGCGGAAGAGGAAATGCTGAGCCCCAGTCGATTGAAAGTCTTGGACAACTGGTCTGAACAAGCACGGACAAATGCTCGCCAAAGAGCTGGGCCTTTTGGGGCGACACTTCCGAAAGCAGAATCGGCACTTGAGGTATATGAGCACAGCGCTCGTGCAAGCTCTCTCCTAAATAGTCGAGTACTTTCGTGCTTCCCTGACGACCAAGTGTGCCGAGAATGAGACCCCACGCACGAGATGAAGGGGGTTGGGCCCCGCGGTGTGATTTGCGGCATTGGCAGTCATTTCCGGTTAACCACGCGGGAGCGATGCATCTTCCAGAGTCGCTTGTGCTTCGAGAACTGCTTTTTTCCGAAGCCGTCTCATTTCTGCATGATCATACAACTCGCGTTGCAGCCGCTTCGTGTATGGATCATAGCGGAATGCAGGTATGCGCGGATTTGCAATCATAATAGACTCGAGATGGAAACGTCCGTCTCCCACGTACAGAATTGCGTCAACATCTGAAGCATCAAGTTTCGGCGATGTGCATCCTAAGACTTCGCCAGGGCTTAGCGGCTTAATTTGCGGTACGCTCGCTTTGAAGGCGCCATGTGCGCCGCTGGTTCCAAAGATACTGTTATCATGTTCGGCCCCTGCGATTTCGCTCTCTTCTTTTGGCGCGATGGCTTTGCGCGCAGAAATGTCATCCTCTGACGGACATGTTGTAAGTGCCTCTCGAATGGCCTGAATTGCCCCGATGAACTGGACTGTACCGACAAGTGCGATATGGGTAGGCTGTTTTTTTGACGTCGTTGGTTCCTGCGCTTGTACAGGCAATGCCGCATGCGTCGCTTGCTCATATGGCGATGTGAGGACTCGCTGACGGAAACATGCCCGATCAGCAGGGAAATTCACCCGGATCGTTTGGTAAAGATGTGTTGTGTCGACTTGAATCTCCACGAAAACATAAAGTGTACGGATCATTGTCTGATCTACTGGGATCAAACAACTGTGTCCATAATGGACCAACATGTCACATCCCAGTGCTAACGCCGTATAGTCGTCAACGCAGCAAGCGCCATATGTTACATCACCCATAATCACAGAAGCAGCACCTGTAAATCGTTCAATGATGTCTGCAATAGCCGTCGCAAACATGGTGAGGCCTTCGGGCATTTGCAACGCCACACACGTCGCTTCATACTTGCGGATTTGATGTACTGTTTTGTGGATTTCAAAATTGTAATGCTTCGGTAGCAAACTATCAATCGCAACATTTAGTAGCGGATCTTCCAGAACACTAGTAGGAATACCCCCCATCATAGGGCCTTCATCCTTCGTACTGTCCGAACGAACGAACCGCCGTCGCGGATGCGAAGCGTCGTTCATCGTCGAAGAGTCAGTGGAGGTCGCAATTCAAGGGACGATTTGGTCGAGGTCGACGAATAAACGAACCGTTGCATTAGTGTTACTCGATTCCTGCATTCTCTTAGGCAGGTCACTTACCTCACCTTATACCCCAGGGCCATGTCTGGTCTGTCTTCGATGCTCGAGTTCTCAAACAGCGGCGGTACTATGCTGCCTCCTGTTGATGCACATATCCACGTGTCTGACACTCTGGACGCACATGGCCAGTTCATCCTATTTCAGTATGCTGTCAAGACACTCCAGCAGTCAGGCACCGTGATTTGGGTCAGCGCTCGTGCAGATGGCCAAGCACATCTCATGCATATAGCTCGTAAGGCTGTACGTGTAACGCTGCGTACTCACCACAGGGTGTTTCTCTCTCTGCACAACAATTCCGCTACATTGATGTCGCGGCGTTCCTGGAGGACGCCCACCATCTCCTGAAAAAAGTCTATGATGCTATTTCGCAAGCTGTGCCAGTCAACGAAACACATACGTTGCCCTCTAACTGTGCACACATTTCGTCATCTTTACACTCGACCAAAAGAGCGCAAACGCTCGTATTGATCGATAGTCTTTCAACGCTCCAATGGTGCATGAATGGCTCTCAAGAACAAATCTACATGGAGCTAGTCAATCACCTACGTCACCTGCGTCATCTTTGCGCGTCAAATTCCGCATCACTAATTACGCTTATGCACGCTGACGCTTGCGCTGCGCAAAGTGGACATGGAACCGTGGACGAAGGTGACGAGCGACTGTTTCGCTACTTGCTACGCACAGCTGATGTTTGGGTCTCGATAAATGAACTACCCAGCGGACGCGCCGCGGCTTGTGATGGCGAAATCGGCGTATATGCGCTTGTTCGGCCCACGGCGGCCACCACGTCATCCTCGAATGAAGCTCTACAGCCTTTCTTGCTTGACCGATACATGCCCGCATCAACCAAGCACCTGTACCGCATACTTCCGGATGGTACGGGTCCCAAGCAAGAAGACGGCACACGCGCTTTGGTCCGTGTGTGGTCACGCGGAAGTGGTGCAGACATCATCTAAATCCGCTTCGCAACCTCGATCGCGCCTTTGCATCCATACTCTACTATAGCCGAGAGTAATGCATGGGCAGGTGCCTGCTGGGAGTCGTGATCGACGGCAGTATCAAGATGTTCAAGCTCGTCATCGCGAAACTCGATCAAGACACTCTTCAGAAGATCGATGACCTGTTCAAATTCAGCCGCTTCGTCTCTGTCACACTCCCGCGTTAGTTTCTCGCGAATCTGCTCCAGATGAAGAAGTTGACTAAGGGGTTAGCTGGATACAGGAACGTATGGGCCACGTACTCATCGTAGTGTTCACCGATAACAGTCTCAACTGCCTCTGTACATGCCATAGCACTTTTTTCACCAAGCAATGCCGTAAATCCTCCTAGAATTCGACCAGCTAATGCCCACGCAGGCGTTAAGGCAGATGGCCGTGTCCGATACTCGTCCAACATCGCAGATGCTGCACATAAATGCTTCCGTTCGTTGTCCCACATTTCCATCATGAGCCTTTTTGTCACTTGATCTCCACGGAATCCGAAAACGTCCGCTTGTGCTTCATATATGGTGTTAGCTGCAATCTCTCCCGCATGATCTACGCGCAGCATCGATGAAACGGCTTTCCGGTCCGCGGGACTGAGAGCAGCAAGGAAACTCTCAGATTTCGCAGCTCTTTCGGCCAGACTCGGTGTCGATTTAGTGAATACATCTGAGGCTAGGTTTTCCGTCCGAAACCACCTCGTTTGCACATGATGTTGCCGCAAGCCATTGCGCGATAGCCGACTCGCAACTCGGAACATGGTATTTACGCTGGCAAACTGCTGTTGCGGCCTCACCTTCCTCCACACGATCCCCGTTGCCTCTATTTCTTTCCGTTAGGCTTGCTTTGCTGAGCGGCAAGCCGGATTGCTCTATAAGTCGTCACACATTTTCATGGTGAAACGCTGTCTGCCTACATGCTTACGGGCCAATGTAAAATCATGCCACCATAGTGCAGTTACGGTGGAGTTGCAGGGGTTCGGCGCATAATGTATATCTAATGGATGAAACTTGTGCTATAACCACGATCTCTAAGAACTGCTTGTTCTGCGCTCATGTTCGGTATTCTTCGGCCATGCGATCACGCAATGAATAGCAGATACATCAGAAATAGAAACGTTTGTTTGACACGGTCATCTCCTAGTCTACATACATGTCCACACACTGAGGATGCTCAATCTAAATAGTCAGCGTGAAATTATTGAAATGCACGGAAATGTGGTTGCGTGCTAGTCGCATATTCGTCGGCCCAAACTTGCGCTTGATGGCTTGATCCACTTGCCACAATTTGTTGACAAATGTCTTTGGCTGCATGTTAAATAATTAAACTTTGCACTGGCGACCAGTCCGATTCGCAGAAATTCCGAAAGCATTCTGATTTGCGGCTTTTATGCATGCAAGCGTCACTTTAGTCGAGATTTACGATTCTAACTTCAAATTAAGTTGACGGTTTTCACGTCTCTAGTCTCAATTCGCCTTTCGGTGATTTATGTACGTTCCCTTCACAATGAGCGTTGTTTATCACAAATTGTCCCAAGACGAGTATAACATTGTTCCGTCTATCTGGGACGACGATCCAATTTTCAAGAGACCAAGTACTAACAGCACATTATGAGTGAGTCATAGTTGTATAGACTTCCGACCTGGGCTGCATCCCGCGCGGTGCTCGTGAACCATATCCTATTAATTTTCCCGATAAAGTCATGCAAACTTGGATAGTTTACCGATGTCATGAGACAAAATGTACCGAATACTTATTCAAAATCATGGTATTGAGGGGAGAGTGTTTCCATGGGATCTGCAGCTTTGTCGCTACTATAGTTTGGGTCATCAAAGTCAGTTTTTTCTAGTTGCCACCAAGGGGCTCATGATGTCCGCACATACATGTAAAAACCATACAGCAAACTCATACAAAAACCGTACAGTTACGATGCGGAATGTGAAACAAGTTCGTCGATACTTGGCAGTTTTGTTGTGCTAGAGCGAATGTCTGAAACAATTGGTGGAAGTACCCTTGACGCGGTATGTGTAGAATACGATGGCTCACGGCCGGGCAGGAGGTCAAAATAAGGGGCGGGGGCAACACTAGACCTGTCTTTCAGAGGCACATATTTATAAGGTTCCATTCTTTCGTATCTGCGATCTCTCCAGTACGGTGGGTGTCTGTCTCTGAATCGGCGATGGTCCGCAAGTCGATGAATCCAAGGTAGACTTGATGGCACTTCATGGGAATGCATGCGATGTAGATGGGACTCAAAATTAGGCGCAGTAGACATGATATTAGAGTGGTTGCGTGGAAGAATGCGGGGCACTGGTGACGTTTCACTGGGGTCGACCTGACCTCTAGGTATGTTACTTGACTCGGTCGATATTTCTTGAGTTGGATCAGCAAGAGAAAATCGACTTTGCATCAATGCTTGTGGTGTTGTTTCCTTTGGTTGCGAGGTGCTCAGATTAGACCGCTTCCTCTGTTTCTGTCGTTTGTTTTGAAAAAATACTTGTACTTTTCGGGGCGATAGTCCTAGCTGCGCTGCGACAGCTTCGCGCACTTGTGTTGAAGGGAAACATGTTTGCTGAAGGAGTTCGTGCAAAACCCGACTCTGTTCAAGAGTCAAGAGTTTTCTTGCTCTTTTTCCAGACCCATTAGTTTTCGTACGGGAGTCTTTCGTGCTTGATGATGAAGCGTCTTCGGTGTCATGATCCGGCCAATTATTTTCTGAGGAAGTCTCAGATGACACTGAGGCAGCATAGTCACTTCCTGGTTTATAGTGTGATGAGTCCAAAAGGTAGGAGTTTCCTTCGTTGTCCATACTTGCCCCTTGAGGTATCAAGCCCATCTTAGTGCCAGACGGGATGATGCGTAGAGGTAGCAAATTAACTTCGGTGGAATTAAGTGATGGGCTGTAATTATGGTTGGAAACAGTCGCTGTCACATGAAACTTACGCAGTTTGAATGCCTACTGGAAACGCGTATGAAAATGAGTTCTTGTTATCGAATGACGTCATAGGCCCTAATTTAGCGCATCGCCAGATTCCAACTCGAAAAATCAAAGTACTTCCTGCATTACCTGCAACCAAACTTACTTTTTCTCCTCTCTTTGATTGCTTCCAATACACATTGGACTCTGACACAGCCACAAATAGCTCAGGGTTTAACATTTGGCCAATCAATTTCGATTTTCCTGGCCTATTAGTGAATATTCCCGCTGAAGGGTCTGTGCGCTTTAAAAACTCCCGTTTGTTACACAGCACGCTGAATTGGTAATTTTCGCCCGGACGGCATGGGTATGCGTCGCGGCCCAGGTATAGTTGCACTTGACAGGAAAAAGATTTCTAGAGGGCAATATTCATGTATATCGCAAGAATGGAACGAAGCAAAGCTTAATGAACTACGAGAACGTTTTGATGAGTTTTCATGTGCGTTGAGGTCTTTTGCTATCAGACACCGCCGTGACATTCGGCGAAATCCCGAGTTTCGGCATGCTTTTCAACGTATGTGTGCGAGTCTCTTGGTAGATCCTTTAGCTGGGCATCCCACCACTTTTGGTAATACTGGTCGAATTGGACAAGTGGTGAATTTATGGAGTGAACTCACGGGTTTCAGTGACTGGCAATATGAGCTCGGCGTTCAAATCGTGGACGTTTGCATTAGCACGCGGTCACAAAATGGGGGAATTATTACAATGGACGCTCTGATTCGAGGTGTGCTCCATCTCCGCCACGGCAAACATTCTTATTGTACTGAGTCACTACAAGATAATGAATGGAAAATTAGCTCAAGCGATATTGAACGAAGTATAAAGGCGCTTGAACCATTGGGGTGTGGCTACGAAGTTTTTGATTTGCAAGGAATAAAAATGGTGCGAACTGTTGCCCGTGAACTTAGCACAGATTCCAAACATGTCCTCAACTTTCTCGCGTTAAAACATATTGCACCGCGAGATTATGTGGGTATCCCTTACGCGACGCCAGAGTCCATTCTTTCATCGACAGAAAAGTTAAAAGAAACCAAGGATGCTTTTTGGACGAAAGACCGTGCTGCAAAAACACTCGAGGATATGCTTATGGATGACGGAACACTTTGGCTCGACATTGTTCCAAACGACACGATTTGTGGTTCGTCTGACTATGAGAGAAAACGATATTACGCAATTGCGCTTTCTGAGATTAACAGCGAATCTACCCAATAAATTCGATCCCACGATTGCTAAATTTTGCGGTGTAAATATTGTGGGGGCTAAAGTAGGTGGGTGGGTAGAACTGCAAATGTATCACTTCACGTAATAGGTCGTCCCATCTTGCGAAGGACATGTTACCCGACCCCAGACCATGAGTCAGCCAATCGTGTTATGAGAATAACCTACTAGGCAAACCACCAGCATTCGCAACATATCTCAATCAACAGACATCATTCGTCCCTGTAGCTTTTGTAACGCAAATCATGGCGCCTGCACAAGGGGGTTTTTCGTGGTCGAACATAGCCGTAGGTGCGGTTATGAACATGTTTGAAGTAACCACGCTTGGTCAGCCCTTCGAGGTGATAAAGACGCAAATGGCTTCGAACCGAACGCAAACGATGTGGCAAGCGCTTAAGACTGTGTCGAGTCGTGGTGGTGTGCTTGGTTTTTACCAAGGCTTGATCCCTTGGGCTTGGATCGAGGCCTCGACGAAAGGTGCTGTACTGCTTTTTACGTCCACCGAGGTGCAGAAGGTCGCAAAATCGCTCGGGATGGGTCCTGGTGCTGCTGGCCTATTCGGCGGCATGACTGGTGGCATTGTCCAGGCATACGCCACGATGGGTTTTTGCACGTGTATGAAGACAGCTGAGATTACTCGCCAAAAGCAGATGGCTTCAGGAGAAGCACCTCCGTCTACGTGGAAGGTTTTCGCCGACATTTATCGGAGGGAGGGTATTCGCGGTATCAACAAGGGCGTGAATGCCGTGGCTGTTCGTCAAATGACGAACTGGGGAAGTCGGTACGTGAAATGGTATAAAACACACAAGCTAACTGCGAATAAAGTATGGGCTTTGCACGCTTGGCTGAGGCCCCAGTCCGTCGTTTTTCGGGCAAGACAGATGGCGAGAAGCTGAGCAACGTCGAGCGTGTGCTTTGCTCAACAGTTGGCGGCGCTCTGGCAACGTGGAACCAGCCAATTGAGGTAATTCGTGTCGAGGTATGATTTTTTGTCGGATTGTGTGGTGACGAACTAACTATGCAGATGCAATCATTGTCCAAGGCCGCAGCTGAGCACCGCCCAGCTAAGCCATCTATTCTCAATACTGCCGCATATATTTACAAGGAAAGCGGTATCCGAGGCCTATACCGGGGTGTGAGCCCGCGCATCTGCTTGGGCATCTGGCAAACAGTGTGTATTCACGAAGAAGCTAGAGGCTGGTGTGCTAACATATGCAGGTGTGTATGGTCTCGTTTGCCGATACTGTGCGCGATTGGCTTGGCACGAGCAAGTAGATGCCGATTGATTACAATTCATTCAGCGAGTGATAGTTGAGTCTGCCTATAGGAAAAAAATGAAATCGGCCTTATCAATCACGCAGGTCTACAGTTGCTGGCAGCTAGAAAGCCGACGGCCAGGATTCAAATTAACCTGGTACTTCGGCCAAGAAGTCCCGCCCTATCACGTGATCCAAGTGAGGTTGTGCCTGTGCGCGGGTACGTGGCCTTACCACGGTCCCTATAGCCATCATGTCGACGAAGCACGTTTTTGATGATCCTCACGGTCTCGTTGAGAAGGCATGCCGCGGTGTGGCTTCAACGAACTCCAACTTGCGTTTCTATGCACCACACAAGGTGCTTTACAATGCAGCACACCCACGCGACAAGGTGGCCATCATTGCTGGTGGTGGTGCTGGCCATGAGCCATCCTTTTCGGCCCTCACCGGTGAAGGTCTGGTCACCGTGTCCGTGAGTGGCGATGTGTTTGCATCGCCAAGCTCTGCGCAGATCTGCAGTGGTGTGGATCTTGCGCCAACGGACAAGGGCATCGTTGTGCTTGTGTTGAACTACACGGGTGACTGCTTGAACTTTGGTCTTGCGGCTGAGAAGGCTCGCTCTGCATTTGCCGGCGAAGGGAAGGGCCGCGAGGTCGAAATGGTCATCGTTGGTGATGACGTGTCGGTTGGACGCAGCAAGGGTGGTCTTGTAGGCCGCCGTGGTCTTACCGGCGCAGCATTCACTGCTAAGGTGATTGGCGCAGCGGCTGAGAAGGGTGATGATGTCAAGAAGGTCGCCGGTCTTGGCCGCTCTATGGTGAACAACTTTGTGACTGTCGGTTCGTCGTTGGACCACTGTCACGTCCCGGGACGCTCGACCGACCCAGAGGAACGTGGTGCTCTGAGCCAAAGTGCAATTGAGATTGGTATGGGTATCCACAACGAGACGGGTGCGAAGCACATTGAGAACAAGCCGTCTGCCGAGGATCTGATCAAGGAGATGCTTGAGATGCTTCTTCGCGACGATGACCCAGAGCGCTCGTTCGTTAAGTTCAACAAAGACGATGAGCCAGTCATGATCATCAACAACCTGGGTGGTATGAGCTGCTTGGAGCTGTCCGCTATTGCTGCTGAGGCTCGTGTCCAGCTGGAGCGTGACTGGAACATGCGTCCGTCGCGCGTGCACATTGGCACCTATGTGACTTCTCTGAACGCTCCTGGTTTCAATATCTCGCTGCTGAACCACAAGCGTGTGTCACAGGAGTACGGTAGTGATGTACTTGAGCTCATTGATGCCCCTACGGGTGCTACCGGCTGGATGGGTGCACAGATTGGCATGAAGAACAAGGCTGCATTGCCAACGGCTCAGGAGCAGGAGGAGGAGCCAGCTAAGATCCTCGAGCAGAAGGCTAAAGAAGGCCACGCTGTGGGTGCCAAGCCATCAGAGAACAAGGCTGCATCGGTTGGCCCTAAGAATGGCGATGCTGAGCTTGTCAAGAAAGTGATTGAGAATGTATGCAAGTCGGTGATTGACGTGGAGCCAATCATGACCAAGTACGACACGGTCGTCGGCGACGGCGATGCTGGTGAGACGCTTCGCCATTGCGCCGAAGGTGTTATGAAGGCTCTTGAGTCGAACCAGATTCCCCTTGACCGTGCCACGGCGACCGTCCTGGGCATAACTGAGGCTCAAGAGTCGAACATGGGTGGCACGTCAGGTGCGCTTTACGCTATCTACTTGACCGGTCTTGTGCAGGGTCTGCAAAAGAGCACGAATGACCCGAATGAGACAGCTTCCGTCAAGCACTGGGCCTCTGCCGCTGAGCATGCGCGCGAGAGTCTCAGCAGGTACACGCCTGCACGCCCTGGTGACCGTACCCTGGTTGATGCCTTGGACCCCTTCTGCCGCACACTCTTGAAGGAGGCTGAGAGCGGCAAGAATGCCAAGGATGCTCTGCAGGCCGCTGTCAGTGCCGCGAAGGAGGGCGCCGAAAAGACGCGGGACCTCACCGCTCGTCTTGGCCGTGCAACCTACGTTGGCGAGACGTCTGAAAAAGTGCCAGACCCAGGTGCTTGGGGTATCTGGGCTCTTGTTGAGGGTATCCTAAAGAGCATGTAAAGTGAGGCAAGATACGAAACTTGCTTTTATTTGTTCTTGTGCACTTCTCGCCTAACTTGCTGTCATTAGCAAATATACTTATTCATTTGTAAGATTGTGAAGTGATAGTTTGTGAGTGCGAAAGATATAAAGTATATTTTTTTTTTGGTATGAAAATTTAGGCTGTATTTCATGCAAAATGGGTCTGTGTTAAGTTGGTATCTGCTTAAGGTACTACATATCAAACCAGCCAGTCGTCTCCATCTTCGCTATCCTTGTCATCCGTGAAGGGCGCAGCCACTTCTTGTACACTCCAAGTGCAGATGGGACATGTGCCAGCAACGATGGAATTGAGCTCAGCACGGCGTTCGTCCACATCGTCCGTCCTCGCAGATGGTTGCGTAGAGGAAGACTTGATGTCTGAGTCGCGATGATGAAGATGATGTGGTTGTTGCTGTAGTATTTGTTGATCCTGTGTGTTCTTTGATGAAATGTGTTTTAGGCTGGTGCTCGGGTCATGAGGGACGAAAGCTCGGCGGCTATTGGTGACGCCAACGGTGAAGCCATTGGCAATCGCATCGACAATTGCCTGTGGGCGCACATGTTCACGAAGTCGCTCAAGAGAGTTGCTTAGAGGTAGAGGCGATGCCTTAGATGACTGCAGTGAGGCAGAGTGTGTATCAGCTGCAGCTGTAGAGACTGTAACAGCGTTGAGTTCATTCTGCAGCTGGAGCAAACGTCGTAGACGCTGTGGCGACAAGTGCTGTGCGACAAGCTGGGTTAAGCAGTCGGCATGGAACCCATGGCGGCAAGGGAAAAGGTATAGTTGTCGCTCCAAGAGAGGGGCGCCACACTGCCGACAAGGATGGTCAGCGTCGATTTCCATGACACGCTTAGATAGTTGCTCGATGTCCTGCTGGATATTGGCAGCCGTGTTGGATGTACGATCCATGTCTTCTTTAAGCGCACCGATGCGCGCCACGTAGCTTTCCAGTGTATCGCAAATCTCCGTCTTGAAGCCATCAATCACACTAAAGTCAGGGAAGAATGGCAAAATGTCCTCGACTGTGAGCAAGTCAGTGCGTAAGAGGAACTTCATGGCCTCTTCCATAGTTGCTTGTGTATGCACCACATACTTTGCGCACTGGAGCCACAATTCACGCTGCAAAGCAGGCTGGCCAGCGGCTAAATCGGCACACAGGCACGCCAAGTCGACGTCGTCGGCGTCTAGGGCAAGGTGTACAGCATTTTCGTACTGGTGCATTCGAGCATAGAGGCGTACGCAAGCCTCACGGCGGCCTGCAGATGAGCAGACACGTAGCGCATATGAAAGATCCAGTGCCTCAGGTGAGGCATTCTCAATAAAAGCGAGCAAAGCAGGCGTTTCGTTGTCTCGAGCTACGAGACGTGTGAGTCGAAGTGCATGAGCCGCTGGGCTCTTGCATCCTTGCACGTCGATCATATACTGCAGGTAAACGAGAGAAAAATCGGTACTGTGCGTTGTAGCAGGTTTGTGCTGGAGCAAAGCAGGTATTAGGCGCTCGATATCCAGAGAGTCAGCACATCGCTGCCAGCATTGTACTGTCGCTTCAGGTGCGTTCCGCATAAGAACCATAGCAAACTGGTAGTACATGTCGGGCGACGACTGCGAGCTAAGAGCATGCAAAGCCTTGTCCCAGCATTTCTGATCGATCCAGTGCTGCAGAATCTTGCGAACATCGTGCCGAATATTTGCGTAGGTAATCCACACATCGATGCATCCCTGTCGGGCTAGGAGTGCGTACGTGGCGGAAGGGTCGAGATCGGCATCGTGTTGACGCAAAATTGATTCTGTCTCCGACATGAGGTGATGATGCTGCTCAGACTCTTTTTCATTTACATGCAGCGCACGCACAAAGAGTTCCAAAAGCCATGTGGCAAGCATGAGACGCTGGACGCGTGCGGTGCGGGGCAATGCATCGAGACACAACTTCACGTACCGGCGAAGTGCGTTGTCTGCCGCTGCATCCATGAGAGCGAGTGCCACGTGTTCAAATGAGGGAGAACGCGCTTCCGCGTAGCATTCGACGGCTTTCAGAGCATTGCCCGAGGCAAGCAGAGCATTGCCTTGGTTTTCGAGGACTTGTTTCCTGCTCTCGTCATCGCGGCAAAACTTGAGCGCGCTCGCGAAGAGTTGGCGCTTCAAGAGCAAGTGCCACATATCACGCGCTTCGTCGTGGACCAGCAGCTCTAGAATGCCGCCCATGGACGTGTACATCCAGCACGTGTGGGAAGAGCAGTCCACCACAAGCCCCTGGACTTGCTCATGGCTTTGCAATTGAAGCGGGACTTCATACTTGACCTCAGGATCAAGGGCATTCATGCATACGAGCGAGTCCGCATATACAAGCACATAGTGTAGAGGTGTGCGGCCCATGGCAATGGGTGACTCGGTCATGCGAGGAAGAACAACTAGATCTGCCCCTGAGCTACCTGTGCCTGCCTCAATTTGCGCTGCGTAAATACCAGCTCCTGTGAGCCAAGCCATCATACGAGCTGTAGAGCCGTGCGGTGGCGATGCCACCGGTGACGTCACAGTAAGAAGCGTGCCCAGACCCGGTGGTAAATCCGTCTTCCAATGGGGCTGCAAGCTCTGCTTATAGCTGTCAAACACACGTAGAAACACGGGACTCGCCTCTGCCGATACGCTTGTCGACACTTCGCCCACGAACTCATAGAGTCTTGACGATGTCGCGACGATAATAAGAGCACATTTCTCTTTCATCTCGACAGACAAGCCGGTGATCGGATGGGCGTCAGATGCGAGCGAGTACAACCGGTATGTGCCTCGTTCCAATGGATAATCGATTGAGCCGGCCGACTTGCGCGCCCAGCGGTCAAACAAGTCAAAACGATCTTCGCCTACTTGCGCTGTGATGGTCGTTTCCACTAGATCACCTCGTGCTGTGCCAAGCAAGACCGGTGGCGTCCATATCCATTTGCGCGTGCCTGGAAGCGATGGCAATGGCACAGGCGGGTCAGTTCGTGGCCTACCCCATCCCACTGCTGTTACAGGCACGCCATCGAGTTGTTGGACGCGTCGGGCGCGGGGCCAGCTTGGTGTCCAGTAGTATGTGTGCGTGCCGGTACACGCGAGCGCATGTTGGGCGGTAGGATCGATAAACACACGCGTTGATTCTGTCGGCTGACGCCAACGAGCTCCACGGGCCTGAATAGGCGGAGGCAAAAGGGCCTCTTGCGTTCGTGAGGGATCATCCAAGTCAAGGTACACAAGCCGCATAGGCGTCGCATCCACCGGAGCTATGCACAGCAAAAGCTTGTTAGCTGCTGCTGCGATGTAAAGCAAGGGACCCGGCAAAGCGTACTGGATCCTTCCTAGCTCAAAAAGAGGCTTAGCTGGTATAGATTGCGTGTGAGTTGTTCGGGCGGGGGCAGCCTGTGTTGGTCGTGCTCCATCTTGAGCCTCTTGTCGCGATGCCGCGGATACGGATGCGGGTCCTACTTGCTCATAACCGGACGACAACATAGGGATGGACTTCGAAGAAGAATCCCACGAGCTAGCCTGCTCCATGCGTGGCCAGCTTTGATCAGTCGTCAGCGCACACTTAAATGACTGGTCTGGTCACTACAAGCAGGAGTCGTGATACGTCGCCGACCTTCGCAGTCAGTCAGTCACCAGTGCGTCGCATGCGATTCGTCCCTCCACAGCTCCATCAGATCACTCCAGCACACAACACCGACAGACCCCACCATGTCTAACGGCGCGTGCTAGTCCACGCCCACATTCCGCACGCAAAGCATGCATCCAGGCGTATCTAACCATCACTTTTTGCCATTATGATCACGATCACGATCACACACCATACTCTATCCGAAAAAAAATTGCTACGCACACATAGTTCATCATCAGCTAACTGGTTGGCAGATTTATGAAGTAAGCTTGGCAATCAAAAACTTCACTCCAACAAGGGCCGTTGCCACATCGCCCGTCGCCATAGTGACTAGTTGGACATGCAGCGATAGAGCGCCTTGCTGGTGGCGCGCATCGATTGCCTTACCCAATTGCTGGAGAACAGGAACCAGCTTCGCATCGACCAGGCCATTGTTCATCAGATCCAATAACAGCTGAACGCGCTTATCGGCATCGTCAAGGATGCGTCGTGGTTGTGCATCAATGCTACGCAATCTCGCGACTTCGCGAATCAATGAGTCCGAAACAGCCTTTAGATGCGGAGGGATATGCGAACGATCACCTCGAGGGTATTGGAATCCGGGCTTCGTTCCAGGCGTCGATGTCGACGGAGGCGCGCCGTAGCCACCGCCAGCCGGTGTCATTGAACGTGGCGGGGGTCCGGGACGCCCACCACGTGCTTGTGGGGGACCACCATTACCCATTGCTCGTGGTGTCATGGGCATACCTGAGCCATGTGAGAAGCCACGCGGCGTCGCACCTGCTGCTGCTTGTTGTCCAGCAAACTGACTCGGTGGGCCGGTCATTTGCGGCCGAAGCGTATTGGGTGTACGGGCCATGGGCGGACGACCGGGCACTGTGGGCGTCTGTGGACGCATCACGCCGCCAGGAGCATTTTGCATTCCATCTTGCATGCGGCGACCATAATCAGCAGCCCGAGGCGGCTGTCCGAGGCCTAGGCCTGAGCGTGGCGATGGCGGCACATGAGACGACGCTGCACTAGATGGGCGCGGGGGTCCACCCATAGGTGGTCCACGAGGCGGCGGTGGCGGCGGCGGCATAGGTCCTGCACCGGGCCCACCCTGCGCTGTTGACATCGGCGTGCTACCGGCCGGCGCTTGATTCGGGAAGGGCGACGTGATCGCTGACGTAGACGATGCGGCCGACGGCACACGCTTGGGTGGTGGTGGCAACGTCGCCGCAGGCACGTCGTTCCAACCACCCTTTTCACGTTGCAGCGGCGGCGGTGGCACCATCGATGGCGCCTGGGTCTCGGGCATCAAATTCGGCATTCCTGCAGTGGGAGCACCAATAATTGGGGGTGGCGGGGGCGCCTGCATCACGGGAGGAGCCGTGTTCGTATAGGCGGAAGCTTGCGGCGGCTGCGCAGGCGTCACTGCCGCTGTGTTGTAAGCTGGTACGTATGGCGACGAGGAAGAATCCGCCTGCGCCATTGGCATCGTTGATGTGGTGGTGCCCATACCAACGTGTGGTGGGGGTGGTGGAATTTGTGCCACGGGTGGAGTCTGCCGCGAACGCTGCTGCTGCACTGTAGGTGGTGGTGCAAGCGTTTGCGCCGCAGTTGGCACAGTTGGCACAGTCGGCACAGTCGGCACCGTAGGCACGGTAGGGACAGTAGGGACTGTTGGAATGCTGGGCATGCTGGCTGCGGTCGCCATGCTCGGCGCGCTTGGTGCACTATACGCGCCATAGGCACTCTGCCCATAGGCACCCTGCACGTATGGATTTGTCGATGGCTGCCCGTAGGAAGACGCCTGACTCGCGCGCAGCAAGCGGTCATGTGTCCACTCGGCATCAGCGAGAGCTGAAAGAGCATGAGGCGTAAAGTCGGGCGGCGTCAGAGCGACGAACTTGAGAGCTATATCAACAAGCCCTTGCTCCGCCAGCACATTCACGTACTCGAGGATATAATTGTAGAGTGGCGCCAGCTTAAACTCGCGCACAGGCATAGTGCCATCTGGGTTGGCGGGTGGTAGCTGCAAGTCCTCGTCCGTGTACTGGACAGCATGTTCAAACACGACGACCTTCTCCATCAGCGTCTGGAGAGCTTCCGCATGGGCAGAGTATGGCGAACTGTCACTCTGAATGCTACCGGCCTTGATCGCGTGCTCTTCCTCACGCATCTCTTCAATCCACATCGACATGACTTTTTCAAGACAGCCCGCAGCGAGATAGCATAACACGGCATTCTTCCGATCGTCCATCGCCTCTGTTGTGCGTTGTCCATTTTGAACAGAATGCAAGTACCTGTCTTCCAGGCGCTGACCGAGTCGCTCAGCCAGGCTCGAGAAGTCTTCCTGTCGCGCGAATGTGCATAGCACCACGAAGATCTCCTGCCACTCGGCCAGATCGGCATTCTGCACCACGTCCGTCAGGTCTTCCGTTACGATGCTTTGAAGCAGTCGCAGGTACGGAAGCCGCGATGCGTGGCGTTTGAAGTACGCTCGCTGTGTCTTCACGAGCAGCTCGTCTCCCGCACGCGTCGCTAGCACCAGAGCGTCAGCGAACCGATCCTGCGATACCAGCAGCGAGACAGCATTCTCAAAGTCGCCCAGAATGAGCGACTTGGTGATCAGCCGGTCAGGGTCATGCTCGCCTCCCGGGTGAAGACGGAAAGGCTCCGCTGGTGGCGGTGGCGGTGTCAAGGGCTTGGCAGGCACTTGGTCAAAGAAAGCAGCCGGGTCCTCGTCCTGCGCAGGCACTGTGTCATCCGTCAGCGGTGCGTTTACCTGGTCGGTCGGAGCCTCATCCTCCAGAACTGGCAAGCCCAATGCGCCAACGGCCTGTTGGACCTGCGCAGAGACGCTGTCTCTCGAAAAGCCGAGGAGTTCTACAAGCTCATCGCGAGAGTCGACATGGAAGAGCGTCTGGAGTGTTTTCCAACTCGCCATGTCCGACGGGCGCGTATTGGGGTTCTGACATTGCGCGACACAAAAGTCCACAAGCGTATTAGCGTCGAGAGCCTCGCTTAGATCGCGCGCACGCTCGGCAATATGCGGCTCGGTGTGAACAGCATGGATGGTAATGGGGAAACTCTGAGCACCATGCGGTGCCGTTTTAGGAATCGTCACAAGCTGACCGCCAAAGCCAAATGCCACCGATGTGGGGCGACTTAGCCACTTGGGCGCCGTCTTGAGCGGCACACCACCAGTCGTGGGAGGCGGTGCATTGCCCAACGCTGTGAAAAGGTCGTCCGGGTTCATGTTGGCCGTCGACACGGCTCCAGCATCTTGTTCTCCCTCGGTGGGGATATTTTGCAATGACTGCACGATGATGTGACCGTCAAAGCTTGCACTGGCCAGCATGTTAGGATTGCGTGGATTCCACTGCACATCAAATGCCCAGTTGGAGCGTGGTGGCATTTCTGCCACAATTTCATGACTCTGCGGATTCCAGCATAGCGTTCGGCTGTCCTTGCCACATGACAGCATGAGGTTCTCGTCCTGTCGGCACCATGAAAGACCCAGCACACCCTGCTCATGCCCACTGAGCACTGCTTCTGGCGCACGCGAATTCCGCAAATCCCACAGCACGATGCCTGGGTTCATGTCATCCTCCGTCGCTGTGGCGATACGTGTGGGACTCAGCGGATGCCAAGCGAGTGCACTGATACTGCGTGCGGAACTCATCGCGGCAGCGGCTGGGGCACTGTTGTTTCGCAATACAGCAATTTCTCGCTTGTGACGCAAATCCCACACAGTCGTACATCCATTCGTTGAGGCAGTGGCTAGAACATATGGGACTTGTCCATTCCAGGCAAGACTCGAAATTTCATCCAGATGTTGTGAGCGCGACCCTGGAGTGTATGGCTTGTTGGGAGCCTTGAGATCCCACACATAAATCTCGGCATTCACAGAGCCTGTGGCAATCAGGTTTGGCTGCGGCTGGTTGAATGACAAGCCACGCACGGAACCCTTGTGCATAGAGTTGCGCAGCACTTGCGACTGTGCTGTTGTGTGAGGGTCAAGCATGAGACCCACATCCCACACGCCGACCTCGCCATTTTCCAATCCAGCAGCAAGCAAACCATACGGCTTGTCCTTGTGGGCAAAGCCCCATCCTAGACGATTAAATCGACCATTGGCATTTACTGAAGAGGCCATAGTGGGAGACAAGTTCATGGTATCGTCTGCTGACGCATTCAGATGCCACAGCTCCAACACACTATCATTGTTGAAGCTTTCGTCCAGCGCGCCCGCTACGGTGCCAGTAGCCATCACTGGGCCACTCACCTCCGCATTTGACGGCGCCCATGCAAATGCCGCCGTGCGCGGTAAGTACGCCTTCATACTTTTTCAGGTTGCCAAACGATCCGCGACAGCGCCGTCCAACGTGAAGAGTGTGAGAGCAGACGTGGCCGCGTGGAGACTGTTCAGCTAAGTCCATCATCACGATGCAGCGGCCGCCCCGGCCCGTGTGCTGGCATCCACGTGGAAATCACGTAAGCAAGTATCCTTGACACGCTCGTGTGTGTGTGTGTGCTTGTTATGAGCGAGTGTGAGTGTGTGTTGCAACGCGTCAGCGTGGGCAAGTGTGTGTCGGAGAAGCACGCGCGATCCATCTTGAAAGGGGGGGTGTGGAAATGCGACGACGCGATGATGACTATGTAGATGGCGCTGAGCTAGATGACTCTGATGAACTTGTTGAAGATGAGTCGGATGATTCCGACGAGTTCCATGCACTTCCTTCGCTTCCCAACGCGCCTGTGCGCACGGCACTCGCTGAGCGCAGCAGCAATAACACTAAACGCAAGGCTGATGAAATTGATGGCAGTACTTCACATGGTCCATCACGCCTAGGGTCTTCCAAACGAGCGCAAAATCATAAAGCAACTGCCTACAGCTGGGAGGCTGCGTACCAACGTTCTTGGGACCATGTCCAAGAAGACGAGAGCGGGAACCTAGAGAGCGCCGTGCGCCAAATGATCGATATAAATAAACGCAAAAGGTGCGTTTCCAGTGCATTGTAATGTCCTTACAAGTGCAGGAGTCTGCGAGACAGTGTGCCGGTACAACGCGGTATTATTCGGCATTTTGTCTTGATCCTTGACCTCAGCGAAGACATGTCAGATCGCGACTTACGGCCTACGCGTTTCGACTTGACGCTTCAGCTAGCGCGTCAGTTTGTGGCAGACTACTTTGATCAAAATCCAATCGGGCAACTGGCTATTTTGTGTGCTCGAGACGGTCTTGCTGAGCGCCTGTCGCTCATGGGTGGGAATACTTTCGATCATGGCGCGGTGCTTTCGAGCCGACGAAAATTAGAACCTCGTGGCGAGCCCAGCATCCAAAATGCACTTGAAATGGCACTCAGCTCACTCACGCATTTACCTAGCTCAAATACCCGAGAGATCCTATTTATCTCGGCGTCACTTACTTCTGTCGACCCAGGGAACATATACCATACTATCGATAAGCTTGTCGACGAGCACATCCAACTGTCTGTTATTTCACTCGCTGCAGAAATGCATGTTTTGAAGGATGCATGTGCGCGCACTGGTGGCGATTTCAATGTTGTCATGAATGAGGATCACTATAAAGAGCTTTTGATGCAACATGTCCCGCCGCGTGTTATAACCGAAGCTTCTTCATCGTCTCATTTGGCGCATTCCAATGAATGCGACTTGCTCGTCATGGGGTTCCCTCGACGAATTCCCTTTCATACACCAGCGTCATTCTGCGCGTGCCATGGCCGTCTTGTGACCGGAAGCCGGTCGCTTTCCTATGCTGATCGTGGCGCAGCTCCTGCAGGCTATACGTGTCCTCGATGTGCGTCCAAAGTGTGCCAAGTTCCAACTGATTGCCCCACATGTGGCATAACCATCATTATGAGTACACACTTGGCGCGCAGCTATCACCATCTTTTTCCTGTACAGAATTATGAGCCTGTGGCTTGGGAAGCAGTCTCCACTACGTCTCCCTCGAACTGCTTCGCATGTGCATTTCCTTTTCCGCCTCGTCCTTCTAATTTGGATGAAACGTCACATGTTGTGATGGACTCGACATTGGCCCCCTCCTCCAGATATATGTGTCCAAAGTGTCATCAACATTTTTGCCTCGAATGCGATGCATTTGTCCAGGAGCAATTACATACATGCCCTGGCTGCACATAAAGAGTCCTATAGCTAGTGCGTCTGATGTCTGATCATGTGTTTCTCTATCGATGTGAGCTCAGCTCGGGGTGTAGCAATATTTTTTGGGAAAAAAATTGATATTTGATAATGCCTTGCCGCAAGGCCCCTGCATTCAACACAGCCTTGAGTCATGTGGAGCACTGCGTGCTCGCTTACGATACGCTGTGCATCTGCGAGGAACACCGACCTTAGCTAAAGTATATTATGGAGGCGCAGAATGAGTGTCTGATGCACTGCCTTTCATTCCATTTACTACGCCCAAATTCGCGTTGTCTTCATCTCATCGTTCCCCTTTTTCTGCCCAGAAAAATCCTATTGTTCTATACGCAAAAGTGTTCTTTATTGTCAACTGAGCCTGTAGGACTGGATTTACCAATTTGACATATCCAGTCATGTCTCATCTACCACAATCTCTTGATGGTGGTGACCGTGTCTATCACGAGGTGGCAGATGGTAGCCATGAAGGCGACCTCTCCAAAGACACCTTTAACGAGGTGATAGACAACGCGGATGTACACGAAGAAGAAATACCACTTCGTAATATGGAACATCCTGCGCCACCCATATTGTCAGCATTGTCAGGTTCACCGCCTCCCTCATCTATGCAGCCTTCTGCGACAGTGCAACAACATCAGGGACCAGACGTTGCTAGCCCTGAAAGTCATAATGAAACTCTTAATCGATCACAATCTAGGTCAGCACGTATTTTTGTGCATACGGATGGTCGCGGTCCTACCATTACGCTTTCGCAGCCACCCGTCTCACCTACCGCAGCCGATTCATCAACGTTCCGCCCAATGCACTCACTAAAAGAATCGACCGGAATCAAGCGTGCCAATCATCCAGGCAATATTAACTTGGAGGGACTACAACCCAAAATTCCGGACGTGCTCGATCATGATGAAACCGACATGGACAACCAGCTAGGACGCACAGGCGTGGTGGGAGTCCACAGTGACGACCATGACCGTCTCGCAGCCTTGGCTGATGAACTTGATGGCATGGATAGTGAAGCAGTCTCAGAGCAGCCTTCACCTGGCCATGCCATTATACGTGACGAGGCATTTCTGCCAGGTCTTGCAACTTTGCCCCCAGGAGAGGCAGATCCCGAAAAGGTTCCAGTTGGTCTTGATGATGGGGGTCTAACAACGCCGGGTACTACTTCAGATGGCTCGTATGATCCAATGGATGACCTTGATAACGTCGACCTGATTGAGGGCGAAACGGACGGCATGCCATCCAAACCACCTCGTTCTTCACGAAAGAAAATTCAAGATCAAGGAAAGACAGGCTGGAACAAACTTCGTCGTCTTCTAAGCGTTGGTGGAAACGACCGAAATAACGAAGACTTGTCAGAAAAAGGTCTATTCACGTCAGAAGCCACAAACTTGAAAAGTGTTCCTGTAAAAACGTCATCTGGCATTCGTGGCACTCGCCATCGTAAACGGCCGAGTGCCATGGATCGTGAGGCCGCGAAGCTGGTGCGGGCTCATAAGCTTTTGCATGGTCGTGCTGATTCCGAGGCTAGTGACGATGAAGTGGATCACATACCTGACATGAACCGGGATCATTTACCTGATTCCGAAGTCAGTACACCCGACGCCCTCGAGACGGCCCAGTCTATGGATGCGCGCCCTGCTGAAACAAGTGGTGTTCTTGGTCAACTTCTCAAACTTTATGACCAACAAAATGAAGAAGAGTCGCGTGCGGATGAGTCACAAGCCCCTGAGTCGGTGATCACGTCTGAAAATGGGACTTCCCTTGGTGGCGGACTCAATTTGATTGGCCATAATGTGGTCGATGCGTACGGAAATCAAGCAGCGATTGAGGATGTGGATCCAAAATTACTGAAGCAGGCTGCTGCATCAAAACGTTCCTCGGAATCTTGGCGTGATCCAGCGAAGCAGTCCATATATCGCACAGGCGGCGGTCTGATCAACCTGGCCAACCAGAATATCACTTTAGCTTCAAGTGTCGGCCAAAGCGTTGTCAAAAATGTGGCAGCAGATGTCGGCTTGGACGTCATGGACGAACGTCCCAAAGCAGCGCGCTCAGGTGCTGGCACTATCGGTGGTTTGATTGCCACTACAGGTAACTTGATTGGCGCTGTGAGTCCATTGCATGCGCAGCTAGGGCCGAATCCAACTCGAGCTGGCTACACACTGGACCGGTATCTGCTGCCCGACATGAACGAAAAGACTCTTCGACGCACGGCTAAGATTGTCGCTGAAGCTGCTCCTGTTCCTAAGAAGATGCGCGCCGCTCAGTCTTTGACAAGTGGTGCACCTTTGACGCCCAATACGTTCGCCGCATATGTGCAAAATACCAATGGTACCAATCCGTACTTTCTTCAATCAGATGGCAAGTCCGTCGCTGGCAACTCTGCGACGTCATCCCTCAAGCGTAGTGGCAATGCTGTCGGGCATGTTGGGAAGCAGCTGTTACATCGAAAATGGCCATCGAGTTCAGCGTCTGACGACAAAGCAGACTACTTTGCGAACGCAAATCCTGAAGAAGTCGCAAGGAGAGAGTGGAAGAAAAAACTGCGTCGTCGAAAGATGCGCAGCAAAAAGCAAGAAATTTTCATTACGATGCATGTTGCTGCAATTCTAAAACGGCAGGAATTTCTGCTCAAGCTTTCACGAGCATTGATGATGTTCGGTGCCCCAACACATCGCATTGAGCAGCAAATTCAATCCACAGCAAATGTGCTTGAAGTTAATTGTCGATGCGTGTACTTCCCGTCTGTTATGCTTTTGTCGTTTGGCGATGAAGCTACTCACACATCTGAGACCAAAATTATCAAGCAGGGCAGTGTTGTGGACTTGACTAAATTGACGGACATGCACTCGATTTACTGGAAAGTCATCCACGACAAGATCGGCGTAGAGCAGGGATCCAAGCAATTGGATGCTCTGATGCGCCGGAAGCCACTGATACCAAAATGGCAGCTTGTTATTATCAGTGGTCTTGCTTCCGGTTTTATTACTGTGGGTGAGTGGGGCTTCAAAGGCTCGTTGCTCGATGCTATCGCATCTGCCTGTCTCGGTGCCTTCATGTGCTTTTGCCAGCTTTCGACGACCTCTGAATTGTACTCGAATGTATTTGAAATCGTATTTGCAACACTCAACTCGTTTATTGCGATGGGTTTGCACCATATCGGTCAAGTTCATGTGAATGATCAAGTTCATTATGGTCGCTACTTTTGCTATAAGGCGGTTGTAGCAGGATCAATCGTGCTGATTCTACCAGGTTTTATTGTCCTGACAGCTGCGTTAGAGCTTCAGTCCAAAAACCTCGTATCAGGCTCAGTGCGTCTCGTGTATGCGATTATTTATTCAGTTTTGCTCGGCTTAGGCATCATGATTGGTGCTTTACCGCTAATGGGAAGTCGCACTTTTCAAATTGAATGCACAGCTCGTGACGATTTCCCTCACTGGTACAACACACCACCTGGTCAGTCTGGATCTCCGTCGTTTGCATGGGCGTTTTTGACTGTACCTGGCTATGCCACGCTATTATCTTTGCGCAACCAAGCCAAAGCAACACGTAAAGAGTTCCCTGTGATGATCTTGATTGCCATCTGTGGCTGGCTTGTCAGCAACTTTGCTATGATTGCGGACAATGTAAATTCAGACTGCATGGGCAAATCAGATGGCCATTGCCCCGTCCCCGAGGTCCTCAAGGACCATACGTATTTGTACTCGGCTATGGGCTCATTCACGGTTGGCATTCTATCCAACATCTACGGGCGCTTCTTTGACGGTCGCAGCTTCGTTGTATCTGTGCCTGGTATTTTATATCAGCTGCCTACAGGTATGACGGGCTCGCCGGATCAGGCGACTCTATGGAATCTCGCTAAGAACCCTCAGAGCAACACAAGCGCTCAGGGCTCCGAAGTAACCTCTGGTCTCCAAATTGGTGCTCAGCTGCTGAACATTTCTCTTGGTATCGCCATCGGTCTGTTTGCCTCATCACTTTTGATGTTCTTCCTCGGTGGCCGCAAAGTTCGCGGCGGCGGTATGTTTTCGTTCTAAGCCTGTTTTGGGTTAGCTGTCACCCAACAGTAGCCCTATGGGTTTTAGCATACCACTACCTAATTTTTATGATCGTATCTCTGCAAGTAAATATCAAAATATTTTAGGAATGGCCGAGACAGAATGAGTCTTCACCGTAGGATCGTTTGAGCAACAGGTTACTCAGTATTTGTCGCGCGCTAACATTTTATCATGACTAAGACAAGAACCGAACATTGTTCTATGTAGGATAGAAAAAAAGCAGTCAGTGAACATGGTTCAGTAAAATTTGATCTAGTCCAGTGATGGTGCTATCACCTAGCTGCTTAATGGTGGTCATGATCGATCTTTTGGTAACGTATACCACTGGTTATGTCAGTCATCATTTTTGTAACCAAATGATACAAACCAGTATGGGCACGGCTTGGGTTCGGGCTTGTCCTGACCCAGGTTAGTTCGGCCAAACGATCCAAGTCAGTCACTTACCAAGTTGATGAACACGCGAGGATGTCCTAGCGGTCCATCACCTGTGTGATGTTAGTCGTAGTAACAAGGTGTATGCACGCACCACCATCACAAGAAGTTACACGTTCTTGAGTAAACTGAAGTGGGTAATTGTTGATTAACTCCATGGCGGAAAGACTCTGCGGCTGAGAACTTGGGTCCATCTGTTCGAATCGAGGTCCCCTCATAGCTTCAGACTTTGGTCGTTGAGATTCGCTCCAAGTTTCGTAGCGGTTGGGAGCCTGTTCAAAACCATACTCCTTGACGGCCTCTGGCATTTTAGGACGTGCAATAGGCGTCTCAACTCGGGACACCATGGCCTGGTCTGCAACCCTAGGACGAACAAATTCGCCTCGGCTCATTGTAGCTGTCGGCATATCTTTAGTCGGGAGCGAGTCGAAGCGGATTGAGCATGAGTAAAATGATCGCAAAGATTCCGTCTGATGCCGAAGCGCACGAGAAGGCGCAAACAAAACTCGACTGAGCATGGTTCCTCAGCGATGCCTGTCGTCGTAACGTTCATAGGAGTGACAAGGCGGCACACTGAGGCGTGCCGCTCGACATCACGTGACACACCTTCACGAGCTCCTCCCAAATCGAGCGGGCAGTGTTGAAATGAATTCTTCACATTATTTACATATTTGCTCGTGAATTGGCGCTGGGCAAAGCCACACGCGTACATAAATTGTTACGTTGTGCAACTTGCGCACCAAGTTCCGCGATCAGCATGTCGCTTAATGAAAACAATGAATTGCAAGCAATGAAGAGCAGTGAAAGAAGTACCGTAGCTCTTCCTCCCGCAAAAAAAACTAGCAAGCAGTGGAATGAGCGGATGCAGCAGCGTCAAAAAATGTTAAGTATTAAGACTCGCGAACGTGGGATGAAACAAGCCAAAGAGGATGAAGTTGAGCGTAAGCGCCAAGTTCGCAGGGAACGGGAAGTAAAAGCTGCTGAGAAGGAGCGCTTGGAATTCATGGCTGCAAAGGTATGTACGCAACGCGTCTTTTGTTCTTACACACACCTTCCAACTTGTTTTGTATATGTATTGTAGATGAGTGCAAAGAAGGCTTTAAGACATGCACGCAGGATGGGTCGTACGAAAAAAGTGGCTCATTAACTTTCCTCACTGCCTTTTGGAAAGTACGTATTTCTCACTCTGTAGATTTGTATCATATGGTCCATATTCTCATGATTTCTCGCGATTTTTCTTCATCAGATTGTATCATCCTTGCAACGATTTTCACATATGGCAGGAAAAGAGATGCCGTCGCTTGTGAAGACATTTCTTGTATGAGCCAGACTACGCATGCGTGCTTCCGCGCGTTGTGTTCATTTCATTTCTTCGGTATGGAAGTGGTTTTTGCACGTTTTCACAAGGAGTTTTACCTCTCCACAATGGGGACAATGTCGCTGGGCATAGCCAAGTTCGCTTGGGACGACGAATCATGTCGGAGAAGGCAACTGCCAATAAGCTGTATGATGCTGACGCTCCTTTTCTGGTAGAATCATATCAACATGGCGCTGGCTCATTCCAAACACAGGAGTCGCTGCCGTCGTACTCGTACTCGAATGACCCGCATATGCCTGGGCAACTCCGCTCTTGGGATGATGCCGCGCGTGCACCGCCGGTACCGATTCGCTCGCCTAACTCAGGTCCACATGGTCATGTATATGCGAATGTAGACAGCGATAATCCCTATCTTGGAGTAGGTGGTGCGCCTTCTGTCACACCTGCACCGCTCAATGCAACAATAACAGGATATGCGACAGGCCTGGGCTGGGAGTTGAGCAAGTTATGTGCGATTGCATACGCGATTCCGCCATTTTCCAGTGTACTTCTTCTTCTGTACGAGACACAGAATGTATGTTATTTCTCATCTGTTGACGTGTCAGGATCTTGTCCGTTTCCATGCGTATCAAGCGGGTTTTGGCGGTGCTATCGTAGTTGTCGGTGCCTGGATTCTCAACTATGTGTTTGGACTGCGCTGGCTCGTTTGGCTGTTGACACGTTTGTTGCTATTTGCATCATGGTATTGCGGGTACGTCTATACTTCCTATTTTCACTGACAATCGCAGCTACTTGGCTCATCACTCTGCGACTCTACTGGAGCGCGACCCATTCTTGCCCCTCTTAGGCCACTACGCCATGCAATGCGTAGGCGAGGAATAGAGTCCCTGTATGTAATGCCTCATACATCGATCATATACCAACCCAACTTTATTTCATGTGCTGTGTTGGAGTCACTTGACGACTCACAAAGGCCGATGCGAAGAACACTAGCAGGACAGCTAGAGCCACACACAACGGTTTGCGGGCATAGCTTGATAAAGGCAAAGTGTATTCCACAAATACGACTTTGCTGTTCATGAAAGAGCATTTCGCGCGCGAAATAGATACGATAGGGCGTCCCACTGTGTCCAGGTACGTTGGATACGTGCTGGTCTCCATCGAGTCTACCTGGAAGGGCAGCATTACTTGAATATCGGTTGCACCCTCAGGAAGAGCAATCGTGAGATTAGCCACATCAATGGCGGCTGTCTTGGGGGAAATCAGAAACGGAACGGCAATGCGCGTACGCCAAGGTTTTGCTGGATTCCAACGAGCAATACCGTGCTGGCTCATCCGCTCATTCCAGCCAACAGTAAATGAATAGTTCCACCCACCAAGCACAGGAAAGCGTGGTCGGATATCTAAACGGCGTGGCATACCTAGCATTTTGGGTGTCGGTGACAAGGATGAAGTCGACACATTGCCTGTTGCATCAACGAAGTACACATCTTTTGCGCCAGAGGGGAGATAAAGCGGAAGAGATTGAACCTGCGAAACTCTTTCAGCCAATGGATTCATGTGCATGTTGATCATGTGCAGGGAGCGGCTGAAATGGCCCTTGAGTTTGGGCCCGACGTTGCGCAACAAAATGGAATCTTGTGTTGCCATATTATCACCCCAGTGGCTAACTTCAACATGTCGTTTGTAGTCCACGAATGCAATGACAGGTCTGCTGTAAGTAAAGTGAACGCGTCCTTGAGCAACAGGTTGAGACTCCAGCGTGTAAGCACGGACATCGTTGAACGGACCAAACTCGACAGTGTTGTCATTACGCTTAGATCCCACAGAAGAATCAATAGTGATAATAGGGTCAGGTGTGCGTATTGAGACAGACGCAGACGACGTAGCGTATGGCGTGCGTGGCTCGGCATCACCGTTCCATAGCAGCATTTGGTGCTCGCCCTGTTCCAACTCTTTCGGCAACGGCGATGTAATGTGCAAAAACACAGCGTTTACTAGTAAATTCACTGCTTTTACCTTCTCCATGGGTACATCGATGGCATACTGGATCGTATCATGGTCAAATTCCAATGCACCCAAAGGAGTGATTTCGAGGTCCAGTTCTTGACTGTCGTCATCCTCTTGCACCAGCGATGCTGTAAGCATCGATAAATGTTCATGCTCGTACTTAGTGAGGTATAGAAGGTATGTTGCAACACCATTTGTACCAATCTCGGCAGGTGTTGCCTTGATCTCAAGGTTTAGGAGACCCACCGCACCTCCGAGCTCCATGATCTTGGAGAACGAGTCTTGCGTCCATTCTGTCGCAGCAGCGATACAAGCAGATAGACTCGTGAGGAAAAAGAGTCCTGCGTACACCAAGAAGATGGAGCGTGTCAGTCTCATGCACGTCACCAGCATTCTATGGTCAGACTTGCCCCTTGGTGTGCTTTAGCGGCCAGTGCACGACGCACCGTTCGGCCAAAGGAACCTGTCCAAGGCTCGTTGTGTGGGAAATCTGGAATTAATTTCAGGCATTGTGATTGATGTATGTCGTCAAACAACGCGTCACCTCCGCAACTTGCTCGCTTCGACATGAGCACTGCGAAACCCACGAAGCCCGAGACAACGACGGAAACCAACAAGACACAAGAAAAGAGCAATGCCGTGCCAACTCTTGGTGCTCTAGATGAGGACGATGAGTTTGAAGAATTCGAGACCGACGGTATGTATTATACATTGCGAGATTCTCAACCTCTTTCTCACACGCTTACTTCAGACTGGCCCGAAGAGGACACTATGGCTAGGACAAAATCTAATGAAACAGACACAGCGGGACATGCTACAGTTGCTTTAGATATGAGTGGGTCTGCTCGTTCAGGCGGCAACCACCTATGGGAAGATAACTGGGACGATGATGATATCGAAGATGATTTCAGTGTAGCCTTACGGTACGTTGCACTTAATCGCCAATTGAATCCGAGCATTGATACTGCTACTTATCTGTATCAATGTTGGGTTTAGTTCAGTGTTTAGGTCTTTGGTCTAACTATTTGCAGCGCTGAGCTAGAAAAAACCGATACCGCCCAGCCTATGTCCACGTGAGAGTGCTTGTTTCATTACCTTTCTAGTTTATGTCCGGACAGTATGTGCTTTACTTCAAGCTCTAAATGCACGATACAAAGTTCGGTATGACGGGACGCCCCTGATATCTATATATACGTATTCTGCAGACGTGTCCTCGTGCTGTAGTCGTAGTGACACTGTTAACATGCGACTGTTTGGCGAGCTATCCGAACCGCTTTTAACCATGTTGAGCATACTAGTGTGCAGATACAGATGTATGCAAGCGTGGATTCTTCTGCATCCACGCGTCAGCTCACTGGCTCCTACCCTGCTACAATTAAGAGACGCTATTAAACGACACTAGTAGAGTAGTATCTCAGCTGTGGTACAGAGAATTATTGTCACGTGACGTAGATTGTCAGGTAGTCGATTAGCATCATCACTTCGATCAACGTTCGGACGCCCTTCATCATTCTCATCCGATTTTGCTGCAACGATGTTAGCAGGCAAGAGCGGTGCCGAGGTGGGAGCAGAAGAACCTCATAGAGAGGCAGATTTTGCGCATGAATATTTAGAAAATGATGTTGCAAACGAAGGCCGCGAGGCCGATGCTGAGGATGCTGACATTGAGGCTATGAAACGGCGAGTGGCTGAAATGGAGGCTGAAGCCGCTAAGCTGCGCGAAATGAACGAAGTCGCGGAACGGGACATATCCGGAACTGCATCAGCTGCATCTCATCCTAGTGAAGAAGAGAAGATGGAAGTAGACGGACGCAGTATCTACGTTGGAAACGTGGATTATGGCGCCACACCTGAAGAAATTCAACAACATTTCCAGAGCTGTGGCACCATAAATCGCGTTACTATTTTGTGCGACAAATTCACTGGCCATCCGAAAGGATTTGCGTATGTTGAGTTCGCAGATTCTAGCTTTGTTGAGAATGCAGCCGTGCTAAATGAATCACTTTTTCGCGGCCGTCTACTAAAAGTCACGCCGAAAAGAACTAATGTGCCAGGAATCACTACACGTGGACGTGGGCGTGGACGTGGGCGTGGTGGCTTCCGCGGTGGTCCTCGCGGTGGTTTCCGTGGCAGTTTCCGAGGTCGTGGCTCTTGGCGTGGTCGCGGTCATGGTTGGTGGTAAAGATTATTGATTCAAAGGTATACAATTTAGTCTATTCCATCATCATCTACTGTCATTCCTGATCTCCCACATTTTTGTCTTCCTTTTTTTTTCTTCAACTTAGTCTCATGTATTGTCATGTTTCGGAATGCTTCCGCTCTGTCATTATCGCTTTACAGTCGAGCCTCATGCTCTGTTTATACGACTATCAAACAAGACCGCTTTTGCGCACTGCGAATTCTGAAATGGATTAAAAATATGCTCTTGAAAATGGTGCGAAGTGAGAACTCGTAGCGGAAAACTATACACGAATTACCACGGAAAATATGAAGTTGATCATGCGCGACATTGGTCGCAAACACAATTATGACATATGCGAGCTCTCAGAACGTGATACACATTGAGAAAAATTTTCTCCTATTTCTTTGGAGATAGCATCAACTCTTGCCTTGGCAAATTTTGAATTGGTCAGGGTCGATGTAAGTTCATCCGAGTTAGCTCGGTCCTCCGGTTCTTGCTTATTATCTCCTTCTAAGAGCCACTTGAACTCAGCCGGTAGGTTTTCTTGCTCGTCAAACCAGCCTTTTTTCTTCGCGATGGTCCATAACAGTTGCACAGCCTGAAGCAACTGTGATGTCTGCGATGCAGAGAGAAAAGAGGGCGGTAAAGATGGAGACTGACTTGCCATGAGTGACGTGCTGTCAGGCATACCATCTCCGTGAAGCTGTTTGTTTAATAGGTCAACTTCCGCGCGGAGCTGAGACAACTCTTCCTGCACATGGTCACGATGGTTTGCTCGACTTCGGCTACTGCGGTACGTCTCACCTAAAATGATGGTGGCAGCTACAGCAAACAAAAATCCTTCCGAGATAGCATTAGCACCGTTAGAAATAGCCTTGGCATCATTTAGGGGGCGGATTTTGTAATTCTCTGAACCTGGCAACAAGTTTTGTCGGAGTCGAGCTTCAGTCCGGTGCATATGCTGGGCGAGAGCAATACAAATCTTTTCATTAGTCACAAGGAATACATACCCTCCGAAAAGTTTCATGATGCGCAGCCTGATGCTTGATTTGCGTCGCAATTGGTTTCGCAAGTGTGCGAATTGTCAACGATACAATTTTCGCTGTTGCCATATTGTTTAGTGGGGAAGCCGACAAAATTCCGTAGCATTGTGGTTCCCGGCAATCGCCTATCTCCACATGGTCCGTGGGCAGATCAAGATGCACTCCCTACGACACAATCTACGCGCGGGCTCAACGAATTCAAGACCACGTAAGCTTATTTGTCTAAAGCAGTCACCAGCTATAAATGGATGGCACCGCGCTATCCTGACCATTGGATCGAATTCAAGTCAATACCCTCTTGAACCATTTCCCAGAGAGGGCTCAAATCACGCAGGCGCTGAACCACGGCGACAATCTTGTCGCAAACAAAATCGACTTCCTCTTCAGTTGTGAAGCGCCCAATGCCGAAGCGAAGACTCGAGTGTGCATTCGCATCGTCCAAACCGAGTGCGCGCAAGACGTACGACGGCTCAAGCGAGGCGGATGTGCAAGCTGAACCTGACGAAAGACAAATGTCTTTCAATGCCATCAACAGTGACTCGCCTTCAATGTACTGAAACGTGAGATTCGTGCAACCCGGATAGCCGTCTGGATCACCATTCAAAAGCACCATTTCAACACGAGACATAATATTGTCGCGAAGACGCTTTGATAATGCAGACACGTGAGCGTGGTCGAACTGTTATTGTCAGTCAAGTCACAAATTTTCACTCGAGCAAGCCGAGGAAAAGAGAGGAGAGCTGCACATGGCATCTCAAGTTCCCTGCAGTAGCTGGTCCACTTTCATGGACAATCAAGAATTTATCCTTACTAGTCTGTTAGATAGAGCATGCGATCAAAAATATGACCCAAGCCCTTCGCCTAACATGTCAAACTAGTAGGTAGCATGTCTTTGAGGACCAAGTGATGGTATCATCATTGATGCCATCTGGCCAAGTGCTCCCACAAACTCTTCCCTTTACGGATATAAATACGTACCGCCATTTCCTTTTTCGCCAGACGAGCAGCTTCACCAAAACCGACCACAAGGGGCGTTGCCAATGTGCCACTTCTGAGGCCACGTTCTTGACCACCACCACTGATCAATGCATCAAGACGCACGCGAGGACGGCGACGTACAAACGCGGCACCAATTCCCTTTGGTCCATACAGCTTGTGACCTGACAAGCTCATTAGATCAATGCCAGCTTCGTTTACGTCGATGGGAATTTTGCCCACTGCCTGTGCGGCGTCTGTGTGAAAGAATGGCTTAGGCATTCCCTTTCCGAGCTGTTTGCTAAGCTCAAGTCCCTCCGTCTTAAGAATCTCGCCAATTTCTTTGATAGGCTGAATAACACCGATTTCATTGTTCACGGACATGATAGATACAAGACTGGTCGTTGGACGAAGCTCTTTACGAAGCATGTCCAAATCGATTTTGCCGTTCGACTGCACGGGCAAATAAGTAACTTCAAATCCTTGCTCCTGCAGATTTCGACAAGAGTCAAGAACACACTTGTGCTCAGTTTGCGTGGTAATGATATGATTTTTTTTCGCACGGTAGAAATTTGCCACACCTTTTAAAATCATATTGTTGCTCTCCGTTGCACCGGATGTGAAAATGATTTCTTTAGGATCGGCATTTACAAGCTCAGCGACATGCTTGCGTGCCTTATCAGTGGCTGCTTCCGTCTCCCAGCCATAAGCATGTGTACGAGAGTGCGGGTTCCCGTACTGTTCAACGTAATAGGGCAGCATAGAATCCAGAACTCGAGGATCCACTGGTGTAGTGGATTGAGCATCCATGTAAATAGGGCGCGTTGCTCCTCTGTGAGAAGCTCCTTTACCAAGAATTCGTTCCACAAGCTGGTCATTCGAAAGTGGACCATCATCTCCTGTTTCATTCAACGCCACAGACGGCACAGCTCGAGACGCCGATGATGGAGTCACATAGTTCCGCGTAGCACTTTGGATAGCGCGTCGCGAGGTCAAACCAAACGGTAAAGGCATCTTCATGCTGATACCTCTGCGAATCGCTGACACCATCATAATCCTGGTGGTGGTTAGGGGCGGTAAGGTCTAATGGCGAGCAGGTTTATGGACGTATTTAGCTTCGGCCGAGTATGTGTAAAGGCGTCACGACCTGGTAGTGCTTTCTTACACACAGGCCAAACCAAGTGTCGTGCGGAAAAAGTATGAACACAGAAATGCACGTTGGTGAGAAGTCCTAGGCTAGCAGGTAACATGGTGCTGCCAAAAGAGAATACAGATCTGTAGAAATGAAGGATCGTACGCTTTGAATCTCTAGGCGTTGAATCAGAAAGTTTCCATGTCATCTGCTGGTTCAGGTTCCATCTGACGCAGGGTAAGCGATTGTGCCAAGCAAATACGTACCTCGGCTGCATCTGGAAGTTCGAAGCCTTCTTCTGTCTGGTACAATATAGCTTGAATTTGTTTGAGTGTGTCCGTCTCTGAAGCACCAGCCGGGTTAACCAACTCTTCACCATCCTCCGTGGGGCGCACAAGTTCTCCAAGGCGCTCTTGGAGAACGACTTCCACATCACGCAGTTTGCCGAAGTAAAAATCGCGTTCACGCTCTAGACTGTCAACGCTAAGCTTCATCTCATCAATTTCGGCAGTGAGTTGCTGAATCGTCTCATTTGAAATCATGGCTGCAGATGGGCCACGCGTTCCAGCACGTGGAGCCATCGACATACGCCTAGGGCCAGCACTTGAACCAGTAGCAGCAGCACCAGTTGCTCTGACTTGCTGAGGCGCGACAGAAGGGCGTGGTGCAACAGAAGGGCGTGACGCTGCGGATTGGCGTGGCGCTGCGACGCTAGGCCTGGCACGTGTACCACCAGCGCCAGACGCCGGTCTACGACCTGGTGAGCTGGCAGCAGGAGTGCCTGGCTGACCAGCACGCCGGCCTTCTGCATCGTACATGCCTTCCCCAGTATAGTTCAAGTCCCAGAACTTTTTGATCCACTGCAAAAACTCAAGGTTGTCTTGCATCTTACAACGAACAAGTCGCTCGACAGGGATTGGCTTATCAATTCGATTTTTGTTGAACACATTTTGTAGTACTTTGTAGTTTGTAAGAGACTCATATTCGTGCTTGGCTCCGAAATTTATACGAGACATGGGGACATTGCCTAATCGTTAGTATGTATGGGCGCTGATTTCACTCGACTTACCGTAAATAGAGTCAATAATTTGTGCATATGCTGCCCCATTTCCACACTGCTCTACCTTAGTGTAATTCAATGTGAGCAGTTCATTCAGCCACGCAATCAGCTCTGTGCGAGAAGCTGACATGCTGCTGCTTTCCAGCCTGCGAGTCGTCGGCAACCAACACCGACGATGAATGACATACACACCCCAAAGCACAAGGCTAGCTCCAACGCGCGCTTCTCACGTGATTGAATCCACGTGAAGTGTTTTCGCCCTTCTAAGGTATGCTATAGACCCAAATAACAGGCGTTGTGGCAGCACGACCTGTAGTGGCCGCGATGCCAGGGCCCAGGGATGTGGAAGTATCAGTGCCGCTGTATGCAAGCATTGGCTTGGAAGGATGCCAGGCAAGTGAGTTGATCGTTGTAGAGACGGGAATGCGGTGTACAATCCTTTCGCCAGCCAAAGAGATCTGTAAATGTCGCGTTAGAATGTCCTAAGTGTGTTAGCAACAACGTACCAAAGCGACATCGGGATCTTCGCCACCCACAGCAAGCCATTCTCCATCGAACGAAAAGTCGATTGTACGAAGTGGAAATTTGAAGTCGGAGAACACGCGGGAGCAATCCCATAGGGCCGAATCCCAAAGGGCCAACGTGCTATCGGCTGCAGCAGTGGCCACAACCCGTTCCGTAGGGTCCCATTTAACGCAAAATATTGCTGCTGGATGTGCATGGTGGATCATGACTTGCTCCCAACATTGCTTCAATCCGTTCGCAGCTGTTGAGGCATCTGCTTCTAACTCAGGGGTATCTGGAGCGCGAAGGAAGCTAATGGTACCGCTGCCCATGGGTAAGAGCAACATGGAACCATCAGGCGACCAAGCAAGCTCATTGATTTCTTCGCGATCAATAGAGCCGTCTTTGATTTTATGCAAGAAGCAACCTTGATCAGCATCAATCAGACTCACGGTCTCGCTTTTGTCGCCAACAGCTAAGAAGCGGCCTTGAGGATGATATGCTAAATTGATATTAGAGCCAGGTGTAGATATTACTTTTGTAGAGGAAGGCGCGCGTAAGTCCCATACTCGTACAGTTCGATCAATTCCACCAGTCGCAAAGAGGTGTGGGTCGGTGGGATGGCATGCGATCGCTGATATTTGGCCTGAGTGCCCTGTAAATTCAGTTGTTGCACGCACATCTGAGCTTCTTTCAGGGTTCCATGCGCGCACAACATGATCACTGCCACAGCTCATCAGAACATCACCAGTAGCGTTCCAGGCTAAGGCACGTACACCGGTGTTATGTCCGCCTCGAAGTTCTTTTGGCGGGCGCGCAGACGTGAACGGAGGATAATTTAGATGCCGTCGCGTGAAGAATGACGCATCGGTCGGCGGATCTTCAAGCTGTCCGATCCCACGATAGGCTTCGCGCCCTGAAGCAGCTGTCATAAGTCGCCTGGCGTATCGGAAGGTGGTATCACTGAACTCCACACGCCCCGTGTTCAAGCAACAGTTAGTACGCGCTTCGAGTTCATTGCAGTTGAAAGCCTGACTAGCTAGTAACTTGGAGCAAATTCTTTCAATTCGGCCGAAAAAAAATTGTGCGGAAGGTCTTGTTGGCACATGCTCACATTCACATATATTTCGATAGGCACGAACCAGAGCGACCGGGGTTAGGACAAGAGAGTGTGAGAAATGAAAAATTGTGATGAGACTACATATACAGTGTTATTTTCCAGAATCCCACGCTAATGCACGAAGTAACTGATGGGAGTCTGTAGGTAAGACAGCGGGTGACTCGATGGATTGATGCGTCGAAGGATCGTTGGTATCACGAACATTGGCCAACAAGGTATCAAGCCGTCGCTGAGCCGTGGCAGAGGATGCCAAGTCAGCACCAGATGTAGCATCTGAGAGCGAGTCTGAAAAAGAAGCAAGACCGGCTGAAGTCCGCTCATGAAGTGCTTGTGCGGCGCGACTAGAGACGCGCCGTATATATTCATCGGACAGCTCATCGAGTTGTGCCACAGCGTGTAAGCGGCGATGGATTTTGTCCACGTCGTATTCCAAAGTATGTAGGCGTGCATCGACTTCAGTGCCATCTAGACTGGTATCCCTGGCAATGTCCGAGCTTGTTTGCGATGCCACAGCATGATTCAGACTCTCGGTCGACACAAGCACAGATTGTGCGAGATCCAATTGGCGCTGGGCATCTTCATCAGCATCTTCCCACGCCCAGCTCAGAGCGCTTGCATCAGTGCCATGAGCACCCATTCGCGCACGTTCTACTTCATCAGCAAGAGCTTGCTCTTCGTCACCGTCTGCAGAATTGAAGGCACTTTCGTCAGACTGCGCGCGACCTCTTCGACGTGTTGTAATCTGCTCGCGAAGTTGAGTTGCCATAGCTTCTACTGCTTCGGATTCTTCATCAATTCTCTGGATTTCAAATTCGTGCTCTTTCCAGGATGTGAGCTCATTACGTAGTTGCTCTAGCATGCCAGACAGCTGCTGCTCAGCGTGTCGATTTGATTCATTACGAGGATGCGGCTGTAGAGGACGAGATTGATCCTTTTTTGCATGTCGCAGCCAACTGATACCGATCAAACCATCATTCAGGTCGCGAAGTGTGTCTTGCATTAGTTTGAGGAGAATAGGCGAAACTTCAGCAACATGTTGACGGTCTTGCTCCGTAAGTTCTCGGGACGCTTCTGGCGGTATGGGTGCGAGTAACGACAAATCTGCATCATCTCCAGGATGAGTTTTCCCATGTCTTCGTCGCCTGCCGATGCGGGGGGGAGGGGCTTCCGCCAGGGCTTGCGGAATAGAGCGGTGCAACGTCCAATTCAGCAAGTGCTTCATGCGGACAACAGGTGGCACCTGATCAGAGCAGTGCTTGTACAACACATCATCAGGGATATCATCATGGGGGTATGCTGGTGCACCATCACGAAGACTGGAGACCCGGCGCAGTCCTTTCACACTCATACTATCACGCCGCACACGTGAGACGGGAGGACGTGAGCGTGCAACTTCATTCCGACGGCGTGACCGATCCGCAGCTGGCTGGCTAGGTCCTGCGACAGCCTCGTCTGCAGGAGGCTTCATCCGAATAAAAATAAGGTCGCCTGCGACCTCTTCGCCCATAGTATTTCGCGGTCGACGCTGCCGTTTATTCGGTAGAGTGGCCTGAGCCTCATCAGCTAAGATGTCAGAAAAAAACCTTTCAGGTACACCCCTGTTTGTGTTCAATGGCCTGTCTGGACTCCGACGAGCACCAGACATGGTGCTCTGCGGTGCGTCGTAGAATGCCAGAACCGCTCCGACGCGACGACGCTGTGAGCGTAGACGACGGCTGCACGCGTGGCGCGGCGTGTTTGGGAGATGAGCGTGTCTATCACGTGATTTATCCACATCACCTTTGCATGTTGTGTGAAAGTAACGTCAGGTGTATTCTGACTCGCAGTGCAGTGTAGGTCTGACTCGGAGGCCGCGATAGTATCAGTGCATCACTCGGTCAGATGCACAGTTCCTTCATTCTACATCGCACACAGGCACAATCATATATCAGACACACGGCCACGAATGGCGTTAAAGGCCAACCAGATAAAAAAAAGCTATGCATCCATTAACTGAGGGGATTTTCCGATGCATAATGGTCGAGCAAATCAACAATTCGAGAAGTGAGCGATTCAAGCTCTTGCACTTCATGCATCGTTAAAGGGCCGACAGGCGGGATGGTCGGGTCAGCATCCTCCTCATCGTCAGAAAATGTGTCGTTGAGGACATCGGAGGCAACAGGCTCGATAGAGGACTTTTTTGCCGTCAGATTTGTGAGGGGGATCTGAATGCCCTCCAACACACGGAGTATACAGGCATCCATAACAGACTTGATGCGCTCGACGCCATCCAACGCATCATAGTCACCGGTGACAGGGAGCCACGAGTCACAGTCCAAACCTTGTGGGGAAGCCCGCGCCTCCGTTGCACCGAAGAGCATGTACGACAACGGATCAATGCGTGTACACGTGCGCATGAATGTCATGGCGTGTCCAGCAGAACCAGTCATCTGCGAAGTGTTACGCACTTTCTCAGCAAAGGCATAGATGTCCTTATTGGGCATTGATGGTGATGCAGACATCTTTGCCTTGTCCTTTTGGAATTTGGCACTGCACACACTGGACGGGTGGATAAAACACGACTTATCCTGTGAGGTACGGAACGTTCGCTCACCCGTGCGTACAGCAAAGTTAGGTGACGACACCGCAATAAGCGAAGCAAGCAGTGCCGTACTGTGGGCATTAGCGTTGAATTCAGGGTCAGTTTCGCGAATGCGCCGGCGGTAGCGAGGAGGGACGCCAGCGCTGCTACGAATGAGTTGAATCACGTTGGCCTTTCTAAGACTCTGGAACAGGTTCTCTTTCACTTGCTGAATCTGGAACATGGTCGAGCGACTCAGCATGTTTTGATACAAGAATCGATTCGCTTGGCTCGGATGTAACGATAATAGTCTGTTCCACTCATAGTACGCGTTGAGGACGCACAACGGATCTGAACGGAACGTTGTGGGGCACCAACTGTTCTTAATTTCGTTGGCCTCCCGTTTTAGATGAATAGGCGCCATGAACGGATCCCGGTTCGTCAAAATCGCCGCAAGTGACAAGACAGGATCCAAGCAGCGGAAGAACGCACCATACAGACACATTTTTCCGATATTAACATCGACTGGCAAATGCAAAAGCATTTTGCCGAGCGACGTGAGATTTGAGTGATAATCCAGAGCGCCAATCCGACCAAGATCAACCATGGCTGCCTGCACACGTTCGGACGCGGGTGGTTCGATCGTGGATGCAAGCACGTCTTCTACCTCCATACCGGGAATGTTGAGTGCCTTGATATGCATGACGACATTACTGAGGTCGAGGCGCTTCATTTCGACCGTCTGGCTTACACCCAGGCGATTGTAGCGCGCCATTGACAACAAGCCGTAATACTCACCAGACCGATGACGGCCTGCGCGGCCTGCGCGCTGGTTTAGGTTGGACGTGCCGACCCAGGCAGACACAAGACTCGACAAGTGTCGTTCAGGATCGTACCGCTTCTCCTTCACACGGCCAGTGTCAATCACATACACCACGTCTGGGATCGTCACGGACGTCTCTGCTATGTTGGTCGATAGAATCACGCGGCGAATATGAGGATGTCGCACAGGCTCAAACACAGCCTGCTGGTCAGTCACAGGGACCGACGAGTGGAGGATGTGGATCTCATACTGAGAAGAGTCATCGAAGCACACACCCATCAGAGGGTATTCTTTCGAATTCAAGAGCAATTGGTGCACGATCTTGATCTCGTCCCACCCGGGCAAAAACACAAGCACGTGTCCGTCACGGGACCGTGTGAGCACGTAGGCGATCAGCAGAGCAACTAGTGGATACGGCAACTCCAGATTGTCAATGATCAGTTTGTCGTCTGAGCTGCCAACAGAGTCGCTGATTCGGCCACCGTGCTCGATGATCTCACGATGTACATAATCACGAACGCTCTGCTCGTGCCAGACCCACCCCCCTTGATTCAACGGAAGAGCCAGCTCTTGAAGTTGTTGATAGATTTCGTCAAAGTAGTACTTTTGTACAGGGAAACTCCGACCAGGGATCTCCACCACTGGTACGGGCCGTGCCGAAAATCCTTCAAAGTACTGTTGAAACAGTTTCGGATCCACGGTCGCACTCATTAAAAGCAGTTTGATCTCAGGGCATCCACGTTCCCTACGGTCTTGGAGAACACGCTTGATCACAGCCAACAGCAAGTCGGTCTCAACATCACGTTCATGCACCTCATCCATAAGTATATGCGTCACATTGTCGAGAAATGAGGTGCCTGATGCATCCTCTAGTGCCGACTGCAAACGCCGTAAAAATACACCCGTCGTGCAGAAAAGAATAGACCCATCCGGTTTGGGCATCTTGCTGTCAAACCGCACTTGGTATCCGACCGAATCACCGACACTCTCGCCCCGCTCCTTCGCAACACGCTGTGCCACACTAATGGCTGCAATGCGACGGGGTTGAGTACAGATAATATTACAGCGTGACCCTTGCTTGCGGAGCGTAAAATCATCCAGCAGAATTTGAGGGACCTGCGTCGTTTTGCCAGAGCCTGTAGACGCCATGCAGACAGTGATAGGGTTCAACTCCGTTTTTACAAGAATGTCGCCAGCGTGCTGCATTACTGGAAGCTGCTCACGCGCAATCCGAAGCGACTTGACACGTTCGTCCGTCTGATAAGCATTCAAGTTTTCTAGCATTTGTTGGGACTTTTGTTCATGCTGTTCATCAGACAGTGCATGTCGCGTCGCATCGGCCTTTTTCGTTGCAGGTGTTGCATCTGGAGGTGATGAGAGCACCGCCGTGGTTCGCGGACGATTTGCATACAGCTCACTATCTCGAATCGTGTCATAGAGATGACGCATCTTTTCCTCCAATTCATTTGACACACGAAAATAGACCGGTGGCGCTTTGCCGGCAAGCTTACTCCGAGGCATTTGCAAGTACTTGACCCACATGTCTCGATATTCATCAGCAAGTGTTGTCGCTGTGTTCAAGTAAGCCGCATTTTGTGCAGTTTTCTTGTTAGATTCAAGTGATTCGCCGACTGGGGTGCCTCCAATGCACATCGTGGCCTTCCATCCATGAATCAACACGCGCCGTCCACGAACTTCATGTGCCTCATGAAATACCACATCTGGCGAACCAAAATGCCCCTCACGACAGAAAAAGTCGATGAATTCACGAGCTTGTTCTAACGAAACAGATGTGCCATCGAAAAGGGCAGCAGTGAGCACCTTAGAGTTGCCTTTGCCACCGGAGCCGAAGATGCCTGGTGGAGGGTGTGCGATGAAATCGCGCTCCAGGAGCAGGAGCACACCGTGTAGAGCGGCTGCTTTTTCTGCCTCTTTTTGACTTTTCCCATCGCCCGTCGCAACGATGTTGTACTCTTCGTCGATGACAAGGGTGGAACGAATGACTTTGTGCGACTTGCCATGGTAACGACCCTCGGCAAAACGAAACTCAGGATACGAGCCGGTGCGAGACTGAACATAGGCAAAGACGACGTTCTTTGGATTGTCGAGCCATTGGGTCTTGGCCAAAGCTACCAGATGAGCCAATCGAGCTTTGATTTCGTCAGACGTTTGAATCGGGTAGGAAAGGACAGGGAAATCGCTTGCTGCAGATTTTGAATGCTTACTAGGACTGGTCAGTTGCCTGAGATGAACAAAGACACGCCAACAATACCTACTTTTTTTTCCCAAATTGAGGCATTCTCTCCCTGCCATGACTCGCGCTGCTCTCGCCTCCACGCGAGTTCGTACTGCAGGTGTAGCGCGCATTTCTAGTATGAAATGCACGAAACTCAGAGCCGCCAGCCATAGCAGGGAAAGCGACCTTATTAAACCTTAAGGGATACGATGTGAACCAATTGAAAACTAACACTGGAAGCGCGCGATGTCGCCTGAGAAACGAAACGTACTGTACCAGATGTGTTTGAAAGAAATGAGGCATACACAGTGGCCGGGACAATACTCTGCTTCGTTCTCAGGCGACAAACGACGCTCCACAGTGAGACTTGAAATCGGCAAAGCTCTAAGGATAAAGTAAGAAGGAAGCCTCGTCGCAAAAATCACGAAGACAGTAAGTAATACGTGATGCAGTGGCTGAGCACCTAAAGGTTAGGGCTGTAGTAAATATCCAATCAGCGATTTTTCCATGGACTGGGGCTAAGGCTTAAATGTATTGGCTCAGAATACAATCCTATTTTTAACCCACGTGCTGCAGAAAACGTTGGCGCACAAAGACGTATGCACAACGGTTAGTCGCACGCGAGCGCAACGATGAGCGAGCCTATTGACACCCCGAGTGCTGAGAAAAAGCTACTAATGGCGTGAGACATCTCATGTGAAGAGCGAGTGCATATGACCTGGCGTGTCAGGAAGGAAAAAAAAGTCGGCGGTTCACTGACTCACCTCGAATGTTGTCAGCAACGGCGGAAAAGTTGATGTGTCCAGCACAAGCCACTGACTAGCTTTCCTTTGTACGGCTGCGAAGTTAAGATACCCCGGCGGTAATGGTTCAGGGAGTCGGTATGATGTGCCTAATTCAGTAAATGAGACGTTTGTAGGGAATGTGGTGAGGAAATTGGGATCATTCGGCACCTCGAAATGGGCGCGTTGACCCGCATCAAGGAGTCTTTCGGTGCGTTTGTACGAGTACCAGGTGTCATTGAACGAATCAAGGACATAACTGGGCTTGAATGTGGCTTTGTATCTCATTTTTTGGCACGCGTGAATGTAGTAGCCTTGTATCAGCTCGGCCACGCATATGACACGTACCCATATAGTACCAGTGCAGCGAAGAGATTCGACGACTCAGTGCTTTCGTTAAACAGATTTCCACCATTGCACTGATTTTGCCTAGTTCCCAATCAGCGTAGGCAGGCTCGTAGAAGAAGTACACACTGCTCACACAGTGGGGCAGAATATCAAGCACACCTACGGCCAACAATTGGCCCTTGTCTGATGAGTAAGTACACACAGAGTGCTTCGTTGGAGTGATACATACATCGGTACTCGTGATGGTATACGCCAAAGAATGCATGCGCTTTGTCCTGTCCATCACCCTCATCAGGAAATGGTGCGCGAACAAGAAACTGTTCCCAGCCTCGGCGAGAGCTGATTTCGTCTTCGGCTTCTCGATGTATATGCTTCTGGTAGCGGCGAAACAGTGCATACTTTTCATCTGTAGATGTTGCTCTCCGAAGCGAAAGTTTGATCCGTTCGTTGGGAATGCTGTCGTATGGTGCTTCCAAAGGCGGCCATGACGAGTCTGACAAATCCACGATGTCGGAGGAGTCATCGTGCATGACCAAGCGGACATGGTGTTCAACGTCGTAGGCACCCGTGGAACCCCACTTGCCCTTCCAACGAGCAGGCTTTGGCCGACCACACAATGTCCAGTACAATTGATTCAGTGCGCGGCGCTGCGCTTTCGACGGCCGGTACGCCTGAGCATCGAGCCGGATCGTATGCTGTGGGCAGCAAGTCCTTGAATTGTCTGGCTTGTACACATAATCTCCTGAGCGGCGCCATCCATGGTCAAGTAACGTCTGATAATGATCTGGTTCAAGACGGTACGCCTACACGCGTGAGTGAGCCGCAAGTTCCTTTTACCATTTCATGTTAACATACAAGAAAACCGTACGAGAAGCTTCTTTCTTGTTTCTCCTGATTTTCTGCACGGCAGTAGCCGCATGACGACCGATTGTATCCGATAGGTAGACCCAAGCTGCGTCCAGGCATGCTAATTAGCTCAAATGCGCGCAAGTCTGGAGGGTCCGACGAAAATCCGTGCGCAAATTAAAGCCCACCTGTGGCTACTATCATTAAAGAAATGCCAGAGTTTAAAAAATATCAGGGCCCGCATGCACTCTCTCCACAAACTTGTTATGTCGCTTAATAACTTAAAATTCGCCGAGAGGGTGCGAGTTTTGCTCGCTTCTTGAATCCTCCTCTATGCCCAATGACTCGTCACACAGTACAGCCTCCTCTCGTAAGCGGCGTCGCTTGCCGTCTGTCCGGTATCGACGTCATACGCAAGCGAGGCGTTTGTCTGGACCGCGCCTCAAACGACATGAAGAAATTCTTGCGGATGATACTCTAGAAACACAAGTGCAAAATGACATGTCTCCATTCCCAGCGACATTTCGCGAGCAGGTCTCGCGTAGAGGCGTGTCGCTAGTAGCAGCTACCTCAAAAACAGTCTCACTGAGACTTATGTGCATGCATATCGCTGCAAGTCATTTCTCCTCACATGTATTGCCGGTACCGCAACAACCTGCTCATGGACGAGTTGTCGCTCGGCAATCTGAATATAAAAGCGATACTCTTGGATTCGATGCAGAGAAGTCCGTTTTTTCTCGTCCCATTGTAAACTGTCAGGCGAATGCAGTGAATGAATGGATATGGGAAATCAATAAAGACATACTCAAGCACATGCCGCCTTCATTGGCAGACGAATTTTTTGATCAGATCTGCTTGCATTCGCCATGGGCACTCACGAAGGATGTATTTTCGCAGTATTTCCTCCCATCTGTGGGAACAGCGTCGCAGCTACCACGCGTTCGCACGCGCTTATTTTTTCCTGCTTCTCTGCCTCTATTTTCACAGGATGTGAAATGTGCGCCGCTGATGCTAGCTACACTCGCTGGAAGTCTCGCGCTGGCCGCGGATGCATATGCGCTAACATGGCAGATTCGCTCGCTGGAACTGCATGGACTTACACGCTTACCAAGCTCGTCGATCATGCGTCTACTCAAAGCACCGGCAAACTTCCAGCAAGCGTGGCGCTTGCACCGTGTTTCATTGCCTGGCTGCCTAGCTGTGGATGATGCTACGATCTCGACCCTAGCTCAGGCGACGGGTCCAACGTTGCAGTACCTGGATATTACACTTACATCAATTACAGCTCACTCACTTGTGGTGCTGGGCGAAGCATGCTCATCGCTGAGCACGTTGCGGCTGGCTTGGTGCGAGCAGCTTACAGAGGAGAGCACTTCACATGCAGTCAGTGAAGCAATTGCCAAGTGTGCGAATGCTCGTCAGCCTAGAATCCCATTTCAAAACCTCCAAAACCTTGATGTATCACATACACCCATTGGAGACGTGGGGGTTAGTGGACTTCTTCGCTTATGCAGTGGACAGCTAACGTCACTCGATGTCAGCTATACGCATGTGGCGGAAAGTGGCACACTCGACGTGCTGGAAATGAGTCTTCAACTTGGTGGCGCAAAATCTTTGTCCAAGGTGCTTCATTTAGGACTGTCAGGCCTTTGTGTCCATGCAGTATCGCTCGTCGCTTTTCTCCACGCTTGGCTCGCATACCCTGTAAGTGAAGAGCACCCAAACACTGGAGACGCCGGTCAGCTTTGCTCGCTTCTCTTGGACGATATGGTGGAATATTCGCGTCGAGAGCCTTCCTCGTTACAAGGCCGTCGTGGTTTGTCCGGCGATACACTTCATGTCATCGCACAGATAATCGCAGATGCATGCAAGACTCAAAAGCGTGTGTTTGAGCGTGTGCATATGAATGGGGATAAGCGAAGTGCCTATGTACCGAGCCATTGGTCTCTTCCTGAGGATGTGCTACGCCGATATAAGCGCTGCACGTCGCATGCTGCAGTGCACATGCTCATGAGAAGTACGCGCCGTTTAGCGTTGGGCGGCTTAGACTTGTCATCTTTCGCATTCTTGGATTATGGCACATGCAACGGGGAACTAATTCTGCCAACATCGAGCACAGCGCTGAAAGAGCTGTCTTTACCGGCTACGTCTCTTACTGACGATGTTCTCCAGCATTTTCTTGTACCGCTGACGGGTGCATTAGAGTCGGTTAATCTTGATCACACACAAGTTACGCGTACGTATGCACATAATAGGTGCTAATCACAGCAACATCGGTCAACGCGCTAGTGGCAGTAAATCCGTATCTTTGTTTGTTGAGTTTATCGCAATGCCGTGGCATTCCTGTGCGTGATCGGCGGGCGTACTGGGATCGCCATGCATCAACGTCGGAGTGTGCTTCACCTTTGACATGGAGTCCTGTATCATCACCATAGAAATCGTATATCGCTAAAAACAAGAGATGTTTGCAAGACACGCGGTGCGCGCTTGAGTAGGCATGTGTTTATGTTCACGACGTCATTTGTGTCCATCAATTGAGAATGGTCGAGACCGTCGTTCGATAGTCAAGTTACGACTTCCCGTTCATCAGAATTATTTTTTATTTTCGGCCTGCTTATTTTAGCAAGCACGGTCGAATTTGTGGAGGATGGACTTGAGCGCTATGAATCACAGCAGATTTTTTTGGAACACTGATTCTCCCATTGCGACTCTGGGGGGACACCAGATGCTTGACATGTCACGACCTGTCACGTTCGAGTATCTTTCATGTGCAGTCAACCGGACGTCACATATTGCAGAATGGATTCAATTGCATGATGTGCACGATGCACTTGTATTTGGTGTCCACAAGTCCGTGGCGATGTGGTTCGATCCTAGCGGGCACGAAACGCCGGCCTCGTCGACGTCTGCATCGAACACAACACGGTCCGCACCGATTCCTAAGCTGCATTTATGGCCCACGCAGTTCCAGCAACTGGTCCATGTTCTCAAAGTATGGCACTTGCATCATGATGTGCCGCATCTTCTCATGGGCTCGTATGATGGTGCCTTGGAAATGTGGCGCTGGTCTGCTGATGACTGGCAGTGGACGAGTGAGGCCTTCATTCCTCGTGCACACAATGCATCCGTAACAGCTATCGGTGTGCCGCGTGACGTACACTCATGCGAGTATGCGCCGCGAGAGTTTGTGACAGGCGGCTCAGACGCATTGCTGCATGTCTGGTCGTGCTCTTCGCAATCGGTATCGACATCGGCAACGGAACCAGTCCAGCCGCAGATTGTACAGACGATCGATTTGTGTGGTGCGTATCCTTTGGATATTGCCCTCGTTCGCCTGCCACACACACAGACGACGCTCATGGCCGTTGCCTTAACTGACCGGCGCATCTCCTTGTACGTGCGCTCGGATGGCGGCTCTTTCACACTCCAGCTGCGGCTGGATGGTCATGAAGATTGGGTGCGTGCGTTGGATTTCACTGTTGCGTGGCCGCATGTGTGGCTGGCATCTGCCGCGCAGGACCAGCACGTTCGGCTATGGAAGTTGTATGCAGAGGAACAAGCGGCACAAGCGATGCAGGAATCACAAGCACCACCTCCAGACTTCTTTGAGGCTATGGCACGTGAGTTGATGCCGAATGACCAAGGCATCAAAACCAAAACGGAATGGCTCACTTTGCCAGGGGAGCGGTGGGGTATCTCGCTAGATGCCTTGCTTCTGGGACACGATGCATGGGTGACAGATGTTCGCTGGGTCCCGAACAAGCAGGGTCAAGAGGCAACGCAACGAGCAGCTCTGCTTACAAGTTCCGTGGACAACAGTGTTATTGTGTGGACGCCGGATGCTTCGTCGGACTGGCCTAAGCTGACGGACGCGTCCGCTGCTGAGCAATCGATGTGGCTCCCGGCGCATCGTTTGGGTGATGTTGGCAGTATGAGTGGCGGCTTCCTGGGCGCACATTGGCGACCACACGCGACTGACATAAGTGTGATATCGCACGATCGGCAAGGTGCCGTGCATCTTTGGAAGAGGACGGCCATGCATAAGTGGGAGCCGCAGGCAACGATCTCAGGACATGCAGGCGCTGCTCGGGATGCTGCATGGGAGCCAAATGGTGATGCGTTCTTGACAGTCGGTGTTGATCGTACGACGCGACTGCATGGTACGTATCTGCATGATGAGACTCGGTCGTGGCATGAGCTTGCCCGGCCACAGACGCATGGCTACGACATGCAGGCTGTGTCATGGCTTGATCGAACATCTTTTGTGAGTGCTGCAGACGAGAAGATCCTTCGCGTGTTTGCCGCGCCTGCGTCATTCTTGGACAGTGCAAATGCGTGTCGAATGTGGCAGACCAGCCATCATCGTCGAGTGACACATGTGCTGGCGCTCAGTGTTCACAGTCCCGATCAGTGGTATGCAGGGCCCAAACTGCGGAGAGCCATCGAGGCGGTCATGACACAGGCCCGTTCAAAATGCTTGTCTGTCGTGATCTGGGCTGGCACAGATGCCATTTCTATGTCGGGTGCGGAGCATTTGCTTCAGTGCGTATACGCACAGGCATGGGCATGGGCCGTGCGACGAAATGACTTGCTGTGGGACATTTCGGTGTATGTAATCCCTGCGTCATCGGATAGTGAGCATGGGGCTCATTTGTGGACGCAATGGTCTGTGGCCCATGCGCCCATTGCGTCGCTTTCCACACTCGATGATCCGGCTTTCGACGTGCATGCCCCGACGCTTACGCACGACGTGACATGCCCACTCACGCGCTTGCCGCTCGATGTCGATGCGTCCACGGCTATTGATCCGGCGCAGCAGCAGCAGCAGCCACAACAACAACAACAACAACATGTCTCTGTGTGTGGTGATACGGCTGTGCTGGGAGGCACGTTCGATCACTTACACATTGGACACAAACTGTTACTAAGTATGGCCATTCTCAGTGCGCGGAAGGAGCTGCTCGTAGGCGTCACGAGTACAGCGTTGCTAGTGAATAAAAAGCACCGCGAGTATATTGAGCCGCTTCACGTACGAATGGCACATGTACGTGCATTTGTGCGTGATCAGTGCACGGCCCTTGGCAAGTCGCTGCAGCTGTGTGTGGTGCCGATCTCTGATCCATGCGGGCCAGCGGCGACACAACCGGACCTTGATGTGCTCGTTGTGACGGACGAGACGGTGCGCGGGGCAGACCTGATCGCTGAAGAACGCCGGAAGAACGCATTGCGTCCACTCCAGCTGTACACCGTGAGACTCGTGCAAGGAGACAACTCGACGGCCGACGCGTCAGTCAAAGCAAGCAGCACAGACATCCGCGAGTGGGTCGCACGGAACAACATCAAGCCTGGTGATGAGTACGAGGCGGCTGTGCGCGATTCTTCGACGACCACGCCGACGCAACCCTCGCTCTCGCTTTCGGAACGCGCGCCGGCTGCCCATGTGCCACCATTGGGCACTCTCGAATCGGGCCACTGAGTCTGACGAACAAGCACCAATATTTTTCACGCCGCCAAATCCCGAGCAATTGCAGTCGCAGACACTGTGGCCTGAGATTGAAAAGCTTTACGGCCATGGCTACGAACTATTGAGCGTCGCTACCGATCGCACGTCGCATCTAATCGCTAGCACATGCAAAGCAACGACGCCGACGCACGCTGTCGTGCGCCTTTTTGACGCTCAGCAGCGGTTCCAGCCCTGGGCCGATGCACTGCAAGGCCATACTCTTTCCATCACACGTGTGGCATTCTCACCCTGTGGCTTGTACCTCTTGACGGTGAGCCGAGACCGGTCCTGGCGCCTATTCCGGCGTGCCGGCCAACACTACGAGCCATGGGTCGGTGAGCGAGCACATGCACGGGTCGTCTGGGACGGTGCGTGGGCGCCGCAAGTGCCTGAGCGCACGGAACCACCCATGTTTGCGACCGCCTCGCGTGACAAGAGTGTCAAACTATGGCGCCTCGTGCCAAACGAGCAAGACAAACAGCGTCCACACTCGCTTATAGCGACGCTACACGTTCCCGACGCTGCCGTTTCTGTGGCATGGGCATCCGCTCATGCTTTGGCTATTGGGCTAGAGAATGGTGACGTCCTTCTCTATGTATGTGAGGGTGAGCAACGCGATACTTGGCAGTTGCAAATGCGCCTGGCCAGGCATCATACAGGTGCCGTGCACCGAATGGCATGCCGGCCACCCGGTGCGTGGATCCACGCACATAATCGTGTGCCATATCAATTGCTGTCAGTGGGAGAGGACGGATGTACGCGACTTGTCTCGTGGGACCCTTGGTAGCTAGCGTCCGTACCTGTAGCGTGTCAGTAAGACCAGCTCAGATCATGGCATGTGTGCACGTACTTTTGTAGGACCCATTCGCGGTTATCAAGTGGGCACACAGGCCGCGTTTTCAGCCAACGGGAGATACAATGGAAGTGAAACGCATGCTGCTGGTTAACTGTGCTAAGCTCGATGAGAGCGCAATGCTCATGCCGGCGTTGATAAAAATCAAGATCGATTTTAGGATCACGATCGCGATGCGATCACTGACGCCGGCATCGATGGCGCATCGGTTCACGTACATTGCAAGCGCCCCACGCTACAGTGCATTCGTCAATAGTGGCGGAACCCTGATTCGCTTGGCACTCGATACCTGCATTCGTCAGCATAGCTCGCACACATACAGAGATCCATAATCTGATTCCGGCAGATAGCGCACTGTATACGGGTAAGTTTCAATACTGCTTTGCATATTCAGCGCCTACCACGTACGTTGTCCACTTGGATATCCCAGCTCCAAAGACATACGCTATTCCACTAAACGTCAGACAAGAGAGAAGTTTCATGTCTCTGTTCCTGCATACCTTTTTCACTTGGAATCGAGGCGCACCTTCGTGAGTGGCCTCGACGTGCATCGCATTCTCACTCATTCTCTTGCTGGCCAACAGAGCCTTAGCTGGGGTGTCACAGACAGTGGAGGAGTGCTGTGAGAGACCTCGCAAGTGTCGGAGGAAACACGCAATTCAGTCGTGGGGGCTGTCTTCCACAATCAAGTGGCCATAGGAACTTGTTGATTGGACTCCACTCGTTTTTTGTCCACCGCTTGTCAGCTGGGAAGCGTTTCAGGAAGGGCGCGTACGGCCTGCTACACCGGCAGATCGTGGCGGATTCCAATTTCAGACTAGCGAGCGGAATTTCGCCGCGCAGCCGTTTGACGGTGTTGATCTGTCGAGAGATCAAAGTAGCGTTCCTGGTGGGTCGTGGCTTGTAGACGAGGCGTCTGTTGCCATCTTACGGAAGACACGCGAATCAAGACGGGCTTCACGACTTTTTTCTCTCCCTTTTCCTTTGCACAAATGAGCAAAGAGCCACAGCCAATAGCGAAAGGAAGTACTGACTTCGATGCTTTACGGCATCGTTCACGCCAAGAGTACCTCGCCAAAAGGTCGCAGCAACAAGTTGAGCTTTTGCGCCAGGAAATCCGCGATGAAGAGACACTGTTTCGTGGCGTGCGCATGACAAAGCGTGAGGAGCGGGAACTTGAGCACAAACGTGAACTCCTACGTATTGCTGAGGAATTCGCCGACCTGGACGATGGTGATGGCGGCTATGTCTTACCCGAAGACTACCTGACTGAACAGGGGCGTCTCGATCGCAAGAGAAAGGAGTCTGCACTGCATGAGCGTCGCTACGATGATGCATGGAATGAACGTGCATCCCGAAAGAAACAGGTCTCTGATGGTGACTTATTTGAAAAGGAACAAATAGCTCGGTCCAAACTGCTTGAGTCGCCCCAACCTGCACATGCCGAGGGAGCAGATGCGTTTGACTTTGTGTTTGACGAGTCACAGGCAATCCAGTTCATCATGGACCGACAAGCAGACGGCCAGCTCAATACTATGTCAGACAAGGAATTAGCGCTGCAGCAGCAGCTTCAAGAAGCAGAAACTCGCGCACAGACTGTGGAAGCGACTCGCAAGTCTCTGCCTGTCTATGGCTTGCGCGAGGAACTGCTCGATGCCATTGACAAAAACCAGGTGCTTATTGTCGTCGGTGAAACGGGTTCAGGAAAGACGACGCAGCTGCCACAGTTCTTGCATGAGGCTGGCTATACGAAAGAGGGACAAATCGTCGCATGCACTCAGCCAAGACGCGTAGCTGCCATGAGTGTGGCGGCGCGAGTGGCTGAAGAGATGGGCGTGCGCCTGGGGCACGAGTGCGGCTATAGCATCCGATTCGAAGACTGTACGAGTGACAAGACGGTTGTCAAATACATGACAGACGGCATGCTTCTCCGTGAGTTTCTTACAAATCCAGATCTCGGCTCGTACTCTGCCATCATGATTGATGAGGCGCACGAACGAACCCTCAGCACGGACATTCTCTTTGGCCTTGTGAAAGACATTGCGCGCTTCCGCTCAGACTTGAAGCTGATCATCTCTAGTGCGACACTTGATGCCGACAAGTTTAGTGAGTTTTTTGATGATGCACCGATCTTTTTTGTGCCGGGCCGCCGCTTTCCTGTTGATATCCACTACACACCCCAGCCTGAGGCCAATTACTTGCATGCAGCGATCACGACCGTTTTCCAAATTCACACAACTCAGCCGACCGGCGATATTCTTGTGTTTTTGACAGGGCAAGATGAGATCGATGCAGCGATGGAAAGCATCCAACAGACAGCGCGTGCCTTGGGCGGGAGTGTTGCTGAGCTGATAGTCTGCCCGATCTATGCCAACCTGCCAAGCGACATGCAGGCAAAAATCTTTGAACCGACGCCGCCTGGTGCGAGAAAAGTGGTGCTTGCTACCAACATTGCTGAAACAAGTATCACCATCGACGGTATCTCGTTCGTGATTGATCCCGGCTTCGTGAAGCAGAACTCGTACAATCCACGCACGGGCATGGCAGCTTTGGCGGTGGTACCATGCTCGCGAGCTTCTGCGAACCAGCGCGCTGGTCGTGCCGGCCGTGTGGGGCCCGGAAAGTGTTTCCGGCTGTTCACAAAGTGGGCGTTTCAGAATGAAATGGACGAAAATACGGTACCAGAGATCCAAAGGACGAATCTCGCGAATGTTGTTCTTCTGCTCAAGTCCGTCGGCATTCATGATTTGCTAAACTTCGACTTCCTTGACCCGCCACCGACCGATACGCTCATCCGTTCGTTAGAGCTGCTGTACGCACTCGGTGCGCTCAACGATCGTGGAGAGCTTACGAAGCTCGGTCGCCGCATGGCGGAGTTTCCCGTGGACCCCATGATGAGCAAAGCCATCTTGGCGAGTGAGGAGTATCATTGCACAGAGGAAGTGCTCTCTATCGTCGCGATGCTGGCAGAGAGTGCGAGTTTGTTCTTCCGGCCCAAGGACAAAAAGGTGCATGCAGATCGTGCTCGTCAGTTGTTCATACGTCCTGGTGGCGATCATTTCACGCTGCTGAACATCTGGGATCAGTGGGTGGAGAGCGGATACAGCCAAGTATTTTGCCTGGACCACTTTTTACAGCCGAAGACGCTCGGTCGTGTTCGCGACGTGCGTGATCAGCTCGTTAACCTGTGCGAACGAGTGGAACTTGTGCCTGAATCGCGCCTGAGCAGTGCTGATCTGACCCCGATCCAAAAGGCCATCACAGCCGGCTATTTCATGAACACGGCCCGATTGCAAAAGGGTGGCGAGACGTACCGGAGCATCAAGCAGAACACGACCGTGTATGTGCATCCATCGTCCTGCTTGTATAAGCACGTGCCACAACCCCGGTTCCTGTGCTATTATGAGCTTGTTGAAACATCAAAGAACTTTTTGCGACAGGTGATGGAGATTCAGCCAGAGTGGCTTTTGGAGGTAGCCCGGCACTACTTCTCCCGTGATGATCTCCACGATGACACCAAACAGAAGCGGATGCTTCGTGGTGCTGGAGCAGCGCCATCCACCGCACGGTCGGGCACTGCGTATGCATGATGGAGCCCCTTGTATCCAGTGAGTCTATGCCTCTATGTTACACTTGCTGCTCAACATGAACATGTTCGTCTTCGTCATCCGACAGTTCACTGAGCGATGACGAGCTCTCATCATTCACTTTTGCCTTGGGAGAAGCTTTTTGCCGCTTCCTAGGCTTCACGCTCGCCGGCCTCGGACGCGGTCGATTGCCTCGACGTGTGCCGGGCGGAAGTAGCCAACCTACGTTGAAGTACTTGAACGAATCTTTCGTATTAATGTCGTTCATAATGCGCGGTTCTTTGACCGTACTTGATGCCGATGTCGCAAGCGGCTCTCCTTGGGCGCATGATACGGCCGCTTGCCGACGAGTGCTTCTTCTCGTCGGCTCTGTACTCTGCCTTGGCATGCGCTTCGTCTTACTTTGTTCGCGATGAATCGTCGAAGCTTCGCTGTCATTCTGGCGTATGGGTGGTGCCACATGCGGCAACGTGTACCATTGCTCGAGAAAGGCATCCATCACGCTCGCATCCTGTGAAGGTGCACCAATCGCAATGCCGTCAGGCACGCTCAAGGGAGCTTGAAGCATGTGCAGAAAAGCGTCGGATGGCTCGAGACCTTCGTTGGATGAGGCCTGCTCATCCCACACGGCAGGATCACGTACGTCTTCCACAATGCTCGGCAAATGTTTCATGATCTTCTGTGCAGCTTTCGAGATGGGCGAGTGTGGCTGGTTGTATTGAGTCGCATTCTCGCAGACCAAACGCACGTCTGCCTCCCATTCCTCCCATGTCGTATATGCCATCGTATCGATCCGCTCGCGAATCGTAGACCAGTTCATTGGTTGCTTGATTATATCGTAGTAGCTCGGGGCATCTGCCTTCGATACTGGGTGCAGGAACCATTGGGCCTTGTCGAGAGACATGACGCGTTCAAGTGCCTGACGCAGTTGTGTCTGCTTGGAAAGCAGAACCTTGTCGAGTATATACATTTGAAACAGATTCATTTGACGCAGCTTTGTCTTTTCGCGCTTGCGCACGAGCTCAGCAAGGAGACGGACCTTTTCCAAATCTTCACGCAGGCGATAGAGAAATTGGAGTTTGGCGAGCTTAAGGGCATGGGTCCGCTCATCAACAAAGTTTCCAACGGTCCATGGCTCAATGTGCAATCGTTTCAAAAGAGGCGCACCTCGCATTTGTTGCCGCTTGAGACTCCAATATCGTACGATCTGATGGACAGTTTGCGGCTTCCGCCGCATAGGCACCCGTGCAATGTAGTCGAGGACACGATTGACCATGTAGTTCGGCACGGGCAGAGGCCCTGACGAATACAATTGATTGTATGCTCGTGCACTCTTTGACGCGATGGATTCGTACGCTGACATAGAAGACCGTTTAGGAGTTGACATCAGCTCACTCACACAGATGTCCGACAAGCTGCTGGTATCATTGTCGTTATCATCGGCGTCAATCTCGCTGCGGCTATCGTCAACGTCATGTCGACGCTTATTACTGCGCACTCGTTCAAGCAAAGCAGCTTTTTCAGCAGGCGGCAAATGGTGATGACAGTACGCCGCAGGACCATCGGGCTTGGTATCTTGCTCTTCCATTTCATGTTGCCCGTGCGCATGCGACAAGAGTCCCGCTCGGCGTGCACACATCACATGAAACGCAGTGAAGCATGAACGATGCTCACACTGGATGCACGCGCCGTGCCGCGATTGACACAGGTAACAGCGCAAACGCCAGCGCGCTTTAGGAATAGCATTGATGCCATCGATCGGCTCCATATAGACAGAATTGCTGACGCCAGTCTCTGGGATCCACATCGCACACAACAAATGTGCCCATGTGCCATCGATAGTCTGCTTGAAAGCACCTCCCTCTTGCGGACACAACGCGCAAGAGACCGGACGATTTGGAGACACTGTGCATTTGCGGCAGAGCCATTGTCCCTCGGGAATGAATGGAACACCGTAGCAGTCTTGATGGACAGCCAAATTGCATCCATCACAGAACACAATTGCGTTCAGGTTCTCACATTCGCTGTCGTCGCATAAAGCGCAGTTCGAGTCTTCTGGATATTCTTCTTCATCTTCTGCGGCACCAATGGAGAAACGTGATGGAATGCGCTTAATCAGAGCGAACCATTCTTTTTCCAACCGATCCATGACAATTTCAAACGCCTCATAGCTGATATGATCAAGCTGATCATTCTTCCTCTCTATGTTTATTCCATCAAGCCATTGCTGATCTATACCGTTAGACTCCATCTGTTTGCGGCCGCCCTTCGTCTCGCACTTTTTGCAACCCACGTACCTTGTTCGTCCATGTCGTACTCCACTTGCTGGTCAAACTCACCCTCTGTAGGCTCGATGTACCGAACGAGATGTTTTGGCAGAGAATAATCGGTGGTGTGTCCATCGTGGTATCCATACTGCACCATGTAGGATTCTGGCACATGTGCCGTTGAGGCTATAAACGCTTCCTCCTCAGGGGAAACACGACGAAACGACGGAACCAGGCGAGCAGCCTTTTCAACCACCGCCTTCACATCATCCACAGAGTCACCCATGCAGTCTCGGCTGACGCCGGTTCAGGCGCGTTGTCGTTCGGATACCGGACCCCTTCCGTGTACACGAGCACGCACACACTTTGCACGCGCCTGGATACGAATCGTTCAAGCCCATGATGACGCGTTGTGCGTGTAGCGGATTTAAGTCACGTGGTGGAGGGGAAATCCTGTGGCAACAATGTCGCGTTCACTCTAAGGGTCACACATACAGCAAGGCCAGTCTTTGTTAACTGCGTACAGAGACGCGTTGAGCGACGTCGTCGCCGCCAAGTTCCAAGATGGTGGCTCCTCTGCGCCGCAGTACACGCCAGGGAAATGAAGCCTTGTCACCTGGCCGCGATAGGTCGAAACGTAAGGCGGCCCAGGGCACTTTCTATACCCAGTACTTTGCCGAAGGTGAATTAAGTGAGGTACGTACCTGCAGCTGCAACTGACTTTCAGGACGAAAATATATATGAAGCATCTCACGCGCCGAAGGAAGAAAGCGATGAAGAATACAATGAAATGCCGAAGCACACAATACGGTTGACGCGCAGCGGTCGAAGAAGTCGCAACTACGCTGAGCAGGATTGGTCGGACAATGATAATGACGTTGATAAGGACGAGGAGGAAGAGGAGGACACTCCACACGTACGTCCGCGGCGGTCAACGCGTGTAAGCAAGAGTCTACGTGACTTTGTTGCCTCCGATGATAATGACGAAGAAGACGACAATGCGGACTATGCAGAAACCATTCGAGCGAGGCATGCAAATGAGCGAGCTGAGCGCGCCCGTCGTCGACAGAACTTGATGAACTTAGCTACCATGCGCAACGCCAAACCCCTCAAACGTGGCGAAGGCGACAATGACGATGATGATAATGACGACGACGACGACGACGACGACGACGACGACCATGAAGACGCCGATGATGGTGATGATGATGATGATGATGATGCCAACGTGCACAGGAACACGCGCACCAGGGCAGGTAGACGGGGCAAGCGTAACAAGCGTGCACTCTCACCAGAAGCGCTATCGACAGGCGAAGACAGTGAAGAACATGAAGAAGACCCGATGCCTCCGCATCGTTCGTACAGTTTCCGTGCTCGGAAAAAAGTAAACTATTCTCTCCTACCCGCACCGCCCGAACCACTTCGCGATGGCTTCGGCCGTCGAATCCGTCGTGGCTCTCGGAGCGCTAGTCATGGCTCATCAAGAGCCATTCACCGCGATCAAGATACGTCAAACACTGTGTCACACGAACGATCCTCGCAAGTAACGAGTCTTCCTCACTCAAGTTTGCCCCGTTCCATGCAGCAGCATATTGGATGGGACCCAATGGTGCAAATGAACTACGCAAATTCTCTAGTTGATGCAATGGACAGTTCGGATGACGAGCCCGCGCGCGCTTCAGGCCTGCAAAACATCCCTGGATCCAACCTGCATGCTTCATCGGCAAGTGCATTGCTTGGAAATGGCCCAGCGCCTACGACAGGTGCTGTCACATCCTCAACAGACACGTTCGGCCGTCTATTACGCGAGAAAGACACGCTGGCTGACGTTGATCCTCTTGGCGTGAACATGGACGTTGATTTTACACAGATCGGTGGCTTAGGAGATCACGTACAGCGACTGAAGGAAATGGTCAGCCTTCCTTTGCTGTACCCCGAAGTCTTCCAGCGTTTTGGCGTGACACCACCTCGTGGCGTCCTATTTCATGGGCCGCCAGGGACAGGAAAGACGCTTGTGGCGCGTGCTCTCGCTGCCTCTTGCTCGACAAATGACCAAAGCATCCACTTTTTCATGCGGAAAGGAGCAGATTGCCTGTCTAAATGGGTCGGTGAAGCTGAACGGCAACTGCGCCTGCTGTTCGAAGAAGCCAAGCGTTGCCAACCTAGTATTATTTTCTTCGACGAAATCGATGGCCTCGCGCCAGTTCGCTCGAGCAAGCAAGACCAAATTCATGCAAGTATTGTCAGCACTCTCCTAGCATTGATGGACGGCATGGATGGACGCGGACAAGTCGTAGTGATCGGTGCAACGAACCGACCTGACTCTATTGACCCAGCGCTGCGACGACCCGGTCGCTTTGATCGCGAATTCTACTTTCCACTTCCGTCACATGTTGCACGTCGTTCGATCCTTGACATTCACACGCGTCGCTGGGATCCGCCCCCTGACGACCAGTTGAAAGAGGTGCTTGCAAGTGCCACCAATGGGTTTGGTGGTGCAGATTTGCGTGCACTTTGTACAGAGGCAACATTAAATGCTATCCAGCGTCGATACCCCCAAATCTATCAAACGAATGAGCGACTCTTACTTGCTCCAGAAACCATTCAGGTGAATGGCCAAGACTTTATGCTTGCTCTTGAAAATATGGTGCCAGCATCTGCTCGTTCGTCAGGGACGACGTGCGCACCGCTACCTACACACCTTACTCCATTGTTGGGCGAAGCTCTATCGACTTGTAAACATACGTTCCAGCGTCTCTTGCCCACACGAGCCAAGCGGAGCGCCTTGGAAGAAGCGATGTACGAGATGGATGCCTATGACGCACAGGAGTGCTCTGCCTCCGTGCTACTTGAACGCGAGCTCCTGCAACAATCGTTTGTTCAAGCGCAAGTCCATCGCCCTCGTCTAATTCTGCACGGCGCCTCAGGATTAGGGCAACGCATTCTGGCGGAAGCTCTTTTGCATTCATTGGAAGGTTATCACATTCGCACGATCTCAGCGACTCTCTTACTGGGTGATAGCTCACAAACGCCTGAGGCTGTGCTTGTCCATCAATTTCAAGAAGCGAAACGCCTTGTTCCTAGCGTTTTATACGTGCCTGACGTCCATCGATGGCCTTTGATGCTCTCAGAGTCTCTCCGCGAAGTGTTTTCTGCTCTGCTGCAAGAAGTGTCGTTTTCGGAGACAATTATGTTGCTCGCAACGTCTGAGATACCCTTTTTGTCACTTCCCTCCGATATTCGTGCTTGGTTTGGTTATTTGCCGCACTGCAAAATGGCATTATCATATGCTAACATTGAAGACCGGCGAGCATATTTCGAAGACGTCGCTATACAAGCCGCTCGCCCCCCGACGCAGTTCAGCGACACTATGCCTCGGCGTCTTCGTCAGCTGGAGGAGTTGCCAAAAGCACCGCCACGTCCTCCCCGGCTTCCCACTCAAGCGGAATTGAAGCAGATGGCTGAGAATGATGCACGATTGTTAGAGCACCTGAAGTTTCGGCTAGGTTCCGTCTTAGCCGAGCTTCGGAAAAAGTACAAAAAGTTTACGCGCGATGTTTGGGACGAGTACAATTTGCGTACGCTAATGGAACAGTTCGAATGGTTTAGGAGCAAAGGCAAGATCACTATCAAGCTACGGTATGATCGGCACTCATTACCAGCATCTCCAGACTCAACTGTGGCTGAGAATGAACCAAGTGAATCAAATGATACAGCGGAGTATAACAATGATGCGTCGCCTCCATCACAACAGCTGCATAATCCCGATGAAGCTTGTATCGACTCAGCTGATGTGCAAACCGCGATACCAGATGCTCCTCCAGAAACTGAGCGGCATTATATACCGGTACAAATGGGTCAAGATGCTACAGAACATACTACAACACCACAAGAGATTCAGCCAACGTCTGGAAATGTACAAGACATGCATGATGATGCAGAACGTCTCTATATTATGCGCGACTTTACTATTTATACTATGAATCTTGACAAAATGCAAAAGCGTTTATACCAAAACCAGTACCTGACATGCGAAGCTTTTATGGAAGACATTCAGAAAATTGTATCGAATGCTGAAGTGGCAAGTGAAGTCGACAGGGATCGTGTATTCCGTGCGCAACAAATGGAAAATCTTGCCAAGATTCTTCTTGATCAGATCGTGGATCCAACGTTTCGCGCTGAATGCAAACAAATGGAAAACCGCGTTCTAGCTAGAGAAGAGGAATCTCGTCGCGAGGCGGAAAAGCAGAAAGAACAAGAAGTCCATTCGCGCCGACCTAACGGTCAGAGGTACAGCGCTCGTATACAAGGAGAAGAACCTCTAGCAGAACACCTCATTGATGTGTCAAAAATTGAGCGTGCGCATAAGCGTGCTCGTTCAGTGAGTCATGATGACATCCATGCACCTGAATGTACTACCAAGGCATCAAATGAGCAGCTACCTCATAACGAAACACATGACTCGACCTCAAAACGAACTCGGCTTGAAGTTTCTGCGTCAGAGCAAGGCTATGTAAATGCAGATGCAAGCGCTTGTATGAATGCGCTCCCAGCATCTTATGCTCCATGCCAGTCACAGGTGCAGCGACAGAATTCAATAGCTGTGCTGGACGAGGCAGCCAAGGAATCGCTCGTTCATACATTGGCTACATGGACGGACGAGTTTTCCGTCGAGCAACTTGAACTGACTCGTGCTGCCTGTTATGAACGAATTCTAGCTCATCGTGCCTCTTGGGACAGAACTTTGCTTGTCAACGAGCTCGAGAATCTGGTCAAAGAAATTTATTCTCATATTCGAAGTCATGATGCTGAGTGGCATGTACCTTCTTAGCACCACGTGGCATGAAACGATGGCAACCGAAGCTTGTAGAAACCGCCCGACGCCACGCTTTGGCCACCGGGCCCGATTGCTCCACATAGACTTAAATGCGCTTGAGCTGCCGTTCAGCTGCTTGGTTACTAGCCTGTATATACACTATGGGAAAGGATTACTACAAGATTTTGGGAGTCTCCAAGAGCGCAAACGATGACGATATCAAAAAAGGTATGTCGATCGGATTACTGACGTTTCTAAGCATACAAGAAGGCTGCGTTGAAATGGCACCCGGATCGTAATAAAGATAACGAAGCAACAGCAAAAAAGAAATTTCAAGATGTGGGTGAGGCCTTTGAAGTGCTCTCAGACAAAAACAAGCGCGCGATTTATGACCAGTATGGTGAAGATGGTTTGAAAGGTGGCATCCCTACACCCGATGATGCCACTGGGGGTGCCTTCCCTGGTATGGGTGGCTTCTCAACCGGTGGACCAGGTGGCGGTACCCGTACTTTCCGTTTCACCTCTGGTGGCAATCCGTTTAGCGGTGCTGGTGGATTCCATCCGTCTGACCCGAATGATATCTTTGCTCAAATATTCGGCGGTGCGAGTCCCTTCGGCATGGGCGGTATGGGTGGTATGGGCGGTATGGGTGGCATGGGTGGCATGGGTGCTATGGGTGCTATGCCCGATGACATGCCTGGTGGCATGCCAAGTTTCACATCATTTGGTGGCGGCAGTAGTGGTGGTGCTAGCCGAGGTGCAGACATGGGCGCAGATCGTGAGCACAAGACACAAGCGAAAGACTTCGAAACACCTCTGATGTTGACTTTGGAGGAGCTCTACAAGGGAACTACTAAAAAATTAAAGATTGGCAGAACAACAGCCAATGGTCGCACCGAAGAAAAAGTTGTCACTATTGACGTAAAGCCTGGATGGAAGAAAGGAACCAAAGTTCGCTTCGCTGGTGCCGGTAACGAAGTAAGTTCCGGCGTTTCGCAAGATTTGGTGTTTGTTGTGGATGAGCGCTCACATCCACGTTTCACGCGTAATGGCGATGATCTCCGTTTGATCCAACCACTCAAGCTGATCGATGCCCTGGACCCACCGAAGCCCGGTTCACCTGCTTCGCGACGCAAAATTACAACCCTGGACGGTCGTACTATTGAAGTTCCACTTCCGTCAGCCGGCCTCGGCAAAACGACGATTAGTCCAGGTCGCACCACTCGACTAGCAGGTGAAGGCATGCCAATTTCGAAAGTGAAGGGCACAAAGCGAGGCGACCTTGTCGTGGAATGGAATGTTGAGTTCCCTGATCGTCTGACGGAATCACAGCGGACAGCCCTGCGAAACGCGCTGACTTAACGAGAGTTCCGCATTGTCAACGAGACTGACTATTTTTGATGTACTAATATAGATTTATATACAGAGTAGGGTAGATGCCATTTCACTCCACATACACGCCACTCGTTCTTTACAATCAAAATTGCAAGCGCTACGGCGTCGTCTAACTGAGCATCGGGTGAAAATGATTCAAAATCCCCATAGCAAGTCTTACGTTAACACATCTCAAATGAGCAAGCGTTCAATCTGTACTATGTTAGCCTGAATGCGCCATATGAAGCACTTACAGCAAGCTTAATGGTTTGAATCTGACTCTGCAGCTCACGGGCTTCGTTCGTCGTTACACTTGCCGCGACAACAGCACGAGAAACACCGCAGGCTCGGCCCAACGCAACCTTAGATGGAACAAATACGTAAGGAACGTTTTTGTCTTCGCAAAGCAAAGGCAGATGAAGAACAATCTCAATAGGTTCTACATCAGCTGCCATGATAATAAACTCGCAGATGCCTCGGTTCAACGTCTTTGTGGCCTCATTGGCGCCCTTCTTCAGTTGCTTGTAATGTGACGCCTGTTGAACCAGGTCGAGAATCTGGTTCGTCAGAGCGGCATCAGCAAGAGGAAATGCTTTAGGGTTAACTGCTTCGCTGGACATGACTGCAGGACCTCACGACAAGGATCACAGGTCGATGTGTTGTTGGGAGAAGCTTTTTCAGCCTGAGTTTCTCTTCCAATCAATGTCTGAGCAAGTGGGCACGTGATTCTTGGTGGAGGTCGTGTGCAGTCGACATCGAAAATCAAACCTTCCCGTAGTAAACCTATGCTTCTCGTACCTACATTACCGTTTCATTCGTATTCTTGGAGAACACATAAGCTGCACCTCCTTTGTGCGCAGCACTTTTGTTGCTATACACACATGTAATGGAAGTTTAGGAAATCTTAGAAGAGCATAAAAGCCAAATATTTCGCATCATGTTCGAAATTGTGCCAAGATCGGATGCAGCATCGTTTCAAACGGGCTACCTGGGCGTCAATGGACTTAGTGCTTGGATCATAGGAGATGTTTTGACGAAACTGGATGTATCAGAAACAGAAGCTTCGTATTTTGAAAAATGGTAAGTTGTTTTATGGCTTATAGTCTTTGCAGTACAGTGTCTTGGAGTGCTGCTGAACGTGTCAAGAACAACAAAGCGCTGCAATTGTATCATGACGAACAAGTTATTTGGAATCGAAACGATGATGCAAAAGCTCGTATCCCCTCAATCCTTCCATTCCAGTTCGAGCTGACGGATGATCTGCCGCAATGCTCGCATGTACCGGGTTGTCAGCTTACCTACCAGATCATGGCTCACCTGCACCATACGCAAGGACGTGACTTACATGCAGAAGCCCCCTTTCATCCTCGAAGATACATCATGTCTGGGTGGAATTCGCTCCTCGTACATGCAAATGCTGGCCAAGGCCATGCTGCAAGCCGGAATAGTGGCGAAGTGGAGTACTCGTTAGATCCGGTGCAATGGAAAATGAACACGGTTGCACCAGCATACTTTTGGTTGAATCGGACCATTATTCGACATGTGGATCCTCTTCGGCTACAAGCTCACATCCCACCCCCTTCTGAATTGCTTGTGGTAGAAAAAGGGTTGCAGCTTCAAAGCGTCTCTGCCCATCTCACGCGCATCATACAATCACATCCGCAGGGAAGAGTATACTCGGACGAAAAACTCTTGCAGTACTTGTCCGATGCGGAGCCAACAGAAATTTCGCGTGTCACTTCACAGTCACAATTAGATGAAGATGCGGTTCATCCTTACCTCCGTCAACATCATGTTGCCTACACGGGAAAATCATGTCGATTTCACTCGAAGCGGCCTATTCATTTATGCTTTGCTCTTTTTCCCGGAAGTATATTAGGGAGTGCACTGGCTGTCGGAGAGTCATTCAATCTGCTAGCCACAAACCATGAACTTGGAGGTGACATGATTTGCGAATCTATTACACAAGATACCGCGTTACAAAATGTGCGCTTTGTTTTGACTATTCGCGTTGTCATCAAGAATGAGAAAGGGGATCATCGTGACATCGTGACGCGGAAGTTGATCAAAATACTTCCTAGTCCTGCTGGTACCAGTTCAACTCTGAATACCTCGAATCAGGCACACGGTGAACCGGAAAAGCCATATTCCACTGCTTCTGGAGAGTCTCTTCCCCAACAAGTATTAGATGCCTTTGCGCATCCAAATGAATACGATGGATACGATGACTCAATTCAAGAGGGCAACTCAATGCGGGCGATGACGCTGACGAACCCAGTAGCTTTTAATCAACTCTCCCGGAATACATCGACCGTCGAGGTTTGTGAAACTCCGTCGCTAGAACCACCGCCAAATATTCTTGAACATGTTAAAGATACACACGTGCCAGATTATGTGCAATTTACACCTGCTCTCTCTTCCATGCAACATGACAGTCATTGCATCACCGGAGTAAATTCTAGTGAAGATGATGAAGAACTGCCGAACTTTGACGAAGCGTCACAACAACCTCAAGCACCTCTCACGATGGCACTGCAGACTTGGCCGGTAAGGGAGGAAGACTATGCGACACCGCCACTCACTAATGAGCCTGATTTTTCGCTTCCAGCGAATCTGATGCCTGAAGATATGCGTGAAAATGACCTACGGAATCTCCCACCCTCATACATGGATTCCACGTATAGCACGCCCCCACGAGTAATGTCACATCCGTGTTCGCCGACACAATCCGAGCCTCTACCACCAGCGTACGCACCACAGTCTTCCCTCCCTTCTCAGTCTGATCAAGATAATTTGTTCCCGCCATTATATGAAGCCTGATGTAGACGAACAATCCCTTAGCGATTAAGTTCTCGATCGAGTAGTCGTTGTAGTGTCATATCTTTCCACCATGTATCTTGCGCATAGAGTCGATCAAAAATAGATTCTTCGTTCATCCGGTATTGGGCATAAATCATATCTGTCGGAGGCGAAGTATCGTCACTGGTGCCATCCAATTCGCGGCGCCATACACGAAGCACACCCTTGTTAGTACCTTGCAAAACACTGACGAGCTCGTCCCTTTCACGGATAAACAAACGAGGTTCGAGAAGTTCGAGAAAAGCCAATGAAATTCGGAAAAGCACGGAGTCCCCATCGTCAAGTAGTCTGTACCGTGAGAACACAATCGTCAATTAGGAACGTACATGATATCCCAAAGATGAGCAGCAGTATCAATTTCAACCCATGGCACAAAGAGTGTACGAATCCATTCACGAACATACTCGTCAGGCCGTACACTTGCTTTGTGAAGGTTCGCATAAATATGAGGCATGCGCTCGGCGAGAAGGGCATTAAACACACGCTCGTAACCTTGAAGCTGAATGGCAAAAGTGTTGCAGTTATGGTCGTCTGAATCAACCCGACATTGAAGACCGTAAATCGCTCTGAGCCAGCTTTTTTTTGCAATCAAGTTCAACAAAACGATCAACGTCTGGTGAGTGGGCAAGTTCATGATTAATAGAGCGGCCAAGTTAGCTAAACCTGGCACATAAAGTGAGTAAGTATTTTGAAGTTCCTCTATGTTTATAAGTTCCATCTTTTCGCGTTGTGCTGCTTCGTCTGCTCTTACAAAAACAAAGGCCAACAGGACATCAAATAAGTCTTGCCATAACGGACCTGACTTTTCGTCAAATAAGCGAAGACTTGGCAGCGTACAAGCAATGTCGCGCTTAATAATTTTGATGAGAGCTGAGGGAAATACGTTTGCTGCTAGACATTGCTGGACCGCTTTCGAAGCGCGATCAAATAGGTTGTGAGACAGCATTAGGTCATTCCCACATGCTCGAGGCCAAAGCCGCGCACGCAGTACTTGAGGAATACCATCCCACCACAAATCGCGATATATTTTTTCTTCTTTTGCGCGCGTCCAACAGGGAAGGATTTCATGTTCCCAGACTACTTGGGCACGTTCCTCCTCCTCTTGACGTTTGAGTAGCTCGGAACGACGAGACACAACTCGTTTCTTCTCTGCGAGTTTTGACTCTCGCATCATCTTGAAAAAGTCAGCCAGATGCTTGGCTTCTTCCTCTTTAGGCTTTGGGGGAAGGTGAGGCATACGCGTTAAGTTTGATGCTTTTGTAAAGGAAGGCCCCCGAGAGGACTCGGACTCACTTCTCACTGTTGAATCAAGTCTTGTTTCTTTTCCAACCCCATGTTCCATAATCGCTGCTGGTGCATCGGTAAGTTTCGACGAGAGGATTGTTTCATTTTGGTCTTCACGGTAACAGGGAGCAGAACTAAGAGACCTATCGTTCAAGGACATATCGTTGCTTGAAAGGCCATCTTTAGCGGAATTTTTATTCGACACTTGTTTCTGTACAGATGAGTCGGGGCTTTTTTTCTGATCTTGATTAATTCTCATGCCAGAACAACCAGCTTTAGAAGGAGAACGAACAGCAAGTAACTCCCCGTTAGAATCTTGAACTGTGATGCTTACGCCTGGAACCATGTTGGAGTCATACACAACTCCCCGTGGCGGCTTAGGATCCTTTTCAGCCAATAGCAAAGGACGTAGACGAGATGAGCCTGACTTCTCGAGGCGGCTTCGATAACGACCCTCTACCACGCGCTTAGGGGTGGTATGGAGATAACTGCTCTCAGCAGCAGGCTGTGGCTCGGACCCCGGGTTTAGACTTACATCATCGCCGGGGCTCGACTGCCGCAATAGGTTTGGCGTTGAAGACGATGCCAATGATCGATTCCGTATCTTATGCAGACTATCTTGCGGCGACGGCGCGTTTGCGTTGTGAAGTGAAAATTGAGACTTCCATCCGAGGCTCGAACGACCCACAGGCATCGCCCTGGAGGAAGCCGCATGGACAGCATCGCTTGCGTCATCTAAGCTTACATTGACAAATGAGTCGTCACCAACGTCAACGGGTGACGGCCAGCTAGACATTGCTTGGTTAGTTGCCGGAGTTGACGATAACAACCTGTCGGATCTTCAAGCCACCGCACAGATCGCAAGAGCAAGAGGATAAGCACCTCCACATGCGTTACCTACCAGTTATGGTTGATGAGCCAACGAGAAGGACCAAGGACTGCTGGCACTCCTTCAATGGCACGTGGGAGGAGTTCTGCTCAGAGTCGGCGCCCCACCGATGCTCCAACCGTTCATGCAGCTCACCACATCGTATGTTTACACAGACATACACAAACAACAATAGCGTTAATATGTTCACTAAGAAACCAGATTAGACCTTTTCCTGCAAACTATCGGAACAAACAATAGAGGCAGCAATATGCTTCTCAGCAATTAAGGTATCCTTAGTCGGCACTCTTTCCACCGCAGCACATGAAGCGGGAAATCAGACTTGGCTTCTTACGACCAGCGTTAGGGTCAAAAGGTTCGCGCATTTTTTCGTTGTTTTCTGCAATATTTTCGGTTTGTTCTGGATTAGCAAGGTTGGGAAAGCCCGCAAGTCCTTCGTTCTCCCCATTCATGGCTCGCTGGCGACGACGCGCTTGGCTCCGTCTGGATTGCTGATCGCCAGCAGACGAGCGATCACGGCTCGACTGGGCGCCCGCTTCTGGACCGTCCTTTGATTGTAGACCCTTTTCTTCAACACTCTCAGGTTCACCCTCATGCCCCTTCGAGGTTTCCTCATCGATGTATTCAGCGTCATTTTCCCGCCCATTGACAGACACATTATTATTATGCGAGCGCGATGCATTCGATTCGCGTGGTGCATACGTAGCAAGTGAATCATCCGGTTGGAACTCGTTCGCGTCAACAAATATATCGTCACTCATTGACGAGTTTATCGAAGGTGCAGACGAACCCCCGCGCGGCGTGTATTGACGTCCTGGTTGGTACATCATGTCTTTCGATTCCCGCGAACGGTGAGCTTGACGAGCAGACATCGCAGCACCAGCACCACCAACAACACCAGTGCCTGCGCCTGCAGCGGCACCTAAACCCACATCAGCGTTTTGGGAACGAATGTTGGATGCTTCTGTTGAAGACCTAACACGGCTTTGGACTCGATCGAAGGACTCAGCTGATGAGCGAGGAAGTCGAGAATGAGCTGATGGCATCTCTTCCGACGTTTTGGATTGGCGACGAGGGACACCACCATCGCCAAAACCCTGTCGCGAGGAGCGCGAGCTTGGCTCTTCTGATTCTCCGACAGAAATCTGTGAGCGGGACAAACGCTTGGAACTACTGTCACGAGCGCGTCCACGCTTGGAAGCCACAGCTGCTGCTCCAACTCCGGCACCCACACTCCCGGCGGCAGCACCTCCTACCCCGGCACCAGCGGCTAGACTATCACTCCCAGGCCCTGCACTATCACGACCGATAGAAGAGCGCATTTTCGGTTGAGCGTCGGAGCGACGAGATCTCTCTGCAATAGCCCGCTCAAGCCCCTGTCGTGAATATTCTTCGCCGACAACGTGTTTTAATATACGACCATTAGCCTGCTTGTAAGTAAAGTCGAAAAACATGTCCTTAGTGATCAGCCCTGCACGGTGGTACATTGTGCGTGCACGCAGATATGGATCAATGTCAATAAACTTCAGACGAAGCCGTTTCGCATGGAAATCACGTTCAGCAAACAAGTTATCATCCTGTCCATTCGTCCGAATCCATTCTTTAGTAACATTCTCGTACTCAACAGCCAGCTCACGGAAACTCTTCCACATTTTTTGACGTTGCGGATCATCACGGGGAAGACCTTGCTTTTCATCAGGGGAAGGAGGTACCCATCTCACAATATCGACTTGTTGACCACCTAGTTTGTCCTCGAGCAGATGGGGAGGAATAAGATCCAGATCCTTAGGCTTCCCGGTAAAGTTGATTTTTTGGCGCACTGATGGATCTAGCATAGGGGAAACCGCTTTCCAGATTCCCTGGAAAATCCATGGAGCTTGATGAATGTATAGCTTCCAAAGAGTTTCGGGATAATAAGCCTCGAGAATTTTTAAAATAGTCATCAGCGAGTGCCAGTCCATATTCTTCAAGCCAAACCCGCCAAGATCAAACAAAATAATCACTTTATCATTTGGATAAGTAACAAGGCTTCGAAAAGTTTCAGCGCAGACAATGACGAAGTTGGTCATCGTCTCTGCCGGCTGCGCCTTTGCTATGTGGTTCTTCACGTGAATCGAAATCACAGGAATAAGTTCATCCTGTGTGAATCCAAGCAAGTAGGACTTCTCAGCAGGGCCTTGAATTTCGTATTTGGGATCCTCTTTGGACAGACCAATATCGCCTTTAGCGATAATATCTGCCACATTAACTTCAATACGCCATTTAATACAATTACATAACATGGCAAAGGCTTGATGAACATTCCATTTACGAGCACGCAAAAACTTTAACATGATCATGTCAGGGATGTCCGGACCGAACAAAAACCAAAGTTGATCATGGAATTCTTCAACACCATGTGTAGCAAAGAGATCTCTTAATGCTTGCTGTTCCTCATGCAGTGATTTTGATAGCTTACTTGCATCATCTTTCGACAGGTTATCCTCATGATGTATGATCTCATCATCAGGAGTGAATTCACCCAACTTAGCTTTATCAGGATGGTTGATTACAGTGAATGTCAAATCCCATATATGGGCCAATTTAGACTTCTGATCAGCATCTAGATTGCCTAGATACAAATTAGATTTCGTTCCCGTATTTCAATAACACATACCATGATGGCCAGGCGCCGAAGGGACTGGTTTCACCGGCAAGTACTCGACCATAGCAACCGCAAAGAGCGAGACAATTTTGATACCTTACGTCTTTAAAATAAATGTCACCCGTGATGGGGTTTCTCGATTAGTCATCTCTGATTCAGCAAATTAGGCGCTTCCCCGCGTACTCCTGTACATGCCTATGGGGGCTTATATAATGGAATAAATGCCTTAGTCTGACAGACAGGGGTCTACGCGTAACATCGGCCGGCTGAGACGAAATCTTATGCATTCAGGCATGCTCGCTATCACTGAAATTGTAATAGAAATTTGACATTCTAAAAGTAACAGAGATTTCACATTCCAGTAGCTATCGAGATCATCGAACTCAAAATCTGATACCGTGAATCGATCAAAGAATTTAGCGCAGAACTATGGCTTTAGAAATCCGTGCAACAGTATGAGAACTACCTCAGCGATGATGATGCAGAATCATAGCGGAACAGGCGAGGATGCTCATGAATGCAGTGTATGAGGACATTTTCAAGTTTGCGATGTAAGTTCCACTGAAACCGGGCAAACTGCCATAACCCTAAGGGAATGCTGTAAATTGCTGCATGGCTAAATATATACGCATATGAGTGGGATTAACATAATTGCATACGGTCGATCATTCGTGCATGGACTCGCTAGTTTGGGTTCCGGAGCCCCCCCCCCCCTCGTGTGCATACGCACAACCGCTTGAAACTTCTATTCTAAGCGGAGACTGCATCGGAGAAATCCCATCTCGCCTGTAGTTGGACCGAGTGTTGTTTTGTTGTGGGGTTTGACGCAGTCGCTCAAGTAGACTGTCGACTGCGCTCGAGACCGACCGCATTGAGGATGCTCTTGGACTGGCTAGATTTGATTTATTATGTAAGAGAACTAAATAATGACTTCATACAACATGCAGAAATTCAAAAAAAGCACAGAGTTTTGGGGTTTTCGCCATTGTCAACAAACAAAATCAATGGCTATTCGCTGAAACAATTTTAGCTACGGCTATTTCTGGTGTGATGTTACCGATGGACTGATGTGAACACCTTGCTCGCCCCGACATAAATTGCGGAGAGGAAGTCATTGAATTGCCCCACAGTCTCCTAATGCTCTTCAGTCGCTTTGTTCTTCTTGCGTTCGGTTCGGTGGCCGCCGTCTCGGCCAGCAGTATTTACGCCCGTGGCCGTGGTGGTAGCTCTACCGACCAGCCAGTGGCAAACCCTTACAACACCAAAGAGATTTCTCTGGCTGCCGGTCTTGTCCAGCAAACTTACTGTGACAGCACGGAAAATGGTCTGAAGATTGGCGACAGCGAGCTCCTTTACACCATGGGAGAGGGTTACGCTCGCCAGCGTGTCAACATCTATCACTCGCCTAGCCTTGGTATTGCTGTGGCCATCGAGGGCACGAACCTTTTCTCGCTTAACTCGGACTTGCATGATGCGAAGTTCTGGCAAGAAGACCCGAACGAGCGTTACATCCAGTACTACCCGAAGGGTACAAAGCTTATGCACGGTTTCCAGCAAGCCTACAATGACTTGATGGATGATATCTTCACTGCAGTTAAGAAGTACAAGAAAGAGAAGAATGAAAAGCGCGTGACTGTCATTGGCCACTCGCTTGGTGCCGCTATGGGTTTGCTTTGCGCTATGGACATTGAGCTGCGTATGGATGGTGGTCTGTACAAGACGTACCTGTTTGGACTTCCCCGTCTTGGTAACCCAACATTTGCTTCGTTCGTTGACCAAAAGATTGGCGACAAGTTCCACTCAATTATCAATGGTCGCGACTGGGTTCCAACGGTGCCGCCGCGCGCTCTTGGTTACCAGCACCCATCTGACTATGTTTGGATCTACCCAGGCAACAGCACGAGCGCGAAGCTTTACCCTGGCCAAGAGAATGTCCACGGTATCCTCACTGTTGCTCGCGAGTTCAACTTTGACGACCACCAAGGTATCTACTTCCACACCCAGATCGGTGCTGTTATGGGTGAGTGCCCAGCTCAGGTTGGTGCTCATTAATGATGTCGAAGTCATGAGAGCTGTTGCATCTGTGTTTTTTAATGAAAAAGCCTCCTTTTTGCTTGGTTGGAAGTTACGCTTTTAATGAACCTCAGTGCTGTTGCAGTGTGATCATAGCTTGCCCAGATGGGGTAATTCGCAGATGTTAATTTTGTTGTTTCATTTGATATGGTTGTTTGTCGTGATTTATTAAGTGGAACGGTTCCCGGATGTCAGCATGCGGAACGTTTTGGGGCTTTGACGTATTCAAATTGTCCATTTAATATAGTGGCGCTGACTAATCACAGTCAGATATCCAGGTGTAGTCGAACTATGGGGGGAGCGGAACGACATAACATTAGTTCAGAGAATACTCTAACTGCACGCTTCTTTAATGTCCAAATGCACTTAAATTTCTTTCCAACTGTCTTCCATTTACCTCTTGAAATTACCACAAGAGCTTCAATCAAGCTTCGAGATCTCGGCTTTATACAGCAACCTGTCAATGTTCCTTAAATCATCAACGCATTTTCCCAAACAGCTACTCTAGCCCGCAAGCTTATTGTTTCAATCAGGCTAAAAACTACAGGTTTCAAGATCGTGAGTCGACCCTTTTTGGTCGGCTGGCGATGGGAATTCAAAAGTGAATGTTTTTCACCGAGAGTGGACAATTCCCCCCCCCCCTTTCTAAAGCATGAACAATTTGTTATTCACTTTTGATTTACAGGATGCCCAATGTCTTTCTGTTAATCCAGGTTATAAATACAAAAATACTATCTAATGGTGTTAAAGTTGTGAACGGTTTTCTATGCGCACACGCGAATCGTATTGACAAAAGTTTTGTTTAGCGATTGCAAACGTTTAGAAGTAAGGAAACGATGTACATGCACCTTCCAATGGCTCTTCGCTGGACGCAGGTATGAGCTCGCTCGGTTCCGTGGACATTAGACTTCTTACAGCGTATTTGTTCAGTTTCCTTTGTGTTGACAATACAGCCTTTGCAAGCTTTGATGACAAAACCATCTTCGATAAGCTCCATTGGGTTGGGAAAGGCGGTGACTGGGACTCTCTTGCACCGCCTCGTGCGCTGCGTTATTAACACTCATCCAACTTTGTGTAAATTGTCTGGCAAATCCTACACGCGAGAAGCGTTATTCAAGTTTAAAACTTTCGTAACATGCTCACTGTGCCTCTGGATGTTGATAGCAATCAATTGGATTCAATTTTTGCATCTAGACTGTAGAGTGAAGTGGTTGTTATAGTGCTAGTACAGAAGGTTTCCAAATGCTATGGTGATAAGAATATACAGTTCAGTGTGGTTAGGCAAATCTAGGGGATTCTTCAAACAGTATCCGTCAGCCACCTATCGTGTGCTACTAGACGTTCGATCGCATTGGCTGCATTTGAGCGGGCCTCTCATTCCTGCATAATTATTTTGGAGATGAGCATGTGCACCAATTGAGATATCTGACTGGACGATTTAATTTACCGTGAAACGTCTATATATTCTGGTGTTGGCATGCCATCATCAACGCAACCGCCAAGTTAGTGCTCACCATGATTGTGGGTCCCGTAATCTCCTTGCTCCTGAGTTACTTTGTGCTCGTCTCTGGAGCATCCATTGAACCCCGAGCTGCGAAATCCACTGATCAACCTGTCGATGTGCCTTACGACATTGATGAATTCACGCAAGCAGCTTCGTTAGCACAGCAAGCATATTGTACAAAGGGGGCCCACGATTACGGACTGAAGATCGGGGACTCGACTCTGCTGTGGACAACTGGCGATGGAAGCCTTAAACAACGAGTAAATGTGCACCATTCGGAGAGTCTCGGTATTGTAGTTGCTTTCCAGGGCACGAACTCGATTTCGCCGTTTTCGGACTTCCACGACATCCAGTTCCGTCCCGTCGATCCAGATGCGCGCTACAAGCAATACTATCCCAAAGGCACCAAGGTTATGAACGGATTCCAAAATGCTTACACTGATGACGTTGACACTGTTTTCAAGCATGTGGAAAAGTTCAAGCAAGAAAAGAATGAGACCCGTGTCACTGTCACAGGACATTCTCTTGGGGCAGCAATGGGGTTGCTTGGCTCCATGGACATTGCTTTGCGTATGAATGGTGGGCTTCACAAAGCATATCTCTTCGGACTCCCTCGCGTTGGAAACCCAACCTTTGCAAACTTTGTTGACAAAACCATCGGTGATAAGCTCCATTGGGTTGTAAATGGCGGCGACTGGGTTCCTCTTGTGCCGCCCCGTCCGTTTGGCTATCAGCATCCGTCAAACTATATTTGGATTTATCCATCTAACTCTGACAACTGGAGGCTTTACCCTGGACAAGAAAACGTTCATGGGATGCTCACTGTGCCACAGGACGTTGGCACTTCAGACCATCTGGGAGTCTATTTCCACTCAAAAATCGGCGGTAGGAGCGGTCCTTGCCCTTCCCAACTCGGCGGTTTCTAAATGCTGTAACTGCCTATTTAGGGAAATATTAGGGTCTTGGCATCTGTTAGTCGTGCAGATAAGGTTCAAGTCTAGTAGTTGATAATTGATTTATTTGGTTCGGCACGATTTTTGAAGTTGTGTCCTGACTGGACAGCGCTGCAGCTTATACGATGTCAAAGCACATGTGCGCCGATAACGATTTCTGAGTGGATGGCTTAGATTGTTGTGGAGTGTACACAATATTTATCTTGGATGTGCGCCGTACGGGTCATTAGTAACTGTGCTCACAACCATGATCCTAGGTCGTACTATCTCTCTGTTTTTGGGCTGCTCCGCGCTTGTCTCTGGAGCTTTGATCGAGCATCATGCCGCTAGTTCTACAGACCAGCCTGTCGATGTTCCTTACAATCTGGATATGTTTTCCCAAGCAGCCGTTCTAGCTCAAGAAACTTATTGTGGTGAGCAGGCACACGACTACGGACTCAAGCTCGGTGATGCTACGCTTTTGTGGACAGCTGGCGATGGAAACGTCAGACAGCGAGTGAATTTATATCAATCAGACAGTCTAGGAATTGCAGTTGCAATCCAAGGTACCAATACATCATCGTTACGTTCCGATTTGCATGATGCTCAGTTGCGTCCTGTTGATCCTGACAGCCGCTACCGTCGATTCCTCCCTCAAGGTACAAAGGTTATGAATGGATTCCAAAAGGGGTATACCGATCTTGTCGATGATATCTTTGACCACGTGAAGAAGTTCAAGCAAGAAAAGAATGAGTCGCGCGTTACTGTGATTGGACATTCGCTTGGTGCTGCAATTGGTCTGCTTGCGTCTTTGGACATTAATCTTCGCCTTGAAGATGGTCTATTCAAATCTTATCTGTTCGGTCTTCCACGAGTTGGTAATCCTATCTTTGCTAATTTTGTTGACCGCAAGATTGGTGACAAATTGCACTGGGTTGTAAATGGACGAGACTGGGTCCCAACTGTTCCACCGCGAGCGTTGGGCTACCAACACCCGTCAAATTACGTCTGGATCTATCCAGCTAACTCGACTAACTGGAAGCTGTATCCTGGTCAGGAAAATGTTCACGGAATGCTCACTGTAGCCCGTGAGTTCAACTTCGATGACCACGAAGGCATTTACTTCCACACTCAGATTGGTGCCTCTTTGGGCAAATGCCCAGCCGTTCTCGGAGGATATTGAACTTTGGACCCTCTTAGTGTGTTTTTTTTATTATCAAGATGTTTTATCGAATGGATAAATCATATTATCGCGCCAGATCCTTTAGTTCTATTGACGTGGCCTCAATTTGGCGGTGCTCCAACTCTTGGAAGATCATACATAGCAAGTGAATAAAACCAGCGCAGCAAATTTGTGAAAATAAAGATGTGGAGGATAGAATAACACGCCGCGTGTGGGCACATGCATTCTCCGTATAACTGGCATTCTACGAGGCCAGTTCGCTATTGTTCCACACCAAGCTTACATTGAACATGAGGTTCGGTGGTGTGGTATCATTAGTGCTAGGATTTATTGTTTCAGTGCTGGCTGGTCCACTTCATCCACGCGCAGCTAGCTCAACGCAGCAGCCTGTGGATGTTACATACAAAATTGAGCCATTCACACAAGCGGCCGGTCTGGTCCAACAGACGTACTGTAGCCCTAGCTCGTACGAACCTGGCTTGCAGCTTGGTGATGCCACCTTTTTGTGGAGAATTGGTGATGGTGATCAACGTCAACGTGTAAATCTATATCATTCCGAGAGTCTTGGTATTGCAGTAGCAATTCAAGGTACAAATGGATCTTCTACACGCTCAATATTGAATGACTTTCAATACAATCCATTTGATCCGGATGAGCGTTATTCACAGTACTATCCTAAAGGTGCTAAAATTATGAATGGTTTTCAAATCGCCTACGTGAAGCTTGTCGATGACATCTTTCGCGCGTTGAAAAAATACAAAAGAGAAAAAAATGAATCTCGCGTTACGGTCATCGGCCATTCTCAGGGTGCAGCTATTGGACTTTTGGCGGCCATGGATATTGAACTCCGTCTTGATGGTGGTCTCTTCAGGTCTTACTTGTTCGGCTTGCCGCGTGTTGGTAACCCTACGTTTGCTTCATTTGTAGACCGTACGATCGGTCATAAACTTCGTTGGGCAATAAATGGTCGTGACTGGGTCCCCACAGTTCCGATTCATATCTATGGCTACCAGCATCCGTCAAATTACATCTGGATCTACCCGGGCAATTCAACTAATTGGAAACTCTATCCAGGTCAAGAAAATGTACATGGGATTCCCACAGTTCCTCGGGTATTCAATAACAATGATCATCAAGGCATTTACTTTCATACCCAGATTGGCGGTGTGGATGGCGAATGTCCCGCTCGTGTTGGAGCCCATTGATCCCGTTCGCTCGCTCTGTGTTGCCTTAATCAAACAATGACCATTCGAGCTCTTTACCCTTCTTTTTAACACACGGGTTCCATAAACGTTGCTCTAGAATTTGGATATGTGCTATAGCATTGACTTGAGTATATGAGCATATTCTGAACGTTTTCGGTGGCTTCAAGGATGTGAAGATACGTGATTTCATTACAAATCTGGGGATGCGGAAATAAGCTCATAATAAAGTGGGCTGTGACAATCGGTCATGTGAAGTCTCAACGGACGGGTAATGTCTCGGTCACACTACGTTGCTTCGACCACCATTTGATCATGACCTCGCAAGCAAGACGTTTGGGCATTCTGACGTCCGGAGGCGACTGTGCTGGAATGAATTCAGCCGTTTCTGCTGTGGTTAAAATGGCTATTTACCATGGTTATGAAACATTTGTGATTCGTGAAGGATTCGCTGGTCTAGTGAAAGGAAACCAAGAGAGCACAAGCAATGAGACGCGAGCTAAAATGAACCCACGTATGGTCAATGACGTGCCTCTTTCGTATGGATGTGGTGACTTTTTCCGTCTCGGTGATCTGGAGGATGGTGACTCGAATTATCATAACCAGTACATCATTCAAGTTGGTTGGGATGACGTTCGAGGGTGGGAGAACCAAGGCGGTACCTTGATTGGATCTGCACGTTGCAAAGAATTTTTGCAAAGAGAGGGCCGTCTGAATGCAGCGTACAATCTCATCAGTCATGGAATTTCTTCGCTTGTGATTTGCGGTGGTGACGGCAGTTTAACTGGTGCCGATATTCTTCGACAGGAATGGCCTTCTTTGCTAGAATCACTCATTGACCAAGACCGGATTTCAGCAGAACAAGCGCATTCATTCTGTCAATTACACATTGTTGGTCTAGTGGGCTCTATCGACAATGATTTGACAAGCACGGATTTGACAATTGGCTCTTCAACAGCCTTGCTCCGCATATGTGAGGCTCTCGATGCAATATCCAGCACAGCTTCTTCACATAGCCGTGCATTTGTTGTTGAAGTTATGGGTCGACATTGCGGATGGCTAGCACTCATGGCTGGCATTGCATCAGGCGCTGATTATATATTCGTACCTGAACGCCCACCACCAGACGACTGGCGTGCACATCTTCGCGAGTCATTGCTTTCGATTCGCGATAAGGGTAAACGAAAGTCAATTGTAATCGTTGCAGAAGGTGCCATTGATCGGGAGTTACAACCCATCAAGGCAAATATGGTGGCAGAAGTTTTATCGCAAGACTTGCATTTGGACACTCGCGTTACTATGCTGGGGCACACGCAGCGAGGTGGGCTTCCGGATGCAAACGATCGTATTTTGGCCACTCTGCAAGGGATTGATGCTTTAAAGGTGCTTCTGGAGGATGAGCCAAGTAAACCAGCGTATATAATTGGAATTCGCGAGGGGAGAATCAAACGCCTTCCGTTGCGCGAATCGATCGAGCGAAACAATTTGCTTCCAAAGGCAATTGCAGACAAACGCTTCGAAGATGCACAGGATGCGCGTGGGACTGACTTTCGTGCTAGTTTCGACACATTCACTTACAATGCCGCCGCGTCATCTGCCCACCACAAGCCAAGGGAGGCATTATGCATCGGTATTATGCACGTTGGAGCACCAGCTGGTGGAATGAATAGCGCTACTCGGACAGCTGTTCGCTTCTGCTTGCGCCGCGGTCACACAGCCTTGTTGATTCATAATGGATTTTCCGGTCTTCTTAAGGGCATTATTACCAAAGCAAGCTGGCTTCGAGTGGATTCATGGGCAACCTCTGGTGGTTCCGAATTGGGTACAAATCGCACATTACCGATTGAAAACCTCGATGGTGTGGCAGAGCAGTTGCAGAAACACAACATCCAGGCACTTTTGATCATCGGAGGGTTCGAGACCTTCACCTCCATAAAAATTTTGAGTGAGGCTCGATCAAAGTACGCAGCATTTCGAATCCCCCTTCTTGGCATTCCAGCAACATTATCAAATAATGTGCCCATGAATGAAAATGCAATTGGTGCACATACATCACTCGATGTTATGGTGAATGCTTGTGATATGATTATCCAGTCTGCGTCAGCGTCTCGGAATCGTGTTTTTGTTGTGGAAGTACAAGGCGGTCAATGTGGTTTTTTGGCAGTTATGGGCGCACTCGCCGTTTCGGCGGCTGTCGTCTATACGCCGGAAGATGGCGTCACGTTGCAACAACTCAACTGTGATATACAGTTCATGCGCCGAAGATTCAACTATGATCCTGAATATGTCAATGATGGTCGCATCGTGATTTGCAATGAGAGGGCTTCCTCCATATATACGGCCCAAACAATCGCTAAGATATATGGCGAGGAAGGTGCAGGCATATTCGACTGTCGCTACGAGCGACTAAGCCACGTTTTGCAAGGTGGCACACCTGCTCCGCTCGATAGGGTTCATGCAGCTCGAGTCGCTGTGCAGTGTTGTGAATTTTTGGAAAAGCACGCTGGTTCTGCCTCGGCATGGGACCCACCATCCGCAATCATAACTGTGCGTCAAGCCAGCACCATCATAACGCCTATCTCGCAAATGGTTAATTCGTCCGATTTTACTAATCGACGTGGTACGGACATATGGTGGAGTCATTGCAAAGAGTACGTAGAGATCATCAGCGGACAGAAATTCTTGTAGAATGTGTTATGTCGAACTTGTATGTGAAAGAAAATAACAAGTGGAAATGAAAATCGGGACGTGGAGCTTCACGCAGGCGCGGGTAATGCCTCGGGAGACTCTCCGGAGCGTAAGTGCTTGAATTCTCGAGCCCGTTCAAGCATCAGTCGTTGACGTTGCAGCCCTTCCTCGCTTCGAGCAGCTCGTCTAGCATCTTCCAGATTTTGTGCTGCCTTTGAGGAGTGTTGAATAGAGATTGTGCTATCGCGCGTCCCATAAGCACGGACCCCAAGAATCTGGATAGCAGATAGAACGCATCCCATTAAAAAAATAAATATAAAGACTTTCTGATTCCAAGGTGCAGCTTCTTGTTGACGCTTTGCATCCTCAGCCGAAGTAAAGGCAAACCCGTAGAATTGGTGTTCATGATATGGATTTTGAGCCATGCGCTGCCAAGAGGCATCGCGCTGGTATCTCGACCTGCGAACAACTTCTCTCCACATATACCAATGTTCCCAGTCATCGTCTGAGCGTGGTCCAAAGGATGCCGAGCGAGAATGACGTCCTGAACTTGGTATAGCCGCATGTCTGGAGCCCCAACCAACACCATATCTATCGTACATCAAACGTTTCTTTTCGTCCATGAGAAGATCGTATGCTTTGACAACAGTGCGGAATTTTTCAACTCGAGAATCCTTTTCTTGTTTGGATATTGAGGCGGAGTGATTTGTGTCAGGATGCAATTTTTTTACGAGACCATAATAGTTGGCTTTGATCTCTTGTCGGGTGGCCGTTCTTGGGACGTGAAGAATATCATACGGTGAGCTTTGATTCATTGAAGAGATTGGCATTGATGAAAAGTGTCTAACATTCCATTGGCTTCGCGGCCATGTGCTGAAGTAGGGCCGTTGCGCATTAGTCTGAGTGCCTGCACCTGATGGGGCATGTCTGCGACCATAGGCACACGCTTGGTAATGTACCAATTCTGCCGTGTTATTAATTTCAGCAGGTATAAATGACAATGGGACACTCATAGATCTCTCGTCTTTTTCATTAATTAACGTTTGCGAAAGCATCCATACTTGTGATGTGTGCTCCAAATCGTTGTCGTCGTCATGGCTGTTGGTAAAATCCTGCTTAACTTCATCGCACTGAATTTGCTGCACAGCTTCTAGAACATCTGGGTAGAAATATTCTGCTTCTTGTTCAGGATGAGATGATCCTGATTTCTTGTTCAACGAAGAGCATGTAGAACATGACTTGAACACGGTCAACATGCGTGGGCTTGTACTCAACGGTCTTGTATAGCAGAGGCGTATTGGGAATCGAGTTCGAAAGGTACAATACTTGTCTAAATGTAACAGCATTGATAAAACGTTCCAACCATGTCTGTAGCCTCCCATGGCCTGCATGCTTCTAGCAGATTGCCTCACTCGATAGGAAATGATTATAATTGCTTGAGAGCTAAGCGCGAGGCTGACTGACTTTAAAGAAGTGGAGGCCAATGGGTCTGTATGTGCCACTCAGACCCACGATTGGCTTCAAAGCAAACGCATGATGAATGGCAGTTTGATTCAACGGGTATAAGGAGAAGTAAACCCACACTGCTCCGAAATAAATAAGCTATCGACCCTGAATAAATTGCGGTAAATTTTAGAGGGTGACTACTTTGCCGCTTCCATCCTTGATAATGCCGAATCCAGGGCCGAAATGAGCTTGTGAGAGTCTGTTGTGAGTGATCTTCGGAAAGACGAACCTTCAACTTCGCGTTTCAAGTCTTGAATTTGTTGTTCACTAGAAGAAAGCTGCATGAGATCTTTTACTCGTTCAGCAAGGTCGTCGTTCTCTTTTTGTAGTAAGTCGACGCGCTGCAACAGTCTAACTCCAAGTACCGGGTTAGCATTCTCTGTCTCATGAGATTGGATATTTTCGTCATCACTTAGAGCCTGCAGACTTTGTTCCGCATTGAAGCATAACGCTTCGATTCGCATTTCCATGGCTCGTTCGCGCTGAGAAAACGCCTCGAAAACTTCACTTAGATATTCCCACGTGAATACCTTTTCATTTTTGTTTGATGGTGGGAGCGTTAAGGATGGGCGAGCCGGCAGGGGAGGGAAGATCTTGGACCAGCGACTGGTAGCGTCTGCAATCTGCGACACATATTGGGAGTGGTAGGACATGATGTGGTATGAACCTAAATTTCGGCCGATTTAACGAACGATCATTGGGAATGGCGTCCCACGTACGTAAAATGAGATCATCCAATGTGCTTCCTTTAGCCAAATCCTGTTCCTGATGCTCGTTGAAGTCTGGCGATGGTTTGCATCGCTTATATTTGGTAAACAATTAGATATCTGCATTGTTGGATTGCCGAATGCTGGGAAAACATCTTTTGTAAATGTCTTAACAGATGGGAAGTTTTCCGAGCAAATTCCCCCCACAGTAGGATACAATTTGCGCCAATTGCGCAAGGGCAGCGTAACAATGAAACTATGGGATATCGGGTACGTTGTGACTCGCTAATCTGTAAGTGGCCAGCCTCGTTTTCGGTCCATGTGGGCACGGTATTGTGCAGGTACATCTGCTATTGTTTTTTTGGTCGATGCAAGTGTCCCTTGTCCAAGGCAGGGAGACCAAGCCGTACAGGATGGCTCTGAAGAAGGCAGCAAAGAGCACCAGTGTCGAAGTTGTGCGTGGAAAATTGCCAGTCAGGAACTCCATACATTGATCAAGCAACCATCTCTGCAAGAAATTCCCGTTCTTGTGTTAGCAGCAAAAAACGATGTACCTAATTGCGCCACAACGTCGCAAGTCGTGGACCTAATGAAATTGCACGACATCAATGATCGTGAAGTCTTCTGTTACAGTATAAGCAGTCGCAACATGCAAAACATTGACAAGACACTGCAATGGCTGTGCGCAAGGCAAGGTAATAACTAAAGCGTTTAGTCTTGAGCATGTACACATATTCGTTTGTATCATAGCTATTTGTACAAAATACCGAAATTTATCCTTTGTATGAGCGCGATGAACCAATCACGCAGGCGGGGTATGATGTAAGAGGGCCGTCATTTTCGTTACATGAAACGCACAGAACGCAGTTCATGAGCTGGCTCATTTCCGGCGAAAGACTGCACACGCCCAGTAAATGGATCTGTAAGGCCAAGATGGTGTGCAAACTCTTCTTCGTTCATGTTCGCATGCAGTGCGCTATCCCGCAATGAGAAGATGATCGGGTAGTTATCAAAGCCGTAACCGGGTCGTATCACATAATCTTCAGCCGAATGCGCGCCATGATCACCCATAAACACGCTAATGTCATGCGAGACAGACCGCTGTATATTACCAACAGTCTCCGAGATCAAGGCTATTGGGCCTGAACGGATCCAGCTGGCAAATCGGGCAACAAATGGCACGGGTTCTTCTGATGCGGGTGAATTATTATCATTTGTCAATGTTACAGTTTCTCGTTCTTGTCGACGGGATTCGGCCACAATTTTGCTGCTCTTGCGATACAAAAGATAAAACTTGATAATCGCGTCAAGAAATAGAAAGATCCCTAACGCCATCACAAGATCACAGCCAATATTCGATCTTTGAATGGCACCTGATGAAGGCATATTGTCTTCATTATTGTCATCGTTACCATTTTCCTGGGATGAAACAGATTCCAAAGATGACTGTACTGTTAGACGCAGGTCGTACCCATATTGCAGGAGAGAAATTCCAAGGCCTGCACGGCTCCCGAACTTGGCCGCATGAGTAGAATGAAGGAGAAAAGTGAGGACGAAGCCAATAAATTGAAACGAAGTGCTCACAAATAGATTCCAAAGAAATGCAAAAATGGTCCCAACCATCATTCCGTCTTGTAGCATGTCTGACACTTCACCCACGTAAGCACTATTTTCAGACCAGACACCTTCCGAATCCGCCAATGAAGACCCGCCAAACACGTTACTTTCCCAGTACGTAGGAGCTGCATCTGCAGCTGCCACTTCATACGTCGGTGGGGGAGTATCATCAGCTAGGTCATCATCATCGCCACGGTCATGGGGGTCGACCGCAGAGCGCCTTGTCTCGGGCTTGGCGTTCAAATTCGAAAACACACCGTCCTGACTCATTCCACCTCCCATCATATGTGTAGTAGGCCGAGAACTCGCCGTTTCAGATTGCATAGAGGAGTATGTGATGCCCGGAAGCCTCATGCCAGACAATCGCCCGAAACGGGCTAAAATCAAGCGTGCACGATCAAGAATCGATGCTACTCTTCGATATGGTGTATTCCTTGAAAACTCCCCTACCCCTTCGATATCTTCATGGTCAAACAATACGCTTGATCCGTTCGCATCTCCGTTCTCCCCATTCATTGACGTGGGTGGGAATGTGCGGCGAGAAATCGTTGTCCAAGGCGTGCACAGATCGTACATAGCACTTGATCTTGTTGAGCCACGCGGCCAGAGCACCAAATCACGTGACATAAAGGAGTGTGGCCTTGAGATGTTTCAAGGCGGGAATGTCGTATGGACGCTATGGTATATCTATGTGTGACCATTAGTTTGAATCAGCAGTATCATAAAGTACTTAAGTCGTATCATCAAGAACTCTCGTATGTAAGTCTTGTACAATCATCTCAGACTAGGACTAAATAGTACTCGAAAAAGGACATTACGGACATGTGGAGGGACTGGCGCAAACATCTCAGAGTTTATATATCCCCAAGTGATGTGAATCCTTGTCGTTCGCATCTCAACTTTGTATCGAAAACAGCATATACACGCTTAAATATGTCGAAAGTGTCGCAGCCTGAACTCAAACGTTTCCTCGATAAAAATATCCTGATCAACATGCAGGGAGGTAGAAAGATTAAAGGGAACCTTCGCGGATATGATCTTTTTCTGAATCTTGTTGTAGATGAGGCTGTTGAGCAAGTTCAGGCCGAAAATAATCAACATCTTTGGGTCGACGGTGCACGATGTGGCACGGTTGTATGTACTATGTATTCTCTTGTTTTTTTCTGGCTAACACAAGATAAGGTTATTCGTGGCAACAGTGTTAATAGCCTGGAGGGGCTCGAGTCTATCAACACCAAATGAAACTGATTATTTATCGTCTAGTTTATGCCGGAATTGTTGCAAAATTATATTTTCTATCTGGTAAGGGGCACTCATGCCTACTAACATGTTAGTCACCCATGAGTCTTCCAATTTAGTTGAATACTCCATGTATAACATGTAGCTCTTTCATCGCCGTTCTGCAACGGTTGCATGACTCGGATATTGCGCATTAGATAAGCGACATCGATGCTAGCGCACTACGGAACTAATGGCTGTTGATCAGCGCCTTAGGTTAAGTCGCCATGTCGTCACTGATTATTCGTGAGGCTACTCGTGCGGATGTCCCGGTGATTCTTGAATTCGTGCGTACCAGTTAGACTCATGTTGAAACTAGATCAGACAGCTCGCTATTTACGAAAAGTCTTTAGACCAAGTTGAAGCCACTGAAGATTCTGTATGTACATGTTTTGAGACTTACCAATAAACCAAGTTAGCGACCACACTTTTCGATCAACACTTTGCGTATGTGATCCTCGCGGAGATTGATGTGGGCGAGGGCCAAAAGAAACCAGTTGGCTTTTCATTGGTACGTTGCTTGAAGCTAGAGGAAACGACTAATGTTACAAGTACTACTATGCGTATTCGACGTGGACGTCGCGCCCTACTCTATACCTTGAGGACCTTTTCGTCTATCCAGAGCACAGGAACAGGGGTATTGGGAAGCACCTCTTCAAGCGTCTAGGTAAGATTGCTGAAAAGAACCATTGCCTTCGGCTCGAGTGGTCTGTTCTCACATGGAACAAGTAAGTATAATGACGAACCTGACGTCCAGACCATCTATAGGATTTTACCAGAATACGTTGGGCGCGGAAACGTTGGACGAATGGCGCACCATGCGCCTCGAACACTCCGGAATTCAACGTCTCGCCAGACTCATTTGATTCGGCCGAGACCTACGGCATTCTAGTGCACGCGCTACTCAGTGCCGGGGCCCACGCGGTGTGAGTTCAATAATGAAAGAGATGTAGTGTGACACACAAAGTAATCGTACAAATGGACCTAGGTACTATCCCGGGTGGGAATGGTGGCTATGAACTTCACCAGAAACTTCGCACAAAGACAGTTCGTCTTATGCGAAAAAATAAGCACAATGAAGCAGTAGAAACCCTACACAGTGGCGCGATTCAGCTGCTAGACATGAATGAAGAAGGAAGCGCATGCGACCTGGCTGAATACCTTCTTGAGGTGTACATGCAAGCTCATGTTCCTATGGATAACACGTCACGCGAACGTATCAACTCGATTCTTGAAAAGACTAAGTCGCCTATGTGGCGTCGTAAAACTGTCATGGCCGCAAACAAATGGGCAATTTCAGCGACACAAAACCCTCTCGGTGACGAGAAACTTCGACTCTTCCTTGCTGAATTATTGGCTCGCGGTATGTATTTTTTTCTTCTCTCACAAATAACAGACAAGCAATTCTATGAAGCAGAAACTCATTTTATCGCGGCATGTGCATTGAACAAAGACAATGCGTCTAAGTTTGCACATATGCTTCTTGAGTGGAATTCATCTTATGCTGAAACTCTTACCGAATCTGATTCTGATCAGCCCCCGAAGGACTCTGTAGAGCGAGTGCTCTCAGGTACCTTTGCCCTGCGTGGTTGGGTTCCGTACGTTGGTTATTCAAAATTGTTTGACTCACACACACAGACTGCTACTTGTTCATGCTCCCGAGAGTGCAAGGGCGTTCATCCAGGATTATGTGCAAAACGCAATCAAGCTCCACCCGGCTTTGCTTCTTCCAGTCAAGCCTAATCCTCGCGAATACAGGTCACCAGCTAAAGTGTCGACATATTCGTCCGAAATCTTCATGACGGCCAGCCCTTCATTAAACTTCTCCCAGAATGCCGTTGCTTTGATTTGCGATGTCAAAAGCAAGTCTGGAAGTGTGCCGAATGAAATGAAGAGTGCATGGCAAATGCTTCTTCGTCAGTTTGTCCAGGAGGGCGGACTAGCCGGAATGGATTCAATCGTCGATGTATGTGTTTTAAGCTTGTTCAATTCTAACATAAAACAGCTGTTGTCACAAATTTCGGGCATTTACTTTGGATTGAGTCCCCCGCGTCGACAGACAGACATGTTGTCTAGCATGTTTTCGAGCATGATGGGTGGTGGTCAGAGTTCCTCCGATGAACAGAGCCTCTCTATCAAGCAATTGGCACGTCCCGCAGTGCCTGAGTCGAAGAAGGCTGCACCTGCACCTCCCTCAGCGCCCCCAGCGAATGAGGCTGATCAGCTCGTAGACGAGGAAATGGACTAGGATTAGAATGTTTAGTCAGCTTCCTATGTGTGCACATGTCGGGCGTGTGCCCAGGTGACGTATTTTCATCCTCATCACATACGGTGCTGTCCTGAGTGCGACAGACGAGTCGAAATTACAAGGTGGGTGTAGGCGTACTTGGGGTGGCATCTTAGATTGCTTGTTGAGTGTTTGAGTCAACTTGCAACATGGTAGCTCAGCCGCCACCCGGATTTGTTGGTGTGCCAAGTGGTGCCATGCCGGATGGTATTCTCCCTAATAATGAACCTTCACTTATGAGCCAACCTGAGTTGGCTGCGAAAGCGCGAAAATGGAAACAGATGCAAGGTCGAAAGTATGGTGATCGTCGCGGCAAAACAGCGCTTGTAGACACAGGAAAGCAAGAGCTTCCACCTGAGCATGTTCGTAAGATTGTGAAAGATCACGGCGACATGAGCAACCGAAAGTACCGCGCGGAGAAACGCGTGCACCTTGGAGCGCTTAAATATGTACCGCATGCTATGATGAAGCTGTTGGAAAATATCCCTATGCCGTGGGAACAAGTTCGTGAAGTGCCTGTCTTGTACCACGTCACTGGTGCTATTACGTTTGTCAACGAAGTGCCGAGAGTGATTGAACCGATTTATCATGCACAGTGGGCCACTATGTGGCTAGCTATGCGAAGGGAAAAGCGTGACAGGCGTCACTTCAAGCGTATGAGGTTTCCTCCATTCGATGACGAAGAGCCGCCCATTGATTATGGCGATAATATTCTAGATGTCGCACCTCTTGAAGCCATCCAGCTCGAACTTGACGAAGAAGAAGATGCACCTATCATTGATTGGTTTTATGATCACAAACCTCTAGTGAAAGATGCTCGGTACGTTAATGGTCCGTCCTACCGGTTTTGGACGCTTGATCTGCCAAAAATGGCTGCCCTTTACCGACTTGGTCGAACCTTGCAAAGCGATTTTACCAAGGGAGACAAGAATTATTTTTACTTGTTTGATCTCAAGTCTTTTTATACAGCCAAGTCGCTCAATGTGGCCATTCCTGGTGGTCCTAAGTTTGAACCCTTGTACAAAGACATGGATGATTATGATGACGATTGGAATGAGTTCAACGATATCCGGAAGGTTATAATTCGCCATCCTATTCGCACTGAATACAAAGTGGCATTCCCGCATTTATACAACAGTCGTCCGCGATCTGTATATCTTGGTATATACCATGAACCAAAGAATGTATATGTGCGAACCGATGATCCTGACCTCCCGGCTTTCTATTTTGACCCAGCTCTCAACCCCATATCACGTCGTTCATTAGGATCTGCCAAACATTTCCGGTCGCATTTCAATGACGGCGAGCCAGTGCTGTCCCATGAAGATACTGTGTTTGGTGAAGGCATCCAAGGAGATGATGAACTTCCTGATGAACTAGCTTTTTCTTTACCTGAGGGCATCGAACCATTTCTTGAGAACGTACCACTGGAGAATGATCTCACCTCTGATGCCGTCGCTTTGTGGTGGGCAGCGCCTCCCTACAACCGACGTAGTGGCATGACGCGTCGCGCTGTTGATGTCCCTCTTATCAAAGCCTGGTATTTGGAACATTGTCCTCCAGGGCAACCTGTGAAAGTTCGCGTGAGTTACCAGAAACTGCTGAAAAAGTATGTACACAACACGCTTCATGCACGACCGTACAAGGCGCAGTCAAAGAAGTACCTGTTTCGCCAGCTCAAAGCAACAAAATTTTTCCAGACGACGCATTTGGATTGGCTGGAAGCTGGACTGCAAGTTGTCCGTCAAAGCTTCAACATGTTAAATTTGCTAATCCACCGCAAGGCGTTGACATATTTGCATTTGGATTATAACATGAACCTGAAGCCTGTCAAGACACTTACCACGAAAGAGCGAAAAAAGTCTCGCTTTGGTAATGCGTTCCATTTGGTCCGAGAATTGGCTCGTATGACGAAGTTGATTGTTGATGCACATGTTCAATTTCGACTGGGCAATTGTGATGCATATCAGCTGGCAGATGGGTTGCAGTATTTGTTGAATCACGTTGGTCAACTGACGGGAGTTTATCGATACAAGTACAAAGTAATGCATCAAATTCGTGCCTGCAAAGATCTCAAACACGTTATCTATTATCGTTTCAATTCTGGCCCTGTCGGAAAGGGACCGGGTGTTGGGTTTTGGGGACCCTCTTGGCGTGTTTGGATTTTTTTCATGCGTGGCGTCACTCCTTTGCTGGAGCGATGGCTGGGCAACTTACTTGCCCGTCAGTTCGAAGGTCGCAATGGCCGCACTGGTGGTAAGTCAGTGACGAAACAGCGTGTGGAATCGCACTTTGATCTTGAGCTTCGTGCAGCTGTAATGCACGATCTTCTCGACATGATGCCTGAAGGCATCAAGCAGAACAAGAGTAAAACGATTCTTCAACATCTTACGGAAGCTTGGCGTTGCTGGAAAGCAAATGTACCGTGGAAAGTTCCTGGCATGCCGACTGCAATTGAGAATGTGATTTTACGGTATGTCAAGTCGAAAGCCGATTGGTGGACTTCAGTTGCGCATTATAACCGCGAGCGTATTCGCCGTGGTGCAACGGTGGACAAGACTGTGAGCCGTAAGAACTTGGGCCGTCTGACGCGTCTTTATTTGAAAGCCGAGCAGGAGCGTCAGAATGCATATTTAAAGGATGGTCCATATATTACGTCTGAATCAGCCGTGGCGATCTACACGTCGACAGTCCATTGGCTTGAGAGTCGACGATTCCAGCCCATTCCATTTCCTTCACTGAATTTCAAGCACGATACGAAGTTGCTCGTGCTTGCTCTTGAAAAGCTTAAAGAAGCGTACAGTGTTCAAGGCCGTCTTAACCAAACCCAACGCGAGGAGTTGGCTCTCATTGAACAAGCGTTTGATAACCCGCACGAGACATTGGCACGCATTAAAAGATTGATGCTAACACAGCGAGCATTTAAGGAAGTCGGTCTCGAGTTCTTCGATACGTTTGCAAAACTGGTCCCTACATATGACATTGAGCCAATCGAGAAAATCACCGATGCATACCTTGACCAATACTTGGCTTATGAGGCTGATAAGCGTGCCCTGTTTCCTGCTTGGATCAAGCCGAGTGACCAGGAACCCCCACCGTTGTTGGTGTACAAGTGGTCAAACGGTATTAACAACTTGCAGGACGTCTGGGACACGTCTCATGGTGAATGCAATGTCTTGATGGAAACAACATTGTCGAAGGTGTTTGACAAAGTTGATATAACGCTGCTGAATCGTCTTTTGCGTTTAATCATGGACCACAATTTGGCTGATTATATCACTGCCAAGAATAATGTGTCTATTGTGTGGAAGGATATGACCCATGTGAATTCATATGGTTTAATCCGAGGCTTGCAGTTCTCTGGTTTTGTGTTCCAATACTACGGCCTTATTCTTGACCTTCTGATCCTGGGTCTTCGTCGAGCTAGTGACTTAGCGGGCTCGCCAAAGATGCCGAATGGGTTCCTCCAATTCGAGGACAAAAGCACAGAAACCCGTCATCCTGTGCGTATGTACATGCGCTATGTTGATCGCGTGCACATTCTATATCGGTTTACGGCTGATGAATCTCGTGACTTGATCCAGCGATATCTCAGTGCGAACCCTGATCCCAATAACAACAACCTGATCGGTTATAATAACAAGAAGTGTTGGCCTCGTGACTGCCGTATGCGACTGAATAAGCACGATGTCAACCTTGGCCGTGCCGTATTTTGGACAGTCAAGAACTCATTGCCTCGAAGTCTGACGACGATCGAATGGGACGACACATTCGTGAGTGTGTACAGCAAAGACAACCCGAACTTATTGTTCTCGATGCAGGGTTTCGAGGTTCGAATCCTGCCGAAGATTCGACAAGGAGATTTGGGTGAGCAACGCGATGGTGTATGGTCTTTAGTGAATGCCGATACTGGTGAACGCAGTGCACAGGCGTACTTGCGAGTGTCAGACGAGTCTATTGCAAGTTTCCACAACCGTGTTCGACAAATTCTTATGGCAGCCGGATCCGCACCATTTGCCAAGATTGTGAACAAGTGGAACACCACTCTGATTGGGCTTATGACGTATTATCGCGAAGCAGTGATTCATACTAATGAGTTACTGGACCTACTTGTCAAGTGTGAAAATAAAGTTCAGACGCGTGTCAAGATTGGTCTGAACAGTAAGATGCCATCAAGATTCCCGCCTGTTGTGTTTTACAGTCCGAAGGAGTTGGGTGGACTTGGTATGCTCTCGATGGGTCACGTCCTGATTCCGCAGTCTGATTTGCGCTGGTCTAAGCAAACAGAGACCGGTATCTCGCACTTCCGCTCGGGTATGAGTCATGATGAAGACCAACTCATTCCTAATTTGTATCGATACATTCAAAGCTGGGAGTCAGAATTCCAGGACAGCTCTCGTGTTTGGTCAGAATATGCGCACAAACGAAAGGAAGCCAATGCTCAGAATCGACGCCTTACGTTGGAAGATTTAGAAGATTCGTGGGATCGAGGTATACCACGTATTAATACGCTTTTCCAAAAGGACCGTACAATTTTGTCATATGCACAAGATGTGGCGTCTCCGGAATGAATTCAAGCAGTACCAACTACTTAAGTACAATCCTTTCTGGTGGACGTCTCAAAGACACGATGGAAAGCTGTGGCAACTTAACCAGTACCGAACAGACATTATTGCAGCCTTGGGCGGTGTCGAAGGGTGTCTGGAACACACTTTGTTTAAGGGCTGTAATTTCCCGACATGGGAAGGTCTTTTCTGGGAGAAGGCGTCTGGCTTCGAAGATCAAATGAAACACAAAAAGCTTACGAACGCTCAGCGCTCAGGTCTCTCGCAAATTCCTAACCGTCGCTTCACTCTTTGGTGGAGTCCGACAATTAATCGTGCAAACGTGTATGTCGGTTTCCAAGTGCAGCTCGATCTTACGGGCATTTTCATGCATGGAAAGATCCCGACGCTCAAGATATCTTTGATTCAATTGTTCCGTGCACACTTGTGGCAAAAGATTCATGAGAGTGTTGTTATGGACCTTTGTCAGGTGTTCGATCAGGAATTAGAGGCTCTTCAAATCGAAACGGTGCAAAAAGAAACGATTCATCCTCGGAAGTCGTATCGTATGAATGCATCTTGTGCGGATATCGTCTTGTTTGCAAGCTACAAGTGGCCTATGTCGAATCCATCGCTGCTAACCGACTCGCGTGATGTCATGAGCGGGGCTAGTGGATCAAAATGGTGGATTGATGTGCAGTTGCGCTGGGGAGACTTCGACTCGCATGATATCGAGCGATACTGCCGTGCCAAATACCTGGACTACACCACGGACAATACGTCCATTTACCCGTCACCAAGCGGCGTTCTAATTGGAATCGACTTGGCTTATAATATGCACTCTGCTTACGGCTCGTACATTCCAGGAGCGAAGCCATTGCTTCAGCAAGCCATGGCCAAAATTATGAAAGCAAATCCTGCTCTGTATGTTTTGCGCGAGCGTATTCGCAAAGGTCTTCAGCTTTACAGCTCGGAGCCGACAGAGCCTTACTTGAATTCTGGCAACTATGCCGAGCTTTTCAGCAATCAAGTGATTTGGATGATTGACGATACCAATGTTTACCGAGTGACCATCCACCGAACTTTTGAAGGAAACTTAGTGACAAAGCCTATTAATGGTGCAATTTTCATTTTGAACCCACGCACGGGACAGCTATTCCTTAAAGTGATCCACACGTCTGTATGGGCTGGTCAAAAACGACTTGGTCAGCTTGCCAAATGGAAGACGGCTGAAGAAGTGGCTGCATTGGTGCGTTCTTTGCCGGTTGAAGAGCAGCCAAAACAGGTTATTGTTACGCGGAAAGGAATGCTGGATCCTCTTGAGGTTCATCTGCTTGACTTCCCGAACATTGTGATCAAGGGTTCTCAACTTCAACTTCCCTTCCAAGCATGTATGAAGCTTGAAAAGATCGGTGACTTGATTCTCCGAGCGACGCAGCCGCAGATGGTTTTGTACTCGTTATATGATGACTGGCTCAAGAGCATTTCGCCATATACGGCTTTTTCACGTTGCATTTTGTTGCTACGTGCTTTGCATGTTAACTCGGAAAAGACCAAGGTGATTCTTCGCCCTAACATTAACACAGTCACTCAGCCGCACCATATCTGGCCATCATTTTCTGATGAAGAATGGATCAAGGTCGAAATTGCTCTGCGCGATTTGATTCTACAAGACTATGGTCGTCGAAACCAGGTGGCTGTGGGCAGCCTGACCTCAAGTGAAATTCGTGACATTATTCTGGGTATGGAAATCTCGTCACCATCGCAACAGCGTCAACAAATGGCCGAGATCGACCAAAACCAGCCACAACAGCAGGTCACAGCTACTCAAACGCGTACTGTCAATGTCCACGGCGACGAAATTCAAACGGTGACAACGACCCAGTACGAAAACCAAGTGTTCAGCTCCAAGAGCGACTGGCGTGTACGTGCTTTGAGTGCAACGAACCTCCCTCTGCGTTGTCAACACCTCTATGTTTCAAACGAAGATGTGCGAGAGGACGCCGGTGCACTCACATACGTGGTGCCAAAGAACATCCTTAAAACCTTTATCATCACTGCCGACTTACGGACACAAGTGGCTGGCTTCATATACGGAGCGTCGCCCCCTGATATGCCGGCTGTGAAGGAAATCAAGCTTATTGTGTGGGCTCCGCAGCGTGGGAGCAACACGGGTGTTGAGTTGCCTGATCAACTTCCCACCCATGATTACATGCTGAAGGATCTGGAACCGTTGGGGTGGATTAAGACGCAGGCTCTGGACTTGCCGCATCTTGCACCCAGTGATGTTGCTACACATGCTCGCATGATGGCAGCTCATCCTGAATGGGGAGCTAACAGCGTTTGCATCACATGTGCCTTTACTCCCGGCTCTGTAACTCTGTCAGCACATACGTTGAGCGTGGCGGGTTTCGAATGGGGACGTAAAGCATCGGCAGCAGACGCCTTGGGACCTGCGCCAGGATTCAACCCTGGTATGGTTGACAAAGCACAGCTGCTACTTAGTGACCGCATTTTGGGTACAACGCTGGCGCCTACCGATGGTGCGTGGAACTTTGGGTTGTCACTGTCGGCGCAATGGACACCTCATTTCCAATATACACTGCAGCTGGCCCCTCCTGCCGCTTTCTGGGATGAAGTTCATCGACCACAAAACTTCTTGTCATTTGCGGGTGCATTGGCCGACAATGAAAACGCTGCGGACTGGCAAAATGCACTTGACTGATTTCATATATTAGGTATCAGATAGGTATTTGATTTCTACACCTAAATTAGACACAGCATGCGATAGTAGATTGGATTGAAGACCAACCGAGACCAGGCATCGACGCCAATGACCTTCCCACAACAGGGAAAATACGCCGGACGTACTTATGCGGGCCTTGAGCAAGCCTAAAAACAAAGATGTAGCAGGTGTGGCGGGCGGCTCCACGGAAGCAAGCGCGGGTAACGGTGTATGTGTGGGCGATGTTGATGAGGTCAGCGAGCGCGAAGAAGAGGGTGACGACGACAAATTTGAAGTCCCGGACCTTGACTCAGGTGAAGGCTTTGAGACGTGTGTCGGAATTGCTGCAGACGTCGACGAAGCATGTTTGGACGGTACTGACTCACCGGGTGTCTCTTCGCTTTGCTCTATATGCGCACTCGCATCCAGTGTCGGTGCCAGCAAAGTCAAAGACGAAAATTCCCTATCCCGAAGCGAGACATTTGAAGATGCGCCAGACATGGTCCAAACACCCACACGCTCCCGCAAAGAGCTAGCGGTTTCGTACGTGTCTTCGTCCGGGGTACGACGTAGGTTGTATTCGGCACCTAATGCCAAGTCGGATTCAAAGGAAAACACATTCAAGTCAAACCGTGTGCATAATAGCAAATCCTCGTCAATTCGCGCGGTATAAGCCGTGCGGACGTACCCCATGATGGGATTTAGCGTCAGTGACGCTACGGCAGGGGCACTCTTGGGACCACCAAACATATTTGCTGCACCTTGGGGTAAAGTACAACGCATCCCAGCCGACACTAATGAAATGTAAGTAATGCAATGTACGTACTTCCACCACTCTTTTCGGCAATACTAAAAAATAGCTCACCACCGGCGCTAAGTGTGGCAGCGTCGGCGACTGAACAGATATGTCGCAAGATTCTGGCGCCCCATAATGCATCATCTAATGAGTAAGTGTACTCTGTCATTGTGCGTGAAGACTGATGCTGGAGCGTGAGAAGAAGATTTGTGACTCCTGGCGGACCAATAGGTCCTTTTGTTGATGCTGACTCACTGCCCGAACGATTCGGAGGTATGATGCCAAGCCAACGCCCTAGAGGCACAACAGGGAAACGTGGCGCATTTGACAAAGCTGTAGCCATAATCTGCCAATGTTCTGACAAGCGGAATACACAAAGTGCTTCCACACAAGAACTAGGCGCATGCATACTTCCATACAAAAGCATCTCGCGTGTTGCTTTCGGCTGATGCTTGTGTTGCGAGAAATGCATATTTGGCTCGAGAAAAGGAGCCGCACGCGTCATACACCGCAAAGGGTCCTGAATACATCCCAAATCAAAAATAGAGTTCGTAGAAGCATGGGAATAAGCAATAAAGCCAGACAGTGGGACTGTCAGTATACGTGTGCTCGCCGTAAAAGAGGATGCAGGAGTGAGGGTGGCCGACGAAAATATTACACCGCGAGGTGTGGTAAAGTCAAGAAGAACTTGTATTCGTTAGTAACAGACGAGCAAACACACCATCGCTTGCTTTTGAGAGATTTAGATAAGAGGACTGATCATTCCAGCCGGTGGCCCGCCAGTACTCTCGGAGTAGCACCGTCGCTGCATCATACATAGTGGGGTGCTAAGAAGTGGAGGGCTTCGTTCCATCACAATTACAGCCATGTTATAAGCCTCGACCGTGGTATGTTCAACATAGTGAAATTTATGTACATTACAATGCAGTTTATTTAGTATACTAAAGGAAATAAGACTTTTGACTATGCTCCGAAGATGTGCTCAACTTCATCGATACCACCAGGGTGTGGGGAAGATAAGGGCACATCGGGAATCATCATTTCCTCAACACTTGGTGCCGGCGTCTCATTCGTTTCCTCTTCCGTAGAGATCGCATCCTCCACCAAATCCTCGGCGTTCCAATGCAAGGTTGGATGAATAATGCCTGGGTTGGAATGAACACGACGAAGGCTTTGTCTAACACCGGGCGAGCTGGAAGCTGAGAAACGCCGAACACTAAAATTAGCTGATGGGGAACGACTGGACACGTTGCGAGGTGACAAAGATTTTCGGGCCGAGTTTGGAGAGCGAGAAAGAACGTCCATTTCATGTGGACTCATATGTTCCCACACATTTTGTCCGTTGGATGAAACAGTATTGTTAGTTGATGGACTTTCAAGCTCTATGCCGGGCAGAATCGAAAGGGTATCATTTGGATACATTTCTTCCATGACATCTTCGTACGCGTCAAAGTAACCTTCTACAGACACGCCAGAAATGTATCGCCCAGGAGTGCCTGCTCCAACCGAATGAGGATGTGGCGGAAATGCCTCTCGCTCAAAAATATCACGGCTTGCCTCATTCCATTCCTGAGCATACGCATCCTTTGCATTGGCGGGTAAGGCTTCTGTGCCGGCGACGTGACTGTGGTAACGGTAGCGCGACTTGTTGAAAAATTGTATTAATGCTCGGAGAGTTTGCTCTTCAGGAAGTGAGGCTTCCACTTCGGCCTCCAAGTCGCTACCACCAGGCCAATCCTCACGCAGTCGTGGACGACAACGCAAATAAATTTGTGTGATGATGCGCATGTTTGACTGACGCCACTTTCGTCCGCAATAAGGAATTTGACACTTCAATAGCTTGAGAACGTATAGTTCAAGTCCAGAATGGGGTACACTCAGTGTTCGTTTTAGAATAGCGGAACTTTTGTATTGAACAAGCAATAGAATTCGATGTACTTTTGATTTGCAAACTTGATAAAGAATGCGTGTAAAGTTGGATGCCGTGGCCATATTGCGCCAAGAAAAGGGCGGTGAAGATGTTTGCGAATCGGAGTGTTGTATACGCAAAGGATCGTTGGGGTATTCATTCCAAACATTTCCGATCAGAAGAGAGAGTTGCTCTAGAATCTGCTGGGGTGTAGATGTCGAATGGTCATGGCCAACAAGACGACAATACTCGAATAGACCGAATGGATGAGCCTCGCATCGTGAATGCACTGCTTGGTCCACAACTTGCAGTCCGAATAGCTTGAGGATCAATAAAATCACATTCGTGTCTAAGAGCACTTGAGCAAGGTATTCAAATTTGAGAATGTGACTCGCTTTAAACCAATGCAGACACAATAGCAAAAACGAACTTACAGCCTTATTCAAAATTTCACGATGGCGACAAATATCAACGTCTTCAAGCGTGGGGGAGGGAGCTTGTTCTGAAGGTGTACCCTCCGCAACAGCTCGCACGTATGCGCTACTGGTGCTACCCGTTGTGGCAGTAGCAAGCACAAGCTTCAAAAGAACGATAACTGCACTTTGTAAAGAAGGCAAAGAACGGCGGTAGATCTCATCGATCCATTCTAGCCTTTGATCATCTTCCGCACTTATTGGCACAGGGCCTGGCTGACGAAGACACAAGTTCTGAAGCATTTCTTGTACTTCAGATATGCTTGAGTCTTGTGCACCTCGCGCTTCATTTAAAAACTCTTGACGAACACACCATGTTTGCCATGTACCTGTCCCGATAAATAGACGATCGCGGTAAAGCGAAGAAGCTTCTTGGATTCCGACAGGCACATCAGGCCCATTTTTGACAGGTGCTAAAGGCAGAATAAACGGGCGACTTTGATTTGTTTGAAATTTTTGCCGACCAGGCTTTAGAGGTGGTGGTGCTGCAGCTGACTTTGCCATTGCAATGCGTTCCTCGTCCATCACAAGCAGCGCGTCGTCAGTGGGCCCATGAGTGTTATGGTTCGTCGAAAGAGGTAGAGTGGCGTTAGCCAGGACAGTTCCTCCTATCAATTCGGACCGCTGGTGATCTACCAAGGTCGGGTACTTGGCCATAAGTTCAGACTGAAATTGACGTATGTCTTGAGGAATGACAGGCATCTTTTCCGCAAGACTTGACTTGGGTACGAGGCCTTCGCGAATCCGTACGCGTTCTTTGCATTTAGAGAGTGCATCACTGCCACCCATTGACGCAAGAAGAGACTTCCATGTTAACAGGACGAGTTTTTTTACTGGGAATCCTTTGATACTTTTTTCTCGCAAATTAGCCACCAGATTAAGAAAGAAGTTCGGCAAGGGTGGGTCCATAAACATCAATGCCTCACTGAGGCGAAAATCACCACGCAAAGACTCGATTACAGTATACAGCTGAGAAAAATGCACGGAAACTTCCACATTGATACTCTCCAGGTAATCAACCTTTTCTTGTGGTGTCATTATGTTCTCACTGCTGGAAGATGAATGATTCTGAGGGACAAAGTCAGGTAAGGTGCTCACCCAGTCATGGCGCCAGCAGGCGCGCCGACAAGCAACGAACAAGTCTTCAATACCACCCAGCTCAAAGACCATGCGCGCATTTTCTTGAATCCAGGCTAATTGCTCCCTTTCTGAGCTGGTCTCACCAAAAGATCCCTGAAGGAGATACAGAAGCGCATGTGAAGCAGTTGTGCGTGCCACAGTATCTTGCAAGTCAAGAGAGTTCAAAAGGTGTAAAAGAATGCGACGTCGCGAATGCACGTCAAGCGTTGTCCAAGCTGTTTGTCAGTTGAATGACTGGTACATACAAGCTACAGATACGACATCAGGTATATTCATTGATTTCCATTTAGATTTCGCCCATTCTTGCCACATGAATTTGTTTTCAATGAATAATGGTGCCTCGATATACGAGTAAAACTCTTCCAGTTCATTCTCGATACAGTCGGCATCTTGATCAAGGGAGTACGAAATCTCAGTTTTAGTGGATCCGCAATTATTGACATCATCTCCCAAGTCATTCGGCGCTTCTTGCGAGGGGAGATTTATCGCCGACGCGAGCTCATTAGCTCCGACCATGTTATGCAGGTCGTCAAGCTTTGTCTGGCGCAACCTTGAGGCCAATGCACCCTGAAACACAAGTCCGCTCGCTCACCGCATACGCGTCTAACGCTTTATGCCAAATGCACGACACTGTAGCACGTGACTGGACGCACCGGGGCGTTGACCGCCTCGCTGATTCCAGCGCTCACTAGCCAAGTGTCTGCTGGCTCATTGTCGAGAGGGATCGCCTGCCCGTGCGCCTCTTTATTATGCAACTGATTGCATACTGCCTTGCCCTGCTGAGCAGTATTTCTGTGGCATTGGCTCTATCAGCCACAGGAAGCCGGGTTCTTGCCGTCGTGGGAGAGGATCCTGATGCATACTCTTCGTTCTTAGGGTCACTTAAGGAGCGGGGATACACGACAACGAGCTTGACTCCAGAGAAGGTGTCGGAGACCACGCTGTACAAGTTCGGAGAACGAATGTTCGACCATGCAGTGATTCTCGCGCCAAACATGAAACAATTTCCCAAAGGACTGGAGCCGTCAACGTTGATCGATTTCCTTCGCGATGGGGGAAACCTCATGGTAGGATTATCGCCGAAGCTCACTGAATCTTGGCGTGGGTTTGCCCGCGAATTTGGACTTGAGTTCGGCGATCGTGATACCATGCTGGTCGACCATTTTGGATATGATGCGCAGATGGACCGCGGTGACCACACGGCCGTGCAGGTTGGTGGTTCAAGGTCCAGTGCCCCGCTGGACGCTGGCGGGATTGTGCCAAACGAGCTTGTGTTTTCTAAAGATACGCTTTCATCCCAAGAATCCTTTTTGTATCGCGGAATTGCGCACTGGATCGGCCCGTCACCGTTGGCATTTCCTTTACTCTTGCCTCCAGCTACATCCTATCAGACAGATGTGCCCATGATCACGACTTCGGAAGTCGAAGGCGGTTGGGCAGCAAAGGGTATCAACAAGCTTGAGCCACTCAATGCGGTGGAAAATTTACTTACAGGTGCTGATGCTCATTCTTCCGATACCAAAGCTTCGCTTGCGTCGGCCATACAACTGCGTGATAATTCTGCGCGCGTCATGTTTGTGGGGAGCGTAGAGATCATGCAAAATGAAATTTATGCAATGGAAGACCGCCCAATTCAACGAGCAGTAGTTGACGACTTGATTTTGTGGACTTTCCAGGAGCATGGTGTGCTTCGCGTGGTTCGCAGGGCACACGAACGACTTCGTGCAGGACCAGAGGATCTACGACCAGACTATGAAGAAGAACCTGGAGTAAATAAGATGTACCGCATCAAAGACACCGTGAATTATGTGCTTGAGGTACAGCAATTCGAAAATGGAGCTTGGAGGGCCGTGTCGCAGCCCCTGGATTTGCAACTGAGTGCTATCATGCTTGATCCCTACGTGACTGTGCCCCTACTGCCAGAAGCAGGCTCGAATAGCACTGTTTACCGTGCTATACTAGGCCTTCCCGACAGACACGGTGTATTCACTCTACGAGTTAACTGGAAGCGACATGGCTACACATACATAAGGGCAGATGACGTGATACCTGTGCGTCCTTTCAACCACAACGAGTATCCGCGAATGCTTAGCAGTTCATGGCCTTACGTGGCAGGCGCATTATCCACTATGCTAGGCTTTTCAACTTTTGTTGCATTGTGGCTCATCATGCCATTGAGCAAACTAAGTAGTAAAATGTTGTAGAGCTACAACACTGTTACGTCCACACGAGAGCACACGTGTTCGGCCCATTCGAAATATTCTCCCCTGGAAGCTGCCAACCTAGGACGGGAACGGTTGTTGTTGCTGGTAGTGGTGGTGACAAGACCTTGTGGACGATATTATACATAACTCCCAGTGATTCGTGTGTATCATATATGAGTTTTACATGTAAAGCGCTTTTCATCGCTTGTCTTAGTTCTAACCATGCATCATCGACATGGGTGGTGAAAGACTCATCATCACCCACAAGAGTAAACAGAGCAATGCCAGACGTCAGAGAAGTTGAATCATCATATTCGCACATTTGGTAGCAACATGTGATACCGTCTGATCTTATCTTTTTTGCACGAAGACCAACTTTGCGCTTTTCGTCAAAAATACGAGCGGTCAACTGCCATTCACAGCACGCATGTTTTGTTAGACTCTTTGACGGTAGATACACAAATAGCATCGGCTCAGTTTTCTGATGCAAAGAAAGCGTACTCTGAGTCATATCCAAACCGTCTGGTGGTGATAGCCAACAAATGCCGCCCTCAACATGAACGCACGCACCCCATTCTGAGACAGCGTCGACAATACGCTGCTGATGTTGGACAGATAGTGCAAGCTGCAAGGCCACGTCGTCAGGCAAGTCGAGTGTTGCGGGCCGCATGCCGATTTGACCTGACATATATATGCGATGATGGTCGCTGACGGCCTGTGAAAATGGACCAAGACTTGCAGGAACCCAATACCCCTGACTTCTTACGTGTAAAGCCCGACGCTCGCGAGGAAAAGATGCAGGACGACAAGCAACAACATCAAGCTTGATCCGTAATCCCAACGATCTCACCGGCAATGCAAGACAAGACCTTGATGGTGGGGCGGCACCGAACTCAGCACAATACATCCGTTGAAATGCTTCAAAATAGGAGGCCGACGCAAGATACACGTTCACGTGAGCAATGTGCGTCCGATCATAGTCCTGTTTCTTTAGAGTATCGAATACATGGGCGAAAGCACTGCGTACTTCGTCCTCGAAACTCACGCGATGGAAACTCATGGATGGTGCAGAAACATTAGCAATAGTGAGCCAATCGCCACGCCTTGACATGGACATTGTTGGCTCCTGCCAGGTAGTGAAGTCCGCATCCTTATACATTGATATACTTGGGGTAGGATTTGACAGGTTTTTGCGCAGAGCTTCAAAGGATGCATTTCCCACATCGTCAAGCAAAGGTGGTGCTTGAATAGATTTCAATAAGACCGCTGGTCCGTATTCAGTTTTGTCAATCAACGAAGTGCGGAGAATGCGCAAATAGCTCACGCTCGCAAAAGCCGCGTCACTGTGAAGAATTGTTTCGGTTTCATCGACGGAAATACGGCGCTGAAACAGAGGAGAATCTAAACACAGCGTTTCATACTCCCCACCTTCTCCGCAAACATGGGCCCCGTATAACTGACTGAGTTTTTCTAGTTTGGGTGTTAGTTGTCTCAAGGAACGGCCCAAATCACGCTCAGTCAGCTCTATACCAGCGACTTTAATGAGAATAGCATCTAATCCAGAGTTGTTCATTTCATGCAAAAGAGACGACTGGTCTCGATTCCAAAGATAGGCAAGCGGTTGTAAATTTAAATCTGGTCGAAATGAACTGGTATCAGTAGTAGAACTGAAGATACACGTACACATGCTCGACACGGACTCGCTGATAGTTCGAAAGAATCGCGCCTACACTTACTCCCTCGATGTCAGGATGCTTCTCTTTCACATGAAGCAAGAGATGATAAAGATCTTCCGTCTCGTCTTCATCTGTTTGTTCAAAATCTGAAGGCTTCTTTGTAGGATCGCGGGCACCATAAACGGCGCCTTGGTTGATAGCCTTTCCACGAATTTGCCTGCGATATAATGGGAGGTTCATCGCCTCTGCGATCTTTTGCACCGCATCATGCCCCACCGTCTGATACATGTATGAATCCAGTTCATCTGTTGTGAGTAAAGCAAAATGTGCATACCCTTCCCACCTGGTGGAATCAAAGTTGCCAAAGCAACGATATCATGCTTTTGTAGAACACAGTGGCACAGGTTAAAGCAACTATCCTTACCACCCGAAAGCAAGCCTACGACTTTCATTCGTGTGATGATGGTCCTCCTCAAGTGATTAAATGGATGAGGCGCGTTATAAGCTAACGGTCTCCACTATACAAATTGCGCCAATTTTTCCACACTTGAATCAGTTCAAACTGGCTGTTGCGAGGCCGGCAATGACAACTGCGTAGCAATCAATAACCTTCGTTGGCCCCAGTTCGCCAGATGGCAATCATACCCCGTACGCTTGCGCTATATGTAAGGTCAACTATAAGTTCGTATTCCTTGATACATGCCAGGTGGGCATCGTCCTTGTCGCCGTTGTATCAAGGACGTAATACAAGGCGGCCTCTAAAACGCGCCAAAATAGACGCGATAGCATCGGTTGATCAGGCAACGCGGGTGCCTTGTATCACGGGAAAGAAATTACAGTCGCTGCTCCAAGATGCTGTACGCTCTTATGCAGAATCACTGCAAACCAAAAAGCGCCTGTCTAGCTTCGGCATTCCTATTCATGCTATCCAAATGGTTCATGAACAAATAGCCACGATACCCCTTTCATCAAAAACTGATATTTGGGCATGCGTTTTGAATTTATGGGCGCAAGAAGTTCAGAATGACATATGGGCCACTTTCGCAATGCGCCAAGAGCTAACATCCGCCTACCTCCAACAAGGGAATGATGCGCTGCATAGAGCCTGTGCCCAATCTTTTCTTGCATGGTTGTCAACTCAATTTGAGCGTTGCAGAATGACTACAGCATTGACTGCTTCTGAAAAAAGTACTTTGCGTGAAGCTTGCATGCAACTTGACGTTTTACGCTCCATTACAGACTTGCGTGCGCCATCGCTGACTTATTCTAGTGCACGATCATTGACAAGACAAATCCATCTGCATGTGGGACCAACCAACTCAGGAAAAACTCATGGTGCGCTTGTGACTTTATCAAAAGCTCGAACTGGTCTGTATGCTGGACCGCTTCGGTTGCTCGCTCACGAGGTCTGGGAACGCATGAATCAAGGGACGATCTCACCCTCAATCCAACCACGTGCTTGTAACTTACGCACCGGCGAGGAGGTTCGTGTGGTTGATGAATATGCAGGACTAGTTTCTTGCACAGTTGAAATGGCGGATGTTACACGGGCCTATGAAGTAGCGGTGATTGATGAAATTCAAATGATTGCCGACATCCAGCGCGGGTTTGCATGGACCCAAGCCGTGTTAGGTCTACCGGCAAAGGAGCTTCATCTTTGTGGGGAAGCAAGTGCAGTTCCTTTAATTCAGCGCCTCGTGGAAATGTGTGGCGACGAGCTGCATATACACAACTATAACAGACTGTCGCCGCTGCACGTTGCATCTAGCAGTTTGCGGGGTGACTTGACCAAAGTTGAACCTGGTGATTGTGTGGTCGCGTTTAGTCGCAGTACTATATTTTGGCTTAAAGAACAAATTGAAGCAAGAACAGGACTCCAGTGTGCTGTAGCATACGGGGCACTGCCACCTGAAATCAAGAGTGAACAGGCGAAGCTATTCAACTCAGGTAAACTCGATGTGATGGTGGCTAGCGATGCTATCGGTATGGGGTTGAATTTACGTATTAGACGCGTAATTTTTGATACTCTAAGCAAATGGAATGGAAAAGAACAAGTGCCATTGTCACTTTCGCAAATTAAACAGATTGCCGGGCGTGCTGGTCGCTATGGAACATCGCGTGATAAGAATGAAGAGCCATCGGGCCTTGTTCTTACACGCAATGAGAACGAGATGGAGTATCTACGAGCAGCACTTGCTGCTCCAGTACGACCTATCACGCATGCGCAGATACAACCCAGTACCCGAAAGCTCGAATCACTGGCACTATTGCTGCCACGCGCGCGGACAAGAGGTCCATCCTCATCTCGCAGGCGTGTTTCTATTCATGACAACTCTGTGTCCACACTGTTAGAGGAGTTCCATGCTTTTGCGGATTTAGATGCGGGTGTATTTTCCATGGCGGATTTTGTGTCACAAAAAGCCATGTCTACCATTATTGAGCATCGTGGGCGAGACCGTTTGACGCACGCTGAAAAGGAAAAATGGTCGAATACCCCAGTTAATATGCGGGATGAACGCGCAGTTGCATGGGTTGGCAATGCGATTGAGCGATATGCGCGTGGTGAGCTAGTCCGTTTCGAAGCATGTGCGAAAGAGCTTGGCACTATGGAGGCTGAAGAAGCGATAGCTCAAATTATGCGCGATGCACAAACGAGACACAAAGTGGCCGGCTCTGAACAGTCTGTTGTTATGTTTGCTCAACAGGATGAAACAGTACTAAATATCCACACACTCATGCTTCTAGAATCCTTGCACCGGACGTTGACACTTTATCTTTGGTTGGGCTTCCGCTTTCCTTTGGCATTCTGTTTCCGACATGATGTGGAGGCGCGAAAGCAACGAACAGAAGCATCTATTGAGTTTTGCCTAGAAGCTATTCGTGTGCGAAGAGCCCAGCGACTCACGCGCTTGGGACGAAAGGAAGAGGCTCACGTATTACTGAAAAAGCATGTACATCGTAAGCGGCGCTAATGGCTACAAATATGCGTTTGTCTGAGAGTCTTGAGGGGAATGCGCGCACGTTCACTTCACCATGGATCGGCCTTACGCCAGTCCCATGAATGCACAAGAGTGCCTTTGATAGGCATCTTGATTCGTTCTCCACGAATAGGTTCTTCCACCTCGTCGGCACGCCCCTCTTCCTGAGCAGCACGTCGTTGAGCCTCCAATTCCGCGGCGAGGTGAAACCGTAGACGCTCCAAAGATCCATGCAATATTGAGTTGGCGCCGCGGTATCGACTGACCATGACGCTTAGAGTATCACGATGTCTCACCGACATGACTGTGCCAGCGAGAACAGCACGACTCGCAGTAGTCCCATGATACACTTGCTCCGTGGCATGATCGTCTAGGATGGATGGTGGATCAGATAATCGGGAGAAAACACGCTGCATATCGGGATACATCAACATACGTGCAGCGTAGTAGAGGTGGGATGCATGCCGATAGGACAAGGTGGGGAACTGGGAACCTGCAGGAGGTGCTAAAGCCACTGCGCGTCCATGAGGATGGACAGGAGTAAATACAGGAGCAGCAGTGGCTGCATGCGTGTCTTCATCGACACCGTCTTTTGGTGGTGGTATCGTTATGAGCAAGTTAGGGCCTGGCGCGCAAGATGGCGAAGTCGGATGAACATGCACACATCCGTGCATCGAGTCGTTGGGAACATATCGTAAAGGATCTGCCATGCAATGCGCGATTCTTCGTCGTTTGAATGCAGCGGCCATAGATGTGGTTGAAGTTGGGTTGGCGTGATGCGAACGGGCAAGCGATGTCAGTAGCATCGGTGTTCGCGTCGTGGGATCGTCGGCCATGGCATCCATAGCATGCATAAATGCATCGAGAGAAGACGTGGAAGGCGTCTTCGACGCAACTTTGGCTTGTGATCCACGTCGCTTTGCGCATATTTCGATAGATGGCAGCTCGGAACGTGTACCGGCTCCTTCTGCTAGAACGCCCGCGTATGCCATAGCTCGACGTTGCCATACTTTCCTTGTACCGTCATTACCAACTTCATCAGCAGCGGGCACACCTTCAACAGAAGCAGCGCGCGGCATTGGACGTGCAGGTCCACCAACCTTCGGCTTGGTAGGCCGATTTGATACGGGTATTACAGGCTTGGCACGACCATCCCACACATCCTTAGTTGGCAAATGAGGTAAAAAGGGTGGAATATACGAATTGTAATCCAATCTGGGCGATATTTCCGGATCATTATCGGTAGTAAGCGAGCGCTTTGACCCGGCTAAATACATACCGGGGCCGGAAACTAGATCATCCTCGAGGCACTCGTCCACAGCCCTTCGGACCGTCAGCTCGGCACACACTACGTCGTCATCGACGCGCTCATAGCACAAATTCGGGAACTTTTGTGTTGGATCAAAAAATACATGATCATCTAGTCTTACTTGTTCCCTCCTTAGAGTTGATGGCCAAACTTCGGCGGCAGAACGCTTCCAGATGCCTTCATCATCTGCCCATTCGAGAAGCTCGTCTAGTGACCCATGCCCCATAATTTCTTCCAAAGCCATATAAATATCAATTATGTTGGATTTCTCGCGACAAGCATTGTGCGCCATGTGCACGCTCTTCTGCGCCAACAAAGATAAATAACGGTGGACAATCTCAGCAAGAACATGACATGCATTAGCACTAGAGCTTTGGAACCCACACGAAGATAAAATTGAATAAGTCACTAATTGGAGTTGGAAAAATGCAAACTCGGACGTAGGCCGAGAACTCGGTGTACATTTACGGAGCTGGGCGTCTCTCGCCATTCAGAAAAGACGTGACGACGTTGGAGTCATGCCAGCGACGATGTTGGCGTTTGAAGAACTGACAAGGTAGCATGGGAATTAAGAAAGATGGGTAGTTCTGCTAATATGTGCCATTACATATTTCCAGCACTTCTATGTACAAACTACCTCACGTTTGTTGTGACTTGGATTGAAGCATTTCCAACGCGCCATTAGAGCGTAGAACACACATGTTCTGCATACTGTACTTGCCCTTGCGACCATGGTCACCCAAATTCTTGCCGCTAAGAACCATATCAAGCTGTTCACGAGCCTCTGCATATCGACCCATACTAATGTATAAGCGACCAAGCTCATAATGACAAAAGTAAAGCATGTAGTGATCATACTCACACAGTACCCCTTTTTTTGCGACAAACATCAGACTATCCTCAGCCATTGAAGCAGCTCTTTCTCTTGATAAATATTGGCGCGAAGATGCAAGGTAGACATGCTTCTCTGGGTATGCCAGATTCCGCAGGATAACACCATGAAGAAAGTGTGCAAGACACAAATCATCAAAGACAGGAGACACTTGCGAGGTTAGACGTTCGAGTTCCTGTTCAATAATGGGTAAAAAGCGACGGAAGAGTGCTCGAGGAGGGGATGTCGTGTAACAGTGAGTTAAGTAAGCGAATTCCATCGCGGGATGGAACAAGTATCCATACTGTGTCATTTTGCGAGATTTTCGAGATGCAAATTTCTCTAGGGGAATACTCTTACCCGCAATCCGCTGCGACATCGAAGGAACTCGTTCCATGATCTCCTTAGCCTCTTCCTGCGCAGCAGGACTTCCGGTCTCATACAGTGCTGCCGCCCGAGCATAATGATATAACGCCTTAGACCAGTTGTTTTCATTCGCAAGGACAGTGAAACACTCGTGAGTTTGTTGCCATTCGCACAGCGACATGTAACAGAGAGCCATGTCCCAATAGCATATGTGTTTGAGTTGAACATATTCTTGTTGAACATCACGCGCTTCTTTGAAGCATTCTATCGCTTTAACAGTGCGTGCCTGAATAGAGTACAAGCGACCGTGGAAATAGAGGAAGAAAACACCGTGAGGATAACGTTGTAAGTGGTAATTCAAGACTTTTTCCGAAAAGTTGATGTCAACTTGTGGTACAGGATAAAAGTGGAAATGACCAAATGATAAGTGAGCATAGACATGTCGCAAATAGGACTGCGGATTCCCTCAGTCTTTATATTACGTCGAGGGAGAGGTTCCGACGGATCTGTGCTCCATCCAGATGATTTGGATAACAAATTGAGTCCCACAGGCACACTGCCCTCATAACCGAAAATTTCCATGACTTTAAGAACCCTGGTGGGAAGCAACCCTAAGATCAGACTAATGCATCCAGAACCAAGATAGATACCACTGCGGAAATCTTCATCAGACTTTTCTCCACCGTTCGAGTCTTCCCAATCGATGAACTTGAGCAAACTTCGGTATTCACCATACGCTGCGCGAAGATGAAATGCTTCCGATAAGGAGCCCAAAAAGTCACCAGAGTATGCAATGCCCAACACAGCTTTTACTAACGTGCATTCAGATGAAGAAAGCTCGGCATGTTTTTCTAACGGTGTCATGGATGAAAGCCAGGACACAGATGCACCCGAACCACGGACGAAGCGACCAAATGATGTGAATGCAGAAGCCTTTTTTCGCAATAAACTTGCCACATGTAAAGCATCTTTACAATGTGAGATAGCCGTACCAAGGTCCTGGTGTTCAAACGTCATAATTGCCTTGATTGAGGATAAGAGTGCAAATCCAACAGCGTAATATAGGCGTCTCTCAGAGCGAGGCTCAATTATTTCATACGCCTCAATCATCCTGCTACTCAAAAACAAATGGAGAGCGCCTCGTACAACTGAAATATCCTCAAACATTTCCTCTGTGGATTGAAATACATCCGAGAATGTTAATTTCGACATACGTGCTGATCGTTCCTGGGCATTGGTGGCGAAGAGTTGAGAATCAAATTGCTTTGAATCTTTACTTGGCACAAATGATTCAGCTTGTCGCGTTAAGCCTTCAGATTTATGTATCGGATCACATCCCCCTTGCTCATGAAATGTTTGCTTGGCTCTCGGAATTGCAATTTGCTCATCAGGAAATTCAGGTGCATCCACGAACTGGTCCGTTTCTGGTTCTCTTTCCTCGACAGAGAGCCGGTGTGAGATGCGACGAGATGTTCTTCTGTCTTCAGGTGCTTCATCAAATTGGTAGTTCCGGTCAAAGGCAGTAGAAGAGGTTCTCATGCGCCGAGAATTCCTTCGTGGCTCTCGAGTTTGTGAAGTTCTCCTATGTTGCGAGTCATGACTTCTATTAACTCGACTCTCACCAGTCAGCTTCCGTTCAGCATCATGTATCCGAGAAGACTTGCGAGTGCTCGATCTTCTTGTTTCAGTCGGTTTTAATGCTTGATCCGTCGCTGAAATTGGGTCGGCAATACTAGACAGTCTCTGAGCTCGAGAACGAATTACATCCTCCGCCGTAAGGCTCACTCGTGTACTATAATCAATTTGCTTGTCTCGGAACGATGCACGCTTGTTACGGATTTGCTGTGTTGAAGATGACATGACACCGATCTCCAGCTTTCCTAAATGTGCAACAAGCAAGACTTGGTTTGATGGCCTGTATAATGTTGACCTCCACGTCCCCAACACGCCCGAATGATCCAACGCCTCACCCCCACGAAATCATGGAAACACCAATCACAATCAACAAGATGTTCAAGGCAGGAATGTCGTGCAGCTTCCACTTGCAAAATTAAGTACCAAGATAAAAAACAGTGATATCAATGCCCTTTCTAGACTATCTCTGCGCGAGGCAATATTTCAACAAGATGTAAAACAAATAAATGTGTCGAAAATATAAACAAGACTGAGTGCTAACGAGCTGTCGTGTATGCGAAAGCGAATGTATTTACGATTTAAGCAGCTGGTCTTCGGAAATTTGACCGAGCATGTATTGAATGATTTTGTAGGATGGTTTTGGTTTGTATGCAGCGACCATGTGGCTGGCGCCATCGACCGTAATGAATGTGAGCTTACGCTCGCTTTGATAAGTGCCAGTTTCTTCGTTATCCACCATAACCTTCTGGGTCGGTGGCCTTTGGAAACCCTGCTTGCCGCCCCATGTCATGTTTTGGATGGCAAGCGCACTTCCGTTCGGAAGCATGATGTAGTCTAGCATACCGTGCAAAATTATGGTGCGGTTACTCTTTTCAATAACGCTTGGCAAGACCGTGTGCAATGGGAACTCTGTCTTTGACTTTTGCATGGTTTTGAACCCTTTTGCTTGGGAGCATTGCACGTAGGTCACATTGTCAGCGTGGATCAACGGCTTCACGGAAGGGTTCAAATTGAAATAGTTGTTCTTGTATGTCTTTTCAGTCGTAATGTTTTGCCCCATCGGATTCAGGGGGCATGGCGCTGATGAAATCACATAGAAGGGTGAGAAACACGGGTTTGCTTTCTTAGCCATTTGCTTGAATGCTGAATAGACCGAGTCTGATTTATTGAACCTTTTTGGAATAGGAAGCGGACCCTTTGGTGGGTAGTTGAGGTGTGTATCAATGTACTTGTTGATGCCTATTTTCTTGGCCTTCTTTTCAAGAGTTTTCATGTCCTTCTCTGTAATGTTCATCTCTTTATAATGTTGTCTAGCAAATTGCATGGCAGGCAACTCTTTGCCAACCAAGTCGTTCATGAAGAAAGCATCAGACAAATTAATACCTTGCAAGTTGATACCAGCCTTTTTGTTTTGATCGGATTCCTTATAAATTTGATCGGCAATGAAAGGAATGAATTTACCAGCATAGCTTTCACCTGCGAGCCAGAGCCTTTTGCCATGTAGCTTGGGGAACGTGCGATACAGAGAAATGAGGAATCCGTTGAATTCCTTCGCAATTTCGATCATGGATTGGTTTTTGGCCTCACCATGAGAAAACCCTGTTCCAACTGGCTGGTCAACCCACAACATGTTGGTCAAGTTGGTCCAAGAGTATTTGTTAAGCTCAGCCTTGCCTGTAACATTGTTAAGTTTGACAGGACCCTGTTCACCTAACACACCGCTTAAAGAGGAACATCCTGGACCACCATTGAAGAAAATAATGAGATCATCATGGCCAACCTTTTCGGTAGCAGGGAACATCCAGAAGTAGATTTGACGCGTTTCATTCGGCCTTTGACTCACGGGTTGGTATCCTCCCCAAGAAGGTGGAATCTCAACAGAGATATTCGGGAGGCGAGTAGGGATTTCGAACTCCTCAGTTTCGTTTGAACCTAGTAACTCGCGAAGGGCGGATACATTGTAAGCAGATGACTTCGAATCAGACGAGTTTTCTGCCGAGCTCGTTATTGGAACAGCGGAGTTTGTTGTCGAATTCGATGAACTCAAAGGTTGAAAAGCTGAACTCGACGCTGAACTCTTTACTGAAGGTAGCGAGCTCGAAGCTCCATTCACTCGATTTGAGCTGGTAGGTGAAGTCGTTGAGTTTGAAACACAAGCAACAATTTGCAAGAAGATCGTACTGATCAGGATCAGCAAGTGTCCTCTAAATTGCATGGTGTCTGAACCAATCTGTGTAGGCACACAGCCTGAATGTTCAACCTTAACTGATCTGCGCTGTATTTAAGCAGACGTCCGGAAGATAAGCGGCCGACATGGCTGTGATGTCACCGATCAGTACAGGAATATTTGTCACTATCGTGTACTAAAGCCAATGAGTGGGGCCCCCCAAGACAGCGACCAAATCGAGTGAGTAAGTATTTTATTAAGCAGAACAAGTCTACCCATTGCCTGTACGCACAGTTGCCAAAATAGAAACAATCGGGAGTATTGAGTGGCTGAAGGGTTTGAATTATTTTACTTTAGTATAATTGATCCGCACTTTGGGACCAAGGACTAGCGAGAAAAAAAAGAGTAACACAGCCTACGACTATAATTGTTTCGTGCTAACGTAAATGCCGTATAATCCTAGATTTGCTTCCGGAGGTTTACTCAGGTAAATGAAAATGCGGAACATGTTTACCAAAAGTCTTGACATTTCACATTGTGTTTTTCTATTGCCCCACGCCATTTTCTTTTTTTGAAAAAAAAGGGATGCTTAAGCCAAAGCATCTGTTTTGGTCCCCGTGTCAATGCTATTTATTACTGTAGTCCGGATCTATTGTGAGAGTTCTAATTTTGAGCAAAGCATACCTGTTCATGAACTTTGAAGAGAAACACATTGATGTGTACGACGCCACGAAGCAAATCTAAAGCATTAACAACAACCTTGCTGTTACTGTACATGAAATATAAGATGATATTGAATGTTTAATTGATTCGAGTTGATGCTTCAAAGACTTCTTGCTTTATTTGGACGATGGTGAGAATCCCGACTTTTGTTTGCTTACGGGGGTGATCTGGAGCTTGGACTTAGGATTGACGCTCATGTCCTTTAAGGATGGGAGGCCTTTCGCCCTGATGTTCCCGCTGGTGTATTCAGCGAAAGATCGATAGCTGATATTGTTCTCGGCGTATGGATGAGATACATTCATACAAGCCGTTAAAGGAACGACATGCTTGTATGCTTGTTGAATTTTTGGATACATTTCCATGAATTCGTTCATGGTATCTGCGCGAATTTCATGGCTTAGAACCACAACACCAGAGCCATCCTTGCCCTTGTTTATGATATCTTCGTAATTACGATCGATCTTACTTTTCGGAAGTTCGCCCGAAGGTTTGATGTTCCAATCATTGGTGTCATCGGACCAAATAATAGTACGCAAGCCGAGTCCATCGGCAATTGCACGTACACGGTTGTCAACGTCGCCGAAAGGAGGTCGCCAGCATTGAGGCGTTACACCAACTACATCTTTGATGATTCGCATGGTGTAATAAAGCTCAGCAAACACTTGCTCGTCACTCAAAGTCGTCATGTAGTGATGCGACCAGGTGTGAACGCAAATGTCATGTCCATCAGCAAGGCCACGCTGTGCTTGGAGTGGCCAATTTTTTACATTTAATCCGATGTAGAAAAGACTAGCCCGAATTTTCTTTTCTTTCAAGAAATCATAGAACGCATTGTGCGAGCAATTCGGGCCATCATCAAAAGTGAGACCCCATGTACTTGGCTCTGGGCATGTCACGATATCATGTGACAATTTGCTCTTCTTGGGGCTTGTGCAGCGAGTGGCAGACCACCAGCAGTCTGGATCAGAGTTGGTATCATATTGGCTTAAGGCATTCGGTGACAAGCCCATATGGTCCTGCGTTCCCGCTTTGGGACTTGCACCGTGAGGAATTACACCAGAACTTTGAATCTCTTGCCAAACTTGTTTGGCCTGCTCGTCACCATCCACAATTGTAGCAATGGTGCCATCCCTGGGATAAGCTGAACTAAGCTCGGACGATTCCGGTAATCCATAGTAGGAGCATTCCTTTGTCGGATCGGATACTTTGGCCATTTGCGCAGCGTTCGAAGGCCTAGCGCGCGCCATGAAACGACCCATGTGATAATCACGCGATTCGAGCTTCTTGGCGCCATTGTCATGGTACACGAGGCCCGGACCTACATGCGCTGAAGCAAGAAGAGCAGACACAGAAAAGATAGCACCGCTCGAAACTGCACTAGTGAACCTCATAGCGGGCTAATGGGTTGAGGTCTCGGGATGCTTCGAGTTAAATGTAAGTTACACTTATGTAACTTATGGCATAGTCCATTTGAAATCTGGAACGTAGAAGATCATATGTGAAAAATCTCTTAACCAACCAATGCGAGTTGACCAAGACTAAGGCAAAAAACCGGGAATGGCAATAGAAAATGAAACAACAAATCTACTTTATACAGTGATAACTGGTTAAAATCCCATGCAATTATATAACCTCAGTCGACGCCGCTTGACCGGACGTCTCATACAATTGATAAAATGCCTGACATGACAACGAATAATATGAATGAACGGCATTAGGATAGATTCTAGCATGAAGCCTACCAATCCAAATGTCTTGGTGTTCAAATGGAAAGCGGTTCCTGAAAGGAGTAAAAGTAAAACATATGTGGATTACTAGACCAAACGAGAGTTGCTTTCATGACCATTTCACGGAGAAGCTGCGATATCTCGAAAGCCTTTTAATAAGCACGTTATCCGTCAACTATTGCGCGTATTTTTTCCCGATTGATAAGAGAAATGGTTCCTGTGCGTGAGGATGTTCCACGCAACAAAACGGTTTGTACAGACGCACAGTTTCATCTAATTGTCCGATAGAAGCAGAGAGTGAATCCAGTTAGAGAATTTAACCGGTTACTTTAGCAGTACAAGGAGAAATGAATACGCCCCAAAAATTGCATGCATTTCAGACAACGCATGCGGCATGTGATAAGAGCGAAACTGTTCAGAAACAACGAGAATCGAGTTATGTAACATTCAAATGACTTCAAGATCTACTCATGAGGGCATTTTTAGCTTCTTGTAGACATTAAGGTTCTTTGTATTGGAGTGGCAAAGATTATCCCTGAAACAATGTCGCTCAATAAGCATAACACAACTGATAATTTCCTGCTGTATTGTGCAGATGAATTAAGAGATCCTGACCATTGCATGCTCACTTTACCTAAGATCACGAATCATCTCAAGCGATGTTTATAAGCTGAACGAAATGATGTCATATAGCTACGCTCTCATATCACGTTCATGAGGCGCACAATGTCCTTGGACATATAAGCCAAAGGTCAATCCACCGGGCTGCATTGAATAATTAGAGCTCGAACTGACCATGTGAATCCACTTGGTTTAGATGATAAAAAAGTGATCTACAGGTGAGCTAATGACGAAGACAAGAGTGCATGACTTGATCATCCTAGCTCTGATTGAACAATCCAGCCCTAAACGACGAAGGTCATGTATGACACCAGACGTTTGACTAAGGTAAAGGGAAGGTGGTGTTTGGATAACCGCGGTCATGCGCGAAGTTTTGTCATCAGCCCGAGATTTGCTTACGTGAGGGCGACGAAACTCTAGTCCCATACAAGCTCTATACCGGCGATGAAGTGAACTCGAACGGTTCAAGTGTGTCTCATGTGTCCAAAAGACCAACTGGTAGCTGTGACCGGAGCGACAGGTTTTGTCGGGGCACACATCGTAAAGCAAGCATTAGAAAATGGCTACGCAGTTAGATCTGTGGTGAGGAGCCAGGAGAAAGGAAAGCAATTGCTTGAACATTTCCCGTCCTCAAACCATACAGTATCATTTGTCCCCGACATACGTGACAAAGAAGCACTTGAAAAGGCGTTTCATGGTGTAAAAGTTGTACAGCATGTGGCCTCTCCTTACACCATGGCATTTGATGACGCACGTTCAGAGATGCTGGATCCAGCCATTCAAGGCACTCTTGCAGTCTTAGAAGCGGCGGATAAACAGGGCGTCGAACATGTGATAATAACGTCCTCGTATGCCGCTATTAATTGCTATGAGAAGGGAGGCGCGATTCGTGACTATACATATACGGAGGATGATTGGAACCCTGCCACGTATGATGGTGCCGCGGCAAGTCCAAACAAAGTGTACATCTATTCTGCAAGCAAAGCGCTAGCTGAGAAAGCAGCATGGAACTATTTGCAGAAGAGGCCGTCTTTTGCCTTGACTACGTTCTGTCCTCCAGGAATAGTCGGGCCCATTGTCCATCCAGTCAAAGCCCTTGATCAATTAAATACTTCATGTGCGAACGTGTGGCGTCTAATCTCGGGTCAAACGAATGGACAAGTTCCACCCACACTGCTTCCCCAGACAGTAGACGTGCGGGATGTGGCAAAAGCTCATGTATATGCTATGTCGAACCCGCGCTCTAAGGGAGAGCGATTTATCCTTCGTGGGTACTACATTGACATGCAAGTAATCGTAGACTACCTACGCGAAATCTTCCCCAGTCATCGAGCCACGATTCCTGTCGGTGAGCCAGGTACCCGCAACCAGCCTGGCCCGGTGGCCAGACTCGATGCATCCAAAGCTGAGCGTCTACTTGGAATGACCTGGACAACGTGGAATGAAACTTATAAAGATCTTGCTACCCAGCTATGGGATATGTCAGAAAAATAGTGATGCAGTAGTCGCAGAGGACTTTTGACTTATTTTACTTGATGCATTTCGGTTCAATTGAACAAATCCGAAGAGTAGTAATGGTGGGCCACTAGCAGAAGAAAAATTGTGTGTCGTCTTATATCATGACTAAAGTTGGATCGTATCATGTAGATTATATCAGGCTGGGTATGAACAACAAGGATACCTGCAAGGTACAATCGCCATATATATACGGGTGAAAAGAAAAAAAAAAAACTTTATACATCCACTGTTACTTCCATCTGCCATCTATGGCATCATTTATGCCGCGTCGAGATTATGTTTTACTTAATGCATACAATTTGTAAAACATCGCACCGAGTTTCTTAGACATTCATCAGATATATAAATATCCTCCTAAAATTTTGCAAATCAAAGATTGCATGTAGGAATCGAACAAATAGAAAAGGATTTCTTCGAATCTTCGCGCTCACGTCATATAATTCTCATAAGAGACACCTGATTGTGAGCGAGGTCCAAGTGATATGTGTCGAAGTCTTAAAACGTCTGAAGCCTTTACCAAAATTCCAGAACTTTCTTCAGAGCACCGCCCAAAACCATTCCGAATGGGCCGTTGTCTTATGCGCCTTGAATGTACCAAGTGTACACAGTCGGTATTTCTATGCCCTTCCTTCTTGTTGACTTGCACTCGCGAAGCGCTATTGCGTTCAAATCCGCCTGATACTTCTCATCATCATGGCTCTTGAACTAGATGCCGTACAGACTTTCAAACAGGCACATGAGCTGAGGAGCCCCATCGAATTTAATGTAATATTATTTATTCATTCATATATTACTTCGAATCCCAACATTGTTGAAGATCCAAGTACACCGTACTGATGCCATTCTTCTTGGATTTTGTTGTATGTAAGGAACATGTATATTTACAGGGTTTTGTAGTATTTTCAAGGCCTATTTCAGTACTTGGCGATGATAATATCTATCGAAGATCAGCGATTTGTGTCACAACTGTTTCTACTCGAAGATGCGTTCTACTCGAGCAAGATCGTGAGTCTGGGAGCACCTAAGAGACAGTGCAACAAAGAATGAGTGTTAAGAGAACCATGTTCTTGCTTGTCGAAGAACTTGACTCTAGTGAAAGAGAGTGCGAGACAAAAGGGTGTCTCGTAGAAAAAATCCAGTCTAAACCTGTTGTCATACACTCTTTCCAAGTCGAAACGTAAAAGAACTGTAATGGGCATATGACGTCAGGACGCCATATCAACGAAGAAATAGATTCATTCGAGATATTCAAGACTGTTGTCGAACGCACTGTTGAGTCCTTAGGTAGGCTTCATGCAACTTTCATATGCCCAGTTGAATAACTCTTAAACAGAACCAGAGTAGAATGGTGTTCATTCAATTGGACGACGATGTGGAGATCTGTGCCTGAGGCATTTTAGCATAAATAGTCGGAGTCACAAATACAGCGGGGTTGGGCTGAGAGAGATAGTAGACGTATCTACAGAAAGAGAAGCAAGCAATCCAAGACTTACGTCCTCATGAAAAGTTTAAACCTGCATAGCTTATTACAGTGGCATTGCGTGAAGGCCGGACGCGTGTGGATTCAAGGTGCGGCTGGTCGCGTGGAGACGCACGGACATTAGTGAATCAGCGAGATTGGATCGATCGTGGCGCTCGTGGCATGTTACATTCTGGGCACGAAAGTAAGATGATTGCATTTTGTAGTCAAGCTCGATTCAGTACTTACGATCCGAAAGTCGAAAAGATAGAGCGAACATTCGAGGAAATGCGTGATACGATGAGGGTGACGCTTAACACTGGCTCAAGTGCCGCTTACTAAATATGTTGTATCCACGCCAACGTTCAATTTCCTGTAGCGACAGTATTAAGTTGGCTACTCGTCAAGAAATGATTTCAGAAGCACTAAAAATTGCAGAGAAAAGCGAAAAGGGTGGATACACGCATGATCATCTGCGTAATGATCTGCGCTCCTTTCTTTATCGAACCTTGCGAAAAACATCAATCTATCTTCACGATGTAAGCTACTCAGCTACGTAACGTAGGAACCTGGGATATCGTTTGGACCAGTAGCCATACTGCTTTGTGGCCCTTCTTTCTCTCCTTATCTTCTTTTTCAAAGCTCCTCTGGCGCTTGAGCTGCTCTGATGAATACTCACGGTCCAACTTGCCAAGCTCACTTTCTCGCTTCCTTTCTGCCTTGACCAAGTCTTCTATTTTACCCTTTCGATGTGCTTTCATTATATCTTTCTCCGCTTCTCGTTCAATCTTTGACTTCTCTTTTTCGTAATCTCTCTGGTCCTTGCTACGCTCCCGTTCGCCCTTCATATATTTCTTTTCCATCTTGCCAATCTGTCTAGGCGTGAATTCCCCTTTCGCTCTAAGGGTCGCGAACATCTGATCTGCTTCTGCCGGCGAAGGGCCCTGTTTCTCGAATGCATCAAATCGATCATCCATAACTTTGCGTTGTGTCCTTCTTGAGGTGTAAGCGGCTTGTTTGTTGCACAACTCTTTCAGCTTATTCGTTTGTGGGGACGGCGCTGGCACTTGGTCAGTCACTGGCGACAGCCACGGCATTAGATGAGAAAGCCGGCGCTCTTCAATAGACATCGTGGCTGTGACATGATCCAAAGGAGGCATCTTCGCCGCCTCGGGAGGAACATGCCCAAGACGCACCAAAGCATCGGTGGTGCACATCTGCACCGACAAGCCTCGTGGGTTAAAGTATTCGGAGTTCACGCGTCGAAGAAACGTCTCTCCACGGATTTTGCTTACCGCATGCACGGCGACTTTTGACCCTAGTGATGTAACAGCTCCAGCCATCTGCGCCCAGTGATTTGGAACAAGTCCAACCAAAGAACCCACTGCATCCAAAATCTGCAGTGGCACAAAATCCGCACACACTATATTCATGTTGTCAATGAACTCAACAAACTCCTCCATAGGTACATCATATTGTGCCAGCTCTGGGGCATAAAGTCTCGCGAATGGTGCACCAACGCGAGACTGAAGACGAGGAATTCCAACCGGACGCTGTAACGGGGTAAGTATGCTTTGGATGTGCGGTCGTTGCGTAAAGCCAAGTGCATCATTTAGGATCTTTCTTTCTCCTTGTTCATCAGATGATTTCGACTGCCGCTCGTACGGCACACGGCCAAACATTGGCGGCCACTTCATACTACGTTCTGAGAACGATAGGTAGTCAGACATTCGGTGTGTTGAGAGGAGATGCAGGTATAATAGGGCGCTATGAGCTATTCTAAGGTAAAATTATGAAGCAGCAATATTATTCGTACACCAAAATCCCGCATCATGTAGAATTTTGTGCGCTAATAACGGGATTAGGCTGAGGTTAGGATGCACCAATCACAAGAGTTCTTCGTACTATAAAAAAACGCATAACAAATTTTTGAGGGCAATTCAGAGTAAAAAAAAGCAAATGTGTCCTGTGTGTTATCATCACATTCTGGACGCATGTCAGAATCCAATCGCGCAAAATAAAAAAAAAAGGATGATGACCATAAAGCACTTGCATCACACTCCTATTCATCATGAAGTGGATCGGAAACGTCAATCGCGCGTCGCATATCTGTTCAACAGTCGCCAGAGAATTGGCGAAGCCCCGTGTCGGTTACACGTAGCACTTACGTCGACAAGTTGGACTTATTATAGGTTTCAGCAATGGAAGTGCGCTTTGGTGTTGCGTGTCATTGATTGTTTAGATGCGTGTTGCTTATTAATCATGACACGCCGGGCAAATGATACGACATCGCTGGTCATGACGTCAGCGTGTCAGAAATAGACGAAATTTTGCGCCAATTATCCGTACCTCTACCTTCCCTTACTGCCTCGAAGTAATTCTGGAGCAAAAGGGAAATATTGGACGAACACATTGTACCCTTGTTTTTCGGACGAATTCATGGTGCCTCTGAAGTGCATTTAAATGACACGGGCGATTATGTACTGTTGTGTTCGGGATTGGTCCTAGCACTACAGAAGGTCGATCTCGATCAAGGGATTCTAATATGTTTTATTATTCCAAGCCCAATATTTTATCTGTTGCACCTTTCCAGGCATGTGTATTTTAGCGATGCATCTGACATTGAAGCTTTCAAGATATCATAAAAGGGAGATCCTAGGAGGATGGAGAGTATTGCAACGCACCTGGCTAAAGCATGGAATCGATTATACTTGTATCTGAAGGTGCAGCCAATTCATACATGGGCGAATCCTGGAACTCGCTTAGATGATAATGCTAAATATACTAATAGATAATTATGATGTCGAGATTATTATCGCAAACGGACATTCAACATGCGCCGGACAGTGTACGTATTGGACATTTCATACGGTATCATGGGTGCCTTCAGCATGGCAGACGAGGGCCACTAGTATTCTTTAAGTATTAGGGAAAGAGGGAATGATAGACGCAAAGCTAGGGCCAGCGCGAAATATCTTGCGTTTCGATAAGAGACATGGGATCCATCAGTCCTTGAACGATCACCGTCCGTACATTGAAGTGGATCCATATTTTGGATATGGACCGAACCTGCAGGACACCTCGTAATCTTTTATGGCAAAATGAGACTATCGCAGTCGTTGCCGTGATATAATGTTGCTGATACATATATATGACTGCGACATTCCATTTTTTATTTCGAGGTTTACAACATACGTGCGCGTCATGTATATGAAGACCTATACGACAAAATAGGCAATTTGTTGCGACATGTCTATATAAGATAGAAACAAAAAGTGAAGTCTGAGAAGTGGAAGGATATGTGATGACGGAAAAACATAGATAGAATAGCGAATACAACAGGTCGAGGGGGAGCATAAAAGATGGGGAAGGAGGAGAATGGGGGAGCATAGAATAATAGAGAGGAAGAGGGACACGGACAGTGCGGGAATTAATGCAGAGGAAATGAAGATGTATGGTGGGATAGTAGGGTCGAACAAAGAGAAAGACCTTAATGAAAATGAGAGAGAAATGATAGAGGGAAGCGACTGATGGGGTTTAGTGTGTTAGTGTTAGTTAGTGTTAGTGTTAGTGTTAGTGTTAGTGTTAGTGTTAGTGTTAGTGTTAGTGTTAGTGTTAGTGTTAGTGTTAGTGTTAGTGTTAGTGTTAGTGTTAGTGTTAGTGTTAGTGTTAGTGTTGTTAGTGTTAGTGT